CCATTAGATTTTAATGTTTGTTATAAATGTCGAAATTACTATTTTTTATACATATTCTAACAGCCTCTCAATGAATTTTTTGTTTGTTTTAATTTTAAACTATTACGCAATTTATTTATGTAATCGCACTATGCTATTAAAATTATGAAAAAAAAGTTGACAGTTTCAAAATAGTATTTTAAGTCACTATGAACAGATTCAAAAAGAAATTATTCCATAAATTTAAAATACGAATCCATTTTTTACAAGAGTATATAATATTATGATAATTTTTAAAACAGTTTTCAATAATGTGCACGCGGCCTTATGGAGGCGCTATGCACCTTCAGTCCACATAGCTAGTTCATTGGCCATTTCTATTTGTAACACATGAACTATTATAGATTTTTATTAGTACACCTGTCGTTAACACTATGTTAATGATAAAATTTATTAAGTATTTTCTTCTGTAGATAATATTTGTAGGTTTAAAAACATGAAATTTGTCAAAAATATATTTTAAACCAATCCTTGTTGAAAATAATAACTTTAATTGTTACTTCAACGATGAAATAAGAAGTTTATTTATTTGATAGCAAATCGGATCTAAAAATAAGCAAATTTGACTGTTTTATGCATTTTTTATATTATATAATAATATGTACCTAATATATTTCAATTTACATAGATCTAATTACGATTTAAGATGAAATTAGATGTATGTTCAAAACTTTAAAAGAGAATTAATAATAGTATGTAAAATAAATCTTACAACTACATAGTACTTAATATATTAATCAAGTCAATTTTTATTGTATTTTTTTCGTCCATAGTACCTAATTCGTTTTTTTTTCTTAAATTCTTCCGACCTTATCGCTTCCAATTTTATCTCTAAGACTTTCCAAACTTCAATTTTAATTTCTTTTTTGTTGAAAGTAGCACAAGATTGCGTGACGATTGAAAAAGTAAACAGTTTGAGAGATAATTTTAAACATTCTTGTTTCTATGAATTATAATTATAATATCATAGAATAAATTAAATGATGCGGTTATAATCACGGGATTTGTTTTAGAATAGGAAGATAGTATGGAAGATAATTCCTAATCAATCTAATAAACAGAAAATTATTTAATTTTATCAAACAAAATTAAGCCTATTATTATTATGTATCAATAACTAAAGAAAGAGAAATGCTGTATCGATGCTACTGAAAGTCGTTTTCTATATACAACATCTTGGTGAAACTCAAGTCTCAACACAATCCTTAACTATGTAAATGACCTAGATAAAGAATTTAGCGAATTAATTCAATCTGTTACATATGTTTATTTATAAATACTTTATATATTCATAGCCTAAGTTTCTAAGTGTTTTATATATAATAATTATATGTATTCAATAACGCAGGAAATCCATCGTTTTACATATTTACTAGTTACAAAAAAATAGACTTGTATTACTAATTTTGTTAAATAAATAAGTATGTTTTATTAAAAAAAGATGTTTTGGTATTTTAAATTTCGAATTATAGATTAAATAAAGAGAAAAGTCAGCTCAGTGATGACAGGTTGTAATATATAGATAATATTACTAGAGGGTGCATAAGTGTTATTATAGCGAGTATTAAATGCGCGGGCGCATTATTAAGCAGATGGCGGGCCGCTCGGTCGGAACAGTGAAAGTGGGTTGAATGCGACGCGATAACTTTCAGTTTCTCTTGCGCGCACGCTTCATCGTGGACTCGTTACAATAAATGAATCCCCCTGATTTCTCGCTCTGCTAAATTTCACCTTATCCACTATTACAGTGCTAGCAGCCGGTTGACCTCTCATCGCGGCCCATCCGTAGAAAGTAGTGGTTGAGACTCTTTTTATTTGTACATTTACCTGAATAGATTTCACGTCCATTATATATTGTTGATATTGGAACGGAACTTGATGTGTTATTATATATTTTAACAATGGAAAACTGATTTTTTTATGATTACTTTATCTAACAATAACAACGCATAATTTGAGAGACGAGCGAGCACCAGGTTGTATTAAATTTTGGTAATAAGAAGAAATTATTTAAAAATATATTGACAAAAATTATGAAAGTTGTTGTAAATAATATATATGTATTTATTATTGAAACGCCATCAATAATTGATAATTTTAATTTTATTTAAAGAAAGAAATTTCATGATCCGAGATATATTTTATCTTCTAATATTGCTCTCCTTGTAGCTTTTGTAAAATGTTTGGGTTAATTATAGTTATGAAAAAAATATCTACAATATATGTCCCTATATTATTCTTATTTGTTTTGTTAAATAGCTTAAAATTTGGCCAATTTTCACTTCAGTAGTTATAGGATTTGTAAAATAAACAGAAATGTTCATCCAGCCTTACAAACTATCGTATATATAAAATAGTGAAAAATACTTCGTAGTTATACTACACCAACGTTTGAAAATTGCATTATGACGTAAAAGAACGTTTTAAGTGAAAGTAAATTGCAATTTTTTACAAATCACACGGGCACATAGTGTGTGATATGTGTAATTCACGAATCTTTATTATTTTCACACGAATTTATGTGTAATAAATGTGTGATTATCGTGCTGTAGGTGAATATTGACCTAGAAAGTTCAAACTTTCGTTAGCGGCCGTGTTCGCTTTCGTTGTTCTTAAGTTTCGCGCCCATTTTGCCTAAAATCCGGTTCACTTTACAGTGACCCCATAAGATAACTCGAAAATAATGTTATGCACGACTTTTATGACATTTTGTATGGTATAATATATTCGTTTTTAATTTATCGTCAATTAATAACTTCCGTCTGAGTTATAAATATGTTTTGTTAGAAACATTTATAAGTGATTGTTGTCAAAAATAGAAAATTTATTGTTTATAAGTATAGCTTCGTTGAAGTTTGATTTCTTTAATTAAAAAAAAAATATTGTAACGTTCTATTATCTGTAACGCTAGACATTTACTATTATAAATCTTAAACATCTTAAATATAATGATATTTATTATTTATCATTTAAATTATACTAAAATCTAGTTAGTCTAGCGGCAAATATACCATTTTTTTTAATTAGACTTAAATTAAACAACATTACAAAAAAGCATATAATTTTTCTCAATTTTGACAGTCATTATTTTATATAAATAGTTCAATGTTATAAAGTGTCAACTGTCAACTGTCAAGTGTCAGTGGTAGCATCCGAAAAGAAATTAATGAAAATGAAAGTGTCCTAGATAGTACGGCGCCATGAGCCAGCGTCCCTCTCGCTTTCTCTTGTTTTTAAACCAATTCACCAATATGAGTATATATTAAATTACATTTTGATTTACGTTAGAACACTCTTACATTGCGTGTATGTAGTGAAAATAAATAAAAATTGATGTGTTGACTTTCTAACACGTCATTGACATGAATACTTTGTTGTGCTTTCTGTTTTACTTTTCATTTATATTTATTATATTACTAAAAAACTATTGTATGGAACTTGGTTTAATGTTTATGACTTTAATTAATTTATTAGTCTTATATAAGCAATTTTTATGACAAATGCTCCGAAAGTCCGTATATAAAAACTTTTTTTTTATATGAAGTAAAACTTTTATCATATGCTGGGGGAATCTTCATACATAACATTTAAGTCGAACTTGTTAATAATATATTTTATTGCCAATAAACAGCTGCACATACAAAATGAACGGGAAATAAATACTACCAAAATATAAAATTCGCTACAGAAGTAGGGCGATTGGAGTTAATACTATTGTTATGTTCAGTCTTTTATTACACTATAAATAAACTTAATTCTAATCAGTCAGACTTTAAAATAGACCAAATAAATATATTCTATAAATACTAAATAAATATAATATAAGTAATGTATTTATAAATTTCCAGTTCAATTTGTTTCACATATTGCTGTGTCAAGATGTCTGTCAAATGTCAAATGCAAGAAAATAGACACATTTGTGGAAGAATTAATTGTCTTTTTTTTATTAACACACATACTAGTATTAGGACATAAATTTTATTATGTACTGAAAAAGGTGCAGGCGGCTCGTAATGGCAACACCTTTAGTTCAGAAATGGGGGAGAGAGTTACTGGGCTTCCGACACTTTTACTGATCGAATAAAATGCTTAAACAGCTTGTTTAGCTTTTTATCATAGGAAATTACTGTTGTTGTTATTAGCACCAATGCAAGCTACATCTCGTTAAGCATATAGTTTCAGCTAAGATAAATTGATGGAACACCAAAGATTTCATTATATTTTACATATTCTCTTTCACGAATTAAGTTCTAAGATTTGTTTTTTTTATAAATTTAAGTTTTTATTGAACCGTGTCTAATTTCCAAATTGAAAACCCACGCAACTAGATCGGAAGGAGAAACTAGCTTTTAATGTGTTAATCATAATTTTTATGGTACTCTTTGATATTCGCGAATCTTGACATTAAGGTGAACACGTTCTAAAATCGAATTTCAGTGCAATCCAAAATCTTCTTATTCTATTATATTTTTTAGATATCAATTGAAATTTATTTTCAACTCTTCATATTATATTAGCGCTTAATAGAAATGTATGTAAAAGGAAAATAACGAATTGTAAGACTAGATAAAAAGTAAAGGTTAGTCATATCTACGGTGAGTTGGCTCTGCCCTCAAATGGAATGAACCGTATTATTTCCCGTTTTGAACAATGTACCTTTTAGAAGGCGTGGGGAGATACAGAACGAGGTCAACAACCTCGAGCACATTGCGTGACACGATTCAAATATGATATATGTTTTGCAACGGTTTTTGTTGATACAGACATTTCATATTAAATATAAACATTACTATTTATTTGTAACGACAAATCTAGAACGAGGTTTTGTATTGCATGTCATTGATAAAAAATAAAAGCAATAACAATAGCAGGTCTGTTGACTGGGGCGGAGTAGTTATTGTGTGAGCATTGAGAAGGTTTTAATTGATGCGTGTAGTATAGATGCGTCGCTGGTCGCTAGTATGGATGCGTTGTGGGTTGCGTGTGCGTCTAGAGCGGCTAGAGATAGCCGCGGGTCAGCGACCGAGGCGAGGCCGACGCCCGCTGACGTAACGTTACGCGAATTCCGAACGTCCCCACTCTTGCACCTAGCACCGACCTAATTCCTTCGAAGCCACTTCGTTTGTGCATCGCTAATTATAAAACGTCGTTGCACTGCAATGACGAACTCGTTCTATTTCTAATTAAACAGCTTACTCGCTATAAATAATGTGCTATTATAACTGTCTAGTCCTCATGATTTAGGGCTTAGGTGATGTATTTGATAAAAAAATTAAAGTCATTTAGCTGTATATTGAGTTCAGGTAACAGAGACAATCCAATTCACGTTAAAACTATGAAATGTACTGTTATATTCATAAGTGAATAATGTTCTTATTTGCATAATAAAAAGTTACCGTTAATACAGCGTCTGGCGTTGTGTTAATAATGTTAACAATATTATTTTTTGTCTCATATTTAAAATAAAAAAATATTTATGTATAATGATTGAACTTTAAGCAATAAATTAGTATATCATTAGTATAATAAATCAAAATGTAGTATAAGATTTGTTCGTGTATAGAACACATATAGAAATTAAAAATTCACTTGATATTTAAAAATTCAAAAATGATTTAATCGATGGTCGTTATGTAAAGAATAAATTATGATATATTTTATATATACACACGTAACACATCACGATGTACATATACATATATGTATTATGCACGTATATGTTCAAGTACCCACAACTAACTACGACTGATAATATATTTCCTTATCACAGTTCCTAGAACTTGTAACAAATGTTATTAATATAAATTCTTAATGGAACCTTACGAGGAGGAAAATTTCCTAGCTCCTTGTTCGTGGTAGGAAAATGATGACGTCACGATGTATGAATGAATTCACGATGCATTGGCGTGTGTTGCATCCATTGTTTTATACGTTTTTGGTAGCATTGTGTGATGTCCTTAGATGCATAATACGCAGCGGATGCACTCTGACCAAAGATGACCTCGAGAGGTATGCCATAGATTTATCTTTAGAGATAAGAAATACATTTTCCACATATTTATTATATAAATTGATCAAATAAAGTTATTTAAGTATATTGTACAGTTCTTTAGAGTTTTCAGTATTAACGGAAACTGTCATTGAAGGTGATTTCCTTATATTTTTGTCTTATAAGAAATTGGATAAAAATAAATATATAATTATGTGCTTTTTATATTTAATATAATATTTCCGTAAGACTTTAGTTAAAGCTAATGACTTTTAAGTTCTTTACTAATCTGAACGAATTTTAGTATTAAAGTATTAAAAAATATTTTTTACTCTAATTAATTATTATTAAGGAAGGAATGTTAAAATAATAAGCTCATTTCTTTTCACTGCCGTTCATTTTGATCCCTTCAAATTAATACTTTCATTTAGAGTATGATATTTATAAAAAAAAATATATACAAAATAATATCTAAGATTTTCAGGAGCATTTATTCAAATAAAATTAAAATTTTTGGATATAATATTCGTTTTTTTTGATTATTATTTTATATTACATACTCCCGACGCGACGTTTCGATAACTTTTCAGAAAATATCTGGATTCTAGAAATGAAAATCTGAATTTCATTTCAATTCATAAACATTTAATTGATAATTTTTATGTTATTAGCTACTTCTTCTTCTTCTACCTGGCAATTTCCAAGCTACAGCCAGGGTCTGCCTTACTTGTTGTGAATATTTTTGGCTATTTGTTTTTACGACCGGCCGCCTGCCTGACATCAACCCTCTTTTGGGAATCAACATTAATCAGTGATGTCTAAATACTCTTAGAAAATACATATGATTCGGAAAAATCAATTATTAGCTACATCACGTAAATATTAACGAGTGCATTAATTTGAATACATATTTGTATGGGATCTATCTCTAAGAATATAAATCACATAGTAAAATAAGTCTAAAATGTTTCGTTAGATTGATTGATTGATTCGTTTGTTATGCACAGGTTATTGGCATGGTTTATAACGATCGGAAATATTTCAATCAATAATAATCATTACATAATCCTACTAATATTATAATTGCGAAAGTTTGTGAGTGTGTGTATGTTTGTTACTTCTTCACGCTCAAACGGCTGGACCGTTTTTGATAAAATTTTGTATACAGGAAGCTGACGTCCAGGAATAACATATAGGCTACTTTACATCCTGGAAATCCCGAAAATCTCAGAAATCCGCGGGACGTAGCTAGTCTAGTTATAAACATGGGAGTTTGATAACAGATGATAAATATAAACATGACATGTTATCAGCTTAGGTTCGTTTTGAATATTATTTTTGTCCTCTAAAAAAGGCCATGGGAAAAAATAAATAAAGTGAGACAATATTAATAGAATAAATGCAAATACCAGATTATTTGATTATTAATATTGCATTAATGAAAAATATTTATATATGCAAAAATATGAATTAACAATATATTTAAAAAAAATTAAGAAAAGTTTCTTTTTATTTTGCACTTCTTACATTATATTAGTAATTGCTGGCAAAAATAAAATTATTTTTGTTTTGTTTATTTAACGTTTTTTTTGGTTTACATTTATTTTTATACCAAGTTGATTTTACAATTACTTAAATTTCTTCTAGATAGCTGAAATAAAAAACAGTGTTGACAGCTTATGCAATTTTGTTTTCAATAAGTACTCTTCAAAAGTAATTCACCACGATTTAAGGCATATATTGAAATCTGAATTATTAAATTTCTGCAAAAATGTACAAATTTCTGTAATTTTTTTGACATAAATCACATAATTTTACAACCCATTTGTCAACATTACAAAACTCAACGTTGTTACAGTGAATTATAGCTAAATATATTTTAAAAACCAGCGCGAATAAAGATTTATATTTTTCATCTTTTATATTCATTATGAATTATGATAATGACTCTTAGTACCTGCTATAATTTATATATGCACTTATTAGACAGTAAAAAAGGTATAAATGCGATTCATAATTTAAGTCTTTTCTAAAAACTGTGCTTGTCTATCAATTTCCATTACTTATAATCCATTAAATTAGCCTATTTATGTGTAATTAGTCATCTTTAAACTAAATGTAAAATTTGAAAATATAACGTAGGGACTAGTAAAAGCATAACCAATTCATAGTAGCACTTGACAAGTTGACACAAACAACAATAACATAATAATATAAATATAACCTTGTTAGTGTCACGTATGAATCGATTGACGTCTGTGCGTCGTAACAGTTTAAAAAAAAAAATGCTCGGTCATACAATGTCATCCCCTTCCTGTAGGGACGAGACGCAGTCACATTCAAACATCGAGTCGCCGACCGAGCACACCTGCTGACTCACGTACGAGACCGTATAAAGGGGCAATTATAATGCATTTTCGGCCTAACAACAACTTAAACTTTAAACGATGCAATCCTTACATTTTGTTTTGCATACCCAATATATATGTTTAACGTATATTTGAAAACTCTATCGTATAATTATGTATAACTCGTATTATGTTTAAATATTATTTTAATAACATACGCGGGTTAAATATTGTGGTCAGGTAACAAAATGTTATTTGCACTTTGAAGGTGGCACGAACGTTATTAACGACCTTGCGTACCTTTGTTTATAATAAGTACAAGAAAATATTGTAAACAACTTCGACATTGACCATACATACATATATTTTTAACCTTATATTAATGCGATTATAAATATAAAAGAAAAAATAATAACTTTATTTTACGTTTAATTTGACGATTTTTTTGCTTATAAATTGTCTTTAGTACATTTACACCTGGTTTGTGTTATAAATAAGGATAATAAAATATTTTTTTTAATAAATGCATGTGTTTACATTCGACATATTTTTGTTTTGTAATTAATATTCCTTATTAATCATTGTGTGAATCGTAATACTAAGAAAAGCAACTTTAGATTATGTATGAACACAACAGCGTTTCTAGTTAGTTTAAAATGTACATACGTTTAATTTAATTAATATATCAATGACGTTATTTTTTTAACGATAACAAACCAATGAAAGCAGCGAGTGATTTCCTGTTGGATTATCTATATAAATTGATTATGTACGACCGAATGAACCAAGTGATGGAATTGAAATACGTCAAGCAAATTGCAATGTACGTACTACGTATCATACTCCGTGTTACATCTAATTATATCATTGTATATCGTCGAAATGGTAAACTATAAATGTAATTGCATTATCCACGTGTAACTGAAGGACGCGGAGGTAGGGGGGAGGGGGGGAGCGAGAAATGCACGAGTGCTGCGTCAACGCACGTTATCAGAGGGCGTTATCGCAAGGTTGTTGAGCCACGTGTGGACCAGAACCCCACACTGACGATGACTTACGACCTCAGCTCATAGAACATAATGTAAAATAGTTTAAAATATAACATATATATAGCTTGTACGGTCAAATATATGTTCGTAATAAATGTACTTTTCCTATGTTTACAACATAAACAAGAGGTTATAATTAGAAGCAGAATATTGATTTCATAATATAATCTACAACAAAGAACCGAATTATTAATGAATAAACATACATTTAATATATCGTGATTAATCGTTTAGATGTTCGCTACCTGTGTTAGATGCTCACGTTACATCTTAATGGCCGGTTAGTTACTGAGCGGGCCTAGGTGTCGTTGTTCATGGAACAGCGAGGGCGAGCGCGGTCGTCTCAAGATCAAGGTCGCTCGGCAGACGCGCGGCAAGGTCACATGTACACCCCCCCCCCCGCGCCTCATCCCCACCCCGCCCCCCTCCCGTCTCCGTGCACAAATATTTGCGAGCGTCTGTCCTCCGCGACCGATACGCCGAGGTCAGACCGTCAAGTAGACCTTGAAGTACTCCTTCAGTATGAGTGACGAATGATTTTTTTATCGGTCATACAGAAAGAGCGTCTGAGTTTGCTCGTTCGATTATAGGAAGATCAGCGGCCGTGACCATTATATCGAACGACGCTTGGCTGCAGCAGCCTGGTTTACTGTCTTACTTACTAAGTAGGTATACTTTATGTAGGCAAATGGTTAATTTTATTATAATACTTATTTTTCAAACACTGGAAACGAAAAAACATTTTTTTTTTGAGTTCTTCTTCAATTGGTCGGAATATATAAAGAAAATTTTTATTTATGTACGGTCTACATTTATTATATCAATTAATTAACAAGATATATTTTATACTTCTCAAAAGATGTGTAGTTAAAATGTTTGAAGATTTTGGTTATAGGTTGTTATGAATTTATTTCGGCTTATTAAATTGTATGTTTGTCTGTTTATATGTACATAGCTCGGTAATTGTAACAAATTGAATTGTCTGAACGAGCATGGAGCAAGATGAATGATCTCAGATTTATGTACTACGGCCGTGTATTATGTGCTATTTTAGTGTTAAAATGAAGATATTTTTTATATATTTATTTTATAATTTATTTATCTGTTCACTTACAAATGGAAGCAGTAGAGAATTTTTAACAAAGAGTTGTTTTAAACATACAAATTTATTATAATCATCGTCATACAATTAATAAAAAATTATAAAAAAGAGTAAAAACTATATAAAGGACGTTGATACGTCTGGAACAAAGATATTTAAGAGTTTTTATAGTCATTTTAATATATTATTAAATACAGTAGGTTGTTAAAAGGATTATTAATTGCCGACAAATACCAACTGTTTCCTGTATGTCTTTAAAAAAAAGAAGGAATCCTAATGACCGAATGTTTCTTTCATTATTAGTAATAAACAAATGTTAATAACTATTAATTTGTAGAGATTTTTATAAAACCTACCTACAAATGTAGATTGTGTTGGTCATATTTTTAACTGGAGATTGTGTTTTATTAAATTTTATATTATTATTTTAATGTATACCGTTCATTAATGGAGTGTTAATGAATGATGTGTCGAATATTCATTTTAGGAAACGGACAATACGACACCTGTGATGAATTACAATGCGGTTATACAAACAAGAAGTTTATTGTTTATAGAATGGTCTGTCTCTGTCGGCTTGTAACTCAACCACTTGCCCTTGCTATTCGTCCACAGTATGTAATGGTATAAGACAATTTTATTCGCTGTTTATACAACTGTTTACTTTTAAAGGACACCGTTCATTATTCACAAGGATTTCAAATAATAAAAGAAAAAACAATTGGTGTCTACAGTTAAAGGTCGCGTGAGAATAGTGAAGGCGTTTATGTAGCGTCACCTTGATCTGACACAGACGAACATCATATTTTACTAATAGTTCATACGTAACAGACTTTTAAACATTGAATATTATTTATACAGCTTCATTCTTCAGGGTCCTTTAGCAACCGAATGAGATTAAACTCAGAAACAGATTAATACATCCGATATAAAGTCATCGTTTTGACCTCCTCTTTTGTGCTCGTTTAATGTATTGAATTAAAATGTTATTGAAACTTAACTTTCATACCGACTGACACGAATGTATGAAGCAAAAATTTGAAGCAATTATTTGTGTCACACAAATGGAATTTCCGTTTCAGCCGCACGGTTGAGTGGTCTAGCCGCTAGCGAGATGGCTCGGTTTTATATAATTGGTAAGAATGTATGTATCTCGAGTGATATTACTTTGTCTAGTCTTATTTCGTCCCATGACCTCCCGTTCGTGAAAACTCGGACGTAAGCTATCGAGGCCAAGGTTTCTATGAATTATGGAGTGTATGGTATTATTCAGTGTATGTGTGTCAGTGTTCTGATTTCGCGGCCGTACTGATGATTATACCAGACGAAGGTCCCATTTGACTGCGGCAGATCGGTTCCCGTTCAATGAATTTCCGGATTTATTATGTTTGAGTAACCTTTGATGTACAATATTTATAGCTTTGCTTTTTTGTTGTTTGAGATAATTCATCTGTTCCTACGTATGTTATAAGAAAATGTATGTATTTGTAGTTAAATAAGTTTCGTCTGAACGTCTATAACTAAGAGATAATAAATAAATTAAATTTAGGTATTAAAAAAAATAATATTTAACTATTATAATAATTAAAAACAAAGGCTACATAAAACTAAAGGCGAGCAAACGAGGAGCACGGTCGCGTCGCCAGTAAATGAGGTCAGTGGAACACGAAGCATTACACTTGACCCCTTTCCGAGTCCTTACCTCCGCTAGACCTTCACACTTTTTACAATGCTTTTACGAGCTAGGTCGGGCCAATTAATTTTCGATGGTAGTGTATCGACTCCCGTCTCCGTCTGTCGGATGTTCTTCCTCTGTATGCACGGGCCGCTACACTTGACACAGATTCCGTTTCTCGTTCAATGTCTCTAGAAATATTTTTTGTTGATTGCATATCTATGACTCAACTTCTACACATGTCAATGAACATTGAGATTATTTTCTTTATCGAATACAGATCTCGATACATTTCTAGCATACCAAATTCATTCATGCTACTGAAATGTTTCTTTGTTTATTCCGTGTCACGTATTACGAAAGCCTTTGAGTTTGAACAAGCTGTAAGGTTGTGTACACATTGACGTCACTCATAATTATTGCTTAGTTTAATTTATATTTTAAATAAAAAAATAACAATATTTTCATAAAAATTTAGCAGGTCTAATTATAATGTATTTACTTAAATGAAAAAAAAACTGGTATAAAATGTGGAGATACAAAACGTGTTCATGATTGAGTCATAAAGAATACCTACTTGTAGGTATTCTTTATGAATCTCTATGTATCTGTATATAGTAGGATAATAAAATATTCAGCAGCAACATTTACTTATACCTCAGAGATAAAGAGATGGTTGGGGCTGAGATGAAGATTGATCTCAGTTTCATTGTATGGTAGAACGTCCATATACAGATTAAAGGTAATAGTGATTAGTGACTAGATTGTATGAGATATTAATTAAATTAATGAGAAATATTAATTTAATGTATGACAAAACCGTGGAACTTTTTCAAATTATTAAGTTTAAGTATATAAAGTGTTTATTTAATTAAACCAATACGTTTAATTAATTAAAAGTCAACGTTTTTGTATGTATGAATGTTTGAAGGTCGATTAAATTTATAAATTAAGGGCTAGGTATAATTTCTTCATGTATTTGTATTGTTTTTTGTTTTTAACTTCAGCTCTTTATTATATGTAGTATTTATAGCAATATAGCGTATGTGTTTCTGTGATTTTGTAAACAATTAGTTACAAAAGAATCATGCATATTAAAAATAGCACAGTGTCAAAAAAATAATAAAATAAACAAAAAACATTAAAAAACCTTAACAAGTTTTTTGCTTGTCACAAGTGCATAGGTTCAAGTGTATGTCATTGAAAAATTTGTCAAGTAATAATCAAAATTTTTGCTCATTAAAGTAAATTAACATAAACAACTTTGTACAAAATTGACAGTTGTCATAAAACATGTATAATATATTTAATTAATTAAGTGATAAACATACATGTACCTATCTTTGTAAACATGTGTTTAAGACGAACAAAACAGCATAATTACGTTTAACCCCATTGTGACATTCAAATTTCCGAGCACTGGCGGCAGCTGTGCAAAAAAAAAATCCGAACGATAGTAGAGGATTATATATATTATTAATATATACACTGACACATCGGTTCCTAGTAAACAAGGTCGGTGTAACCTTGGTGGTAAATTGTATTTTTATTATTATTTCTACGTGTAAAATATCGTCAAACAAGGAAGTGTTTTGGTATTTTGCAAAGCATTTAATGGAACTATATGTCGTCGTCGAGTTGTTTCAGGGTCATAACAATCTAGTTATGAATCAGCCAGGAACTGATTGCTGGATCCTCTCAATGCTGATGATTCAGTCCAGCAGATGTTTATTGCACAGCAGATGGAGTGTTGATGCTGTGAGTAACGTTATAGACTTGAAACAGTTATGAGGAGTCAGGTTTTACTGGTTTCATGGACGTTGTAAAAATAAAGTCGCCGATTTCATAGCTGATAGAATATTTTTGACGTATTATTAGGTTTTATATATTGTTAAATGTAATATAACAAACGACGTATGTCGTTATGAGATTGTGTTCCCAGAATGCTGCTTGTGTCGTGTACAATGAAACCTTTATGCTTGTAAAGGAAATATTTATCATCATAAATTCTAAAGAACTGATATATCAGAATTAGCGACATTTTGGTTAAAAAGTAACTGTATTAGCTCTATTTAAAATTTTCTCCTTCCTGTTCGATTGTCTTGTCATCGATCACAACAGAAATATTTCCACCAAATGATTGCCTTTATTATTGTAGTTTTTTCTTTTAATATACCTAGACTCATATTACAAATGTAAACAGCCACCGAACCTTTCCACGAGTGATACACACATCTACATAATGTAAATAATATATACAAGATAAGTGATGCGGCATTAAACTAACAAACTAAAGCTATTTCCTTAATAAGCGCTCAACAAAGAGTTTGCCCTATAGCTGGTGAGTGTTCAGACGGTGCACCGGCGCGCGCTCCGCCTTCTATCGTTCAAGATTAAGGCCACACGATCTATGTACAGCTTCCTAAGGTCATGGATCATGTTTACCTCTCGCTACACGTTGCACTCACACTAGCCACTTGTTTACATTGTTATACTCATACTAATTGTATCACTTTTTATCCCATGGAACTCATACACTACACTCATAAATACAATAACAAAGTCGTTTAAAAGTTGTGATCGTAATTTTGTTGATTCAAACAACTTATCTCTCAAACCAAATAACAAATAGCAAATTTCTGACGTATCAAATACGACAAAAGTATGTAATCTTTATGATATTAATTTCAGGGGCAAAGTCATTAATTTATATTTCCTTGTCACTTCTTGCTTAGTCAGCAATTAGCGATACAAATTACCACAACGGTAACATTCAATGTTAGATATACGATCTCACAGATCGGATCGATGGGTGAAAACGAGGCTAACAATTAATATATTTCTCTCGAATGGTCTCGTTTCTTGAAACCTTCGGATTAATGTTTACATTGCTAGCAATAACGATCGGGTGGTGAGCGAATGTTTGACAAATATAGTTGCGTAATCACAGGCGAACAATGCGACAATGGAGTGATGTTGCCATAACATTAGCAATTAGTGTTACCAGTAATCAAAGATATCACACGTAACATAAGTTGCCTTATTCATACATTTACTTCAAAGTTAAAATAATTTATTGGAGCTGAAATACAAACTTTCAAGTGTGAAAACAAAATGTGTAAATTATGTACGCTATTATACGTTTCTACCTTTTTCCACGACTGCGAATAAGTTTTTTTCATCTATGCCGTCCTTGGATTTGCTAATACTTATGTAATCTACGTTTTTTTTTTCACATCATGTATTCTAGTGAAGATGTTCTAGGGTAAAAACCAGTTTAAACCGAGACTTCCTCGTTATATACTTTATTTCAAAACGCGCCATATATGTCAATTTATTCATAAATAATTTAAATAACCTGTTATTTTTTTTCATATACGAGTGACCTTCAGCCTTTTCCGCGACTAGTTACCTCACAGCTAAGATGCTTTTGCGATATTTATATCACTCTTTTATTTGCTGTTCCTAGTCATACGTCACCGTCTTCAGGGTCGATCTTGATAAAATCAATACATATCAAATGTCACTACTTTTTTTGTTTTTGTCATTTTATAATTTTCTTTATTGGTTATATTATTTTTTTATCCGTCTACATTGCTAAATTGACGGATTCTTGACATCAAATTAGGTTTCGCTAAACTAACTACGTATATAAAATTAATTTTATTTAATTCCGTGAATCAGTTTATATAATAGTTATTGGCAAACATATAATGAAACTTTTGAGTAAGACAATATTATTAGAATTATTAACCGGTACAATTGATAGCTAGTGATCTCAAATAATCATGTATTCAATAAAATAATTAAAAAAGAAAATAAACGCATGAATAAATACTTACATACTGAATCAGAATACATAGTATACACCATAGTACAACAATAAAATTATTTAAACGTTGTTTAATGTCAAAAAAATATTTTTATACCATAATTCGCTATTTAAAAAAATGTCGTTAAATAATATCAATAATTGACGAGGCCAACCTCAGTGATATGTATATGTATTTGGATAATATAATGATTGGAGAGCGGTAAAGCAGATGGTTAGAGGAGATGCGAGCGAGTGTGGGAGGGACATGACTACCGAATATTTTTTGCACGGCAAGGTCGAGGTCATATCGCTTGATTTCCTAGATCAGGCCGACCTCGCAACCGTCTACTATCCAGACGTCAGAACCACTGTGGTTCTTTGCTATTATAAGTAAAAAAAAAATTACATACAGACATATAAAACCTGTCATTTTAAATATGACATTGACAAGTCATCGATTTTTTTTTTAATAAATATTTACTATCTTATTTTTTTATCGTGTGTAGTCGTTTGAGGTTGAGTATATCGCCCTTATCTAGATACAATAACGCTTGCAGAATTTCAGGATAAAAATATTCAGGGTCAGTCTCAAGGTCCAACGCTTTTGTGATTAGAGCTACAGCGATAAGAAAGAAACAATGTAATATGAAATCTTTTGTTTGTGTCGTAGAGAACAAATTTCGCCAATAAATATTATTTCATCAACGACATTAGCTGTTATTCTGTTGATTTATTTTTTTATACTCGACACGTAACACGTACATATTTCCGTTATTTTTAATATATCCATAAAACACGAGTATTGTTAGTGACGTACTCTAATTAAATCGGAATATCGATATAGATAATAGTCTTCAATATATATTTATATACTTAAAAGATTTGCTACCAGACTGTAAACTAATAATAATTATTGACTAATTATTCTTGTAACGTTTTCATAATGCTCTATTATATAACATATTGCATAAGAACTTCTTAGAAACAAAATTAATTTTCTTCATTTGCTGTTAAATGTACATATAACAATATGAAATTAACATTTATTACAATTGTTGATTGTATGGAATTTAAAGGAATTCTTAATATTTTATTATCTGTCGCGGCGGTATGGTCTGTGTGAATGACATTGACAGTTGCGCTTCCTGTTATCTCAGTGCGATAGTGTTTAGCTCGCGACCGGCATTAATCATTATTGGAACAAAGAATGTCCACTCACGGTAATTGTAATTAGCACGCGTCGCCAATCGGCCTTCAAACGCTCATTATCTCGACCGCGGTCACCATAGCTGTGACGTCACAAAGGACTCACTCACAGGAATGTTTCCTCGATCGTTGTTTATACGCTTCATGATCATTGGATGCAAAAATCTACTTGCATATTTACTGTTAGCTAGCGATTTACAATTAAATTAATATATTTATTGTCTACATTACTACATGTAATGTGTATACTCTGTTTTTATACACCATACATACATATAAATAATAAAGATGCTTTATATTTCATACTGCTCTACTTTTTTATAAAAAAAATTATAAGTCATACAAATGATATTTCTATATAGATGTCTAATAAAATGTATTAAAAAAATGGTATGTAATTTTCCCTTTACGGTGAAAAGTGGGCGTAGTGTCGTCCTTATAATTACGTCCACGTGCCGAGAGCGGTAAATTGAACCGGTAAATGAAAAACACAAGCCGCTATGTAGTATGTACCTATAGGGTGTAGAGAAACGTCATAGCAATATCGAATGCGCAGTGCTTACTGCGCAAACATGTTTACAGGCGAGCACTCAAAGTTCAAGGCCCTTCAACTGCGAAGTGTACGCTCCTTGGAGGTTGCGCCGAGGACAAACGCCTCGGTAGTCGGAGTTAGTATTGAGTTATCAACGTGCGTCCTTGAACTGTTTCGTCTATAAATTGGAACACGAAAAATTGTCTCCGTGACACATTTATTCGCCCATGTTATCAACCCAATTCTATACGATCTACAATTTAGGTCTGCTTTATTACAATTGTTTCTGTCTGTGTTGTTCAATATGGCGCTTGATTTTTCATTCTTAAACATTTTTTTTAAATATGTAATTATGACATTTAATCAAAAAGAACATTGCTTTCATTATGAACTCATTAATGGAAATAGTGATACTTTTTATGAAATAAATTGAAACATTAGTAAAATTAAGACAATATTTTTAATTTAAATAAGAAAAAAACAATTACATAAATCTTTATCACATTCTATATCAGTATTGAAAGCGTGGCTCTTAATCCCGTAATTAATATTCTAAACGCTCAATAGATAACAAGTTTAACCATTTCGAATGAAGTCAATACATAAGTAAAACGAATCCGAAACCGAACAATAGCTGAGATATGTAAAGCGGAGTCTCCTGACATTGGATGGGTTTCCTATCTATTTACATGACTATAAGTTACCTTCACACAAGCGGGCTAAGGTCGGAACGCTCGGACGTTGGGTACATAAAAAAAAATGAATTAAATATGAATTCTCTTAAAATAAATTTCAGCTTCGACACTTTACATTGTCATGATATTGTACCTTGAGTATTGAGTATGGCTTGAGAAACGGTTCCTTTCCGTCACTATTACTTTCAGTGTAATACGCATCGATCTTCACACAAAGGTTAAACGATTGCACAACATTTCCTATTGTTGGATGTACTATTTTCTGTTGGTACTGTTTATACCTTAAGTGTTTTATATTAGTCGAGGGGGTGGTCGAGCCACGTGGTAATCCGAGACGGGTACGTCATCCAATGGAGTGGAGCCCGGGTGACGGGTGACGGGTGCCGCGACCCTGACTCTTGAAATAGTCTTCCGCATTAACGCAGAGAGCGAAAATATCGCATGATGCTGTCACAAGGCCGGCAACACTCCTCCGTACGCACCTTATACGGTGGCAAATCTAACAACTCCGTGCTACACTTACCTAAATATCAACATTTTAAACAAAAATCTACTTATGACTATTTAATTTAAAATCTAGTTGAAAATAAGAGGAATTCTTACATTAAAAAGACCTTTTAATACCCTTGTCTTTCACACGGAGGAGGTCCGCTATGTTTTTTTTTTATTTTTCTCATATATAGTTTACCCTTCGACTTATATTGACGTTTAAATCATTTGTTTGCCAAAACAACATGCACGTATGTAGTTAGCTGTCAAGGGCAATAAACATAACATTGTCTCTCGCATCCAACGTTCTATTCCGGGTTTGCGAGTTATTTGAAGCCATTTATCAATATATAATAACCATACATAGAAATATAGTTTATAATATTATTACCTACAGTAACTGTGTCTACTATGCTATTTATTATAAAAATACTGTTACTGATATGTAGTAAAATTTGAACACCACTAAATTTTAGTATCAAAATTGTTTAACTGCTTACGGACTTGTTTAATTCGTTGAAAATCGCAATGAACTATTTCATGGCTATTATACATAGATATGTGAAACATTTTCCGGTATAAATATATTAAATATGAACAGTGAGATCATTTTCCTTCTGGTTATTGCTGGCGTTTTTTTATTCAGCGTTAGCTATTGTAATCAGTTCTCATTTTACGTAATGACCTTGCACGTCTTGCCGTACTACGAAACGTGTTCAAAGGTAGCTAATCACATATCGGTAAATGTAAACAATTCGCCCACGTTTTGCAAATGCCAAGACGAAAAACTGAAAAAAAAACCACGTTGTTTTTATAAAATATTAGAATAAACACTTCCGACCTCACATACTTTTAGCTAATGGGTAACTTTTTTTTCTATGTTAGCCTTTACAAAAATCTACTTTTTACAAATACATTTAAAATGAAATCTAATCCGATTACACGAACATAAATTTAATACTCCATATTAGTGTCAATGTCCATAAAAGAAAATAACATATTTATCTGTCACAATACTTTCATAAAACATTAACATAAAAATTTTAAAACCTCCATACAAAAGAAATAACCGGTCACGTGTTCAATTATTTTGGCAATAAATTAATTAATACAATTACAACTAATTATGGTTGATGTGTGAGTAAGAATGTTAAGTAGGAAATGACCGGAGACCGCGACCTCGTCAGAAACGTGATAACGATTTACTATTCGCTCTCGCAAATAGCAACCGTTATCGAGGAGATTGGCATTACGACAAAAATTATTGACCACCATTTTTAACAATATAACTTGTACAGAAAAAAGTTCCAGTAAGAAATTAATGTATGTAAAAATTATAATATTTTGATGAAAGCACTAATTTTACACGATTTTATTGGAGCACCAAAATAATATTGTTTTTAAATGTATGTACATTTAATATGAATATACTTAGAATAAATGAATGAAACATTTTCGATTCACTTGAAAATTGTTCTTTTTCTCCAAGTTAACAAATCCTTATTTTACAGCGTATCTAAATATTTTCAGCATTATATTTTGTGACAATATTAAAATGCATAATTTAACTGTACAGTTACCTTTTCGTTTTTAATAATACACTAAACATTTAAAAACATAATACAATCCTTTGGCTCAAAAAGACATATTTATTACAATTCAAGAATTTTATCATCGTTTTTATTTTATTTTCTTGGATGGATATAATTTTTCAGAAGTAATGTAAGCCAAATATATGAACGAATAATGTGTTTTACAAATGAACTGTCAACAATGAAACGAATAAATTTCAATAAAAAAACAACCTAAACGATTAGACGACACATTATAAATTCAGAGCTGAAATATTGTTCTTTATTCTTAATCGTTTAAAAATGTTTTCTTAAACTTCAAACGTTCAAGGAAAAAAGAGGTCGTTGAGCCCGTTCGTCTTTATGTCCTATTTGTCACTCGGTCACAAAATAAGAAAGCAATGCTCACCGCGGTCAGCCAGTTACAAGAAATTGACAAATAATCTACTGTCACTAATAAGTAAAAAATTCAGGTCAATGCCCAAAGAAAAGAAAACTTCAGTCTCATATTACTATAAAGTATGAAATTTTATGTTTAATATAATGCAAGTTTATTTATATATTAAAAGTGTAGTACTTATACCTTCAATGGTATCAAATCAAGAGTTTTGGGTATCATATGCGTCCCACTGACCTACATCAAAGATGATTGTATGTAGATTTTGTAAGTCATATGTCAAGCTTGCATGTGATGACAACATTTGTAGTTTCTCCTCTCATTGTGAGATGTTGGTCCTCGCGAACCGACGCACAGAGAAATTGAGGTGATATAGCTTATGATACACTACATGTGTTCTGTCCTACTGGCCAACTGAGATGGTACACATACATTTATTTGGTTTCCGCGCACCTATAAAACTAATTTAGTCTTATTAAGCTTATCTATTATAAATGTTACGGCTTAACGAACTAGATTTCTATAGAAAGTTATGGTATGCACTACTAAAGAACTATTTGAAGTCTTTCTTCTGTCATAGTAATGAATTGTTTTATAGTTAATATTTTCAAAATGTTACGAGTGATGTTGCATGAATGTATTTATCGTTTAATCAGTACAAAGAGTATAGTCTGTTCGTTCAATTGACCGCGTGTATTCTTAAGGACGAGATCCTTTCGCCGTCGGAGGCCGAAGCGCCTTTCTCACAGTTGTCTGAGATTTCTCTTGTCCGTATTGAGATTCAGGTCGTGCTCGCCTCGCCCAAACGCACTGCTCCACATTATCAATACCTACCCTACTTTATTCATTCCATTGTTATATTTCCTTTAATTATCTTTTTTGTTTTATTATCATAAATACATACTATGTTATTATAACAAATTATCATATTGTATCTTCTACAATCATTAATTAAAACAAATTGGTATTCGATAAAAAGTACTTATAGAATATTAATAAATATATTTAGTTTATAATGAAATAATTTGAGACCGTCTTTGATGTTCTTAATGTAAGTTATTAAAAAAAATAATTGAAAGGGCTTATAGTAATTAAAATGAAGTTTTAAATATTTTTACTTTAAGTGGGCCAAGGACCGCCAGCTGTACGATTTGTTCTGGAATTCGCTCTACTTGAGTTCTTAAATCTCCTTAACGTTTTACAGTCGCCATCTTGTCTGACCGCTTATTTTTCACATGAATCGATAACAAGTTTTTTTTTTAATTTATTCAATTATTTATAATATTTAATTCTTTTTATATATGTTTTTCTGGGTTTCTTCTGATGACTAAAGATTTTGGATTTTTTAAAACAATTAAATTTATTATTATAAAACAATTTGTTATAAAACTATTAATTATACAAATGTTTACAACATTCCTAACAACTAACAAGTTTATATAACATCTATATGACGTAAAAAAATATATTTTAAAAGATTGTAAAATTAAAAACAAGCCTTAGAATTTTATTAGTTATTCCTTTAAGAAACATCTGACATTTCCATAAAGAAACGTAGTATGATAACATCTGAGGTGCGTACTAAGGAACACGTGCAGTGTTATCGGTTACAGCGTTTGTAGTTTAATGTTTTATATACATATGTATTATGTACAAGTATATAAACTTTTATAAAAAGACTACAATATTATTAGTATAATAAAAGTCACGTGACGTTTATTCATAAAAACTTTTTGGTATACGTATTTAAAAAAAAAAACAGAATTTTAAAATTGGAATATGCCATTAAATTATTAATTTATTACACGTATGCCACTATCTAAAAGTCGTGGCTGCGTCAAGGATCGCGAGCTGGTCAGTGTTAATCAATGTTTCCTGGTTAACCACTCAAAGATAGGAAAATCTCTTTGAATGTCAATCGGTATTTTTGCGCGGCCATGAAATTACAAGGTCGATACGATATATTTTTACTGACGGCAGCGATAAGCGCGTAGAAAGTGATTCCGATAGTTTATGTTTTATTTTTGGCGGTACACCAACTTGGAACAGCTAAATGAAAGTCAATGCGAAGCGAATTCGTGTTTTTGATATTATTATTCACTTCACAAATTCGATTTTTGAATTCATTTCCATTTTTCACGCGATTACACTCTCGGTAGATATATTACCGACTAAAATTAATATTTAATATACATACGATGTAACTAAACAATCGAGCGAAAAATAATATTACGAATACTTTGCACATTTTAATATTATAAATGTAAATTTATGACATACGTCTTCTGTCTTAGGTAATCTTAATTCTTTAATATATTATTTTAAGGGAGGTTCACAATTGAAATGTCAGATTCTCATACCACATGTTATGTACGGGTCTCAACGTATGTATGGTCCGTGTTATCGGTCGCCATCGGTTGCTAGTCTTATCGCAATCCGCGGGCACCTCAGCAAAGGTCTTTCGGAGGTTACACGCTGACGTCATTGTGATAACGATTTGCGCGGTGACCTTGCCGAGCGCGCCGAATTTCAAGGTCGCCGCTATTTGTACAGCCAGATACGAGAACACAATCGCTCGGCTCACGTGTGCACCCGGACTTACAGTCGACACAATACAGATATAAAACGAAACGGTTAAAACAATTAACATTACTAGTGACGATATTTCAAGGAAATATGTCGGATTACAGTTACATAATACGTCGCAGTTCTAATATCTGCGCATTAGTCGATATTTTGTTATTTAATAAATATTATAACATGTCTTAAATGTTTGTGTAATCATGATACGCGTTTATTATGAAAAACATTTTCTTATTCACATGTCATGATTATATTAAACGTGGAGTCGTTCACGGAAACAAATGAGATAGAAGCAGACAAGTTCGCGGTCGTACGGCGTCAGCAAATAATATTGTTATTATACAGGGTGGCCTTGCTGTGTCGCGGAAGCGCCGCTTTGCAAATTAGTTCTGGCCAAGGACAAAGTTGACTGGACAAATAACATGCACATTTATACACTACCGAGTGCTAAAAAAATATGCATTAAATATAGATAAATCTGTGTCTTAATCCAAATATAAAAAAAACCTTTTCAACACGAAAATATATTATTTATATGTATGCTTCCTTTTATATCAAAGTATTGATAATAATGCCTTAATGAAAATTACTACGGAATGTCATTGAAAATATTTCAATACGGTAACATTCCTTAAGGCACTACATTATTAAGAATAGGTACATAATTATGTATCTTTAAATATTTGCTAAGATTTATATACTCTTTTCTTGTCTGTATAAATACAAATGTCTACGCAATGTCAAATTGGAACGTTCACTGTCAATGTCATTGACAAATTCTTGATTGGCGACTCACGTGTAAAGCTAGTGAAATTTTCTACAAATATAAAACTTTAGGATTTTCAACATCATTTTGAATGTTCTACTAAATCAAAAAGTTAATAAAAATACTATAAAAGTATGTATTTGTTCAGTGGAAATATTAATATCAAAGTATTATTATATTAGTTTTAGATTGCGGCATACGAATCATAAAAATTACAAAAATGTAAACTCTTTATATCTGCCCGGTCGAGAACGTCTTAAAAATAATTTCGATACAGATTTATATCTGTCGTCACGTGTACTTATCTCACGTGCCAACATAATTATGAAAATATGAAATATGTTATCTGTGTGCAGTATGAAAGGAAGATTGTATAATAATATATATATGAAGTTTTATAATAAAATAAAGTTTCAGCGTTAATATTGCTATATGATGTATCATCCTGCTGAGTTGTAAACGATGTTAAAACGTATAATGTGATGTTACAAGCCAATGTACTTACGCCCTGAGTAATGCGACTTGGTTACGCAACTCGTGCGCCGCCGCGTGAAGAGTGAAGTTCAATGTCACACATACCCACACACAGACAGCCGCCGGTCGATCGTTGTGTGGACACAGTGCGCGTGTGTGCGTGCTATCTAAATAATCAGCCAACCCGTTACTCGCCTCTATCATTACTTCCCGGAATAATTCGCGAAAACTATGTAGATTTTCCTTGGTGCGTCCATGTCGATCGTTTTTGCGCAAGGTCATGGTAAAGTCAAACTATTTCCAGTGGTACAGAGCTCATTTTTCCCAGCCAGCCCAGCCTCTAACGTGATGTAACATTACGTTCGTTATGGTTTTTCTATTGACGTATATACATGGGCTAATTATTATTGATATTCATTTATTTCATGTAATCGATTCCACACATAATAGGCACGCTTATCCAATATAATATAATTTCGATATAGATAGATTAAGATAATGATAGAAAGTTGAAAACTGTTATGTATTTGTATTATTGTGATGTTTGCGTCATATTTCATAAACAAATGGATATCTTTCAGATACAGATAGTAATAACCGATCCTCCATACAGTTGATACTTGATAACCTTTAAATAACCTTTATGTTGTAATACCAATAAACATTTAGGCAATTATTTTTCTGTAGAATACATATTATTAAAACAAAAACACAAAAAATATTTGGCTTAATTTTACAAGTAATCCACGTTTTAGTAGTAGTTTTTTTAATACTAAGTTTTAATTTTGTTATTTACAAAATATTTAAATTATAAAACGCGTGAGCACCCGTTCATTATTAGAAAACAGTTATAGTTTTTTTGAAAGTAAATTAATAGATTCTAATTTATTTTAAAATCAAAATAATTCATTGATGCGATAGAATACTTTGAATTCATTACGTATTATATTTTTGTTTCCTGTCTAGGTGTTTGTGAAAGGCGCAGGTTGCCGTAGGTCAAGGTCGATAGTAACTGATCCAATTCTAAATGCCCTTTATAAATCAAAGCGTAGATCTATCAGGGCCACTGAACCGATGGCTGGTACTGTTAGTTATATATCAAACCTGTGAGGGTGTATCTCAGGGACATCTTTTAGGGGATGGGAAATTAGCGAGCTTGGATGATTTCACCATGACCCCATTCTGTTAGGCGTTGGAAATTTCGCTCGCTATATGTTATATCACGGTGATGCTCGCAGATTTTTGACTCCAATTGATTTACTTTATATTAACGATACTGAAAATCCGTTTTTTCATTTGAAAGCAACATTAAAATTGTTACTGTTTCAGTACTTTTGAACTATAGTTTACAGACGAAAAAGTAATAAAAGTTTTCATGATCTTCATAAAAATGTGTAAGATATAAATTAAGAATCAAGAGGATAAATTTTGTAATCAATAAATCACATATACATACTCCAAGATGACATTAAAGAGAGTTAAGAGTATTGTCGAATTGAGCTCGTGACCTTGTGACCTTGCCGCGACCTATCGCCTGAGAGCCCACCCCCTCCCTCCCTCTCCCTCCCTGCCCTCTTACCCCCCTTTCATTCCAGGACATAAAATAAGTTATGCAGCCATCAAACAAGCCGGAGGGTCTCTCACTGAACGTCTGATTTGCCTCAACCAATTTACAATTCTAATGACTAGGAACTTGTGATTAGAAAATTTTGTCAGGAAATTTAATTATAATATTTAATTTCATCATTCATTATACGAAAATGTCAGGATAGTTGAATTGTTTTTATTTGGACTGAAACTAGTATTAATGTCACTTACTCATAGTGCATTGTATATCTACATAACAAATAGTTAATTACATAAATATATATACATGGAAAACTATTTTATTTATTATAAAACAACAAATTTTTGTTTAAGAACACTTAATATTTTTTATATTAAGCATTTTTCGAACCTGATAATATTTGTGAAATTAAAAAAAAAGTATTTGATTTTTATTAATCATTGTATATATTTTATCTATATAATGCTTATATTTTTATGTTAAGTGTCTTATGGCTTCAATAGTGTCATTGGCAGTGTAGCCTTTAAAGACGTACTACATACTTATTAGTATGAAACAGATTTCGTAATAAAGTATACTTAATATATTATATCAACATAGATAATAATTTTAAATATTACAAAATGTACAAACGACTAAAATGTATTACATTTTTCTTATTGTGTTGTTATAGTAACACCTAATTATCAGGAAGTTTCATATGTACTAATGAAAAGTGTCAATAAAAATGGCGCCAAGAATTTATAGGTATGCGTGTGAGTAATAAGTACTTTCATGGTAGCCTCGAAATTAATATGACATTCATAACTTCAATGTGATAGGATTACGGCTTGACCATAGAAATTACTTGGAATAGCCATTCCAATAAAAAAATATTCGAAATTCAATTTATAACTGGCTGTTTACACTTTTGGATTGTAAATTAAAAAGTTAAACAAATTTGAATAATTTAAGTTTTTCAATACAAGTTACACTAAAAAAATCCGAGCAGTTTTTACGTCATATCAATATTCACCCACGTGTATTTCTCATTTATTATAAATGAAGTAAGTATAGAAATATATAAAGATTAATTTTATATAATATTCTGACATTATGAAATAACCTAAATTGAAGCCTAAATGTCTGTCAGCGAGGTCAAAAGGAACGATAAGGACGCTCCGCTCCAACACCTACGTACACCAAGCCACCCATCATACACCCAAGGACTTACATGACGCATTTCAGAATTATGAAAACACAATTATAATTTTTTATACCAACGAGACAATTATAATATAAATCGTATTAAATTACGGATATTCCTGCTTTAGTTCGTATTATTTGCATAACAAATAAAGAGGAGTTTGCTTCATAAAGATGGTTAAGACGTTACGCAACTGAGACACATTCGTGAATTGAAGGTCGGGGACAAATACGCGAACGCCGAGATAAGGAGATAACGTAATATATTTTGAATAATATTTCATTGTACGACCGCACAATACTGTGTTTTTAAACATCATGAATAGTATTGTAAACTTATACAACGGCTGTTATGTTTAAGATAAATAATTCAAAGAAAACTACGATTGATCTCCTCGCTCCGACTATAGAAGCGGAGCTGCGATATAATCTAGTGCTTATTGCGTTCAAATCAATTGTAGAGCCAGGAACAAGGAAACCAGGCGAGCGGTGATAACGATCCAGCGCCATACTAATACGTTATTTATATAGTGTAATCATATGTACAGTAATATTAAGACCTATCAACATATTAATTGATGGTATTTAAAACTCTTAATATAAAATGTTAAACAATAATATTTATCTCTTATAATTTTGTTTGTTTCAACGATATATCTTCATTTTTCAAAACAGCTTGTAGTTTGAAAGATATAATATGATTTCGTCGAATTCTTATTTAAACCAATCGATAACTAAAAGTATAACGTATTTATTAAATAATTTTTTTTCTTCAAAATCGTAAGGATTATTAAATAAAAAAAAATGTAAACTCGAGGTCGAGGTAATACTACTAGTTTCAATAATGTTATATTTTTTGCCATTATTTTTATATGTAAGGTATTTATCATATCTTTTTAGTTTTTATCTCTTTAATCTTCTAATGTTTTCATTTTTGTTGTTAATGTTTTCTTTATAAATTTAAAGTATCCTTTTAAAGAAGAACGTTCTTTAATCTCATATATTATTCAGGTGATGTCAGATTGAGAATTTTATATAGTATTTCACTATAGCCATACCATCGTTATATTAAAATACAAACATGTACCTGATGAAGTTCTGAATAAGTTAATTCACATACTTTTCAGGAACCGATAACTTTGTTCAGTCGGTAGGTACGTTACATAAGGCTGGAAAAGAAATCCATTAAATATCTATGTAAGTATGTACAATTACTTCTCCGGAGCGTGGATAAAGGTCGCGTCCCACGCAAATCTAGGGTGTCATCGGGAGGGTGAGGTTGTGGGGGGTGGAGCGGGCACGCGCGGCCATGGCGACCTTGCCCGGCTGTGACTCTGCGACCTTGGAGCCGATCACCCGCGTCCCCCGCCCCGCCCCGCCGGCCCGCACACCTCACCCCCGCAGCCCCCTTCCGACGACACCAGAACACCCTCGCCCACGCAGCCTAACTCAACCCTCACTCCTGCTAGCGCCTACCACCTCGTGCAAAATTTAATATCCTACCAAGTATTAAGTTGGATGGATAAATCCTTGACCGGTCTTAAACCATTTATCATGTTGAGAATTACTGTCCTAGGTTTTCATTAGCCAACAGGTGGATCGACTGTCCTCATGCGATACCTACGATGTTCACGTTGTTTATGTAATACGTTCAATACAAGAAACAAATACAAAATAACTTTGGAATATTGATTGTTACGTGTATTCATTTAGTTATTGATAGCCGATGTATGTATATTGTAAGAAAATTTTGATGTCAAGGGTTCTTCGATTTAGATATCGCTGTATAAAGTATAACCTGAATAAATATGAAAATATGACAGTAAATATGTTTATGGCTCTCGGAGTGCGTGTCCTCGATGTAACCACATAAATAACTGAACAATACACAAAGTAATAACCGTTTTCCATTTGTTAATACTTTGTTTCAGTCGCAGATTATAAGAATATTAGTGATATTCTGTTCGTAGTGGATTGGTGTAGCGGTGTCCTCGTTTCGTGAGAGTCAAATCGACACCATTATTATAATTACGTTAATAAACTCTCCTGTACCGCGTGAGGGCGCCCCGTGCCCGGCCGACCTCCGCCACAAGGTCGTTCCGTTCGGGGCTTTCCGTATGTCGCCCGAAGGTCTCTGACGTTGAGTACAGAGTCACTGGCATGTATATAATTATTTTCATTACAACCACCACATGAACGGGAGAGAAACATTATTTTTCAGTGGACTTTAGAATAAACCAATAAATAGACATTATTTTTTAAGTATCGTTACATTTGTAAGCTTATGAAATAATTCTATCTGAACTATTTTATCTTGCTTCACTCGTTATCCGTTGAAATTCCATTTTTAGTTATCCAACGTCATAGAGATTTGCATTCAGGAAGCTGTAATGACCTCTACGTTTATGTAAAATATCATAAAAAACCACTCGGTGTGAAACTAACTAATGTTTTTGTATTTATAAAATTTTCAAGCAGTTTCCATGTTGCATATATTCATGGCATTAGAAGATGACCTTTCAAAGGATTATGTGGGTAGCGAGAGGCTGTGTGGGCTGACTGGAGGGTGTGAGTTCGTAGGGGGTGTTGAGGGTGGAGGGTGAGGGGTGCAGGTGCGGGCGATGCTCCGGCTGCAGGAGTCAAGTGCACGGACGAGCTCAGTGCGCCGATGCACCCTTATACCGACATGCGCTCAACTCACGGTCAATAGCCGCTCACTAGTTATATACATCCAGAATATTCCATTACGTTTATCCTTAGATTATTTCTCGTGATTCATTTCATGATTTGCATTTTTAATTATTGATTTTTTTTTATATTATTTCTTTTGTATAATTATTAATTTATGAACTTGCAATAAAAATTGTACTAACAATTAATTATAATACATGTTTGTTTAGTTTACTGTACTGTGGATAGTGAAAATCTATTACCATTTACACGTATTTGTTGTTGAATAGAGAAAAATAATTTATTAATTTCCAATTATTGTAATATAATGTAGGAACTTTTCCACAGGAAGAATTCTACCATTTGAGTCTTTAGAATTATAGAAATTATTATAATTAATTTAATTTGTATATAAATTATTTAAAACTTTAGTAAAGGAAACCGAATGTTTCCGTTCTCCATCAGTATGAATAAAAAGTGTATAGTTCGTGTTTTATGAGAACCTACTTTCTCACAGAATAAAGAAATATGCGAATATTTTCAATTCACACTCGTAATCGTTTTAGATGATAGAAAATCTTTTCTGTATTATTATTGTGGTAAATTCTTAATCTACTCGCTCGCATAACTTGAGTTTTTCATATTACTTCACTTAAATTGTTGTATTGAGTTTTCGTATATTTCATCAAAAAAGAACGAAAAATAGAGTAAAATACAAAGTAAATTCCAAACTCAGTCTATTTCTGGTATAACTAAAATATGACATTATTTAAATATGTTTGTTCTTTAATAATTTATATGAAGTTAATTTATTAAGGAAACCTAAAGGCTTTTATTTATTATTCTATATTTTGCTTCCAAAGTAATAAAATTGAACCTTGAGTAACATTAATGGAGCCTTCATAGCAATCAATTATATTCAATGACAGAATCTGGTGATACTCAAACATCCGTAGATAGAGGAAGTATTGCGTGCGGAACACGGAAATGTACGGGAGGCTGTAGGGTCGCTGGCGGAAGACGAGGCCTAGGTCGGCTAATGACCTGCTGTATACTGGCTATGATTTGTCTAGTTTGTATTAAAATATATATTATATGTATATATATGATTAGTTCGAATCTCCATATTAACTGTACTGTATTATTTATTTTAATGTAATTTTATTATTTCAATCAATTTCGTGTTCTATATGAGAACAATTTTCAGTATATTAAATTGTTACTCGTATTCTCTTGTATGTTTTCAACTTAATTATGCTAATGAGATAGTCGGGGGTAAACAAAAACATCAAAATATAATTTTTACAAGTTTGTTTTATTTTAATTCGACAACCTGTCATTATATTAACAAACAAATGACTGAGCACGCTCACATACGGACATACAATACACACACAAACACACCGCGACCGGCGCTGCACTGCATTATAAATTACACTTATATAGTCTTAAATTATTTTTCAGTCTATTGCGCTCTCCTCGTCCGGCGCCGGCCACTCACGCACGCGTCTTAAACGAATTATCACATATAATATATTAACCGATTTACGAACGATCATTAACTACATAGTTTATTAATTTAAAGTAGGTCGGGGTGGGGGGGGCGGAGACGCGGGACTCCGCGGGCCGGGCTCACGCCTCCAGCATGCGGGGCATGAAGGAGCGCGGCGGGGAGGGGGACTTCTTGGACAGGTTGAGGGGCGCGTCCGACACCTCCACCTGCAGCTCCAGCAGCGGCTCCGGCCCGGGGCAGGGCGAGGGGGACGGGGAGGGGGCGGCGCCGCGGTAACACGCGAGCAGGCCGCTGCGGAGGGGACACTCGGCCGCGGGCGACGAGCTGGAACTACTGGCCGACACCTCCCCGCGCCGCATGTACTGCTGGATGATGTCCGTGCGCTTCAGCTGCTCGGGGGTCATGCGCGGGCCTTCCATGAGACTCTTGGCGAGCACGGAGTGCGTCGAGGACAGCGAGGCCCGCAGCGGGCGCGGGGAGTGCGCGGGGTGCGCGGGGCTGGCGGGGTGCGGGTGGTGCGGGGGCTGCGGGGAGGGGGTCAGCAGCACCGGCCGGGCCTCCGCCTCGCCCGTGTCGCGACGCATGGCGCGGAACTTCTTGTGAGGCTTGTAGGCCTCGTCCATGAGTGAGGGCGTGTCGTACAGCGGCGGCGCCTCCAGCACTCGTTTGAGCACGGGCATGTCATCTGCCGGCGCGGGCCGCCTCTCCTCCGAGTGTTCCTCCAGCGAGGACCGCGGGCTGGAGCAGCCCGAGCCGGGTCCCACTATTCTCTCGTGCTTCTCGTTCCCGGACTCGATGCCGGAGTCTGTGGGTGAGTCTAGTTTCCTGTATCGTGGCGGAGGTCTCACGGGCGTGACGGTGAGTCCGTTGTGTGCGAGGTGTGCCACACCAAGAGCCTCCTCGTCCACGGAGCCGCGGGAGTCCAGGCGTCGTCTGCCGGCCAGGGTCGCGGCCAGTAGGGGAGTCCCACAGTCACCCATGGCTTCACCGGACTCACTGCTGGACACTGAGCCGATGGGGCTGCGAGCTGACTCGTCCGCTCCGGAGTCCACCCACGAGCATCCCTCCTCGTCTCCCCACATCTGCTGCCTCAGTAACTCCTTGTGCTCCGTTCGGAAAACGACGAGCTTTTCAGTATGAAGAGTACTGAGCGTACGGAGATCAGGTAGAGTGTCCATTAACTCCCGGAGGAAGCCAGGTCTGTCGGGTCTGTTCTGAGTGACGACGGTCTGCAGGCACGCCTTGAGTCTCGCGTGCATTCGCTCCACTAATTCAATGTTCCGAAGACCCGGCCGGTCGGGGGTGATGAGAACTATGGCGCAGAAGAGACCGATCTCGGCGTCCGTTAAATTCATAGAATTCATGCGCTCGGCAAACTTAAAGGTAGAGTCGACGAGGAAGCGTGCGTTCGCTCCGCTCTGAATGGAATCCCGCTTCATGAGTTGTCCATTGAGGCAGATTATGCTATTGAGTGGCGCATCGAACATGCAGATGAGCCTCACGAACAGGGCGTCGAAGAGACCGCTCTTTAAGAGAGTGAACTTGTCATCTTGCGTGAGTAACTGGAATCCAGGAATGAGGCCGGCGAAATCGATAACGCCTCTGATAACGTGCGCGAAACGCTGAGAGAATTCCTTCTCAGACTGTAGCTCTGGGGCTGGATTCAGCGGACAAGCCTACGACAAACAAAATGAATACATTAAAATTGTGTCCATAATACATTTTCTAAGGAAGTTAAAATTCAAATTAATTATCAATGAGTTGTTTATATAGAAATATGAACTCACCAAAGTTGGTTGTGAGTAGGTGGGACAGTCGCGAGCCCGCGCCCTCATGGAGGCGACTCGGTCTCGTGTGAACTCGCATGTGTCGAGGTGTGCGCGGACCACGCGCGCCAGGAGCCGGGGCGCGTCGTCTAGTTCAGCGGCCGCCGCCTGCTCCTGGGCCCGAGATGATGATGATTGTTGCATGGCGGCCAGGATGCGAGCCTTCTCGCGCTTTGGGACACGACCGAATCGGACGGCTGCAACAAAAGATACATAACGTCAGAAACTGTAGGGGAACTGGGAAGGCAAGTGTACGAGACTTGAGTGCATCAATAAAGACATTGTTAGGCCAGGTCGCGCTCACAGTTGGGGAGCAGCTGTCGGTCGTGAGCATTAATGTGGGTGAACACCGTGCCATGTGTACGCGCAGCTGACGAAAGGGGCTAAAGTTCATCGGCCGCTCGTACCCGACCCTCGGTATAAAACGCCCGGCTCAAAGCGTCGCGATTTGGTGAACTAATTTGAATGAACGAATGACAATGAGCGAACTGCGAGGTCATGATAAAAAGTGTTACGACTTTCACGGCTAGGCGCGGCGCGGTTTGAAAGGTATTATACGTCGCTGGCATACGAAGCCGCTTGCGCCGTTCGTGGTTGAAGCGCTGGTGAAAGTGTTTGCGCTCTGTGAGCACGATTGAAAACGAAAGCTGGAGCCCTCTCGCCATTTCACCCGACTTTCCCTGCGTTAAGTGTGTCACGCCAGATGCATGACCCATTGTTCGAGATCGGTGATGCAAATTCTCTTTTGTTATAGTTTAAACCATTATTAATAGTAATTATAAACATTTAGATACAATAGACATTGTAATACATGTTTACTTTTATATTGTATACTATATAGTTGTTGTAAATAAGTTAAATTTATAAACATATTGTTATATAGTTGTTACAAATAGGCATTGACATCGTTCAAAAATATTAATAACTAATAGTTGTAGTATATATAAAATAGTAATATGTTTAATACAGGTATATAATTTGTATAAATAAAATACATTGTAAATATTTACAGAAATGAAAATAAATATGGTAAGGTTTGATAAATATTGATGTATTAGATCAGAACCGATAAAAAATATGTATACCATATTATAATAATAAATTATTAATAATGAATAAAATATTAAATTAGGTAAATAAACATATACGTACGAGCATTGTGATATTTCACGACTCCATTTAAAATCCCTTTAAGTATTGGTAAATCTTCACCCATATCTGATACCATTATAATTGTCAATTAACTAAAAACTATAAAATTCACAGCCTATGGCCACTAATAAATAAATTCGGTAACTAATATTTAACTAATTATAAGCAAGTGTCACATATCACGTCAGTATAGTTAAGCACAGGCACAGGCACTGTAATCCGAATGTGCGATAGTAATCCGATTGACGCGTTGTCAGCGATTCACGGCGATGTGAGCTGGGCTCGAGTTCTCGTGGCTGACTGCGGCGCGACGCACTGACATAGCGGGAGTAGAGGGCTGACGACCGATGCGCGGGCCGGACTCCCTCGCACTGAGCTGCGCGCGCCGCTTCAACCTTGAACTTGAGGAGCCGCTGGGGGGGGACGGCGGGGGGCGACCGCGCGGCGGGGCGGGGGAGGGGGGCGACGACCGCCGTCAATAAACTCCGCGCAGGCCCCTGATCCCGCGCCCTCATGACGACTCAACAAAAAAATCGCGAAACAAGACACCCGCCAAATGACATTATCAATTATCATAAATAACATACGGCTAGGAATTAAAACGATTTATTCTAACAACGATTCAAATTCAATAACAAACATTTTTACATTTAACCAAAACTTTCTACAGGTTGTTTTTCTTTTTGGTCGCAAAAAAGAATTAAGCGAAGTTGATATACATTTAGGGACATTAAAATAATTCTTGAAATCATTTCTTTTTATTCCGATTACTCATACATATGTATATAAAATTAAGTTAATTAATTATTAATTAATTAATGTCATCACCTTTTTAATTTAATCGCTTAATGAATTCTACATAATTGAAATCCTATATGCACGAACATCAGCAATCGGTTATCACTGAACACAACTTGCTTACAGCGCCATCTGTTGGCAAGTGGCGGAACTTCTAAGTCACGACCGAAAGGGTTCTAATAGAAGTAATATTAAAAACAATATTTCTATCTCAACTTACTAAGTAGGTGGTATGTATGTTTGAAATTTTTTTTGCTTAGTAATAATATTTAAAAATAATATTACATAAAAAAAAATGAACTAAAGAGAAATTGCATAATTATTTTTAAACCGATCAAGGTTATGTATATAACAATATTGAAACTAAAATATCTATGTACCTATAATATATAATAGACGAGGGTTGCGTCATAAGCATGTCATAGCAATTATGTTGTTTATTAACATAAAAGTCGATATAGTAACGTGTGTAATGAATTCTAGATCGGTTACGTTAATGATGCATCTAGAGAAACTGGGAGTCCGATGAACCCACATTACGAAAGTGAAAACAAATTTCACTTTCACGATTACAAAACGAAACCTTTCTCCGCTTTCACCGCGAGCGTTCACAGTGACGAGCGGCAGCGGGTGTCGCAACGAGCGGAGCGGAGATACGACCGCCGGCCGACGACCCGCTTAGCGTGCGCTCACCCGGGCTTGCATAACCGACCTCCCACACCGCACACGTCCTCCGACCTCCCCCTCCCCCCGCAGCCCGCAGCCCCCGTCCCCCGCGCTCCGCGAAATAGGATCTGTTCGGAGTTACAGCCGCGGTCCGAGTGTCGCGACTCGTCCTACTTGGCGCGCGAACTCAGATACAAGATTGCGCGGTCGACCTCACTCACTATGAACATTGCGTATACGAGCGGCGGACTATGATGTTACGAGCTCTTAGAACACATTTATGTATTTCTCTGTAAGGCCTATCTACTGGTGTTCTTTGAACATAATATATATTTTAATGACAGGGAATTTAAAAGTTACTTTTTTAGTTCTATGTATAGATATTTTTCTGATCTGATTAGTGTTAATATTATCGCTGTATTTTTTATATTTTGAGTTATAATGCCAGTAGTACTCACCATCTCTGCTCATCCCCACGGCGATGCATTTCTTCAGCCTGCAGTACTGGCAGCGGTTCCTGTTTATCCTCAGGATGCTGCACTGCTGGTTCTTGGTGCAGGGCCTGTACTGTATCTTCTGCTGTATGGACCGCCGGAAGAAGCCCTGAGGATCACAGCTGCAGTTACAGTCTCGCTCGAGGTCCGAGCCGTCGTCGCTGGAGCAGCCGGAGTCCCGGGACTCCCGCCGGCCCTCCAACATGCTCACTAACACCGAATGACGTTCGCGCAGTTCTGCGCCGCACGCCATCTCCAGCACCATTCACTAGACTATTGGCACAACTAACACTGACTACCTAACTGACTGACTCAGAACGATCGCCAGCGTCACAGTCACGGTCCTACGGCAACACGGGCGGCGTGTACTTGACGTGTGGAACGTGTTGGACTGCTCACCGTCACCACTGGTGGCTGACGACTGACTGTGCGGGCGCTGCGTCGTGCGCCGCACAGTTACCCGCGCGACCTACTTGCCGGCCGCCGACCCAACCGAGAAAGTGAGAGTGCCCCTCCCCCCGCCCCCGGCCCCTCCGCGCGCCCCTCGGCCCTCTCCACTGCTCTCCCCCCGTCCCGCAGCCCTCACCCCCGCAGCGGCCCTCTCTGAGCTCCTAACGGTCCACGTCGCTCTAGAATGCGCCGCTGCCACTGCACCGGTGCGCCGGATATAGGCCGGGCGCATCCCGACGGGCGTCGCGGCGCGAGGTCGTTCACCCCGGGTCGACGACCGCTCTATTGCACAACACTCGTGCTTATTCCTCTGTACCCTTCCCCCACCCCCCGCGCCGTCCCCTCGCCCGGGAGCTAGGACACGGGCAGCTCGGGGCGACGACCGGCATTCAGCCTGGTGACGTCACTAATGCGTCACGGCCTACCTCAATGCGCGCGCGCTCCTTCCCGCCTAAGGGTGCATCCATCTAACGTAATGACTTATCAGCTACGATACCTCCGGAGGAAACTGGGCTTTTTACGTTCGCTATTTTAGATCTCGTTTAATAAATACATTGTTCGATATATGTATAATGAGTTGAACCGAAGCGAGTCGGAGAGCGATGTCCGAGTGAGACGTTATTAATGAGGGAACATAAATAAAGTGCTGATCGTGCACATTGTATTGTATGATGTGTTTGTCGGTATGCTCGTGAGGCCTGAGGTGCGGGCGGCGTGCAGCGGGTCGGTGGCCCAATTTTGCGCTGCCATCGATCCATTGTACGTTGTGCGAGTGGCCCATAATTGGTAGCAACGCAGGCACTGACCGAACGAACGGTCGACGACCTCGGAGCGCGAAAACAAAACCTTTTTGAATTTACAACGACGCTAATACATAGATACATAGATGATAGAACTAGAGATATAGAAGGGTTCGGAAAGATAAGATATTTATGAAATATTATTTTATTTATTTCAAGTTAATAATAAAAAAGACGGAAAAATCATTAATTAATAATTATAAATAATAATAACGTTATATGATATTGATTTGTACAAACAATCTTCCGACATAAGTACTTGTTCATTACATTGTGTCAATGAACGCCAGTCAAATAACGCGGTCACACGGTTAAGGAATCATTATAAACATAAATAATATATAACATATACTTCTAATATTATTCGCAACTCTGCATTATAATCTAGTTGTTTGTTTTCATACAATAACAGTTGAGCAATCGTTCCGTTCAACATTAATATATAAGATCGTATTCAAATAAAACTTTAAGTTATAAAAATAACTTTAATATTAGCTAAACTGTGACTGTAACACGTGTTACAAGGACGGAATGGTAATTACTAATTATTTCGTCAATTGTAATCTAGGTCATCTATCTAGATTTTTCGACACGCTACATTAAGGTGACGCCGGCGGGCATACTACATAGATACTAGCTCGGATGATGCTAGATATATCAAAAATTTAATTTTATTACTATTATATAATGAATATAATATCAAAACGTGGATTTACTGTTCTAAATGTTCGATAAGCTTCGATCCGTTGTCACATAAGAGAAGGTAAAACGGCTAACGGTGCCACGGACAATGACTGCTAGCGTTGGACGGAAAACACGCTGACGCATCTGAAGGAATGACCACCACCACCACCACCACCACCATGACCCACCACGCCTCTACTAACAGTTCACGTGTTCCCGCGATACAGATATCCACTTGATAACGCCTGACTCATCCAAATTATGATTCAGATCCCGTTCTCATACGCGTGTCTATATTTAAAATGTACGAAACTCTGTCATAATAACCTCTATATAGTGTATATGGAAGGTTCTCGAAACTATATATAAAAGTTACAGTTAAAGTTACTGTAACCCGCTCACATAACAAGGGAACCTTCTAGATCTGTTGTGTTTGGATAAAATAAATAGTGTTATACATATTACATAGTGTTTGTAAACATATATAAAACAGGAAATCGTTTTCCGTTTGATGTTCTTATTTAATTTGACTCGAGGTCGACGAACTACGATGCTGACAGTTCAGAAATAATGTGGGTTACGTTCACGTTGCGTACACTCGTCGACCGTAAATAACTTACGGGAGGCTGTACGGAGAGAGGTCTACGACCGGGCCCGGGCCGCCGGAATAATGAGCGACCCACGACTGATGTCGGTCACGGTGTGAACAAAGAACCTCATGGACATCGCGGGGAAAGAGCGTTTGGAACGATGACGTACTAGTAACAAACACGGGCAGAACATACCGAGTACATGTTGGGAGATAATAAATAATAAAACACTAGCTACGTGAAGAACATCTAGATGATAAACTTACTAATAGTTTCAAATATTTGTCACAATAAAAAAACCGCGAAATTAAATATGTAATTTGAAAAATATTAATGATTCAAGTCCGCATCATTTGTCTTTATAATGACTGCAATATGATAATTATTAAATTCCGTCTAATTAGATTACACATTAAGAGCCAACCGAATAGTTCAAGTTGTTGCTAGCTGAGAGCGATATGTCTGTGCTCTGTAATGGTTAGAATGCAATTTATAAAACGTAACGAAAAAAAATAATAAACACGGGTTCGATGACATCGCCGGTGCGTACGGACACGCGCCCCGCTCGTAGTGATCGTAAGAACCATTCATACAATTTTTATTCGTCGCGTACCAGATGCAAGTCGGGCGGTACAGCGCCATCTCGCAGCGAGTAGTCGAATCACGAAATAAGTTTCACATTCGCGCCGCCAGTTGGCAGCAGTGGTGACATCGTTATCTTTTTGCTACTATTTCGTAACGCTGGAATTTCTATGTCAGAACTAAAACTGAAAATGACTCAAGTGGATTTAATATACATATATATTTTTTATACATAATCCGCTTTAGATTTATGTATTTTATGTTGTTCAAATGTTGCATGGAGTATATCGTGTGGTATCTACACGTAATTTCCGGTATTAAAATTTAACGAGTTATTAAATGATGAACCCTTGATTTCGACGCGTACTATGATATCTTCGGTCGCTACATTGTGCCAGAGGACAAAGCGTGTCCTTGTAGGCCGCGGTCGGGACTTGTTCCATAAACCTGTTTTACACTTGTAACTGTTCCCATCTCTCCTTAACCTTTAACCGGTTGATAATATTACAATATTATAAAACTAAACCGATATTATCATTTATTTATAAACAAATATTTACTAATTAAGTGAATTGAAGCTCTTAATACTTATTAAGGATAGAGGAAGTCCTTTAAGAGTAACCTCTTAAGCAGGAAAGAGCATGCGGGCGTCTACACGAAAGTGGTTTAAATTACCATACGGTTTTGACTCAATAAAATAATTCTTAAGAAACTTAACCTTTGTGTCATGGGGTTTGACCTAGACCCCTTCGTAAAAAAAACAAAGCGAAGGACGACACAGAAACAATTTAAAAGAGTCTCGTTCCCGTGTGAGTGTTGCGAGCAGGTAGCGACGGTTTGAGAAATAGGGAAGGGACCGGCCGTACACGAAACAGGTACCTTGACACCTTCAATACTAAGATTGACCTGATACATCGAAGATCATATTAAACATATAACTTTAATATATTTCGCGTTCGTTTTTATTAAATCTAAATGATGACGGTCAAGCTTTATCTGTGTGCTCAGACTTCAGAGATTGTCTTCCGTGTATCGCGGCCTTGTTGTTAAACTATAGGACATTGAAACACTTCCACTTGTATAAATAAGTAGGCAGCGCTTATAAATAAAAAATATATTACACAGATTTTGACGATAACATATTTTTAGTAATCGTTTTAATAGACGAGGAATTTATGTTTAACTAGCATATACCCGTAAGGTCAGGATGACTCGAGATTATATTTTTAATATAAACGATAGTTTTAGTCATTTCCTAAATTATAATACTGTATACGTATGTGCAATGTAGTGCATAAAATTAAAAAAAAAACTGTCAATACTCTCATGTATGTCTAGTGAATGGTTTGGCGCCATTAGATGTTAGTGAGCTGGAATGGAATTCAAATAATCATTATATATATTTTAATTACCTTGCACCCCTCACACGAGTGGACGCCGTAGTGGAAACCACTGGCCTTGTCACCGCAGACGCGGCATAAAACGGTTGTACCATCGAACTCTGTAACAAAATAAAAATATACATATTAGTCACTTCATTTTAATACAATCAGAAGTGTCATGTTATCAGAATATCATCAAACATAATTTTGGCGCCAAATTGATTTGACAGCTCATGTATCATAGACATAATATATTCAAAAAGAAGCGTCAATATAGAATTATGAATTAAATTGAATAGTATTTTTTTTAAATATGTACTACTAGCTTTCCGCCCGCAGCTTCGCCGCGTGGAGTTCGGTTATATCGCGTTTCCAAGAGAACCTTTCAAAAGTCTGGGATAAAAACTATCCTATGTTCTTTCTCAAGGTCAACTCTATCTCTGTACCGAATTTCATTAAAATCAGTTCAGTGGTTTAGGCGTGAAAGCGTAGCAGACAGACAGACAGACAGACAGACAGACAGACAGACAGAGTTACTTTCGCATTTATAATATTAGTAGGGAATAGTAGGGATGTAGGTTGAATCTTAATTCAGACCTAATTTTTAATGTGTAATGTTATTATCTACTATAATAGTAATCACGTGAAGTTAGTTTATTTTTTTCAGTTCATTACGTAAGTTAGTTATACGTATCAGGCGAGTGACGCAAGCGATCAAGTTGCGTGCGTCGGTGACACTGAATAGTTATTTTAGAAAGCGATAAGTCTCCACTGCACTTGAGGGAGGTCGTTGACCTCTCAGTCGGACTATCAAATACCTATCAATATATTATCTATATGATTTAAATAATTGATATACATTATTATCTCGAAAGCAATAAAGGAAAGGTCGTACAATCAGTCAGTACTGAATTAACTATAATTATGACGTTAGCTGGTTTCTTTGTTGTAAATTCGTCGTCGTTACTGTGTGTGTGTGTGAGTGACTGTGTGTGTGTGTGTATGTGACGTCACTGTAGGAGCGAGGTGTCCTACCAGGAGCAGGTCCCGACCGCTCTCACTTTCCCGCCTCGTGTTTGTTTATTTGTCAGGGACCGCTCCGGCCTCTAGGAGCAGACTTTCTATTTCTGAGCGGGCGCGGGTCGTCGCTCGCTTTCTATGGTGTCACTTTCTTTTTTAGTGTTTCTTCTATCATTCTTACATATTACACGTGAAGGTTCGGCGGGGAAAGTCGCCGGTGTGAGTGAGTGCAGCTACTCGTCTAGGCGTTATCGTAGCGTGCATACATTTCTCTGCTTGTGATGCAATATGTTTTTCTGATCCGAGCGTGTGAGAGTCGCTACGTTACGTCGATTAAAGAGGAAAGTGCGCTAGAAAGTGCTGGACCGACTAACGTTGAGACTTGAGACTACGGATCTGTGTCACGGCGAGCTCTGTTTGTTAATAATTGGATCATAATCATCACGTATCGTAAATATAATTTCCTATTTACACAACACGTCTCACTTATTCTGCATATATGTGTTTCAGTTTTAGGTCTACATCATTTTATTGCACGTTCACTTATTATCAAGGTTGACATTTCGTATCGTAATGTACATTGTAATAATAAATTTATTAATATGTATCAACTGTAAGTATTTACGGAAGTCGATATAAACTAGAAACGAGAATCGTATGAAAAGTAAAAGTAAACGTCGGATGCTGGTTACATTGAACCCGTAGCGCTTTACCCGAGTTGATATTATTTAATAACTAAGATCATTAGTGATGCTTTAACGGATTTAATCATTTCGTATATTTCCCATGGTGAACGGTTAACTCTTTGTTCGATGATTCGAATAGTCAATCAATAGAATTGCTATAACATCATTAGCAATCGTGTATATGCTCCCCGAATTATACAACCCCATCGATTCGCAAAGGTACAGGCGGGTATTATATTTTCAAGTACTGTACATATTTTGCACAATGATGTATTAATTGTTTTCTCCTAAACCCTTCGTTTCCATTGTACTATCGATCCATCAATTTTAGTTCAGCGAGACGCTTTAATATTTTACCCTTTCATATTTTTTTTTAATAAATAATCATTAATCAATAAAAAACCGGTGACGTTGTTAATCGTTAATATTACGCCCGTAAACGGTAGTTACAAATTTTTTGAATACATAGAAATCGTAATATAAGAAAATGTTAAGAAAACTTCAAGTAAATAGAGATCTTGGTCTTGAATGAATTTCATGAGAAGTGTTTATGGTTTATTATTTATATAAAAATAAATGTATAAACCTAAGATACGAAAATATATATTTATTTATACATGTTTCGATGCATTTAATATGTTATATTCGTTCGCGTCAACTGGAAAAACAATTTTAAATAATAATCATCTGATCACCTGACACAATCATGACTTCTAATTTATAAACTATAGTTAAAAACATAGATTCCTTTTTTTTTTTATTTGAACGTATCTTACGTAACTCGTTTGTAAGATATTGCCAGAACACTGGACGCTTCACGAATATTATATAAAAAAAGTTTCTAGATAATATTACTTTTTTATTTTCGTTCAACAATTCGCAAGGTCGTTTTACCTGCACAGAACTGCTAATTATAAAGTCATTGCGATATTCAACTTCAAGGGAAGCTTCCTAGTGTTTCGTTAGATAAGTTTCTCGCGCTTTAATAATCGTGTATACCTATATGTAGTTCTGGCTCCCGTTCCTTGTGCGTCGAAGCCATCACAGTATCAGACGGAGTCGACACATCATATCGTCCGTAACTGCTGTCCGGCGACATCACTGACAGTCATATGTTCAAAACTAAACAACTATTATACTAGGAGTCCTATAAGGTCACACAAACACAACACGTGAGACACATCTAGAGCCGGCTCACAACACGGAGCACGGTAGGTGCAGGCTCGGGTCACGGGATATAGGACGAATGCATCAAGTGAACGAATGCAGGTCGCGCTCGGCGGTGTCACTAGTCTCGTAAACAGCGTCACAACGCGCGCCGCGTGTGTCTGGCTCGAGCTCGACCGACGAACTGACTGTGGAGCGGAGCGCGAGCGGCGAGCGGCGGCCGGCGGTGTCGGCGACGCGCGAGGCGCTCCTTAAGAGTGAAAGTCTGCGAAATGATCGGCGCTCCGTGCGATACAATCAGTTGGAGCGAGCGCGACACGCGGCCGAGCGACACTCGCCCTTACGGACCGCAGTGTATGCGAGGCTCGGCGCGCTCCGAACTCCGGTCTCCGAGGTCATTGCCGCGTCGCCCGCGGACCAATCCGGAGCGCGCGCAGACGAGCGAGCGGCGCCATTGGAGGGACCGGAGCCCCGCGCCTCGCCACCCGCCGAGTTCGAAGACCCGAACCTTGCGGGCGCTCCGCGGCCAAGGTCGCGCGAGAGCGGGCGCGCCTGATGGCCGGGCCGGGCGTCCGAGCGGGACCGGCGCGGGCGGACGGTCGGGTCGGTTGCGTCACACTACTCAAATATTTTCGGTGATGGAACGCGAGTGAACTTGAACACGAATCAGAGCTAATGGATGGCGAGCGGCCTGCTGGGGTGACCTACACACCGCGCGGCCCGCTTGCCTCCTGGCCTAGCACGGACCGGCGCGGCCGACCGCTGACACTTCCGGGAACCTCTTCAAAACTTTCCGACCACCACCGAACATTCCATACAAAATATTTACGTTACCTTCACACTTCAGATAAACATTGATGTTTGAACTCTATCATTCAATACATTATTTAGGAAACGTATTAAGAAGAGCTGTAGATAGAATAACGTTACGTAATGTCATGTTTTGCATATCGGAGTTATCATGTTTAGGAAGTATCTATGACAGGCTCTACATATAACTTTAATCTTGTACACATACAACACACACACGCACACACATACACACGTACACACGCATGCATGTCATTGTGTTGTAACAAATAATAACTCATCAGCAATAGTCCCATTTCATTATCAAGAGGAAGCTCCAGTAAGAATACATACAACGAATTAATAAATAAAATGTATGAAGGTGCTAAATATCTAAATTAATATAGAACATATTGTATTAGCATGTTATTGATAAACAAGTTTCTATAACCATAGGTACATAAATGATTTCATTTTATATAACATCGTCGTCGATTCCCGGCATAGCAACTTCGACTTTATGACCACTAATTAAAGCACTCGTTTGCGTAAAGCTAAATTTATTTACGTAGATAAAGACGAGTGGCGGTGGGCGTCAGCTTGGGTGAACGACCTGGAAATTTTGGCGCAGGCCGGTCAAGGCCACCTCCCGCGCAGCCGCTCTGATACACTCAAAACGTGTTCAAAACGTAGCCATGACGTTCTAAATTCAAACGACAAATAAAATACAAACTTTTTGGTGTAACCTTATGACGAAAATAGATTCAACGATATGGACGGTTTGATTTGAACATTTTATTGTCTATTCATTTTGATTATTACAATAATTATTTAACATGACACCATTATACTACTACAAGTTAAAATAAATATTTTAAATTCATTCTATAGAAATAGAACAGTATTTAATATTTATTTAAAAAAGCATGAAAAATTAAATTATGAAGAACAACAATATTTAAAATTTATTTTACCTTAACGAAATTGGATGGTGTCTATATTAAGCAAAACTTATTATTTTGTTGGCATAATGACAAAAATATATTTATACCTACTCACAACCATTCATTTTTAAGTAATGATTTTGTTGCCAGATTTACGTTGATATTTCTATTTCGTTCATAATACTAAAGTTTGTTTTATGAAAAGTTTAACTATACTTTTAAAGGAAATTCGTATAACGCTATATATTTAGCCTAGATTTTTTATGTTATATTGCTCACGCAAACGATTCTCTTCTAAAGAGTGTGTCCGTTTTCGAAGACCATATTGAAGCTCAATTTAATTTGATTCAGTATTTATGCCATTAAAGTGGGAAAGAAGGGTATATTTTTAAATTCATATATACGTTATCAGATTATCAGACAGGCTTGTGACAGACGGACGAACAACGGGACAATTACAACAGAGATTTATCATACTTTGTATTGAAAGCTGCATATATACAATTAATAAGTCACAGAAACTCAGTAAAAAGGGTTGTTTAGCAGGCGACACATGATGCAAAGGTGCATTCAATATTTTATTTGTATATATATTTTTTTATAAGAATTATTTCGCTTCAATACTTTCCCTTGCAATTAACAAAAAGGTTTTGGTTTTTAAGGGTTTCGCAAATATCCTCCCACGTGTACGATTCATTGAAAGGAAGCTACATTTTTTATTGGTTACGAAAAAAATTCTAACCCTTTTTTTATGATTTGTGTATGTTCAGAAACGAAGAACTTATAAAAATTTTATACTAAGTTTTGTTGAATCTCAAAATTTTTTTCAACCATTTTAAATTGTAACGTATTTGTGAGTTTTTAAACGCGAATTCGCCATTTTAGGTTGCGAACAAGTTAGGTATGGCTGTATGACGTAATACCTTAACATATTATATAGGCTCCCAAAACAAACATTCTATAACAATGCCATATGTGCACTTCATATAAGTGCGTGAAAGTGAATTGGTGCCCAATTTTTTCCACTTCCTTCCGTTGCCCTCACTTTTTAATATCGGGACAAGAATATCAAATTACATGGTTTATACATTGTTACTGTTTGATATTATGACCATTATTTGTATAGTTATAAGGTTTAAATTGGTGTGTTATATTTTTTGTTATTGAAGTCAACCTGGTGTCAGTCGCTGGCCACATGTATTTGTTGCATTGTTCATATTCAGCCAAAGTACGTCGGGGTCGACTCGCTCTTAACGATTTCCATCGATCGGACGCACTTTTTTGTATTCGAAAAAAGCTAAGCCCGCATATTGTTTGCAATTATGGCATCCGATTTTTTTTATTTTAATCCGGATTAAAAAATTTAGGATGCTGCCGTACATGCGAAAAAAACAACTATTTACATTAATTTATTAAACAAAAGTATCGAATATCATGTATAGTTACATCATTGTTACAAACATTTACATTAATGAATCACAATGTCAAAACTTGTCTTTTAAATAACATTTGGAGGTTGTAAGGACGAGTTTCCAAATTTAAGGACCCAGTAACCTTCAAATGTTCTGGTCCAAGGACACTGGGACAATGGGGCGAGGGCCGGAGATTGTGGAACAACATCGGACGAATGGGTCGTAATGGACACTATTCAGATAATAAACTTTATATATATAACGTATAACACCAAACTTTGACTCCAATTATTAGCTTATAACACACACGATATTGTAAACAAAAAACAATTTAAACCAGAACAGATGAAACACTATATTATTCATTAGAACATAAACACAGCGTTTTATTTTAATTCACATGTATGTTACGGAGTCAAAAATGCATGAGACACAATAAATGTAATTGGACGCTATGAAAAATTCTACGAAGTCACGTGGGACTGGTGTACCGACGAGCTCGGTCAAGGCCTCGCTGAGACATTTATTTCCACTGCTGTATTTATTACGAATTATTACCCATAGTATAGTATAGCTACCGATTGTACCTACATATAATATAATCGTGTCAAATAAATACGTAGCTCATAATAATAGCTAATATACTTGGAGCATTTCTAAATTGTCTGAATAAGTGCGAATTCGAAATTCGAATCGTCAATACATTGTTAGTGCAGTATTCGGGAGCGCGACACCAGCCGAGCTCTGACGAGCTGCTCCGAAGCAGTTGGAGGTCAACTGGAGTCATTACCCCGCGGTGTTGCGATCGCGATGACACGGTACTCGCCATTTTTTTCATCACCACCAAATATATACTGGTAAAATATTGAAACGACAACATAATTTTTACATTATCCCGTTTGATTTACGTTTTATTTCAAACTATGTGTGTTGGGAAGCTTTTTGGGAGTAAATAAACTAGTATAATAATTACAGTGAGGGTGTACTGTTAAAATAGTTTTGGTGCGATGTATAATTGTTTGAGTTGAATGTTGCCGTGTGATCCGGACGCGGTGAATCGTACCGGCCTCGGTTTCGGCAACCCGTGCCAAGGCCAAGGTCGTCGGGTGCGCTCAATCATACCAGACAACGACTGGGGCCCCTGCGGCCTAACAACTCACATACATACATACATACTATATACATATACATACAGATGCATCATCAAATATTTACTATCCTACTAATATTATAATTGCGAAAGTTTGTGAGTGTGTGTATGTTTGTTACTTGTTCACGCTCAAACGGCTGAACCGATTTTGATTAAATTTTGTTTACAGGAAGCTGACGTCCAGGAATAACACATAGGCTACTTTACATCCCGGAAATCCCGAAAATCCGCGGGTAACACCGTGGGCCGCAGCTAGTAATATATAAATCATTTTATATTGACATTCTCTATCATTGATTTGAGATTTATACGTTTTTAATACATATATTTTCTATACTAATTGCAAAGAATTTATCTGTTATATGAGAGAATTTTATTTATTAAGATGGTTATTGCGATAATGTTTATATATTTCCTGGTTTATATATAGGAACATGTCAATGTCGAATAGCACCGAATTAACCGCAATGTCGTCTGCAAGGCGAGATCGCTACAAGGAAACGTAGACTGTAATAATGAGAAATAGTACTCACAATCGTTTATCAAATATAGTATTCGCAACTTTGTTACCGAAACACGTCTACATTATCTCGAATATCTCTGTAGTTTTATTACTGTAATGTCTTGGAGTTAATTATTATTGTTTATTCAAAATACTAGATAATTGAAATCGCAAGCAATCCCTTTCTCTCGTACAAGCGCTTTGTTAATATACTCACCTTGATATTTATACGAGACTTCCTGCTCTCAATAGAGGACAACTGTACTGATACACATCGCTGTGCTCAAAATATTATCAAAAGTAGCATATAACATTTAAAAAGTATCTCAGTGTATAATGTAATAATGAATTATTGTAGTTATTAGAGCGGCAAGCAGCTCGCGCATCGCTGCTGAACGCATTGAAGCCTCTGATGATGCGTTGTGTAATGCGCCGGCGCACAGCCAGTTACGTTGCATTACAAGCAACACGGACGAGAATGAGGAAGTTTGTGTATTCAATTCCTACTGTTACACTTACTTGGCCCCGTTTAATGTTGATAATTGTACGCTCTGATATACCTACATACTATTGCTTTACGCTTTTATTTTCTTTGAATCACATTTCATTTATTTTATGTGTGTTGAGATTAAGTTCGTGTTATTTATGGACGCTTTCTTACTTTTTTTTCTGTTTCTGGCAATGAATTCGAATGTTTTCTGAAAGTTCATCTCATTATACGGTTATGGCCTGGTTTCGGAGGGAACGACGCAAAACGTTTGTAAATACAACGTGATAGATACTACGAAATATAAACTCATTTGAAATTTTATATATACAAAATGTTTAAGTATTCAGTAAACATTGTCTACACATTATAATTTTAATGAAATGGGAGACGTTTACTTGTATTATTGAAACACAGATATGACACGTATCATCAAGAATTATCATTAAAAAGATCAAAATCTATGTGATATAACTATATAAGTCTCATATTCTAGAAATTTCTATAATAGTTTATCGTATGAAAGTGTTGGAGCTTCTAGGGAGCTTTACGGGCCCTCGCTGTGATATTGCGCAGCATTCGATCCTGAAAACGTGTCCGAGGAAAGTTCACGGTCGCGCGTTGACGCCACCTGACACCCCCCACCACCCACAACCCACTACCCACCACCACACGAGAACGCTTCCGCGAACTACCACCTCGCCTCTCCTCATAACTCCCTACATCTTACGATCAGATATTATTAAGCAGTTATAAACAATATATTCATGAAGTAACACAATGTATTTATGACGAAAATTCAAATTTTCAGCTATAGATTTACTTTTAATAATCGGTGATTTTTATAGAAAATTCCAGATAACTTTATGTTTAAATTCGATCATCATACGAAACGTCCAAATTCATACCGTCAATACTAATGACAGTGTCTCTGTATATACTGTATAAGACGTGTATGTATAATATGTGTGTAGTTATATTATAATCGTGGCCACCATGTCCTTGGCGCGTTCGTTGGCCGCGCGGCTCGTGTATTATCGCGATAATTTCGGCGTTAGCGCGCCTCAGTCTACTGACCCCGTGGTTGTTTGCGACGCAAATGATCCTTGACTTTATTTAAAACACTTATCCTACCTTCGATCGACATGTTTTACTTATGTGCCGTATATTATTTGAAGTTTAGTATCTAGCTTTTATTTTATTAATGTAATTCACTATTCACATGTATTACGTGTCTACTCTATACTCCATAGTTATAATATACGTTAATGTTTTAATTGAACTTTAAGTGCAGTTTCCTGAGCGGGTGAAAGTAATATGTGCTGCCTATAAGTCGACTTTCATTTCATCACCGACCGGTTTTGAAGCACTTTTTTTCTAAGTCACAGCCCCCGCGGTAACGTAATGAATAATGATCTTTCTCCAACAAAATTTACATAATTGTACCAAATAATTCCAAGCCATTTTAAGGTCATTGAGATTATTACAATTTAGTGTCGAACTTATAATTAAATACAGTTGCCTTCTATTGAGCCCCACAGTTCACAGAGCCCATCATAATTCATCTAATTTGCGTAGGTTTGGTTTAATGTTATTTTGTACCGATATTATAATCTCCGTGACGACTCCGGTAATCTGATCCTTAATATCGAGTTTGAAAGTATAAAATCACAAATTATACATAAACTACGAGATAAAAAAAAATAAATAACAATAAAGCAGTCGTTCAACTCAAAATAATTTATATAATTAACGACGGTCTGGGCTAACATACGGCAGAAAGTTTAATAAATATGGCGTCGGTTATGTTCAGATGTTTTCGATTTTTTGGCAATCGCTAATTATTTTTGCGTTGTATTGTACACGCTTCCTGGTAGCACAGCACAGCTGCCGAAAAACTGGAAAGCGAGATGTCGCTTTTTACGAATTTCTGTCTTTTATAATAAAGAGCTTGTAAAGAAAGCGGAAGTGACGTGTGTAGTGTAGTGCATGTGGCTGCGCGTGCCACGTCGAGGGCGTGGACGTCGACACATGCCGCTGTAGGTATTATTAATAGATTGGAGAAGTTATTTAACTATTGTGAGGTTATATAAGACTTGTCTATGGTGAGGGGGAGAGGTGTGCGGGGGGGGGAGGAGGAGGAGGAGGAGGAGGGGGGCTGCTGTAATAACTAGTGTCGGCGACCGCGAGGCGCGTGCACTCAACTCGGCAAGTACATGTAACGGTTCCCCTGCGACTGTACCACTTCGCCATTGCTTGATAAATATATTTAATTAATATTATCTATATGTACAACAAATATTTTATTTTCCTAACATTCATTGAATTCAGGGAAACGTTATACAGGACCCCCCAACCCCCATTGTAAGAGGAATCTGTTTTAGGATGCACGCATTGTAAGAAATGTGAGGGGAAATTATGGTAATGAATTCTAAGAGCCTTTTTAAAACAATAGCACAGAAAACTTTTGTTTTATATTCAAGACGGATTTTAAATGAATCTAACAATAATATTTTATTGCTATTTGTTTTTGACCAAATTATTATTCTAACACTATTGAGTATTGAGTCATATATTTTGTTTAATAACCATTAGGTGATTTTTTTTCTTAATGCTCTGTGACCCATATTATCGTCGGGCAGAGAACAGAGATTGAATTTATAGCATCTGCCAGGAGGACAATGCAAGTGAAGATTTTTTTAACCCTTAGCTGACTTCCTTTTGATTTCTATTTTTTCGTAAATCAGGTAATATAAAGATTTTTGGCGAATAAAAAAATGTAAGAAACGAACTACCCTTTCATGACAGCTCGGATTTCATAGAACAGGTAACAGAGTTTTTTTGTGAGACTATAGGTACTTTTGTGCGAGTTTCGCGATATTAAACTCTTCTGTGAAGTTAAAAAAAAAAAATTAATCGAAATCTCTTCGATGAAAAAAGTCGGGTCCAAAGTTTTTAGACATTAGTTTTTTTTTTTGTTTCCTTTTGTTGTATCGGCTCGTAACCGACATTCCCAGATAAGAGAAGCATTGTGTCGTCGCTAAACGATGTAGCTTCAAACCCTCGCTCTGATACCGATGTTAATGACAGAATATCAGCGGGATGTCTTCGAATATTTTCACAACATTGTATTATCATAGTTGACTTTAATATTATACGATGTGACATTAATTGAGAATTTTTATCAATGTTGAAAAATCGTATTAATAAATCACGTATTACTTTTTTTTCTGACAACTTTCATAAAGAGTACGTTTCAAGAAAATACTTCTCAGGGTCGAAATATGTAGAAAAAAATCTATAATTACTTTATTACTGAGTCCCCAACGGTTCTATTCTTTTGAGTCGTGGCTACATTCATTGTTAGGAGAATGTGTTTTTAAGTTTTGCGGTCCGTTCATTGTGGAAGTGTCAGCGTGTTCTCGGACCTCATTAAGAGCCATCAAAGTATGTAACTGAAGGCGTATCGAACACAATCGAGGGTGTGTTGTGGGCTTGTGGCCTGTGGGGATGTGTGGGACCGGACTTAACATTGTAAGTTGTAACTTATGTTATATGTATATCGCGTTAGCGGTTGACGACAATTGCGATGACGACTCGCACCGGGTATAGGGCCAGCGCCGTTAGCCGGGGTGACTGACACCACTGCAGCCGGTGCATTGTGCTCTAACGAGAACGCATTACGTGCAATCATAACTCGCCAACTGAACCTCACCGATACTGACCAGCCAGGATAGGCGAACACATCCACCCGACCACCGATATACGCTTACCTGTAACAAATCATTACATCATCAGTATTTACAGACAGACAACTCATCTTATATATTATACGTTCTAAATGTAACACATTCTTTAATTTTGAATCACTTTTGATTCGAATGAAAATAATTTGTTATTTAAATGTCGAGTCAGTAAGTCAGCCTCATGAATATTCAGTCAGTAGCTGAAGTCGTTTTAAGCTATCGGCTCATAATTTTATTTGCCGCACAGGAAATGTTGAGGGTCAACGTTCGAAATGGTGTCATTCACAGTCGAAGGTGGCTACTGAACCCGACCCGGCCGTCCTTGGAACTGCCACCAAAATCAGCGAATGTCGAATACGTCAAGCTTTACATTCATATAATAAACACATTTATACTGACCATAACATCTAAACTATTATTACAATTATATAATTCATATACATAGAGAAATAAATAGAATAATATATCGTAATACATATTTTATATATTTTTTTTAGTTTTGTATTTCTAATACATTAAATATTTATTACATGTATGTACAAGTAACACTGAAAATATGTGTGATGATATCGGGTAGATACCGGCATTTCTAAATCAAGCTAAGCTGTTGAAACAGTCAGGCGGTTGATAAAAAATTATAATATCGGGTGCGTGAGGCTCGAGCTCGGGCCAGTGACCGCTGCCGAATCTCAAGGTCTGCGAACAACTCGGTAAACAAGTGTCGACATTTGTAGCTGACACTATCTCAACGTACGCGCCATAAATATACTCATATAACTTTTTTTTTAAAAACTCAGTTATTATTTCCTACCAGCCAGTATTACCAAAAAAAAACAAGAAAACTTTTTTTTTTTAAATTAAAATCTCAGTTATTATTTCCTACCAGCCAGTATTACCCAAAAACAAAATTCCTATTGTTTAAACTATGTAGTGAATTGAAAATTAATTCCAGTCAAATGCAAACTATAATATTTGTAAATCAACCTCCAATTGCTTATGCATGAGGTCATGACAAAGTGACGTAAAAACTTTTTATTCTCTTTCAATTGAATATTAATTCCAAAGAAGTATATTACTATATATAAATACAAGTTGAAATATTTTGGCAGGTTATACAATTTTCTGTATCCAGTCCAAAGCTGAGTTTATTTTAGAAACTAATTGACAGTCAGAAATAGCTTTTGTATTATGTATTTGGGAATAATTTCGTAAACAAGTAAGGAGTACCGTCACAAATAACACACTAATGATATTATGTTTGAAAACTGTATTTTTACGACCATTTTTAAACAATACGCCATATTTTTTCCTCTTGCACCGTAGTTGTTGTTCTTTTGTGATCTTAACCAAAAGCGAACACGCGATATAATGAAATGGTCACTGGCACAATTTATTACTTTCTAATATTTTTTATAAAAATATTATTACTCTTATAATTTATATGATCTATAACAGTAGGATTTGGGTGAAATTAATTCACTTACTTCTTATCAAGTTCAATGACATTTTATCACTATAAATTGTATTATCACAATTTTATCTATCGCCAGGTTTAAAGCGAAGGTTGAAAAAAAATAAGCAGAATTAGGTATTTTTATCTTTTTTTTTTCAATTCTACGATCATTGATATCACGATGACAGTATGAAAAAAAGCAAGTAATAAAAATTCGGTTTCAGAACATATAATAAGTTGGTATACCGAGTCAGATTTCAGAACGTGTTTTCGTTTTTCCTCAAGTTGTCTTCCTTCTCGGAGTGACATCATAGAAGCGCGAAATCATGTGTTGTTAACCAGATTTTCTAGCGAGTGATCAACAGAACTCAGCCGAAGCAAGTCGATGCCCTGCTTGAACTTTACACTCGATAAACTTGATTATTGAAAGACGACCGCCTTTGTTACTAATCAAGGTGCGAATCACAAAACATATGTCTATCGTTAATTGGTATTTCCGGCCTCGTTCATTACATAAGAGCAATAATTTCTCTTTGAAACATTGAATTCCAACATACACTTGAGTAAGAAGAAAGTATTGAAAAAATAAAAATCTACTGATTTGTTTTTTTGAGGTTCATTTATACAATGATAAAAAAATGTCATCGGACGTAAACATATCGAGTTACAATCGACGAAAATAGAATAAGGCGCCAAAATGCAGTTTAATAATAATGAACCGATTCATTTCAAACGTGTTCCAATTTCAAAGTCGAACTATATTTATTATCTGTGTTATTTTTGTTTCGCGTTTTACAGTCCGTGGTGCGCGTCATCATGCGAGGCGCGTAATCGGCCGGGATTCGCACGATGGGCGTGCGAGCGATGCATCGCTGGAGTGCATCGTGCGAGCGGGACGGAGGAGTTCAATGGTATTTGATATAGTGCAGCGGAGTTCTTTAACCCCTTAGCCTACCTGCAGTTCCTGCGAATGAGGCAGCCGGGCCGTTGTCCCTCACTATACCACTATCGACCACGTCATTTTTTAGGTCAACGCCGACAGATGTAACGATTGCAATTATGACATAATTATGTTTATTATGTTATTTAGTTTTTTGTTATTCGTTTCATTTGAGATAATTCCTTCCCGGTTACGCTCTATTTAGCACGTGGGGTTGTTTTGGAAAACGTAAACGGTCTTCGAAGTCCGTGTAGAAAGCGAGCAACGTTTTTTTAGCTAACGCAACCCAAAAAAAAAGCATATATAATATAAAATTAGCTAATCCTTATCCATAGACGTGGGTGATGTAACCGGCTGTATATTCCAATCTAGTCACGTATCGGCTAAGTTGTCTATAATCTAGGATTTTAAAAATTCGCAGCAGGTGTATTGGTCTGAGGAGCGTGCGGGGTGCGTGGGACAGGAGGCTGGAGGGGGGGTGGGGGGGGGTCACTGGACTGGTTTCCGTTGTTTCGCAATAACACGGGTTCAATGACGCCTCCACACTTACAATTGCTGATGTGTCACGACGTACCTCTGCCCCTTCACTTCTAGCCGACCACTAATCCTAAAGCTATCTACGGCACATCGCGTCTCTATAATATTTATAACGAGAGACGTTCGTATTGCTACAACAGTTTCGTGTGTCAATGGAAACTTATTTTTATTCTTCCGCTGACCCACAAAGCCGATATCGAAGAAAGTAAACTAAACATCATAATTCACAACAACCAAACAATGTATTATTCATATCCAAAAATAAATAATAACAAATGTTACAATAACGTCCCGATTACATAAATCAATATCGCACTATCGGCTAGTATTTTAAATAAATACATTTCAAATTTCACTATGAAATTTAATTCATTTAAAATTTTATTCTGTCTTTAAATATATTAGTGATGGACTGCGTGAATTCATCCTGTTTCGATAGATCGATGATAAATTAAACTTTTTAGTAATTCATTAAAATGTCTTTCATGTTTTATTTATTGGAAAATTAATAGCGAATTGGAATCAGATCGAAGCTCACTGTCACTCTCATTGATGTGTTAGTTTTGATGTGGTTAATGGTAAGTGGTAGGTGGTAAGTATACGTGGCTATGGGATGGTAGCGCGATGACCTCTCGAGCGACGACCCATGGCTGTCCGTCACCATACATCGCTAAAGAACTATCATCTGTCTATACTATGACTAGTTGTACACTAAATACAACTCGTCACTATGCCTCTTTGTAATAAACTATAATAGTTATTTCATCTGTGAGATATACATTATTTATATTGAATATATTTTAAATCGATTTCGTATATTATCATCAGATCAATTAAATAACATCGATATCAGGATACAGAATAATAATTATCTAAATATAAGAATTCTCTAAATGACGTCGGAGCGTGCGAGTGTCGTAAGTTCCGTGGTCGATGACTCCGAACGTTCTAGTACATCTCTCCGGCGTTACGTAATACTGAGAAAGTTGACATGCATCGGCCCGGCCGGCGGGCTGGACACGTGTCACTATGCAACCCTGAATTCGAATACATTAACTATCAGGCGGGAAAAAAAAACATACATTGTAAAAAAAAAAAAAAAGAAAATACAATGTGCCAGTATGTATAAATTTGAAATAATAAAAAGGAGGTTCATTAACTTTTATATGTATATTTATTAAGCGCTCTCCAAATAATGTTACAATATCACTCGTTCAGAGCGTGGTCAACACGAAATGTCATTGTCACGTCATTATCAAAATGGAAGAGTTTTTTATATAACAGTGGGTCAATGTACCGAGACGATGTATTGTTCGGCTTATCGCGACCGCGCTATCGAACTGGCTATGTGTGTCATTGATAATGCACCCGCTACACTATACAGCGCTGCTTCTAAACAAAGGACTTACTAATTCCTATATAGTAGTGATTACTCCGCGATTTACTCTATAAAAACACTCATTTTAATAAACATCTCACAATGGAACGACTAGAAAGTGTTTTGATTATTTAAATAGACGTTTCTAGAATGAATTCGTAATAGTTTAAAGTAATAAGCAGTTTTCAAAAGCAGAGTTGACGCGCTGAGTAACTAGAAGTCAGTGTCCTGTGAATAGCGTAGTAAGTCGACTAAGTCATTAGATAAGATCTAACTATTGACATATACAAATCTATACAAAAACTATATTATTATATATGTATAATATATGTAACAGTTCTATTTGAGGATCGTATCCACTACCCAGATGTGTTAAAGTATCGTAGGCGTTCGTCACGGAAGGGCAATGCCCTTGCTAGTCGTACAACATAACGCATATTAATTGTTACCTACACTACACTGTACTTGAAGTACGTCAGTGGTATGATTTAATATTACTATTATAACATAGATAATATTATGTTAATTATCACACTACTGTGTAGGGTGAGCGACCCAGATCTTGTTTACAGTACACTAGTGTATTATAAAAATATCATCCAAGGACTTCTATTATAGTATTGAAATAATGATACGCATTTTTAAACTATATTCTGAAGCAATAAAAGCTATGTATGTATTATGATAATCATCGATTTTAAACTTTCTTACTCTCTGTATATTATAATTTTCGGTCAATAGTTATGTGTTGTTAAATAATATGTTAGAAAGTGTGTGACGTCAGATTTGATTTTGCATTCATCAGAGCTCATGAGAAGCATTACTTAGAATCGCACGACAATTTTACGTAGAGTTCATTCACCTCCACCCCGTCTCTAATATTACCCTAAACTAAGTTACCAAAAGTATTATTATTATATATAAATATACGTATATATACAAATATATTAATTAAAAACAAATATAAGTCCGTTAATTATTAATCTCATTTGTTATATATTTGTATATTACGAGCCGAGCGAGTGTCGCAGTTGTGTGACTGACATACATTTTAATTGAGTAAGGTTAGGGCTTGCACCCTCGCGTGAAATCATTTAAAAATATCGTAAAGCTAGTGACGTGGCATGTCATGTCTATTTATAATGAAATATCGATAGTTTTGTGTCGATAAAATGGAGAAAGTTAGATGCGTTATTGGCTTCAGTTACACTTGTTACTTGTTTGTATATACGAAGTAATATGAAACGTCGTTTCGAAATGTGTCTACCTGTAATATTTATGGCACTGTTAACCAAATCCTCATCAATTCACGGCGTGTCGTCAGATTCTATCGCCTAGCCCGCGCAGGACTGTTCTAGACCAGACCCGTACAGTAACATAACGGCACTAACCGTTTCCGCGTTCATGCATTCGCATTGTTATATCTTATTCATTTCTACTGTCCTAATAATTTCGAACAGCTATTTGTGATCAGATATCGCCGTGGCTATAACGTGGCTTAAACAATACGAGTCGCCATAGTCACTACGATTGAAATACGCCACAGTTGCTTCGATGTTAAACCGACGGCTTAGAGAACTCCTCGCTATATCTAAAGCATCAGATACCACGACGTAACTCCAATCTATTTATTGGCCATACGACCACCGAAGACTGAACCCGCTCGCATTAAACAATTAACGAGTAATTATAGCATTAATCATAATCAATGAGCCACACTGACTGTCAATAATTACACGAGTTATATAAAAATTGTGATAACAATTTATATTTACGCTCCAAGTGTTTCAATATTATGCAAATAAGATAATTAAACGTATCCCTTCTCCGCTGTACGTGTTTATGTGAGTGATGAATGAATGAGAGCCAACATCTATCATACTCTCCTCACTAGTAACTCCTGCCACCACCTCATGATGAGTTAGCTCCTAGTGTAGGGACACGTATGACGTTCGGAGAAAGGTTTAGGAATTTCACCTCATTACTACATACTATTGCGACGCTGTGGAATTAGCGAGCGACTATGAAAATGGAAAATGTGGGGTCGCGGGGTGTGGGTGTGCATCGTGGCGGGCGGGGGGGGGGGAGGGGGCACCGCGTGCACTGGCCTATATGCAGTGCGACGACACCCGCCCGGGAGCGATGCACTCCAAGTACCTAGGCCCGCTCGCTAGACGCACACTCAGTCACACACCTATTTTTTTCTATGCAGTTGTAGGACATGAGTTGTCACGCTTTACATTTTCTTGAAAGGAGCTTTCGAGCTGAAGGGGATTGGAACCGTCTTGTGTAATGTCTTCCTTTATGTGTAAGGATTTTCACTTAAACGAGCGTCGTGTTCGTATGTAGGACGAGGCGATAAGCTATGAGACCCGATGTTTAGACGGACGACCATTTGGATGATCACTTTTATATACTTATAATTGTTATATAGGAAATAATAAAGATCCTTGAATATTATTAATAAAATAATTTTAATTATATAACAAATTTGTTTTACATTCTTTATAATATTAACACAAAATAATGACTAATCAGTATAAAGACATTCTAAATAATAAAAAATATATATTCATACGTTAATGTATTCAGTTTTTTAATGCAAGTTACATTTCGTCGGCAGTAACGACATGTTTAATTGGTTCCTGTACATAACAATATATGAAGGATAACGCCGAAAGTGGGCCGGATGTCGGTGCACGATGCAATATGCATGGGTGCATGCGATGACCGTGCACAGGCGGCTATAGGTACAGAGTTCCGGACTCAATAACTTATCAACTCGTATAACGCGTAACGAAATCATTAATATCTTCCTCATATATAAATATTTCATATCTATATTTATATTAACTATAAAAAAAAGATAACTTTATACGTATTTAAATTTAGAATTCAATCTGTGAGATGACGGCTAATACTCGTTTTTTCTGCCTGCCATTACTTAGTGAAATATTATGGCATTATGTATCACGTCATGACTGTTATTTGTTTTTAATAATGTAACATAAATTATTAGTATATATTAATAGCCGTCTGAGTTATAAATTAAACACCAGTAATATGATAATTTAACTGGCCATTAAGATTAAGGTTAAGGTTGAACGACCTCGTGACTCAAAACGTATATTCTAGTATGAAAATGTAAATAGCCTTACCTGCCATTCTATCAGGTGGCAGCATGCCGTCGCGTTTGGATTCCATGTTCATTAATTGTTATGTTATGTTATGTCGACTTTGAGGTTAGAACTGGCGTCAGGCGCGCAACTCACAACAGTTTGGCGCGAAATCATCGCAGGACGCGTCGGAGGACGGCCGGCGCATGCGCGTGACGTCACACCCTACCACCCCGACCACTACTTTAATTTACAATTACCCTAAGCTTTCTTTTTAGTTTTTGTTAAAAAAATATTAAGTTTCTCTTAAAAAATGTTCGAATAACAAGATCCGTCTTTAATTTACTATATGTTCTTAACGCAATAGTCAAGTAACAATTAATAAGTATAGTGAATAAGAATATTCTTGATATATAAGCCTCAGTAGCTAACAGTTCGCGAATTCGTAGAATCAAGAAAATATAATAAGCAGAATTTTAGTGTACTTAATATTTATAAGTCAAAGTGAATTTAATTAAAATATAACAAAGGCACGTTCATTAGTTAACGTAATCATTGATAACTAGCACAAATTCGTTATTAGATAACCTATACGTGGTTGTATTGTGCTGTACTTCATAACGACGTAGTGTAGGCGTAGTAGGGGCTGGGGTCGGCCGAGTTCACGGCCATCGCCCGCCACCCCAATCCCCACAGCTGCCACCTTCCTCTATATATAGTATATAGTTCATGAAATTAAGTTAGTAAGCATAATCATCATTGAATATTGATTTTGTGAGACTTCGAAAATAGAAATGAGATATATTGGTTATTATTTCATGTTTCTATTGTGAAATGTTTTAGAAACTTTCCGCGGACCCATTGCGTCAGTTGATAATAAGTTTGGAAACGATAATTGCTAACGAAATTTATTATAATTTTATAAGTCACACAATATTTTATACATTGTTTGATTGTTTATTATTTACTTCTTTATTTATCTGGAAAATTGATAAAGACAAAATATCTGGAATCTTTATTTATACGATAAATATCATTATCAGTTCATGTCGTCATATAGATTTTAAATTATTTTTAGTGTTATATTTAATAAATAAAAGAGCAAATTATAATTTGAATATTTAATTTTTATTTCTATTTTGTGGAAATAAACTTCATAAAAAATTAGTTAATCAGCTCTCAAATATAACATTAAATAACAATATATAATTCTTTATAAATAACAAATACTACACAGCTGTTTTTTAATTTTTTGCTGATGTCCGCGCATTGTAGCGACATCTATATCATCTTATATAAACACCCTACTCGACACTAGATGGCGTTTATGTAAATCACTTTCAACATTTTTAATTGTAATTCTTATTCACACTTTAAGGATAGCTTTTTTATTAGATATATTATATTTGTAGCAATATTTATAAATTGTATTGATAATTAAAAAATATATGAATCATTAATGAAACAAAAAAAAAATATCTAAAGGTGGAATATTAGAAATATTATAACTGAAATAATCCTTTTTACCCATATACATATACATATCATGTTTATTACATAACAGTTAATTGTCAAAAATAATTTCGCCCGGAAACTGCGAGGGCAAGTCTGGCTGGGGTCATTGACCCCGCTCCCTAGCCTACTCTGAGAGTATTTGGAGCACGTAGATTCCCGCTCACCGTCAACACGGCCACATCTGGGTCACGCTGACTCAAGCGGACTTAATCATCAACTTCAGCTTAGAACGAGCGTGACAATTGCGGAGTCATATGTAATCTATGTCCTAAATGTTAGCCCTGGCTATAACCTATTCATACATTTACTATAAAACAAGTCAATAGCATCGCGAAATAAAAAAAACTGAATAAAATAAATCGTTTACAATTTTATTGGTTCTCATTATAAATTAAAAAGTAATTACATTAAATTCTGAATTTGACAATGTTAACTTTGGAATAAAGTCCATCATTACATTAATTAAAAGTAATAAATATTAAATACACATAAATTAAATGTAAATATTTTAATGATATATCATTTTGTTTAATGAATACTATATAATTATTAATTATTTATCAAGTGTTCTTCAAGCACGTGCTTCAATAGTGCTTTCGGTTACGTAAAAAGTTAAGTAATTTCCATTATAAATATATTATAATCATAATAAATTTATAAATCATATAAAAATCATTGAACTAAATACGAAATCATAATTTCTGGGTTGGTACGGTTGTTTACTCCGTCTAGTGGCGCGGAATTAGGTAATGTATCCAATTCGTTGCTTTCAAAATTGTTTGGGTTAGCGGGTTAAGAGGAAAAAATATGAGATGTTAATACATATATATATATGAAAAAAAAAATCGCCCACTATAGAACATTTAAGGTCACTGGCACACGAGTCGAGACGTAATCTACAAATAATTTCGTGGTTTCGAAGCGGACAATATTTTAGGATCACATCATGACGACCTCGTTAAAACGTTTATGACTTCATACTTTAACACCTCCTGTGTACCTATTAATATATATGACATTGTATTATATATATATTATAAACATTTATATTGATTCTATTGAACTTATATAAACTTAAATGAAGTGAATTAAATGAAGCATAAGTATAAAATAGCTTCGAATGTAATGTTGTATGTATGATCCTGTATTGTTAATAGGTTGCATTTCGCGATCTATGCAGTATAAGTGTTGCAAACCAATGGGTTTTTTCCGTTAGGATGGTGACGCTAGCGCAGGTTGTATCGGGGTCAGGGCGGCGGGGTCGTTGACCCGCGGACCGCGGCCCCTTCACTGACGACAGACCCTGCATCATGAGCCCTACATCATGAGCTAATAATACGACGACTTATATAAGTCATTTCTGTATTTCATAATTAAGTAATTCCCATATATTTAATTATTTTCGTTAATGTTTTCAAACATATTTAGTTTATTTCGTAATAAAAAATAATTAAGATTTTTAATAGTTTTCTCTATAATTCACGTTTATTTTTTTAATCTTTTCGACTTTTTATATCTGTACGTTTTCGCAAATAATATCGGAGCGTATATTGTAGAATAAAAAATATGCAGGTCAGCCTCTTGACCGGGTTACGCTAATAAAAGACACAATTGCTTACGACACGTTAATATGACGAATTTAATATTGCTGTTTTTTATACAAAATTTATATATAAATCAATATTAAATCGAAATAAATGAAATTCAACGATTATATTATAGATTTGTTAGAGTAATTTTCATTAGTAATACGTCAAAAATTCTTAATTACAAAGATTTTTTTTAATGTTAGATGTATATCATAGTAATTAACAATTGTTATACTCCGAGTATGTACGTGTAACTTTTCTTCACGACTTTCGCTGTGACGATGCCCGCTTTATTTCCCACATTACTCAAGTTCTGTACGCAACACAATTACATCGCCTCACTACGTCATAAACTACATATCATAGAAATTGCTTACAGAATCTTCTATAAAGACTATTATCATTGAAACTATATATGTATATAGCTTTTTCTATTAAAGTAAAGGTCATCGATCTTTTAATATTGTATTAATTAATACAATTATGCAAGTTATAAACGTTGTGACATTATAGGACGGATAAAGTGTGAGTTAAAACGGTTATTTGTGTTCGAGCGAGGCGGGGAGCGTGACCCAATTGTAGTCGGGTTGACGAACTGGAGGCCTTGATCGCATTCAGACGCACGCTACGCTCAGCGCGCCGCTCACTGACACGCTACCGCTTATGTTAGGAAAACTATATATTATATACATATATATGGAATATATTTTTAATTTTATTTATTATTATTTTAATATTTATATTTGAAAGTAAAATGCATTTTTTTATTTCTAATTTATAGTCAGTTTTTAAAGTTACGTAAGCTAGTGTTATTAATTTTGAATAACTAAATAAGTCTAGAATATTTGAGTGTATCCATCGGGCGGATTAGTATCTATGAGTGAGAGAGACAATGTTATTAAGCTGTTGGTTGTTGCGAAAGCAGTATTGTCGCTGTTAATGTGAACGGGCCTTAATACGTTAGAGAGGGACGGCGGTATGTACGAAGGTTCGTAGCGTGTTATTATTAGAGTATCGGCGCTAGGTTATTCCGAGGCGACCTAGATAGCGAGGGGCCGATGACCGCGGGCCCTCGGCGCGGCCTCCAAAATAAAATGGCATTCAGCGATGGGATCCACTTGCGAAACACACGCCGGCCATGATGTGGCTGTCGGCCTGGCGCACTCACTGGCGAATAATGCAATACATAGATTGACTAACACGAGCGGCCGATGCAAGGGGCTACGTACAACACTTGATAAAATGAATGTACCATAGACATGTATACTAACATTAAAGAGATACAAACTAATATTAGACTGAGTAACAAAGATAATATTTAAATTTATATATATGTACATGTTATATTTTTATTTATTTATTTATAGTTCATTACGTCATATAGCAATGAACGAATAAATGGACAATTCATACAGCACTCGTTCATCATCCACAGAGTCGCCTCTTGGGTGTCATAGTGTCGATGTGGTGTAATAAATTAACAAATCCTAAGATTGCATTAGCGGAGTCGTCTGTGAACACAAGTGTTGGTCGCGTCGTGATTAGCGAGCGACTTCGAATATAGCCGGGAAGGCCGAGGGCGATGAACTCCGCTTGACCCAGATCCGTCTACCGCCCCCCCCTCCCCCCGCCGCCCAGGCACCCGCACCCCGCTCACACCCGCTCACAACCGCGATACGTCTCTACGTTCGACTCGCAGGAAAGTGAAAAGTACACTTGTATTTTTTTTTGTTGCAATTTGTTTTCGAGCACAACAAGAAATCGAAATTCCGATCGTGGCAATTTTTTCACGACGCCCAACAATGCTGACACACAGAGCGTCTATAAACAAAACAGATGCCGCGAAATCGCCAGTGATGCATTTATCGATCGTTTGACGTAAATAAAAAAAAAACGATGACAGAGCATGTGAGATATTTTGGCGGGCGACAGTGACAGATGTCAACAATGGCGGGCGGGGAACAGCTGATGGTACTAACCTGCCAGTACTCTGCCGAGGAGGACTTCGGCGTCGCTGGATGTATGGAGGCCCTCGGGCTGCGGGAGGTGGCGGCGCTCAGTGACGGTCATGCTGGGAGGGAGTCGCGAGTGTCGCGGGAGACGCATGGGCCGCGAGAAGGGCGCGTGCGGTCGACGGCGGCGGCAGCGCGAATGGCGCGCTCGCTACGACACCGGCGCTGTAGGGGCGCGCGTAGACCCGCTACGAACCTCCCGCATCTACGATATACTACACACTACCGACTACCGACTTACCTTTACTAGCAGCCTCACTCACACTCACTGCTCCTACACCTCGTATATACGATATACTAAACATATTATAATACTCGAATTCTTCTAAAACCTATTCACTAAACGCAAACTATATTCCATTCAATAAATAATATATCTATAATTAAAAATTATTTTCATCACACTATCAATGAATACTCCTAAATATAATATAAAGAGCGTGTATTTTTTATCGGAAGCGTCCAGCTCAACCCACTGAACTGAAAACCTAAATCTAGAATTGGCGATTAGTTAGTGAGCGTCTTGTTTATAGGCCAAGGCGACTAATTTACCGCCGAGACCGCGATGTTGTCGTAAACTCAACAGTTTTACGACCATCGATAATTCCATAGAATGAGACATCCTTTGATGAGACGTCCAACAACATAAGGTTATTTTAAACTCATTGTTATAACTATTCGGTTAAAATTATAGCTGGTTAATGTTCTTCTGAAGGCTGGTTTATATAGCGACGCTCTAATATATGAGAATATTTGTAGCTTAGCCGAAGCTCGGTTGTAATTACGAGGTTTCTAGTAATAAATATGTAACCTTCACGGAGGTTAAATGTTAAATAAAATTAATTATTTGAATGGTGTATAACAATTACTTTTAAATATAATACTTATTTTAAGAAATAATCGCAAATGAATAGCGAATTGGAAATGATAACAAATTACTTTTATTTACTCATATAATGAAGTTAAATAATACGTACTGTATTATATAAGGTAAAAAAAACTTTTCGAGAAATACATATAAAATATACATATAAAATATGTTAAATAATTGTTTTAAGGGAATTTATGTATTTATTAAAATCTAACTAATACCGATTTATTAAAATTAGAGGTTGAATCTTACGATTCGCGATATTTAAATCTTTTCAAGAATGTTTTTAGAATTTAGTCAAGTAAATAAAATGGTAGGTATACCTACTATTATTGGTATTGAAAGAAAATAATTATTTTCTGTTCAGTTTCTATAACCACGGTATAAAAATAGAAGTTTGAGTTATGATTTAAATTACAGAAATTCAGATCGACAAAAACACAAACAATACAGCCGATGTCGGTTAAAAAATACGTCAGACGTCACGTCTTTGCCTGTTTGTGACGTAATAAAAAAAAAAACAAACTGACTTAAATATAAATATTATTGTTGAAGTATCGTTCAGTGATGTGTCAAATTTGGTGCATTATGAATGTCGTAACATAAAAGTTGTTATAGTATGATTGTAAATGGTTGCTATCAGGTCATAGTTCGGGTTAAGCTCGAGCCGGGCAGCATCAGGTCACGCTGACGTCATCCGGGGTCATTCACCTATCACCCCGACACCCCCCGCACCCCTCACCCCTCACCCTCGTTCCATATTCATACTGCAATGATGCTTCACCTACATCGTTTCGGAATTACTTTGAAATGCAAAATACATGTATCTTTATATAGGTACATATATGATATTTTTTCGGCTTAATTTTCTTCCAGAATATTATTCGACTAAACAAAAGATCTTTAGTATGTAGCATTTTTCGTAGCAAAATGAAAATATTTTTTAATTTAAAAAGATTTTATCCTGTTTATGTTTTACTTTCAAAAAATCGAACACCGCTTGCGTATTATCCGATATTATTAGCATTAACAAAATTGAACTTACATTTTTAACGTCACGTGTATGTAACAAATTCTTGCAAAGTCTTGCATATTAATAGCTTTCTATCTTAATAATAATCGTATAATAACGCATTAACGAAAACATCAACACTCGATGACTTAAACAACATAAGCAATCTTATCTAGCGACTATCAATTAAGTGTTCGAGCGAGGTTTTCGACCTCAGTGGAAAGTGGACCATAATGGAACAGCACTTTCGTTTTCACAACTCTCACTGGCTGCTCATTGAAAGTGTAATACTTTTGGGGCTGCGTGCGCGCACCGTGTCACACTTTCCTCTGATAGCAGCGCTTGTGAATTGCATTTCGCTTTCTAATTGCAAATTGCATTATAATGCATTAATATAACCATTATGATGTTATAGAATGAATTGGCTTAATGTTTACGCTCATATTAACGTAACTTTAATCAGTTTCACAGGAATGTTATAAAATTTTCTCTGTACTTATTCTATTATTGTTAGAATGTTCAGAACATATAAATATTTGATAACGAATGTTGTTTTGTTTTGTTGTTCGTCAAAAACAAAGATTATTTCAAATTAAATCAATACAAATTTTTATTTTATTTTCTAAGTTACATACCTACTATCAAAACAAAAAAAAAATTTAGCTTTTTTGAAGTTGAACTGAATTAAAATTCGTTTAATACATTAAGAAGAATAAAAATAATTATTTTTTAAACCTGAAACTGATTTCAATATTAAAATTCATACAAAAAGTAAAATAATAAAACATAAAGATAATAAAAATATATAAATATAATATATAATTTTAATTAATTTCGTCATAACTATAATTAAGATAACCGCGTCGTTAGTCACTTTTTAGGGAAACGGAAAAACAACTAATGAGGTCAATGACACGATACACTTATAAAGTGATTAGTACTATGTGGCACGGATCAATATTGTTTTATCTGTGCTTAATTATAAGAAATTATTACCTAGAAATATGAAAACTCACACACTGAGAATTAAATACCGACCACTTGTATTAAATTAAATTAATATTTTGTATTTATAAACACAATATTAAGTTATAAGTTCGCCAACATATTATTTTGAAAGGCTATTATGATCGCCTGAACACATTAAGTTTCGTCGACCATTTTGTTTTTAATTAAAATCTCACTTTTAATCATCTGTCCGAATGTCATCACACTAAAAAGGATGGATATATTTTAATTAAAGATACCTTTTACTTTTATTTGGTTGGCACGAAAAAGATCAGGTCTTATTCTAGTTATCTTTAATGAAAAATTCTTTTGTCTCCATTGAGGTTTCTTGTAAACTTACGTACTTTACAAACTTTATATGTACTATTATAATCTGTATTTATATACATAAAAATTAGATATTTTAATTGAAGCGGCTTTTCAGTAGCAAGTTTCGAAAAGAAAAACTACGTAGGAACGTAGTTTTTCTTAACTTTGCTCAGTGTATGGGGATTGTTGACATTTTGTTCTGACACTACCAAATGCAAATAACATGTAGGAAATGAATTTAAAAACTAAACCAAATACATAAATAAATTATCGTAAACTGTTCGCTTTGTTTGTCATTCAGGGTCGTGCGGACTATTTACCGCGCTCGCCATAAAACTATTGACTATTGACGTCCGACAGGTTTTGATTTACGTAATTTATCGAACGTTCGAATATGTTATCTTTGGATTGTATTTATTTCATTGCTAGTATTAATAAAACAATACTACGGTTGACCTTTCGTACAGTAAAAGGTTAGGGACAGCCCTATATTAACGGTTCTGTTACTGATCTTTGACTTGTAGTATTAGAATGTAATTGAATTAATCTGACATTCACAGAACATTTTGTGTATAAATTTATCGAAATTATACGTACCATTCTAATAATAATTCGGTTTAAGCTCGAAATGATATTGGAATTACATACGGAGTGATCGTATTGAGATGTAATTTTAAATTTATTCATATATGTTGATCATTTTATTTATAAATAAAAAGTTTGAGCGCGTACTGAGCTTGTAGATCTGTATTTCGTATTGAGGTAAAGTATTTTATATAAATAATAATTAAGCAACCCCTCTAGAGCGATGGAGAGATAAAACTAACCGTGTTTGTCGGCTGGATGTAGGTTTTTAGTACATTATGTAGGTATGCTAAATGTTTGTAAGCGTTTAAGTGTGTCAGAATGTATCGAGGCCGGTGATTTTTGGATAATAACCCGTCTGATATAATCGTTAAGATTTTATATATTAATCAATTCAGTACATAATATGACTGAAAAAGGAAATATTTATCTGAATATATGGTACGAATTGTTGCATTAAAATATTAGAGAGTGACTGTATTTTATGACATAATTAAATGTTTTATGCGACGTCGACACAGTTTAATATTCACAAAATTTATGTTGACGAACACTCAAAAGAATATATGGGTCAACATTTAAATAATAAATATGCTCATACCGATTCATATAATGGCAATAACAATCAAAAATTATGCATGCGCTCTCTCAAAGCGCTCTACAATAACGTGTTACAGAAAGTCGATTAAGTTTTATTTGTAAAATTAAAAAGTATAATCCGGGCCCGAGGCGGGCAGCCTTGAAGTGTTGAATAAATTGGCAATATCCTGGAGCTGCGAGAAGTCAGATTGGCGAAACCTTGTGACGAGCAAAAGTCGGTCAACGAACTCCCAAGGCCGGCCGCCGCTTTCTTTGTTCGGACTGTTGCAACCAGCGGCACACTCGCGTACAACGAGCACCAGCCACCAAGCTCGCTTTTATCAAATGTTCACCCATCACAGCTGGTGAATAACATGATCCACCACACTCATACTAATAGAACATTCTAGAAACATGAACATTTATATTGTATTATCTAAGAACGAACGCTGAATAAATTGTATTAATTTTTCAACTTTGTTCGCACTCATGATATAATTTATTGACAATGGAAAAGTCTGTGTCCACACAGCTGTTTACTGATGCGGTTCAATAATTTTATTGAATATATGAAAGCTATTGACGTCACCTCGATCATGGATCGCGTAAAATTTTACATTAATTTTGTAGAAAACATTACAAAACAAGTTCACCTAGGGAGCCCTTAAGTCATACGCCAATAGAGCGAATCATAGCACATAACAAAACTTTTTAAAATACGTAAACCTTACATAACTTTCACTTATTACGTGTGTAAGTAGGTACGTACGTTATATTTACGTAAGATGCGTCTATTCAATCACTAGTTACCGTCTGCCGTTACGTAAACTGTTCCACAAATCGCATGCTATTATTATAGTATCGCTAAAAACGATACATGTCACCTACATACTTACATTCGACATCCTGAATCGTATTATGAGTATACATATATAATATAAATTATCTATTGACTTTATGATCAATAGTTCCACGTAAGAATCTATTGATATTAAATTCAATTAAATTCGGAATAATTCTATTATGTTGATTGTAATAAATTAATTTATTTCGTAAATTGAAGTGTCTCTATTTTATTTTCTTGCTTTCATCAAGAATTAAATGTCTTAATAAATGTTCGAATCACGGAATTCTGTAATAAACTTTATTTTATGTTTGCTAAAGTTCAAATTGTTGAACAATGGCCAAATGTGAGCGTTGTTAAATCATACCGGCACTTTGATTAGTGACGGAAAATTTGTTTCTTGCTTGTATATCTGAACTGTTGAACATCTTGGAACATATGTAGTGACGGAGACTAATTAATTATATTAAGTGACTAATTTAATCGGACCCTTTACGTGAAAGGTGGTAGTACTAAAGGACGAGTAGGAAATTCGTTTTTAAGTGTATGACGTCACGTCATTGAACAACAAAGGCCATCATGCGTTTACGTATTTGTAGCTGGAGCAGTGTTTCGCAGTTATCGTAATAGCCCCCATGGCCAAGTTGCAAAAACAGGCGCGTGCACAGGTAAGTTGGCGAGGCGCTTAGCCGCCATTGGAGGAGCGGGTGGCTGAGGGGCGAGGGGAGAGGGGCCACTTTCACCTGGCGAGGCTGCGCGGGCGTCGACCCCGCGTGTCCTACTCCGCTGACCTACTATGAAATAAACGAAACACTATACTTTCGTTTTTAAGATCGTCATTAGGTACGAGGATGCGTCTTACGTGGAATAGAGGGGAGGTTGCACCATTCTCGAGTTATGCTCTCACCAGGTAGGTGGTGGTGGTGGGGACGCGGAGAGAGTTGTGGTTACGGCCCGTGGTTGCGCAACACTTGTTATTGGCGAGAGTGAAAGTGGTGGCCGCTGTCTCCATACTAATGAACGCGAATCGGGTGCGTTGCTCTATCACCACCGGAATTCACAACACTGGGTTAAAGTGTCACAAGACAACTTTCTGACTGATGTTACGCAATCACTTTCGTTCCTCCGTGAGACAGAACTTTAAACTCATCGCCGCAAACTGACGACATGTTGTGTGTTACTTGATTGTATATAAACATGGTTTAATACACATAGAGATTCGTAGTCGTTAACTTAAATAATCCTATAGGCTTACGCATAACTTTATAAAAGTATAGAATAATTTATATGTATAATTAAATATGATTATAATATAATAATTGTGATCTGTAAATGATTGTTAATCTGTATAGTGGAGGTCATAGCGGTATGTTAGGTGTATCTGTAAGGGAGCTACATTGTGCAAGGTTTCAAATTCCGCGCCAACTTGGATCTGTGATTTCCGCTGGCATTCGGTCTCACTCGGCGTTCAGTCTACTACGGCCTCGAGGCTCGGGGCAACGAACGCGCACTAGGCCGATTGTATTACAAAGTCCGATTTGGCCAGCCGCTCCCTGCCTCTGCTTTGAGATCCTAGACTTACCTCTTACTGCACGCTACCTAAGGCTACCTGTGGCTCATTATATCAAGGTGAAATAAGCCCATTACAAATAGCACAGCCAGCGCGCGTTCCGATTAATATATTTATTATATGATTTTAGGATTTTATATAACAAACTCTTAGATGATGTTTAACTGTTCAAGTAAAAGATTGAGCTTTCAATATCGTTTACATTGAGACTATGTGATAACAGATAACGTTGTAAATTCTCTATATAGTAAATCTATTAATAGTAATTAACATTTTTAACATTAAATATTTGTCTTTAAGTAAAACTTTTCAAGAAACTTTTATATTTAAATCTAAGTTAAACAAAGGAACCGTTTCGTGATAAGCGTCTCTTTAAAATTAATTGTTTCTTATTTATTACACATTTTATTTCTTTTTGGATTATAATTATTTATTATTTATATATCATAAATATATATAGTCAAAGCGTATGCGTATAGTTAACGATTCTATCCTAATAATGAAATCGAAAAAATATCTTTAGGACATATATCTTTTTAAAGTATGTAAAACTTCTTGCACGGGAGTCATTATTAAAAAAATAAATAAATAAAAAAAAGGCAATAAAAACAGCGATAATGACACAATAAATAATCAGCGGGTAGTAAAATTCGCCAACATTTGAATGCGATTCGCGCGCGGCTCACGTTCGAGAGATAAGTCAGTCATGGTCGCGCGGTGCTGACGGCCGGCCATGCACCCGGCGAGTTGCGACACCCCCCCCACACCCCGCGACACCAACAACCTTAGATCAAACCAGATATACACCATGGGGAAAACTATGATCACGAGCGACGACGTGCACTCTAACTAGTATAACAACCAGATAAAAAGTACCGTACGAGGAAAATTATGATACATTTTTAATAAACGCATCCATACATTTAATGATTAACAATAGAATTTTACAGAAAAAACATCGTAACGATTGATTGTAATGAATTGGAGAGCACGTCATGGCTAGGTTTATTGTTTTCTGTATATAAAAATCATTATTTTATTATAATTAAACAATCAACAATACTTACGATAGTAACATAAAGGGAATTGAAAAATATTCAAAGTGGAAACATTCTAGAATATAATGGAATATTGTATTGGCTATTTGGATTGGGTGACCGAGTGTGGGTGCATGGGTGCATGGGTGCACGGGTGTTAATGACGGGTGCATGCCTGCCGGGAGCGACCTAGATGCAGGTCATCGACCGCTGTATATTTAGCCCGCTCCCAGATCAAGATGCACCAACATATTTCCACTGCATTCATTATAATTCACATAACACCATTCCAGTTTCTCCCAACCAACCAGCCAACCTCATTTCCTTTCACGTGTCTACCGATGTTCTTTACGCCACGTGAACCTATTTCTGTACGTCATCTGATTCATTTTAAAAGCTGCTGGTTAAACTTAATTTTCCTTCTCATACATTTGCGGTTACGGATTGATTTTAAAATGTATTTGTTATATTTTATTGTTTTAACATTAACATTTGTTATGCTTGTTTAATATGAATGTCTGTATGTTTAAGCTTTTTTTAATATATAACAATATGATAATATTTGTACAATTTTAAACTCAACTCGATTTAAACTCATCGAGGTCGTTATCTGATTTCTTAAGACAATTTTTAATTACGCTATAAAAATATATTTATTTTTAATTTTGTATATATAACTTATTAATTTCATACTCACTGGTACATTACCGTCGTTACTTCTTTGATTTCTTTGTGTATAAATATCTTACCTGAAACAATGAAAGATAAATTATTTAATGAAAAAGCTTCTATTATGTTTCCAAATCATAGTTCCCTAGTCGAAATTCAAATTCATATACAACTCTATTATTACCTCAATGTAAAATACTTTATGCTAGCTTACAGTCGGAGTCAGCGTATTTGCCTAATTGATCAAATATATGTAGTTCAATCTGCGGTCACCGTATGGTTTTGGACCGTGTGTCTATGTAGTTAGAGTTGTTTATCGCCTGTCGAGTGCTGGCGTTGGAGTCGTTACGTTGTCATCGTCCTAATTTTGCAGTGTCCTCGTTTTTGAGGTCAGCCTCTATCGGAGCAACGAACTCGTGCCCTTATCGCGGTGAGGGGGGAGGGGGGAGGGCGATACAATTGCTAAGCGTTTCTTAGCTAGTTAGCACTCAGTTTACAGTTACTATGATAGATAGCCCTTTGAAAAACAACTTATAATGATACAGTAAATAAAAATGTACGTCAGATTAATTGTCAATACTAACAAACAATTTGTATATAGAAAATATAAATTATATAAACATAATCTCGTTAAAATAGTTCGTAGAGAAATGAATTAAAGCATGATAAGTATGAATTTTGAAAAACAAAATGTATGAAGCTATAAATGACAATGGGACGGTATCTGTTGATAAGTATGAAGCTTATGGCAGCGAGTGTATGATCGTAAACGCACGGCTCGTAGGTAGCGGCTAGGGTCGACGTACGCCAACCGGGGCAGCCTTGCTCTGTCCTCCGCGCCCTATTTCTGTCGCCACAGAGCGTTCCCTCTGCCCCCCCCCCCCCTCCGCCCCGCAGCCTCGACGCACCCCCTCACACACCATCACCACCGAAGAACGCAACCCTCCACTTTAGAAATTACCCCCCGACACTCGAAAATATGAAGCTTAAATATTTTATGTCATTAGTTAAAACAATTTTCGTTTTTTTTTATATTAAAATTATAATTATTTTCCGTTAAAATAATATAAATATAATCTCGTTATCAAAGTTTCATGTAAAACTTTCAAAACTATCAATGCTACAAGTACGTTCTGTTTTGTAAGTGACATTTTATTTGTTCCAAGGCAACAATAGAAGGTGTTACTGTATGTAGTGAGGCGAGTGTTTGCTGGGGCCTGGCTCTGAGATGTTTGCAATGCTGGTAATGTTTCTTATATTCGAGATGAGGCTTTGAGGTTATTGAAATCGGACGCTATCTGCTTTGTATCTTGGAAGGAAGGTCAACAAACAACACACAGTCAACACCTTGAAGGTGCCAACGTGGGCGTCAATATTCACAGTCTATCCGCGTTCAAACATTTAATAGATTATTATAATATATAATACAAGATTAAAGAAACCGATTGAATGAAAAAAACGTTGTAAGAAGAAGTATTTATATGATTGTGTCACAGTGATCCTTATTATAATCGGATGGCATGAATGCATGACATGACTACACATAACGTAGCGTGCACACGTACACACGTAACGTATATAGTAAGTGACGCGCCTGTGTGAGTGTGACGTATACTGACTGGTATGACGACGGTTGCGTCAACTTTTACTCGCACTTTCTCGCTATGCGGTTGCGCAACCGACGCGCTAACAATACTGGTTCAGTGGACTCATCGCACTCGCGTTTCCCTTTTATATGTACGTTAAACACGTATCGATACAAATATTATAAGTATAATGTAATATTAAGCTAATATATGAAAAGAAAACAATGATTTTGACTTGACTCCAAACGAAACAACTGTCGAGTGTACAGCGGAGACAAAGAACCTTCTCGCATTCAAGTGAATAATGGTCTTAACAAACAGGTCAATCGGACGTTAGGAGATGAGATGGGTTAAATATTTAATACGTACTACGAGATCTAGAGATTACAAATTCTAGTAATAGTAACATTTCAATGAAAGCTAGTGGTAGCTAACGGGCCGGCGAGGGGGCAGGCGGCCGCAGGTGGAGGGGCGCGGGGGGGAACACGAGGTACGTGCCCCAGTTTCGCTCGGGTGCATGAACTCAAATGAGGTAAGGCCACCGACCGAGGCGACCATTATTCAGAATTAAACCTTATCTCGAGCGCGTTAGATAACATTATGCCGTCCGCGGCCGACGGCCAGTGTATCGTCACACTGCATATTGATATCACACGGAGGAGTTGGGCGTGTGACGCCTGAATCCAGCTGCTATGCGACCTTCAAGATTATCGCCCTCCGGAGACTGAGCCGCTGTTGCTTCAGGATTGCACCACACACGCTCCTCAAACCCTCACACATTCTGACACCAATCAAAACAAACAGTCTCTAAAGCTATTATTTGATATTTACAGTAACTTAATGTTCTCCGTTCTCTTAAATATTGTTTACAGATAGCTTCTCACTCTTACAATAACAACTAAAGTGACACAGTTCATGAATAATTCTATTCTATCTGTATATGGGTCATCGTTGGATCAGTGAGGATGAGGTGGCCTTCCGCGGAGACGAGAAATTATGAAATTCACAGCGATCAAAACAAAGAAACGTCCCAGTTACTATCACATACAAGACTGATTGAAAGTTGAGATAATCCTTTGAATACAACACATTTACATTACAGACTCACATGCTTCGTTTTCTTTGATAAATATTAAACATTTTTAAAACAATCTAGTGAGTAAAATACACTTACAAATGATACATAAAATAATACAATAGTTATAGAAAAAAACTCCGAGTTATTTTAACAGAGGCTATTAATATACATAGATGTATAATTGCAAGTACTATGAAGTGTAAACAAACTGTAAATGTTACGATAAACTTCATCAAGTACGATCAGTTCGATTGTTAACAGCTACCTCATTATGTTATCGTCTCGGACAGATACTGGCTCTTGCCGACGGATTTGCATGGACGAGACAAAGATGAATCTGTATGAGAACGAATTACGTCAATATGAAAATAAAAAAAAAAACAACTTCAGTGGGTTACAGACTACAGTGTAATTATAACATATATATTGTTACAGTGAGTTGCATAGGTAGTGCATCGCGATTGTCAGTACTGTGTCACAGGAGGTTAGGCCCCCTCCTCCCTGCCCCCCTCCCCGCCCCAGCAGTCCCCCCGCTCGCCGTCGCCGGAGCAACAAACTCTGCAAGGTTGCATCGCGACTCTGCTATCGTTAGCTACAGTTACGATATCGCCCGCCCTTCTCCGACATACCGTTTTATTTTATTACTTTACTATCATATAGATATTCCGCTGAAGGTCTTTTAGATTATCTTACAGTTAACTAAAAAAAATTATAAGTACTTGCAACTTCTACATTTGCGAATGAAATTGGTGCATTTCATTAAAATATTGAAAAAAATAAACGACAACAAACAACACGTTATTGTAGATTTATGAAAAAATAGAAATGCGATTTGAAAATCGAAATAAAATAAAAATTAAATCGAGCCAGCAAATATTTTCGATTTATATTTGAAATATAATTCAAATATATACTAAGTTACAAAATGTTTTTCAGACTTAATGTGAAACAGGAAAATTTAATTTATAATAAATTCCATGACTAGCGCCATCTGTTAGCGAGTAGTTACGATTCAGGTTACTTCATTGTTTATTAATGCTATATCATGAAAACAATAATGATAACAAAAAGTACAATAGTTAAATCAACGCAATCCACGTCGAAGAACTTTGTTTATTGAACAGTATTAGGACAGTTCTAACTTTAAAAAGAGTTAACTACAATATTTTTACAATGTATAATAAATAATGATTCAAAAGATTTAAAATTGCTACAAGTTGTATTCAAACTCAATCTCAAACAATAAATATAGATGACGTAAGCGATGGTAAATATGTAATAAACAAACTGAGTCAAGACCGTCATTTTTCTGTAAAGGGAGCGACGACCGCTTACAGAGTGTTCGTGCGTCATCAAAACTTAAATTGAGGTGATTATCGAGTAAATCGCGCAACAATTAAAAATAAAGGGCGATATAATTCTTATTAAAATTAAGTTATACAATGTCATTCTGTACCTGAAAAGCAAGTAACATTTTTATACCACAGTGTATTATTAAAGAATAATAAACTAATCTGAATTTTACACTAGTTATCAAATAATAATGTATTCAATTATTTCAAATAACTTTGTATAAATCGAAATGTCTAGTATGTAAATATATAGTTGTAAATTTTATACATATAAATTTGCTACACTAGCTCCATCTAGAAGGAATAAGATGAAACAACAGGGACAAGGTTTATCGGACGCGCCATCTAGCGGAATTTTCCGAGACTAAAAGGCTTCGCTGGTAGATTGGGAGAAATTCGCGAAGAAGCCACTAGATTTCGCTTTTAAGAATAAATAAAAAACAAATATTTGAAATGTAATGTTTTCCAGTTATGTATTTTTTTTTCTTTTATTTTTCTTTATTTTGTAGTGAAAAAGAATTATGCACAATATATTGGAACCAATGTCAAAGATAAAATTAACATCACAAATCGTATAACGTTAATATTTTCATTTTCATCTGAAATAAAAGTTATACTTTTTGATTAAAACTTGTATCGTATACAATTTAATGTATGTATAATTATTATTCAACAGCTTAGTATTTTGATTATTTTTTACAGCTCGTTACATTTGAAACATTAAGACATACAAAAATAAAAGTACCAATATATATATTTCGAAAAACGTACACGAATGATATCTCCCCGGTGATGCTGTCAAAACTAACAGAGCTAAGAGTAACAGACAAGTCGAAAAAAAAACACGAATAAAACAAACGTCCGTTTAGGTACGATTTGAAGGGCAGGTAAATGTCCTAATGCACTTGAATTCGCTCTGATGAGTAACAACGCTATACGTCATAGAGTGTTATAATGGAAATCAAAAATAATTATGTATTAGGTATGTGCTGTAACCTCCAGCCGACTTTCTGACTATCGTCCGGAACAAATACACGACTGACCTACAAACAGTCGCGTACACAGAAACACTCATCCTCCGTCCCTGTCTAACATTCACGTGATCCGCAGGTGCGGAAGAGTCGGCGAGTATTGTTGCGATGACGCTCTCAATGTCAAGTTCACCTATTATTATTAGTTCTCAATGCCACAAAACATACATATAACGACGCAGAACTCGCAAATAAAACATTGTTTCTAATTTACTCTTTATATTTTTTATATATTTGTATTCTAAGATCTGGTTTACATTTCGTTTCGTTCATTACTGTGTATAATGGTTATGTTATGGTACACCTTGTTTCACGTTAACAGGCTATTGTTTGTGTTGCCATTTATATTATCAGTAGGTAATTTTGACAATGACCTTCTCCGTGAGCAATATAAAGTACCTGTTCAGTGATAAGATATGCGACCTGATAAGAGATTACACGTAATAAAGAATGCCCTGAATGTGTCTTTCAGCGTTTGCCCTCTCAAAGTGTTACTTAATAATGTATCTTTATATTTTATTAGTATGTATGTAAAAGACATATACTTCTTATAATTATGATAAATGAAATTATATGTTTGTGTACGTTTTAGTTGTTTATTGTCTTTATAATTTAAAATAGGAGATTATATTTTTCCGTTATGCTAAAATAGGCAAGCAATAGCTAGCAATACAAAAATTTTCTTTTCAACTAGTTTCAGGAAATTGTCATTAAGTATATATAAATAAATTATTGTACATTATTATACGTTTTACTGTTAATTTCAAATAAGGTAGGTACGTAATTTCTTTTATAGCTTGTTTTAAATAGTTGTATTATGATCGATGACGTTCATAAAAAATTCAACTCCGTCAGACCAATTTATCGCCTAATTTATGTACGTACTGATTTCTTTTTTGGATATAAAATATTAAAAATGTATGTGTGAAAATATTTTTTTCTTTTTTAATCTATTGTACAAGAATTACTTGCCTGAAATTTTATCATGCTTTTGTTTTCATTATACACATAATATTTATATATTTCCAACCGAATAATGACAAGCAGTTATTTTATGTATAATTTGTTTTTTTTTTTTTAATATTTCGTTATGATTTTTCCGATTTTATATCAAGTAAATGGCATGAAAAATTTATATATTTTCGTTTTTTTTAAATAACATTCTATGTATTTCGGATCGAATGACATTATCATCGTGATTTACAAATATTTATTGTAATATTTTATCTATGTAAATCAATCAACATCATCGTTTAGCCATAGTGAAAAAATATGTACCAAAAATTTTAAATATTCCGTACAAAAATGTAAACACAAATGTTATTTAATTATATTAATTCGATTTAATTAAGAAAAAATATGAGAATCGGTGAATTTACGTTATCTAGACTAAACAAACCAGACATAGTTTTACTTATAACACAGTAAATCGACTCATAGGGGCAGTAGAGGCAGTGTCAAAGTGCAGCGAGGGTGGGAGGTGTACGGAGGGCGAGGGAGGTGTGAGGGAGGGAGGGTGAGGGAGGAGGAGGGAGTCGGTACGCACTTCCTAGTGCAGTATTGATCGCGGCCGTGACTCACGCCGCCCTTGCCCGACATTCAACTCCCTGTACCACGATGCCCCCGCGTTATCAACACACATACACTATCTGACGGGAATATTAAAATACTTTATATATATATATATATATTAATTATGTACAATTGAAATAAATGAGAATAATAGGTGAGATTAGACGAGCAAAATGTTACGGTAAAAAAAGATTGCTATGAAGGGAAATTATTAATATAACAAAGTTTATCACTAACGCATAACAATGTAGGTATTAATCAATCTTTTTATATTATAAGTAATAATTTGCTTTCGTTTCATGTGAACTTGTCTGAATAATTTCGTTGTTTTGTTATTTTTTTTCTGATGTAAATTATTTTTCTCACGACGCACCTATCGTATCGTGGAAAAGCAAGTCGAGCGTTGAGGTCAAGGATCCGTCCATACCTAGCACATACTGAGAAAATAACTAAATGGCAGATCAAATATAATGAATTTTACCACCAAAATTATCGTTAATAACAACATATTATATAATATATCTTGTTGGAATCCATTTTATTAATAAGTATAACGTAATGGGTACGATAAATAAAATTAATATAGAAGTGTTCTTGTTTATTTTATTGCTACATTGGGAAATCTTAGGAATCCGCATTTTACCCCCGTGACCGAAGCACCCTACTAACAGTGATATTGTTATTACATTAGGGAAGAAAGCCAAGAGGGTGCCGACATCTTGGGTAAGGACGAGTTATAACGAAATTTTCCTTTCATATATAAATGGAATGAAATACAGAATAAACTAAATATGGTACGTATTAAATATATTGGGAAAGTATAGAAACTGATTTCAAGATATACCAAAACTATTTTAGGTTTACATTTAATTTTTTAAGTGATACCAATAAGTAACGTATAATTCAATTTACTTATAAATTGCAAATAAATGAGATCTTGTCTGCCCGTGATGACGGTTGCTGTAAAGTAACCGAAACGGCGGGAGTATGTAGTTTTTTTATCAAAAATAAAACATCCGAAAAATATTAGTTTCAATTAATTGCAAATAAATGCTTATATTATGGTTGCAATCATTAATTGCATCATTACATCATTACATGACGATGTCAGTATAATGACGTTATCACGTTATCCTCGGAAGTCGATGCACAGACTCGGGTACACTTTCCCGTTGCGCGAGGGTATGGATGGTGGATCGATGCCGCCCCACGTTCACGGTCATCGCCCTCCGCCCGCCCTACGCTTCCGCGTCGACCCCCCGGCACCCCCCGACACCCCCCGGCACCTCCAACACCCCCCCGCACCTCCGACCCGACCCCCTCACTCTAAATATACCTCCAACGACCCTTTAGACTGCTGTTATGAAACACAATTAGCTCGACTATTTCAAGCGCAATCGTTTCTTCGCTGAGACTAAATGTTTAACGTTTGAATGTAAATATGTTATGATGTTTCGTTAATAACTAATTAATATATTATTTTGAATAATACATGTTATATTCTAGCTGCGGACAAAAACTATTCCTATTTCATTGATATATTACATAGGAATACCTTATTACAAAGGCATGTTAGTGGTAAACGGCCCATTGTTCCTAGTTCATGGGATCTTTCTATTTATGTACTACGTATGGTTTATTGAGAAGGTAACAAGACGCCAGTTTAACTATACCTGCATCCGGTAGGAGCTGCACTCATTGATAGTTCTGAGAATAACGTTCATTATGAAATAAAACAATGTTAAACAGTTGTAATTAGTAGTACTAGATGTTATAAGAATAAAATAGATAATATTTTTAGTCAATTATGAAAATGCATAATCATTTGATTGACGAAGATGACTAATTAGAAAGACTACTAAAAACTTTATGATTATAATTTTTATTTATTCAAATCATTATTTTAATTGAATTTTATTTTAAAAGTTATCCAATGCAAGGCTACCGCTTATAGAAGAGGTGAAAGTTTTAATCGAAATTATAAATTTATTTATATGTAATTTAATTCAATGTATATATTAATACTATGAAGATCTGTTTCCGTGTTCTAAAGTTTTAGCTTTCTTATAGATAATGAATGTGAGTGAAGGTTTCAACTTGTTCTCATATCTTCATATTTCTTAGACAGCACCTCACCATACAGACGGTGAATACGACCGAGCGACTTGTTTTTTTTTTGTCCCACCGCCCTAAGGATCCCTACAGACAAGAGCTTTCATTCCTCATCTGAATGTAGCCGCTTTTATAAAGAAAATACAAAAATGCGTCTGATGCGACGAGACGAGGGCTCTCAGACGGTGCTATACACGTACATATACTTGCAGTGACTGCAGTTAAGGTTGGCTGAATCCCGGAAAACTACCAACCCAGTCTAGACGTGGGGGCACTTCCCGGCAACCTCTCCCCCAACCCCCGCATCCCTCTCCCCCAACACCCCCTCACCGAGCTCACGCTTTCACCAACTTGCAGACGTGAAAACAGAATGCATCGACGCTTTTAACTCATGTTGTGCGATAGAAACAAAAACCCCCGAATAATGAAAACCCAGTGCTGTAATTGCGATACATTTCCCCCGTTTGAACTTGAATAACAATAGAGCGGAATAGTGTTAGTTATTTAAAAAATACTACCTTATTTACAGACGCCCTCAGATAGATGGTTTATGTAATATTTTATATGTACATAAGTAATATAGTCGTAAATACGTCCTGCATTTGTAATATCCAAATTTCGTAACTTATTTTGAAAAAATAATTACGAAAATCGAACATGCTATTATAGATAATATCCTTTTATTTAGACTGAAAACTAATAAAACTCAATTTATACGATTCCGAGTATATAAAAACAATATCAGAATGGTGTGGAAACATCAGATTCTTGTTTCTCCTGCTTGGTACTCGGATGGCCATCGCCTTGAATTAGACTGTGCGATATGCATGATTGACTGTGCTGCAGTGGGTTAGTGAGAGTGAATTACAGGGTGGCAGCTGAGGGTGCATGGAAGGCGAGGGGGGCTCACAGACAGGGCGGCCGAGGGTGTGGGGCCAGACGGGAGACGGCCGACGCACCTCTCTTCCGCACGGCGTGTCGACATACATACACGCTGCACTACACCAGCCATGTGATTACACATCACAATGTCTTTTACGCCTACTACGTGCGACTACAAAGGGTAAAGGGTTTTTTCCGACGCAGCCTCTGAGACGCCTCGTTTAAACGCCTTTTCTTCCTTTGTGAGTAGTCCGTAATGAGAGACATGAATATTTTCTAACCTTCGTGCTTCTGCTTTTTTTTTTCAGGATATATTCCGTCTTTCATGGTCTCGCGTACAGGAACATTTGATATAAAAGTATATACGACATCTATTTAACTAATTTTAAACCAGAAATGTAATATTTATAAATAAACTAAAAGTTTCCCTGTATCAAAATGTATATATAAATACATATGTTAATCTAAGACGTTGGTATGGTAATGGTAATAGACTTAGAAACAGCGTCCCTGACCGCGCGGGCCTTGGTAGCGGCCGTCGACTCGGGCTCACTCCCTATTACGACTTTAGCTTCTCATTATACAGATACTGAGCTCCCCATCCCGCTTGCACACATATTGATAAATAAGGACGAAACACTGTGATTTCAATTCGCATACTAACTATCATGCTCCCTTATCCTTCTCACGCTATTGATAAAAAAGCTCACCGCATACGATACTGAAACGTCAGTGGAGTCGTTATGTTCCATTGACTTGTTTATTGAATAGAAAACACAGCCTCATCAAGGTGCCGTGGAACAGGAATGTAAATAATTCATACACTATATACTAGTTTAGCAGAGGAATTTTATTTTTATTCCTGTGGCGTGGCGTCCATGGTGGAACATTGTATGAAATATAAAAAATATATATTGAGTTCCAATGGAAAATATAACATTGTTTTTTTTTTACGTGTCTCGTACTAGAATTCGTTTTAAAATTTCGTCTATTTGCTGTCCTGTTGGTGTATTATTGTTGTATGAGATGAATCGTGTTTTAAAGTTAGGTGTAGGGTGTTCGGTGGCTGCTCAGTTCCAAGTTAAGTTAACTAAGTCATATTAGTTGCACGGAGGTCAACGTAACTCGGGTCGTCGTCCGGGCGGGTCGAGATCTTTCTTACTCGTCATTTAGTATGCGAACTCTAACATCAAAAACTGCTATCCCATCAGATAATCAGAATCAATATAACTTTGTATTCAGACGGATTTACATATGTTTTCGAAACGAACACTAAAAAACACAATTTACTGTTGGATTTATAGCTTAAATTCTGTTTCTCTTTTGATTTAATCGGTAAAGGTTATTAAGAATTACTACAAAAGTTTGGTATTATTAAGTTTATTATTGTTATTTTATATGTCATCTTTTAATCTTAATACATTAATATACAATAACTGTGACTTAGAATATGTAAGTCGTGACCGCGGTCAATGCTGTGTGGATTTGCATTTTAGGTACACGCATCTCTCAAGTGTTTAAGCTTTATATTTTTATGCATTTTAACGAAATTGACTTCATGAATCATTCTTTTAAGTGTACTCCAGTATTAGAATATGAAATTGGTTAAGGCATTTTCTGTCAATGCAGCTATGAGTCATTGCTATTTCGAGATACTTAGAAGGGATTCCCGCCACTATTGATCTGTGAACACGTCATGGGCTCTCCCAAGAGGGTGATGTGGGATGTACGCGAATTTTGCTAAAAGATATTTGATCAATGTAATATTAAGATATATTAAGAACATTTAAATGATATAGATAAAGGTGTTTTCATTGTCCTCACAATCAACGTACAATGTATTGGTGATGTTTTGCCACGATATTAATAATAGTAAATTCCAGCTAGTCACGTAGACGTCACGTAGAGGTTCTACGAGAGTTAAAGGCACTACCAGCTCGGGTCACTGGCCCGGCCACTGCACCCAGCTCGCTTAGATTCTAACATTGCAGTTTTTTTTCTATCACTACATTCCCAGCCCAGTCAACTGGGTTCATGCCACTTTTATACTTTTATAGCATGCTAACCAACCATATACGGTCCAATAGAATGTTTATATAACTCGTTTGTAGGTTACCTTATTAATTATAATAAGAATTATTAATGTTGAGACGATGGTACGTCGTATGTACGTCGGTCGTTAGTGGTGATAGAAATGTACCGAAAATAAATTTAATTATTGATGTTAGATTAAATACAACGTTAAAGCTAAATCGTTGTTAAAGTTTATTTGATTATAATTTTTTAAGACTTCGTTAGATTTCACTTATTGTGTTCGTCGTCAATGACAAGTTCCAATAGATTTATTTCTCTTCACTCCGATCTGTCTATACTTTGTAACTATAGTTGACATTATCAAAATACTTAAAAAAAATATTTCCCTTTAATGCAAACATAATATTCACACTTTAAAAATATATTTTTGATTAAACATCTTCATATCATGCATCCAAATCCGACGTAATTAATTTTATTAAACGTTCACTTATTATTGTCACCAATCGTTATAATATGAAAACAAAAGTTATTAGATTTCACTGACACATTTCCAATATGTATTCTCGGTCGTTAAATATAATAGAGTTATTTGAAATCTGTTCTCGGTGAGAGTACAAACATGATTCACTTTCGACGCGGGCGCATTAGATTCGCATCTAAAGTGCAATGCCCCGTTGAACTTCGTTCACTGGGCCGCACTCTATATACCTTATATACAATATTAATTGAATTTTCATTATTACCATTAATATTTGATATAAAATATATCGCTCTCAATATCAGTGAAATTTTCGGTATATATGGAAATAAAATATTTGTTTTAAATACAGACTTTCGTTTCTTTCAGTGGTCTAATATTCATACAACTGATATATTAAGGGTTGTTTATTACAATTTATTGTATAGAAATTCAATATAATATGTTTTATAAGTACATTTCTACGCTAGCTACATCGTTTGTTTTATAATCGATGGCTGTATTTTTTTCCCCATCTCACGTTACGACCAGGCGAGGCCAGTTGACGGCTATCTAAGCAAGTGCGCTCTGAAATAGTCAGGACGGGATATATTTCCCGGGCAGCTGCGTGCGTTCGTTGCCCTCGTAGGACGTTAGATGTGCAACGCTGCGCTAGCGCACTAAACTTGAACTACAATCGCTACGTGCATCACCTTCACTGCTTAGAAAGCAACAACGCATCCGACGCACACATAACCAGTAGACACTGCGTGCGTTCCTAATCAAGTAAAAGCGAAAGATTATTTTGCTTTCAAACCGATGTCATAATTACTACATCTCTACATCACATTACACATATAATAAAGATGATATGTCATTAAGCTTGGCTTTCCCACGTTGTAATACAATAGCTTTGTTATATTGATACGAATAAACTAAATATTATTGATGTGACAGTGTTATGATCTTAATCAAATTGAGTTTCGTGCATTGTTGCTTTGTGCTCATTTCGATGTGATCGGTTTTTAAAACATCCATTTATATTTGAAAGGTGTTCTACTCAAGAGTCAAGGTTGACTTTGCATTTTCGTTTTAAAAACCTATAGGTATAAGTTTTTCAGAAAATAGTTTCCAGAATGGAAAGTTCGTCCCGATTAAGATTTAATTATGGAACTTATTACGTCACTCTTTTCTTGTATGGGTATGGCAACACTTAAAAAACGTTATTTATTTATTTATAAAATATGATTATTATTATAATATATACCAACATAGCTCCATCAATCTTGTATTTATCATAATTGATAGATAACGATATATCCTGTGGTTAAAATTCATTCGTCTGCTCAGAGCAACAAATGTGCATGTCCATATCTTTACATTTATGTTAGCCTAGTACTCGGTTGCACCGAAGTGCATTATGAGAAAAACGGCTTCACACTTTACAACTAAAATTACGTAAATTCATTTTTCAAAATTAGTTTTATGAACAAATTGTTTGTTTTTTCTTTTTGGAATTTACCTAACAATTTAGTTAGCTTTTTGAAAATATGGTTGGTTGAAATGAGTTTTTTTTTCAAACGCGACAAAGGTTCTTAAGTAACTTTTTCCTTAACTTAAAAAACATTTTTAAAGTTACAAACTGAAATGAAATGTGGGTTGACCGTGTATTTAATAAATAAATAATGAAAACATTTGTTAATATCGCTATATGTTACCAGGAGAGCCGAAGTGAGGAGGAGATAAACGCGCCAAGAATATGTGGAGGTGCATTTGTATGCAGTTGAGTGTGAATTGCGTGCGGGTGTAAAAGGGAGAGCTATATATTATGCACGTGTTCTTTAGTTGTGACGTCGCTGTTCGCAGTGCATCTGTATTTATAGTTGCCCATTTTCAATTCGATGCATACTTTGTTCTGTCATTTTATATAAAATGTATAAAAATCTTCGATTATATCACGGTATAAAAACAAAATTATTCACTAAAAGAAAATAAATCCTGAAGTTATAGTCAGTTATTCAAGTCATAATTTATTATAAGAGAACAAAACATTTTAACGTATGAAGTTAAAATAACTTTATAATTTGTTTTCTGATTTTAAACCGTCTGACATTAGACGTCTGTGCAATGACCCGAAGATAAGTATCGTACTGTGTGACGTAGCAGGGACGAGGGCGTCACTTGACGCTTGCCGCACTACCACCTCGCGCTTTCTATTGTCCTGGTAACGAAGGTTCGCTTAACAGACAACCCTTCATTTGCCCTGTAAAGGTTTTTTAATGACTTCGTCTAAAGGACAGTTACTGTTCACAAAATAAATGTAAATAACAATGCACTCCTCATACTTATATGCATAATGAAGCAATTTGTTTAACGTCGATGCATTTAGTACGTGACTTTATTTTTTTATCTTTGCGAAGGTCGGACAAGATCATTCACAAATTGCAGAGTTCATTCTCAATAAACATGTGAGGTATAATTAAATTATCTTTATGACTTCAAATAAATACGGTCCTGCGGATTATAAGTACAGATTTTAAATGATAAAAATAAATGCCTTTACCAGTAGTGCTACTATTTTCCAGTGGACTAATAGTTAAGTATTATTTAAAAAATATACAGCGGTTTTATTTTTCATACACAAGACCATACAATCAAAGAGATTTCTTCGTTTCAGTTCGAACAGAGAAGTCAACGTACGGACGCGTAAAAATAAATAGCGGTATCATTAAAGTACGAAATAACTACCAATAGAAGTATCGGAGCGAGTTATAAAGATCTTTAACGGTTACTAAATAAGGTTCATATGGGGTTTTAACTGAAAGTTTTCTATAATGATCTTGAAAAGTTATCGAATGTTCTAGTGTTCCGGGTGCATCCTGTATCGATCGACCGTGACCATGGCAACGCGCGCAGAGTGCGTGGGTCCGGACCGAGATCGACTACATCTTCCTACACGCCTGAAGCTGATACTACGATTATTGATTTTCTACGAATCCATCCATGGCTTGCAATTACAATTGTGAGCACAAAACATCTTGTTATTGAACTGATTTTGACGAAATTATTAATCTGTATTTATGTTCAGTTTTATAATCTGTTTCATTATAACATTCTATTTTCAAATTGCCATAAAGCAAGGCTCGGATTTAAGTGAATTGCATGCAGTTTGTGATGTAGGAGATTTCTTATCAATGACCTTCGGTGTAACAGCAACAGCAATCGCACGGATGCAAAGGAAAAACAGTATTTTATGTTACAATCGAATCCATTCAGTCGCTAGATTAATATACTTTTGTAATTTGTTATATGAAGCAAAACGAATATTAACATAAGTGACAATAACGTCTTCAATTATTTTTATTACAAAAAAAAAACAAATTATGTAGTTATATTTTACGTTCAGAAACTTAAATTATTTTTTTATTTCATATAATGGTCACTACCTTGTATATAACTCTACATATTTTCTAAAGTCAATCAATTGTTAAGATCCTAACAATAAGATAATTAAATCGTTTTTTTCTGTTCCCTTCATCAATGTTATAAGTTCTCCCGGGCTTTTGCAACTTATTTTATGAGTTAGGGAACATTGTATTTTGTTTTATCACCGAACATTTCTTTTACGTCTACGTTATTGAAATATCATGAAATAAATAAAATGTATTGAATGAAATTTGAATTTATCCTATAAGTATGATTAATTGAAATATACCTAAATGAAAGTATTGTTTTTAAAAAAAGTTTATATAAGCAGGTTTCTTTTGTTTTTATACTCTGTGAATATTCTAGAACATTTTGACAGACACGTCATCGGCTAATCGTCACTAGTCGTGTATGTAGTCGGTTACAATTGTATCATGTCCTTGTACAGTGTCGGGTTAATTTCGCTTCCTATATACCATCGGAATATTCTATTTGGCTTTGAGTTACCTATTCGCATCAGTGACGGATGCGCCAATCTAAATATAAGACTTACAAACATACAACTTTTTAACAACCTCAAGGTCGTAGCTCGAAGTGATTTTTAAAGACTCAAATATTTAGTAATATCATATTGATTAATATTACCTGCTATACAATTTTTTTACTGAATTATATTACTCTTTTTATGTAATACGATTAAATTCTTAACAAAATTCTTAATAAACATTTCGAATACAATTAAAGACATCGAATACAACATAATGTCAATAATTTATTAATATTTTTTATACATAAAACCATTATCATGAACCCAAACGAATTTAATATTTATTTCATTTTCTTTATATATATAACGTTTTGTTTCAATGTCAATTATTATTTAAACAGCGGCCATGACCTGCGCTCGGTCAAATTAACGAGGGGTGGTTATCAAAGTGAAGGCCGAAATCGGAGGCGGGTTCGAGAATAACAGAATATAACATATAATATATTATAATAAATAATAATAAATTATATTTATTGTATCTATGTACAGTTAATGTAACCTTTGACAAGGTTGCGACGACACTTCCCTGTGTGTTCAATCATTTATAATATTATATGTTCTGTAAATATTTTATATACATATATAGTAAAACAAATATATTAATACTGTTCAATTGTATACATTATATTAATTTGTTATGAATCTATCATATTCTGTCCCTAAAACTTCCAAGGGTTAACGATTTCGAGACCGTTTCATATTAAGACCCTAATTCATTGAAATTTTGTTACTAGGCTCACAGTTGGGTTAATATTTCGTTATATTTAGTTGTAACTGTTTATTTAATTTCTTTTAAAAGGACGATAACAATTTGAAATTTTTATAACGATAACTTTTGATCCAGCACCCTAATATCTAGATAAGGGTGCATTCAGAGTCAAGTATTTATTTTTAAATTTTATTTCGAATCTTGTTGAACGCACCTATAATTACAGATAGATCTTACGATGTTGCCATATTACTATAATAGGGAAAAAATATTATATAATATATTTTTATATATTGCTTAAAATGAAATTCTAATTATTTCGCTATCTCAATAACATCAATTTTCGTAACGCTATTCACAGATTCATATCTATATATCACCAGGAAGTAATTTGCTCTCACAGAAGGTTACCATGATAACGCATTATGTACACGGTTTTTGCTATGTAAGTAAATTACAATAAACACTTCCTACTAAACGGCTAATAAACTTATCAAATACGCGTCTTTATTCGATAGCTGGTGACTGGTGTTTCGCATTAAAGTTTTTGATAAGAATAAAGAATGTTTAATTGTTTTTTATTTTATTTAATTAATATATTCGGGAGATCCATAATAATAGGGGTGCAGGAGCGTCACCTGCGCCCGCGCATCTGACATTGTCAGATAAGATAGCGGGTATTATTTTGTCAGTGGCGTTGGACCAATGTCACAGTGACCTTAATGGCACCGAATGACGCGCCGTCACCACGCGTTCGTCGCTCCAACCTTGCGATATTTATTTAATCTACCATTGGCGAAAATTATGTTTGCATAATCATTTTTCGTACGCGCCAATAACTATGGCATACAACATATAAACAAATGTTTTATACAGGTATTTTTTGTGTTTTCTATATATAATCGAACAGAAATAAAAGGTTCGTGTTTTTGTTTTTTGCGAAATTGATCTCCAATATTCAAAAAGGAGAATAAATAAAATATAAATACATATTAATGAATCATTAATAAATATTAATCTTCACTAGTTCTTTAGCAAAAAAAATTAAAAACAATTAATTAAATGTTCTTTTCGAGAATTTACCGATAAAATGGATAAAAAGTCATACACATCATAATCGTTTATTTTTAAATTGACAATGATTTATTTAAAACGTTAATCAAAATCAAATACATACATAAAACAGGTGAATTATATTTAAATAATTCTCTGTTCCTGATTGTCTGTTGGTTTTCCTTTTAGCTACAATTTATTCAATATGTTACGATGATATCAAGTCGTCTTTGCCCTTACTTATTGACTAGGTCATGTTTGGACTCCGCGTCGGTGACTCAATACTTTAAACAAATACTTAACTATTATGACAACAAATAATATTATATTAAAATAAATATTATAATATGTACTAGAAGACCTGGCGAACTTCGTATCGCCCTATAATCAAGAAATATCCATTACGTTTTTTTATTTATATTTTTTGGAGTTTACCTGTAAGCCCTAAATCTCCGTGTTTTGAAGTGCGACAGAATGATTGACATATTAGTTAGTTGTCAAATCTAATGTCAAAAAAAACGTTTGTATGGGAAATAGAAAAGCGTTGTTTTTAGGGTTTTCCCGGCAATTATTCCAATTTTTCTCACCTTTTAAACCTTCCCTGGACTTCCACAAGTATTTCAAGACTAAAATTAGCCAAATCGGTTCAGCCGTTCTCGAGTTTTAGCGAGACTAAGGAACAGCAATCCATTTTTATATATATAGAAGATAACATCTTTAGAATTGAATTTAATAGGATAGGCGTTTTATAGCTTTGTCTTTTTAAAAATAACGACGTTAAATCCAAGTATGTTATTTAACGTTACATTTGGACCCGCGAAATTGGCCCCTAACGTCCTTGACTTATTTGTATTGTGTGACTTAGTTATGATAAGACTTGTTCATGTATATGAATACTCGTTCTACAACAAATAAATTACGACGATTCTAAAAAAACGAATAGGAAAGTATATGCTACAGGTTATCGTAAAAATTTATTATTATTTACATATAAAATTCGGGACCCTTAATATTATTATCTATAATAATATCACCTTGAAATACAATATGACCTTGATGGTATCATTAAAAAATATCGGTCCGATAGTGACGTCACTATCAGTGATACCACAATAATAATAATGTTTTGTTTACATTCCTATATACATTTATCAATTGTATGTATTTAATACGTAATTATAATATAACCTTCACCACTCGTCATCACCCGGAAGATGTGTTATAGAAGTGTAACGATTTAACGTAACAGGAAGTACTGGTGATGGTCAAGGTGATGAGTGATGATGGGTTATCATGGCAATTTAACATATACGGTCGTGTACCAAACTATTTATATATATGAGTGTTAGAGATATATTTAGACGTATGTATTAATACATTTTTAATTGTATATTCTGATAATTTTGGACGCGTGTGAGTCTTTAGTTCATTAAGATAAATTTTTATATAGGTAAGTTTAAAAAAGCTTATAAAATTTTAGTATGAAAAATTTTATTGTATTTTTTGTATCAATTTTAATGTATTTTTTAACCGAAAGGGTATGTTTGAATATACCGCATTTTATAACTTTTAGAAGGATATCACAACCTCTTCGTTAGTTTCTAATATTAAACAATAATGATATTTAAAATTAACAAAGGTTATACAAAAAGTACAAATATATTTTGTCTAAGATAAAAAATAAAATCAAGAAAAACGCTGAAATTAGCGATTCCTTGGTGCAGGAGTCCGACACGCGCTTGACTAGTTTTTTATTATGAAGTAGTAGATTTTATAATTTACAAGATATAAAAAACATATTTAAATTTGAATAGTCGTGAGAAATGCTTAAGTTCGTTAAAATTATAATATTATTAAAATTAAAAGAAATCATAGAAGTATTTGGAAATGTTCAACTAACCTAAGTCTGGAATGGAGCTGGACGGTTCCTCGAAGGCTGGTGGTTTATGGAGACGAGGTGGTGGAGGAGGTGGTGGTGGTGGCCGCATGCACTGGATCACGGAGTGCGGAGGAGGAGGAGCCGGCACCAGGCACGGAGCACGGAACTCCTTCCCGGGAGGCGCGGGCAGCTCCAGACGTCTACCACCTATCATCTCCATCTCATAAACATGCTCCGAGTTCTCCCTCTTCGGCGACAGTTTATAGCACTGCATAGTTTTATATAGCAAATATTTCTTAATTTTTATACGATAGTCTACAACCGATAGTATCTAAATTCTAAACTGAGTTAACAAGTTTTATAATCCACGAACAAGTATCTAGTAATGTATGTACATGAATGTTTACAAGAGTTGTATCGCGCGTGTTGTAGCGGGCTGGCGCCGCTCCTGTCGCGGGAGTCGTTCGCTCAGCGCGGCTAACTTTCTCTCACTGGCATGGCGCGCTCGCGGACGGACGAAAGTGAATCTGCACTTCCCCCGCGCGCCCTGCCCTGCCCTGCCTCTGCACCGCCTGCCGCCTGCCGCCCGCCCAGCACACTGCCACGCTGCCTGCAACTACGACCTCAACTTTAACCTTATACTGTGACCTGTTAGGTGCAATGATCTTTAGCTACACCTCGCATTATATACGTCGTCCGTTTAACTAATAACTATTCCTCTCCCTTATTATCCATTAATGGTTAATGTCCAGTAACAATGAAGTAAATAATTTTTCCTTGTTATAAATTACCTTGAATTATATCGGACTTCAGCGTCGATAGTAACTCTGTGTAATTTGTTCTACGCACTCGCTAGTTCATTTAATATGTGCAAGTATAGTAAACAATTCTTCAACCTTCACACACATCGTAATTTCCGCGGTTACCGCTGCTCTGTATATATTGTAATCTTAAATTAAATACTCCTTACATAATTCGCTACGTACTAGTTATTTTATTTCTTCCCTTGAAAATTTTATACACAGGCATTTTAAATTTGATTCATAATATTGTGTTAAGTTTTTCAGTGCAATTACAATAGCAATTATTTTATAATGCTGGCAAATATTGATTTAATAAAGTTTTCAAAAAATGGAAATGTTGATTTAAAATAAAAATAATAAATCATTTTTATATGCAATAAAATATTTTTTACATAGTTAATAGACAAAAAAATATTATTTTTTATTCTATTTGATACTGGTTAAAAACATTAATTTTCAAATATTATGCATTTGTAACCGAATAAAAAAAATCATCAATAAAACATACATGATAATGAAATAAAAAACGTCATGTGTATAGTCTATCAGAAAAACTATGTGTGAAGGTACAAAGTCTTTTGAACAAAAATTTTAAAGCAAATCTACGAAACTTGTTACGTATAAGAAAATCTACTTTATTTGATACTAATTACGTGCAATAACTTAGAATATTACGGTTAATGTATTTCACGGAAAAACTCATCGGCACTCGATAAGTTCTGTAGAGTTTGGGCACGATTGCTGATAAAGAATGATTATCAACTCAGATAACATCGACAAAACTACATGATGTGCTTAAAACATTATACATATACGATCGCTTATATAAGATAGTACACGCATTTTTTATCTAAAACATTAAAATCTGTCCTATTAGCCAGAACTCACGATAAGTCGTAAACTATAAATAAATTTTCAATAGGAAGCAGTCCAAAAATTTTGAATTCTATTGCGAAATTTCTTATAAAAGGAAGCCTTTTGGTCAGGAAACCCGTCAAGAGTGTGACGAAATTCTCAGTATTGACATGGAAATAAACAATTGAGACGTGACCCTTTCTTTGAAGGTTTGATCCAAATTCTTGTTTAGCTTGTTAGGGGTGTGGGTAACTGTCGCGACGGGAGGTGCACCGCTGTCGGCGAGGGTCACTGCCACTAGCTGCTCAGCCAACGATATATACATATATATAATCGCATATTTTTAGACATAGAGATCATAATATTTAAATATATTCCCTATATATACATATACACATTAAATAGTCTTAATATATTATGTACGATATTATTTTATACCTAAAAAAATATTTTCTTTTGTTATATTTATATTATTATGACACGTGATTGTATTATTCAATAAATTCTATAATAATCTTAGGGCAAGGTCAATAGTAACTGCTGATTATAATCTTTTTTTTTCTGTGTTATTGTTTTAATTAAGTTTTTTCATGCATTTCAAGTGTATTACAAAAAATTACTTAGATTCTAGTTTCATATAATTTACTTATATTTATTGAACAAAATTATGTGTACATCAACCTATAGTTCAAGCTTTGCTTGTATATATTAATAATATTAAATAAGAAATGAAATTTTCTTAATATATATCGGAAATAATTAATAATAAGCAATAATTTTATCACGTAATGTCATACAAAGACAATGAATGTTACATTATAAGCTGTTTGATACGCATTGTACGCATTGCGTGATGCTGGTAGCTATAGGGTGGTAGTGTAGGGATAGCTATAGGGTGTTGTTGGCAGTGAAAGTTTGTCCCGGGAAGGGCACGAGGACAGTCGGTACAAGCGAGGGTGTCCCGGTGGGAGAGCGCATGCGCCATGCAGCCTTGCACTGGAACACGAGCCTTATTTACACCGCAATATTATAATAATAAACAATTTTTATATATATTTTATATATTGTAGGAAATTTTTAAGAAAAAAATTACATACATAGTCGTTTTCCAATTTTAAATTTTTGTTTTTTTTTTTAACAGAACAAACTATTCGTAACAATTATTCTATTTAGGGGAGCGGGGGGCCAGTTGTTACAGGGGTAAGAAGTTACACGCATTTTTTTCCGGGATTTTTAACTCTTTGGTAGACGTAAGTGGACTCATTTGTTTTCTTATAAGATCGTGCGTTGCAAAAAAACAATCAGGGACCCGCCAAGCGGCAAACTGTTAGGTTATGTGCATGTGTCTCCATTTCCATCAAGTTCGTAACAAAATCTTTTACGAAATTTTTGATTCCTGCTGTCTATATTTGTTATTCTCTAAATTCTTTTCACCTCGAATGTTCATAATGTATCGAGTTTTAATTTGTAATAGCGTTTTATTCTGCTATTGATATCCATTAATGGCGGCTTTAATTTTAATTATAAAACACACCATGGGGCAGGTTGTTACAGTTTTTCGGGGTAGGTTGTTACATGTCTTAGATCTTGTATTACCGTTCATCTCATTGACTATCATTTAGAAATTACTACGCTGTACTTAAAATTTAGAATAAATGGAAAGTGAAAAAATGAAATCATACAAATGAAATCATACAGGCGATCGAAACAGCAACCAATCTATTACCTGACACTGTTAACAATATTACTGTTTCACCTTCTCCAAATCCAGCTTGTTCGCAAGATATAGAATGTTTAACAACATTACCGAGTGCAGATTCGTCAAGTTTTAAAAATAAAATTGAATTAGAGATACCAGGTCCATATGGTATACAAAGTACATTTGAAAATTTGTCGCCTTCAAAGATAAGGTCCTTTCCCAAGGCAGAGGCTCGAAAACCATCCATCCATAACCGTCGTAAACGTAAGTCCGCTGTATTAACCGATAAACCAAAATAACCGAAATAAACGATATATAAGATTTAAGAAAGTTCCTGCCAAAGTTATGTGATTATTACCATTAAAAAGTTGGAAAATTACGATATAGATATTATAATTGCTCAGAAATGTTATAAGACTGATCAAAATAGTTTTTTTTATTAATAACGTTTTGAAATAATAAAAAATAAATGATTTATTATTGTTCATTTTGTTTATTTACCTACTGTAACATCGTGCCCCGAAGCTGTAACAACTTGCCCCAAGTCAGGGGTAAGTTGTTGCAATCGACTTATTTCATTAATTCTCTATTTTGGGAAAAATTACGTAAATTTTAATATTTTTCCAATTGTATTCTACTAGCTGAATAGATACACTAATGGTAAAAGTAATCAAATGTATACATTTTTTGATAGCTTTTGTGATATTAATAATTATCCAAAAATTGTAACAAAGTGCCCCCCGCTCCCCTATATATATGTCTTTTTTAATTTTTGTTAGAATCTTATTTGATTTTCAGTATTTAAGTATACCTACATTTTATGCAAAAAATGCATATTTTTTTTAGATTAACTATATTTAAATAGCTATCTCACTAATATCAGTAATTTAACGTTTACAATGATTGTTAATAAAATATTCACGAAAAAATAAAATTAGATACCTATTGAGACATTAATGAATATGTAAAGTACATTACATATATTTTTCAAATTTTCACTAAGTACATAAATCTTATCACACCGACGTAATTTTCGTGAATGTTATTAATAATTAATTTAATGTTATTATAAATTATTTATTAATTATATCCTGCAACGGTGTAAATGCATCCAGCCGTAGTCGAGACCTCAGACGATCGATATGCACCGGCTAGACATGTATTTCTTTCCCTGGATACAAGGATACCGACAAAGCTAACTGAATCATTCCATACAACCATGTTTTATTGAATACAGCGCGATTTATTTTCGTGTCAGTGCATTTTATAAAGGAATTATTTATGGCAATATCCTCTATATACAATAATAATTATATAATGGACATGTTTAATTCATTGAAAGAATATATAACAAATAATATGTTTATGTATGTATAGGTAATTTGTGTTTTTCCGTCAGCCTAATACATAAAAGTATTTGCATTAATTTCTTAACAAGGTCGTTATGACGTTTCAACGTAATTAAATATACTGTTTTATCGAACATTCGATAGTCGAAATTAAATTTCAGCCGAAAGAAAACAGTTATTTAGCGGAAGTTAAAATGATTGAAAAATCCCATTTTGAATCTTTGACAATTTGTTTAATGGAAAATGAGTGACTGGAAGTTATATTCATAATAATAAAAACAATCAAATGAAAAAATTTAAAGAATAAACTTTTTAAAATTATTTCGTTAATTCCATTCAATAATTATTTTGTTAATTTAATCATTAATATTTATCTTTATAAATATATTTTAATAAATTATAAGTAACATTTTATAATATACTTAGTTTATATCACGATCAAAATCTTACTCTATCAAATGTACATATTAATTAGAGACTTCTAAATAAAATATTGTTTTTATTGTCAACTACAATTTATAAAACCAAATACGAGTTAGACATTACACTAGAGATAACAAAAATCATATATTAATAGATTATGTTCATTATCATTTATCAAAACTGAATTTCTGTATATAGTCCTTTAGAGTTTCGACCCTACAAGCCTTAACTGCAACAGTGGAATGCCCTTGCAAGGGTATTTCAATGTCGGAGTTTAGGTGGCAGTCATCGCCCTCGCCTCCATAACCCATTCCAAAAACTTTAACCGTGCATCTAACTAAATAAATAAAACGGCCAACCCTGCTATTGTCAGGCCTTACATAAAAACATTTGTACATTATAATATTTGTTTACTCAAATTTCAACCATGAAGGTTTGCTATCTGTGATTATACTTTTTTCTTCCTTTACGTGGCGCCAAAAAATTTATATTCATTACCACTTAAAAACGTCACTTTGACAGTTTGAATATTAAAATTTAAATTTCGATTTTATTTCTGTTTCGTAATTGTGTTCTTTGTGAATATTTGCGTAACTTTATAGAGTTAATAATTAATTTGTTTTGATGTTCCGTTTAGTAAATCTTCTACAATGCGTTTATATACATCATACTAATTTCATATTAAAAAAATCATTAAAAATAAATAAATACAATTAAGTACTGAGAATTGAGGAACTGTGTCCTTCAAAAAAAAAACGAATAATAGGTATCATTCAAGTTCAAACATTGACATTTCAAACAATGTTTATACATCAATTATATTTTATTATAATTATTTGATTTAAACAGATGTAATGTTAAAATACGGTAAATAATTCTTTAGTTACAAGTGTATTATACCTAATTAACGAATATCAACAATTAAAATTAATTTAAATGCATCTTGTCAATAAAGATTTAACGATTGTCAATTTACTTACAATTAGAAGCCCGTTTGCGTTGAGGTTAAACTTTAGCAAACCGTGAGGAGGAGGGAGGAGGAGGGAGGTGGAGGGAACTCTGTCACTGACACAGCCCGAGGACACCACTTCAAGGTCAATATGCCTAAATACAGCTTTCAAATATAAAACGGGTAGGTAACTACGATCAGTTCATGTGTCAATGTCACTTAATATATGTCAGTGATCTCCGAATAGATTATGTAGAATTTCTCCTTAGAATTATCTTCTTAGTCCTATTAAGCTAAAAATAATTGTATTTTGTCTTCGATAATTCAATTAATTTAAGTGTTTTATATTTTTGTTACAGAATATTATATTTTATGTATTAAATAACATTAAATAATCTTTCCAAAATTAATGCTCATTGTTTATCGTTTTATTATCAATTTTATGAAAAGTAAAATATAAGTTAATGTTAATTGTTTTAATGAAGAAATTGCCGTCCTTTCTGACATTTGTCAAAACCAGCGTAAGTCCTTGCCAATGTCAAAAGCAGTTACCCCACTGACCTTGAAGAATTTAAAGTTAATTTTCATTTGTTTAGTACATACTTACTGCACTTGTCGCGTGAATAAGGTATGGTGTACATGTGAGCTGAATATTTAAACACACAGGTATTACAAGAAAACTGGCAGCTAAAAAAAAGATAACATATCTAAGGAGGTTTTAAAGTTACTGGGTTTATTTTGATATTTTTTATAGTTCATATTTGGCTGAATATAAAAAAAAAGTATAAATAATTTAAAAATGGAACGAACAGCATCAAACAAAATTTTATGAGAAAGTTAATATTGCTAACCTATTATAATTCCAGAATACATTTGTATAAGTACACAACTACAGCGAGAGGGTTCATTAAAACAATGGCAAAGGCATGCGAAGGTCTTTACACTTAGGGTTCAAGGATGAACTGTATAATTGTTTTATAAGTTATCTTTATTACTAGACCGGCTAAAATATGATTCACTCTTATTATAATACATATTTATATTATATATATGTATAACTATATTAAGAATGAAAGTATGAGTAAGTGTATCTATACATTACGTTAGTCAATTCCATATTGAATAAGGTAAACTCGGAGGAAAGCATAATACTTTGAGCAACATTCGTGTTAGCAGAACCGTGGTCAAAATAAGATTGTAATTTATCGTAACGCATCGTACAAACTTTTATCTTAATGTATAAGAAAAATGTCCATTACAACTGAATAGTTCTTATTTTATATCAACTCACGTCGATTTTTTACTTAACTTATAGAAGTTACTCGATAATAATTTTGGTAATATTTGTATGAAACACTCTAACGGATTTTTTTATGGTTCAAATATTTTATAACTTAACTTTAATGGTCACATAAAACCTCGATGTTTCTCAAATGCTGCTAATAACTCGATGTCGATCGTCTTTTTTGTTCTGTTGTTAAGTGTTTTTTTTATTTATATTTTGTTTGTTTTACTTAAAAATTACATATTAATTTGTTAAATTAATAAAGGTAATTTCATAAGTGACAATCATATGTTGTACTAAACAAAGCCGACACAAAGCTCTCCGCGGCCGAAGGAAGCCGTTTTATTCAAACAATAACCGAATAAAGCCAATGACTTGTGAATACGGGAGTGCTATTTCAGGTCAATAGCAAATTCTATAATTCTGAGGAGTCTGTCTGATGTCCCGGCTGGGGGTGGAAGGAGGGCCCCGGGCCCCGGTGCATCGTACTAAAGGGCAACTGCAGATAACGCAGTCAGGAGCCAGACAGTCAACGTCCCGATGCACTCCCGCAAACCGACGGCCCCCCCTCCGCACCCCCCTCCCGGCCGGCACCCCCGCACCTCACCCCCCCGCTCCATATCCATTGGGAACCCGTATCCGACCGCCGTGAATGACGTTTTTTATATCACCAAGTCCTTAGCGTTTGTTGTTGATTTGTTACATTAATGAGAGCGATTACGAACTCGCATACCCGAGACTGTGACGGCGACTGTAGCTTTTTTATTTTTGCATTCATTTGTACTCTCAATGAATCTTAATTATAGTATTGGATTACTATCTCTGTTTTACTTATTAGACTGTTTGAGAATGGAAACGATGTGTGACAAATCATGTGTTCCTAGCCTTATCTTCTGCTTCCAAAATTGTATTATGCTGACAGATTCAACTCATTTTATTTATTTAATTTTACATCTCATGTCTAATACACATTATTAATAGTTTATTTAGTTTAATAAATTGGAATATTTTCAAATTTCCTTTCATTTGTGTGTAATTGTATTAACTTTATACACAGGATCGTATTTTTATATGTTAAATGGTTTTTTTTTGTCAATATAATGGATTTTAAACCGTTTTGTGATTATACAGTATTTAAGCTGTATAATTATAGAAAACTTTTGACATTAGCCTATAAAATAGTCTTGTTCTAATAAGTCGGACACTGAACTTATGTCAAAATTATAATCATAAATGACAACTGGCATATTTTTATTAAACATAATTTTCTTTAATATCGTTGAATGGAATGAATTATAAAACATTTTAACGTTTCTTCTACAGAAGAGTCCCTTTGTTCGTTATTTTACTCTTGCCCTTGCAAACCGGAATACTAAAGAAACCTACAAAAGAATCAGGGTATCAAAATAGAGTACTGACAGTTAAAACATATATACTGGACTTGATCGCAAATTTATTTTGTTTATTATATAAAATACACAAATATTATTTCAGATTACAGAGTCCAAAAATAGTTTTACATTTTATAAATAGATTAACTCCGTCAAAATGAAAATGTTATAAAATTATTATAATAATTTTTAAATTAAATTAAATTAAAATAAATGCAATACTAAAGAAATACGACGAAATTAAATAATAAATTACATTTTTTATTATATGTAACAATACAATTATCTCTTCAAAATTTTTGTCGTAATCTATATCTTACTGAAATAAACGCTTTTAAATTATTATTAAATGTTGGAAAATCAATGAATTACTTGAATTTAATAATTAAACACACAAATACATAATAGGAATTTCACAAAGTAGATATTCCGTTACAATTAATTTATTAAATATTTCTACTATCATTTTAGCTATTGCTATGAAATATTAATTAAATGATTTTCTTGAATATATTCAGTATTTTCAGAGGATATAACGTGTATATAATATTTATACATTGAAGCTTAGGCGGTAACGAAAATAATTAATATATGTAGATTATAATAAATTGGTAACATACCTTTCCATAGCAACTAGCAACAGATTAAAACTTCTATATTCAGTTTTATTAAGCGAATTCAAATTTGGAATACAAAATAGGTTTAAAAATTGAACGACTAATTGAACCACTAAAATGAAATCTTTTAGATTTCTATATTATGCTTATTAAGACCTGCTAAAATAACTTTCATACATTTTGACTTACCTTAGAACTTTTAAATGTCTGTATATAAAAGAATCGTGTTTTTGACTTCCTGATTTACGATAAAAATATTACCAGCGACCATTATTAAATTTAGTAAAAATTCATTTTCCGTTAAGATACGACTCTTGATAACGATATAAACATGTCTGCACGTACGTTGTTATATGTAGTAACAGATTAATTATTTATAAAGATTAATTAACATTAACGATTCTTGTTCAAATTTTGCTTTAATTTTTAATTTCCTAACTGAAGTATGAGTGAAGATCTATAGGTACGACTAATTTTTCTTTGTACTTTCTTACAATTACTTTCTCATATATGTATGTACATTCTTATGGTAATGTCCCACTATGGCGATGAGTGCTCAAAAAATACAAGCTTAGTAGGAATGTTATTAATTAACTCAATAAATGGTTGATTGTTAAGTATAGAACTCGAAATCCGTATTAGGTATATGTATTTGGTTTGGATTTTTGAAGCTAGCAGTGGTAGATTAAATTGGTTTACTGACTGTACTCTATTATGTATTTATTATTTGAATATCAAACCAATAGATCGTGTACATATTGGAAGATGGTAATTGATTGACATTCGTATCATGTTATTGTTCTCTTAAGATTTGTATTAAATTGTGGTACCAAAAGTACCCAATACCCATGCCACCAAGAGCTAAACTTAATTTGAGACCGAACTCTATCGTATAATTTATATTTTCGTCATTTAAAATACATTCAAAGCCACTGCATACCCAAAATTCATCTCAATTAAATAGCTACTAATTTTATTATCCTACACTCAAATCAAGAACATAATTATATACATAAAAATAGTTACAAATTCCATATAATAAAATCATTATGTTGAGACTTAACTAGCGCCATCTGTTATGCAACTTAGATACTACACAAAACAAATAAAGATAATAAATAAAAATTTGCTTAAATAATAATTGATTCAATATTTTCAGAAGTAATTCAGTTTGTATAGAAGAATAAAACTATTGTTATTCAAAGAGGATTATGCTCATACATTAACCCTGGTATATAAATAATCATTTACGCCAAAGTGTGTAATTATCTGTATTTATAAATACTTATATTGGTACTATTCCAATTCCGTAAACGAAAACACTTTAGAATACGAAAATCAATTTAACTATCACAGAGTATATAACATTTGTTATTTAATTGTCAAATTGTGACTAAATTTATTGTTTATGAAATAACCTTACTCTAATTATGACATATGTCAAACGAAATACATAGATCATATCTAAAATTATGAAATATACATCTACTAATTTATTAACTTACAACACTACAAAAATAATATACATATAAAACCTCTTCGTAACATATATTTACTCTCGGCGGTAATAATAAATCAATATAAGTAACGTAAACGTTAGAACGTAATTACGTACATGCGGAGCGGGCGGGAGGCTGGCGGTGTCAAGGCCACGACCTCGACCGTGACCGCCAGCGCTTATATACCGCTTACACGAGAACACGAAATAATACCTTATATACACACACACATATATATTATATAATATTTATATAATAACAACACAATCATAGTCTCTTCTATTGTGTAAACTATGTATACTGTAATATTATGGATTAGTATTTTGTAGTGTTGTGTTTATATTACCGGTTTTTGTGTTTAAATTTTTTACCGATTTTTTATTGTCGTTTCCGTCTTAGGTTGGTAATAACCGATGATGTTTCTGACATACAGAGAAGTGTAATTCATATTCTGATTTTATAAACACGTTAGAAAATAAAACGTCTTTTTAAACTCGCTTATAAATATTTATATATTGCAAAGCTAGATCATACCTATTTTAATTCTGGAATTTTTTTTACTATTATGTGATATATTATTAAATTCATATTAGAGACTAGAAAATTTACGTTTAATAAAGTGCAAGATTTCATTTGGTTTTTAGAAGCTAACATTTTTATACTTACAATAATATTTATAGTTATTTGAACCTTCGATAAAATAAAGAGTTGCCACAATTAAAAATTATTCTCGTTTTTTTATTAAAAGAAAACACTTCTGAATCATTTTCTTTATTTACAAAGATTACAATGTACAGTAATAAAAATGCCAGTGAAGACTTGATGCTCATAAAATAATTTATTTCTTAAAACTGTACAATTTCATGTTAAATGAAGATATAGAAATAATTTTTTTAGACTCCTGACATGTGTCTAAGAAGTAGAAATTGGTAGATTTGATAGAAACAATAAACTAGTTTAATAAGAACTGAACAATTCTGGTTTTATACAGACAGTTTTTGATAAATCACAAGTTTTATTTAACCCTATTCAAAGAATAACTGCTCCAACAATTTGTTCTTAAGGAAAAATCTTTATAATAACTGAACGTATTATTAATGGTACAGAGGTATCAAAATATTTGCCAGAAGCTCTGTTATATAAATAGATTATAAGACACTCGCAGGGGTCACCTTAGAAGTTACAAAGCGTGGTAGGAACTGTCCATTTAAGTAACAAGAACAAACAAAGAGACATTGACAGGGTATTGTACATATAAAACAGTATAAAGCTTCGCAACAGGTCCAATACCTTACGAACAATACATTTACCTCTCTGTAATATTACTGTTAGTTCCACAACATAAACGCCTACACAAAAAATACACGTGCCGTTCGATTCGGTCAACGTGGTGAAGGTCACGCATCCCAATTTATATCAGAGCTTCTTGCCCTGAAACACGAACCTAGGTCGGCGAACTCAATGAAAATCTTCCAGGGCATCTGACCGTGACCTTTCGCCGCGCACGCGCCTTCCCTCCTAATATCCTGACCTTGTTAAGCCAGAATAGGCCTATATAAAGCATTCCGTGGAAATGTTATAACATTTTCAACAAATAAGAAGAATATGTTCTATTCTATGTTGCCTTTTGTTAGTTTAGTTTAATTAATATTAACTTAATAAGTATTGAAATTCTATATTTAATTAAATCTTAATTTTCTTAGTGGTATTAGTTAATAATTTAATAAAAAGAGACGTTGCTACCCTGACCTAACGTGAGCATTTCTTACAAGGGTTAGTTTTTGATTGAATGTTTATGTCGTATTGCCGATTTTTAAATGGCTTACAATTTTCAGTAACAGAATTACTCTCATACTGACAGCGCTGAAATATGTCAACTTCACAACTTGTAAACATTTAATTTCATTGTATAATTAAAACACGATTAATTTATCATGACTGAGATTAAAATATTTTTACTTTTATATGTGGATAGTTTATTTCGAAACAATAATACTTTTAATGATCTATCCAATACATAAACAATTTTTTCTCAAACAATATTTGCCCGCAAAGATTTTTTGCTCAAACCAAGAAGTAGTAGTATATTAAAATTTAAAAGAGAATTTCTATAATGCGAATTGAATAAACGTTTTTATGATACCTTACAGCTTAACGACCTATTTTTAGATTTTAAAACGCATTTTATTGAGAAATGTCTTTTATTTTCTACTATCATTTATATTTTTCCGGCAAAGGAGCATTTTGTGAATGTGACGTTGTTACTTAATAATGTTTATTTTTTTTTATTCAATCAACATCGCCTATTACGAGTATGTCAATGAATTCTGACCTTTACTTAATCTTAACTGGGAAAAGAAAAAACAAAACAATAATTGAAATATTTTATAAAAAAAGAACAGTGTTACTTCAAATCAATATTCTTGTGAAAAATCATTACTCTTTAAAGATGATGACATCAATAAATTAGGCACCGAGAGTTACCAGTTTTTTTGTCATATACTTTGATATCATGTGCGTAGTGCGATGACTCATGTAAGAAAACCTGAATACTACCTAACAGTGTTGAGAGTAAAGCCAACTAGTAGTAAGGAAAATAAACATAATATTTTTTGTTTCTATACATATCCTTTTATGATTATTTTCTTTATAAAATGCACACAAACAGAAGACTCTTAGTGTAAATATACGTTATACAGGGTGACTGGTGAATTACTATCGATATTTGAGGACGTGATATTTGACGATCTTATATGACAAAATAAAAATTAATATAACATAAATATTAATAAACTTCTAAGTAAAGTTAACCAAAAGTTATGTAATTAATTACGCATCGTATGAACACCCTACAGATTAGGTATACACACACACTCACACATACGCGCGCGGAGGCGTGTTGTTGTATCAGCACGCCGCCGCACGCGTCCACACTTGGAACGTGTACACACTTTATTTATTTATACGGAAATTTGGTCAAAATTTAAGTACCTATTTTTTTACATAATTCGAATGAGAATCATGTACCGAGTATGCTCCTTAAATATTGATAGTAATTCACCAGTCACCCTGTATATATGTTATGTTTAATAATTCTTAAAAATGATAATTTTAAATATGACCTTTATTCTCTGCTGACTCTACTTTGCTTAAGAAATATAATTTTAGTTTCTATGATGATATAACTATAAAGCTTCAATACTATGTAGTTTATGTACATTTAACGAAAAATATCTATAGCTTCATTAATTTAATAATTAGAAGATAAAACGCTTATAACTAAACATACATAGTAAGTAATACCTATTTTCATAGATCTTATATGATTGCCGATGAGAATGGCAACATACAATCCCTCAAATTAATTTAAAAAATTACCACATGAAACGTAACACGTATTTTCATCTTCTATAAAATAAAAACAAACTCAGCTCTGAACATTTTCCATTCGTATATCATCGCACACATCCGTATGGGGACACATTAATAATGAAAAACTGTAAAACTAGCGTTTTCCAGTTGACAATGAATTTATTATAAAGCTATGACACCCAACCGGAAAACAGCTTTGAAAGTTGTATCGTTTAATTTTTTAATTAATAATCTCTCAGTTAGGAAAAGGTCGTGGAAGGAAGTTTTTATCTCTAACTTACAGACATCTTCAAATGTCAATTTCAGCCATAATGCGAGATTATAATAAGACTGTATTACAATAAACATGTCTAAAATGTTTTAATCGTACAAAACCTCATAAGGAATGTGATCATGTAATTTGTTAATTATAAATAATAAACGACTTTTAAATGATAAAAATTTTAGTTTTGCTAATAATCGTACTATATTATACCTTTATAAATTTTCCATGAAGTATAATATAAAATAAAATCGCGATAGAATTTTAAGTATTTTCATAGGCTTTATATTTAAAAAAAAGCTCCTTAACGCTTAAAGCATATACGTACATACTATTCACAAATTCAGCATTCACAAAAACGTCACAACATTTCAAACCTACATTTCAATATTCTTTATTATCATTTCATCGTATAAAACGTTAACTAAAACATCTCAAGTCTGAACATAAACAAGTACCTATCTAAACCTACATTTTAATATACGACAAATTTTCTAATTTCAGCGTTTAAAATAATGAGTATCACATAACGTAGGTGGCCGGCGCAGGCCGCTGCAGGGGTAGCGAACATTAACCCTTCTTGCAGTTCATTCCCCGTCTGGCCTCACCCCTACAGTCCACCCTCTCGCCCCTTGACGCCGACGTGACTGCACGCCTGCCATAGCCCATACTGCAACTGATCTACCGAACTAAAAATACCTACAAGCTACACTTACTAACCAAAAAGAACTAGTAGTCAATAGTGATGCATTTATTTTAGATGCTTTTTTTAGTCATAACATAATATACAAGTTTATTTGTGTTTACATCGGATAGTAAACCTTTAGTAGCGCCCATAGTTTACAGTAGCATTATTTAGTACAAAGTTTAGAGTTGGTGTAATTTTTTTTAAATCAAGTATTTTAATTAAGCGTATAGATCTGCGACGGTGTTGTAAGCATAATTTACAAATTTTATGTCCTTTTATTCTTTGCAGAGCAATCACGAATCATTTTCTTCATGAAAAGAAGTTTAATTTTTGATAGTTAACAATTTAACTTTTTAAAAATATAACATTTAAAAAACAAATTATAATACGAGATCCCGAAATTCAGGGACCTTAAGGAATTCGAACCCACAAAATTCATGTATAACAACTGTGATGATTTACGTTCCTTATTTGCGGTTCATCCAATCGTCATAGCTCGATATTTTGATGTACCAACTTACTAATAAGTTTAACTACTTCGGGCAATTCGCGGTTGTGATTTCTAAAACCACCGTAGTGAATCCCAATAAGGAGTTAGTGTTAGAACTGGAATCTGGAGAGAACTTTTCAATTTGCGGTTTTTGGAAAAACGTGGTAAATATTGTCTGTGGCTTTTATATATAAAGTAGATACATTCTAAATCTTCATATAATCAAACTACATTTTATCTTTAACTTTTCGTTTAACAAAATTTGGTCATACATATAAAGCATTATCTTGCATGTCGTTTAATTTTTGTAATACATCGTGTCACCAAACTCTATGTTTATTATTATACAATAATTAATTTATTTATAACTATGAAACTATATTGTTTTAAAGTTTCGTACCCAAAGTATGATACCAGACTTTAAGACTTGCTCTGTCCGTCTGTTTGTACCTCTGTCCAGGCGTCCAGATTGTTTCTCATGAACCGTTATATTAATATATCTATCATGTCACTATTATAGTTAACATTTGTATACACTTCTGTTGCCACTCTCACAAATACTATAAAAACAATGATATAAATATTAAAAGTAGCCTCCATATTTAGTTCATTTTTAAACATACAAAATTACGACACACCAGTTTCAAGACATTTCGATCATTCAATCCGTCCTTGTCATTTTTTCAGAACCCCCCCCCCCCTTCGTGGATGTGACGTCACACAGTTTTCAATTTTATTCCTAAAGCCTAAACGATAGAAAAGTAACCACCTATGATTTGAACCTACTCAAATTGTTCTTAACCAGAACGCTTGAGAATTTAAGTATCTCGCAAGCATAAAGTTAGATATTGTTCTTTGCAAGATAAAATCTTAACAAGAGTGAGAAAGTGTTTATAAAAATAGATTGAACTCTTTAATATTTTTAATTACATACGTGGTGTTGTGTTGTTATAAAATGTCAAAAACATGTCGTCGTCGTCGTCGTCCCAACTAGGCTGTCACATAATATCTGGATGAATCTTTGTCTACGTTTCTGGATCTTACTTTTCCAGTTTTTTTTAAATTACCTACAACTTCAAATTAAATATGTCTGAAATAATTAGAGTAAGACTTATTTTAATATTGTAAGTTGATCAATAGTGTATTTATCAAATTCTTCAAGTTCAGGAGTTAGTGATGTAGCCTACAGGCAAAATATATTACGTAGCAAATATGTTCACCACAATTTTACATCGTCACACTAGACACGAGGCATTTCTCGTTTCCATTCAATAATTTATTTTTTTACGTACTTTTTTATATGCAAAGATATTATATCAATGAGTAATTGGAAACGCTCCGTATGCAGTGTGAGTTGTGACGAAGCAAACTGGTCTTAAGCATACGTTGTGTACGATTATTCGTAGTATTATAATAAGTCCATAGATGGCGGGACTTACAATTTACTTAAACCATCTATTCATGGAAAAAAGAAAGCTTACTTCAATAAATATAGTAAGTAACAATAAAATTAGCACATATCATAATTTTTTAAAAACTATATTTTGCAACAATAAAATTAATGTATATAATTATTATTTTTTATTCATCGTTGGTTATTGAATGAAGGTGTTGTTCTTAAATTTTTCTTAGAGGATTCAAATATTTGTAATATGTAGATTAAAAAAATGTTGACTATAAAAAAAGGGAAACGTTTTTAATTGTTTATGCTTATTGTATGGGCTTTGTTCTCTTTGCCTGTTCTGAACGGAACGAACATAATCAAAAAAAAATGTTTATGCTTTGAAAAAAATTGTACTGTTTATGTTCGCTAGATCAAATACAGGTATACTTTTAAAAGTCAAAAATTTTTTTAACAAAATAAGATCGATGTGTAACATTACTCAAACCATAGACAGTTTTATATAGTCTCAATTAAATTATATAGACTTGCAACACTGTTTTTTAATCCACATTTAAATATATACATTTTTTATCTGTGTTGTAAACTTTTCATATTCTGTGGTCAACTCTTGGAACTGTGGTCAGATTGTTGAAAGTTGACAGACGAGCCTGTCAACACAGCTATATTAATTTATGAGATTTTCGTAGTCTTAATTGTATATGTTTCTACTCAAGATTATATAAATTATGCCGAAGAATAAAGGAAAAGGAGGTAAAAACAGAAGGAGGGGGAAGAACGAAAATGAAACAGAAAAACGTGAGTTAGTTTTTAAGGAAGACGGCCAGGAGTACGCCCAAGTCACAAAGATGCTCGGTAATGGCCGCTTAGAGGCCATGTGCTTTGATGGCATAAAACGTCTTTGCCACATCAGAGGTAAATTACGAAAAAAAGTATGGATAAATCAAGGAGACATCATACTTATTGGCTTACGAGATTATCAAGACGCCAAAGCTGACGTAATTTTGAAATACACCCCTGACGAGGCAAGAAATCTTAAAACGTACGGAGAATTTCCTGAAACAGTTCGCATCAATGAGACTGTTGTATATGCTGTTGATGGTCTCGACGAAGACATCGAATTCGGAGACGAGGTCAGCTCGGAAGACGAGGCTGACGCTGTTGATGCTATATAAATAATTTTGATGTGTTTAACAACTACAGTAAGTCAATGGAAAATTATTTTCTATTAAAAATTAAATGACATATTGTGATTACAATTTTGTTATCAAAATTACTATAAAATATAGCACAGTCCATAGTAAAATGTCTATTACAGACACCCAGTATTGTCCTCTAATGCAAGTATACAATGTCTAGAATATTTATTAAACCAAACAAAAAATGTTACATCTATATAGTAAAATCTTGCACAACATTCCTCGGACCCCATGACTTCTCAAACATAAAATTGTAAGGAATGTATATAATTAAATAATTATAAAAGATTCCATTGTTTTTATTTCATATTATCTTTGTTTAACTACAAGCTAATTATATATTTGATATTCAAACTAGTTACTAATTGTCCTGGTTGTTCAAACACAGCATTAAAACTGTCATATCTGTACTTGTTGAGATGTATGTATGTAATAGTCTGTCTGTCCGTATGTTATTTATTGATAACAGATCATTTATACAGAAATAAAAATGGGTAATTCTTATTCCCTTAAACCTCATTCTTTAGTACATATTTTATTTTAATTATTCATCTGCTGATAAGTAAAGTATTTGTTTTTTGATAAAAAGTTTTTCTTTTATTTCAAAATTCCCTGGTTTATTATTACACTGTGGCAGAATGAAGATTTATATAGGAGGTTGAAGCTCAATGAAGTTATTTGTAGTAACACCTCATTTATTTTGACTTGAATTTCAAACATACTTTATAATAACTCAGATTGTCAGATGTGTTATATTTATCTTGTAGAAGTTTTTAGTATGAAAATTTTATTTGTTTTATATTCTTGAAATAATCTTAGTATTAATAAATATTTGAGAAATTATTGATAGAGTTCTAAAGTACAAATGTTTTATTGTGATAGACATCCTACAAATACTGTTTAATAGAATTTTTTGCTTAGAGATTGCTACTAAGTATACACACAAGTTGGAAAATATATGACTATTGTATAAAATTGTCTTAGTGTGTCAGATAAATCCAAAATATAAATTTCTTCTCTATGGATAAAATAATACAGGTCTGGGATAAAGCAGGCATCAATGCACAACAACTAGATAAATTTCGATTTTATTTTAATTACAAATGAATCTTTATGTAACATCTTATTTTATATAAAATTCTACAAAAATAAGGAAACTAAGATTTTTATAATTATTGAGTATATCTTTTGCACACAGTAAAATTTTGTTAATATATCAAACATAACAAGTCTCTACTAGATTCATACCACTCTGTAGACTTTTTAAATATTTTTTAAAAACCTTTTACCGCCTTAGTGTGGCTTATAAAAGGAAACCATTGTATAAAAATTGGAATAATTACTGAATAGAATTTTGTATTCTTCAACCATGAAATATTTAAGAGTCAAAAGATATTGCATGAATGATAAATTATGGGCCCATAAAATAATGTTTTGCTATGTAATCTATCATGATAGAGAAAGATGTCTTAAATTTAATATGATACATCATTAAGCAGTCTATACCCTTATGTATTACACCTGTATAATTTACTGTTTTGATCTCACAACTTCTGAATTAACCGAGTTGAGTAAGAGTGGTGAGTGCATCGTCAGAATGAAAATAAGTACATTCTGATGTCATTCACTAACAAAAACTACCTCTATATTTGTTCTTAATTGACAGTTTCTCTTTTAAAGTTACTCTAGCTAACGTCCCAGTTATTTATCATAAAGTGTGTTCAAAACTAATACCATTGAATTAATAATAAATTTAATACAAATTCCAAACAAAAAATGACGAAATGTGAACATCTCGTCTGCCCGTGATCACGATTGCTACAAATTACAAAGTAAGTCAAATAAAGTAAAAGTATGTAGTTTTTGAAAAATAATAAAATATAGAGTAGTAAGATCTGAAAATATTAGTTTCATTTACATTTATAATTGTCAGATATATAGCCTTATATCAATTTCAAATGACTGAACTCTGAAGTCAATATTATTTTATCATAGACAATATCTAAAAAATAACGTATTCTTTATGCTTGTCTTTAATCAAAATAACAAGAATAATAATATACTTTAATACAAATGAAGTAATTAATAATGAACATTTTGTTTTTGGTAACTAGTAGGTATAGATAATGGTAATTTTTTCTATCAAAAAGAGAAACAAATCACTTAGCACTTATCGTTTTTCTAAACGGTAAAAAAATGTTGTCTAAATTTAGCATATTCTTCTGATCAAGTTTACTTATATGTTTTTGTCTGGCGATACCGAATTTGTGTAACACCATATTAATCTTGAGAGACTTGGGCCCAATCAACATGAAACCATTTCAGTGACTGTGATTTTTCTGTATAAAGATACAAAATCGCGGTTTTTTTCTTTTGGGACAATAGATTTCACACTTTTAAACGTCCATATCGGTTATCCAACAATCTTTCTCAGTCTCCGAATATTGGTTTTAATTATAGGGCCTGTTAAGATTCAGAGGTCAAGTGAATTATTGTTTTTCTGAGGCTAAGCACATGTTTCCCCTGGCAAAAATAACAGCGTTTTTGTAGTCACCAAATACCACTACTTAATTAGCCAGGAAATTTCGAACTTGGCACTAGGAAACTTTAAGAGTGTATGAAAATAACGGCGATTAGACTCAGTATCCTTGACTGTGAAGAACTTTGTTCTAAAAAGTAAGCGATACTTAGGTCCAGTTATACACAGTTTATTCGGATTATCATACTTACACATTTAAAAAAAGTTTTCTATGTCGACAGGTGTAGGTTTATGGAAAATCGCCGTATAATTGAATGATAAATGTTGACTGCACCATACTTAAGAACTTATTGTCATAGTAACGCTAGATGTGTAATTTTCTTCATTTACGGTTTCATTGAAATCCATAACAAGCGAGTTTTGGAAGCTCAAACAATATAAACATGTAAACACAGCAACAAATTTGGGTCTGCGCTCTTATACTAAGCAACGACTGCTACACTATTGTAAGTTGGCCAATCAAAACAAAACAGTAAATTTAAAAATTATCAACAAAAGCTGTATAACTATATTTTTTGAAACATTTAAGTTCAGTTATTGAAATATATGTAGGAATAATAGGGCAGCATAATCAAAAGCAAGGATGCTTCTCTTAATTTATATTTTCATGTCTCTTAGGATCACTTATATAGAAGTAGACATTTAGTACATTAGAAAGTATATTACAATACAGTTACCTTTGCAATTAACGTTAGAAGTAACAAAATATATAAAAATCCCATAAACACGAAAATGTTGTTTAAGAATTGATTCTTAGAATTTTAACGTATTCGTCTTTATCTTCTTATGTAAACAATAATCTATGGGCTGTAGTTTTGCTTAATCATATTTTTTACTGTTACTTTATAAAATAATTCCAAAGAAAAGCTTTTATTTCGTGTTTGAGATAATGATGAAAGTAAGTGTTCTTTTAACTCGTCGGTGAGTTATAACATCTTTGCTTTTGTGTGTTTAATAATTTTATTAGACAAATAACACTATATTATAACATGATAATATATTCATACACAAACATTTACGAATTATTAGTTATATGGGTTACGATTTTTTCAATATTGAGCTCGTATTTCTCGATTTGATAATTTTTATACATATATATACTTAATAATAATCTGTACGCATTTTTTTTAAATTATTTTTTTTCTATAATTATTATTATATACCATAAATTATAATTATATAAAATAAAGAAATAAATAAATTAATTAAAATATGTATGTAATTGTTCTGTTTTTATTAAAACCAATCTTTATTTTGTATTTAACATAGAGACCTTTGCCTTTCTACGTCATTAAAAAATATATTTCTGTTTTTGAAGGTTGCCAGCTTGCAACCATCCTCGCCATATTGAATTTTGTTGTGCTTTGTAGAAAACATTGTGAGCACGTGGATAGTTGGATTCTTAAATATTGAGCGAAATTTATTAGTAAAATATTAATTTTTTATCTTGTGTTTTGATTTGCTTAATTTTCTTTGTTCGGAAGTGATAATATCCTTGTTTTTAGAGTAAAGTAAGTAGTTTTGTCGCTATTCGCCGGCTACTAATTTAGATTTCCACCACAAGTATTTCCTTGTAGGGGTTTTTGATGCCATGCCACAATATTTGTGTATTAAAGTAATTAATTAAAATATAACTGCTTATCAGCTCATGGCTTAATCCAAATTTTGACATACATCTAATTGCGTAACCTTTCATTTTATAATTTGGTACAAATGCTTACGTGTTGTCCGTGAAGGTTCTCAAACCGCGCTCGTGACCCTCACCGCATAATGTAACACATTTTTTAAATATCAAAATCTATAAGTAGATGCTCATTATGTATACAGTAAAGGTGTAAAAAACATGTGTAGATCCCTTTAATTGTGGTGCAGATTGATTGGACGGCATACATTTATAGCTCGTGCATGCTTTTGGACCAAGTTCCGTATGGTGTTGGCCGGCTCTGTACAGTGTCACGTTGATAATTTCATAACTTAATATAAGTATAAGTATATACTGTTGCCATGTGTTTTACGAATTTTGATTTTCATAGTGTTGTATATAAACAAATGAATTGGATTACTGAGGTAATTTTATTCTTGAATATTTTCTTATTTGAAAGCAATCGATAAAAAACTATTAATGTTTAATTTAACATTATAATATGTATTTGGCTTATCTTTTATCGGTCTTAGCTACAAACTGTCACTACTTGTGGTTATCAGTAATAAAAATGAGGACACATAAACATAGACATAACAATTTAAGAATTTTATACAAAACTAATTCTGTGATTTGTGAAAACACAGAGTTCGCTACGAATTTCTTTTTGTCTATTTTTAATATTTTATTTTTATGAAAAAATTAACGAAAGTATATTTTGTTATAGTTTCTTGGTAAAAGTGGCTTATTACAATGGCACCTTGTCGTCAGCTACTCTTATGGTCAGTTCCATCAATAGCAGTCTTACTTGGTATCTTCTGGTTCAAGAAAAAGAGAGAGTTTGCAAGATCTGACCCAGGGGGAAGAGAAAAAATAAAAAGTTTAAAAGAAGAACTTGCCGAGGCCCTTAATGCTGAAGCAGAATTATTAAAAACCTCTCCTCTAGGTAAAGTTGAACATTCATTAGTCAAGTCCTTACCTATTGATATAGTCCCAAATGGAAGTGGTTCCCAGAGGTCTTCTCCCATAGAACTGACTGATGAAGAAGTTGATCTAGAGATAGAAAAGATCATTAAGAAAAAATCTCTTGAAATAGAGAAAAGAATGTCACTACGCACTGAAAACAAGATGGAAGAAATTCGTCTGAGAGATGCTACCATTTCTAAACAAGATTGTCAATCCAAATTAGGTTCTTCTTTTAAAACTGAATTGAATTGCATTAGAAACAATCCTAACTTACTATTAGATGATACTTCAAAAATTGATGAGAATGATGACTCATCAACTGGGTCGGATACAAATTCTCAAGTAGATAGTATAAAATTAGATGCAACTGCATCTGAGGTTATTGGGACTGAAGAGGCCACTGAGAGTGATAATGAGGATCAGAATGATGATAATGATGATGAAACGGAAAAAACAAATGAGGCTCCCGGCAGCGCTAACAGTTACTCGGCTCCACAGAATAGAAGGATTTCAGAACGAGATTCTGCAAACCACAGTCCTGTGGACCCAATGTTAGCTAGCCCCTCAATGTGTCACTTCTCAGATAATCATAGTGAAGTATGTAAAATCTCAATAATATTTCATAATTAACTGTAATTATCTTTATGTTAATATAATTTTCTTTGACAGGGATCAAGTGATAGTGGTAAAGGTTGTTCAGAGGCTGCCAGTCCGCCTCCAACTAATATTAACATAGTCTCTGCGGAGGCGGGTTTAAGAATACATCAGTTTATTATACCACAGGCTTTAGTTGGTCTATTAATAGGAAAATGTGGATCATTTGTAACTAAAATAAAAGCAAAGACTGGAGCAACAGTATATGTTAGAAGACATCCAGATTTAGTTAAACAAAAAATTTGTGCAGTTGAAGGTATAAAATACTAATCATCAAAACAATCTATTAAATTGTTCAATTAAAATGTTTTTTAATATTGCATATTTTCCACTCACCAGGAACTCAGAGTGAAATAGAGGCAGCTTTAGAAATGATAAAAGAAAAGTTCCCCGAAAATAGGTTCCCCCATTTTTCAATTCAAGAAATTAGTGCAGAATTATATCAAAGACTGACACCTGTAGTGCCTGAATTCCTCCAAGTAAGTAATCAATTTGTTTACAAAATGTTCAAAGTATGAAATAAAATTAAATGAAATATTTTATTGTTCAATGTGCAACCACAGTGGAGCGGAATGGTGGGTTTAGAATGTTTATTCTTTTCATACAAAGCTTGTGATAGTTAATTTCCCGCTACAACTATATCGTTTCTAATCTCCTTAATATAATACGTGCTTAATTATAACAATATTATTATCATGCTGTTATATGGCTACTTTTTTTCTGTTACAATACTTCGGTTAAAATTACTCATAATTATATTATGCTTAATTAGTATTTAAAATCATTACTAAGATCTGTTTAGTAGCATGTCATATCTAGATTCAAATCCATCATCAAATAATTCATTACTAAGATGTTTTTATCATTGAAAGTGTGTGATTAGCAAGATTTATATAGCAAAATACATGCCATAACATAACTAATGAAAGAATTTTGAACACTAATCAATATGAATGATCCGTCTAATGAACAAAGCGAACGTTATATGCTCAACAAATCAGTTGCAGTTGGTAGAATCTGTGAACAACGATACTATCCTGACGTGTTTGGTGAGTGCGGGGCATTTCTTCCTGCAACAGCCGTTACATCCAACCTTCCCGTCGCTCCACGCGCTGCACCGCCTCATGGCAGCCACCTATCAGAGCCCAGATGTACCAGCACTTCCAAAACCGGTCCAAGGTATGAATTCTATAAGGTTTCTTTATATGTACCTATGAGACAGAAAAACCTGTAATATGACAAAATGCAACAGTTCACTAGATAATTAAAAGCCCGCACTTAGAATATTCAAAATATAGTTTTAAGTCTTCATTATAAAAATGGGTGTATGTTATTATTTTAAAGCTTAATAACACTGGAACATTTTGTTGCTGTATAACAATAATATTATTTTCGCTTCTATCATTTTTTAGTAAGGAATGTGTAGTTATGATATCAGTCTTAATCAATCTATATTTCTTAAACTTATTCAGAGTTATAAGTTTCCATGTATATACAACTACATTATTCCTTCAAAAGATTTAATTGCTTACAATTTATTACATAAAGTTAAAGTGAAGTATTAATATACTTTTCTTGGCTAATTGTTTGCAAAAAAAATATGAATTATATTTGGGTTAAATTGTATCTGGTCATAGTGTTCTATGTATTTTTATAAAAATCTGAGGAAGCGGAAAATAAAAGTCCTCCATGATACTATTAAAGGCTTTATAAAGAGTTAATTGCATCAGTATAAAGGATTCGGCCATGCTCGTAATAACGTGGCCGGTGAAAGGTGTTATTGACCTTTGAGTGGACTCGTTTTTGGCACATTCAATTATGGAGATAACTAATTATGCCTTCATTTTATTTGTATCATAATTACTACTCATACAAATATGTACTTCAACGCCATAGTTTTTACGCAAATTTTTTTAATAATATATCTAATTTGTTTTTTAATTAAACTCATGACACATTCCGTGTGATTCGATTTTGCTCCCGTTATTAAGTAATTTTGTCATTGCTAGATTAAGGCAATTATTAATTAAGTTTTGCATAAATATGAATAATGATATAAAAATGTTTAATTATCCATCTTTAATGAACATAGCCATTTGTAATTCAATAATTATATTAATTATAACAATCAATCATTACAACGATATCATTACACGAACATCAAATGATTTCCTTATCAAAGATCGATAGTAACACTTCGATTAATAAGTAATGATTAATATTTACAGAGGGTTCTATCTGTGCTGCTCCGACGGAGAACAACTGGTACAGAGCTCAGATAATTTCCACATCTGAAGAAAATGACACGTCTGTTGTTAAACTGGTTGACTTCGGTGGCTACCTCACAGTTGACAATGACCAGCTAAAGCAGATCCGCTCGGATTTTATGACGCTGCCTTTCCAAGCCACCGAAGCGCTGCTAGCATTTGTAAAACCCGCCAATAACGGTAAATATGCCATTTTATCTTATTACTTTATGATCGCGATCTCACATTTTTGTTATATAATAATTTTTAATTAATCATATATGGATATAATTTGCTTTAAAATTTATTTAAGACATAGTTAAACTTATTGATTTATATTTTATATCATAGCCCTATTGTTATATATTTAACCAGTAGTAGAAAGAACAGTCATCAATAAATCTGTTTTGACCGAATAACCTTATATTAATTTTATATAAATCTTTATTATAAATTTTTTGTTACATTATCATATTTAAGAAATCTCAGCCTTGGCAAATATATTAGTTGAAAATGCAAATAACATTGTGTTAAAATGGTGCTGAACTATACATAATATTCAAATACTAGAATATTTATTTTGACACCATTACTTTTGCGACCTTGTAACATATTACTGTTTCCGACATCAGCAATGTTATTTTTATTCAATGGCCTAAAAATTTTTTTCAATAATATCTTATTGTTGCTACGAGCTTATAATCAGTAGTTTGATCACAAATAATATTTATGCTGTTATTAATGTAGGTTAATGTACCAACACCCTTGGTTATTGGCTTAAAATAAGTTACCTATGTGATTATATAAGTATGTCATGACAGTATAAACATAATATTCTTTTATCCTAAACATATATTTAAAAAGTGATGAAAGTAACCTTTATTATCTCATATATACAGATTTTTCACCTATATATTATTATGTTTGTTGACCTACATAGATACGAATATAAAAACATATGATAATGAAAAAAATGGTTCAAAAAATCCAAAATTTCTTACCTAGCTCTCCAGCCACACATTTAAACCGTTTATTTATATGTTAATAAAAATTATATTTTCAAAAAATTATAATAATTTTATACCAATTTAAATATGAACATTATATTTATTATGAATTCAGAGGTCACTAATCCGAATACATATATACATTTGACATATTAATAACTTGACAAATATATATGCCTCTATTATGTAAATACAACTGAACTTATGTGTAGTATGATTATGTGCTTGTATAATTGGTATCATTATGATACATACATTGTTTTGTAATGTGTGTTATAATTTTTCAGAGAGTGAATGGAGTGGTGAAGCTCTTCGTATAATGGCTGGTTTGACGGCGGGTCAACTTTTACACGCGCAGGTCGCCGGCTACGACGAGCGAGGACTGCCGCTAGTACATCTTTATCTAACACTCAGTCCACAGGTATAACATATAATAATAGGTTTTTTCCCATTACCTCTACCTTGACTTTAGATTTGTGTTTTGAGAGAAACTTATAATGTGTTAATACATAAGTATGAATAAATACCCAGGCAGAATGAATACCGGGTTAAATTTATAGCCTATATCTCATTTTAATCCCTAACTTACATCACTGTGAAGTTTCATTATAATCTGTTCAGTAGTTTTTTCATTTACAATATAAGTATATACAGTGTAAACTCCATATAACGACACTCGATTTAACGACAAACTCTCTAAAGCGTCGAAATCATTAGACTTTGGTTGGTTTAGCTTGTCTACCATACAATGATACACTCTATATAGCATCACAGACACTCTCAATAACGACAAAATTAAGTATTAAAAAGTACCCTTTAAGTTGCTAAAATTAGTAAAATGCGCAGCTGTGTACGTTTTTTTGTCGCTTTGTTATCCTAGCCCGCAATAAACTCCACTGTCGTAATCATGCATACCAAACTTTCTAAGAAATTCGTTCTTCACCAATATGCCTCAATATCGCAAGATATGAATAAAATACGTAAAAAATACAACAACATTACTGGTGCAGCAAAACACGTCAAACAAAAAAAAACAGACTTTATAACATTTTTTTTTTATGTACATAAGTACTAACAGTAGTCTGAAACAAACTTTGTCTTTTTCTAATTCTGATTTTTCTTCCCTCTATTTAACGGCAACTCTTTATAACGCACTAAAATGCACGGTCCCTTCAGTGTCGTTATATAGAGTTTACACTGTAGTTGATGAAACATGAACTAGGGTAGTGTATTGAAATAAACAACATATTTATGTTATATAATAAAAATAAATCATTAAGATGTAAGTATATTAAAGAGTTATGCGAAATCTGCTCTACTTTTATACTCTCATTTATTTTGGTTACTAAGCTTTTCATTGTATTGACAATGAGGTTAAAATGCATAAGATAATAAGTGAATATTAGGTCAAAAATGGCAATGTTTTTATATAAATAATATCACAGCTGTAGTAATATAGACCGATATAATTTTTTATAGACATTACTTGGTAAAATGATGTCAATATTTGTTATATGTTATAAAATACATATATGAAAATTTTGTATCAGATATTAGATGGTAATTTCTGCTTAAGTCTGTTATACACAGTTTTATTTAAACGTGTAGAGAGTGTTAGATATTAGGCCTATATACAGGGTGACTGGTGAATTACTATCGATATTTGAGGACGTGATATTTGACGATCATATATGACAAAATAAAAATTAATATAACATAAATATTAATAAACTTCTAAGTAAAGTTAACCAAAAGTTGTGTAATTAATTACGCATCGTATGAACACCCTACAGATTAGGTATACACTGACACTCACACATACGCGTGTCGTGACGTGGTGTTGTATCAGCACGTCGCCGCACGCGTCCACACTTGAACACTTGGAACGTGTCAATACTTTATTTATTTATAGGGAAATTTTGTCAAAAATTAAGTACCTATTTTTTTTTACATAATTGGAATGAGAATCATATACCGAGTATTCTCCTTAAATATTGATAGTAATTCACCAGTCACCCTGTATTATTGTATGTTATAGTATGTAATATTTGTGTATGTTTCCAGCAAGTGATATTCCTGAACCGCGAGCTGGTGGACCGCGGGCTGGCCGAGTGGGAGGTGCCGGCCGACTCGTGAAGGACTCCCTACATAATGAGATTGCATTTCTCTACAACTGTTGACTCACGAGGAAGCGCGATCTCTCATTATGGGTCCCGCGTGCCCGGCGGCGACCGGCACTAGTGGCCTGATTAAATTAAAGTTTCCTTCAGTGACTTGTGTTTGATGCTGTATGATGTAAAAACTTATATCAGTTGTTAAATTTTAGGTATTGACTGGTTTCTACCACAGGACTAACTTACCGACTTCCTTAGTTACCGGCTCGTGTCTTTATTTTATTGTTTTATCATATTATCTTCCCGTTTCTTCTCCTACACACACTTATACTAGTAACGAAACAACTTGTTATTACTCGCGTTAACGACAAATATTATCTCATAGTTAAATTAGGAGTAATTTGACGCTTGTATAAGTTTATCAAAATATTGCGTTTTAGAGATTCATAAGTTGTTGTAATTTAATTAATTGGTCAGGATGCTCATTATAATACATAATAGCACTGCCATCTGCATTTTGCTACTATTTGGACTGAATTGCTATATTGCTGTTGTAATTTTGTATCATGTGCAGTGCCAAGAACGCACCTCAATGGACCTGAATTGACGGGCCGTTGTAACACGTCGACATCGACAAGTAAATCGTGGCCTTTTAGGAAAAATGTACTAATTTACTAAGTCTTTTACATACAGATTGTATATTTTGAATTGCACGAAATGCATGTTGTTGTATGCATTTTATAAATATATAATTTTTATACTACTGATAACATCGTTGATTTTCAGTAGCCGACTGTGACAAATTAGTTTTCGTACAAGTGTAATAATAATTAGGAAATATTGTTAAATAATTGTATAAATTGTATGGTACAATGTACTATCGTGTGACTGCCTAATGTGATGATATGTTGTGGTATTATAAACGGCGATGAAGTATTTTTTTTTCTGTACATATATCATCAACAATAGCCACATTGATTATTGCTGAATATTTTGCTTTCTTATACTGTTACCATATAAAATATTTTCTAGTTATCTCATTCAGGTTTCATTATCTTTTTCTTATATGTTGCTGGTTGTACTTTAGTAAACGGTAATACTTGGCCGTTATAATGAGCATGTCATTATTCCTGACTATAGTGTAATAATGTAAATAATAGAAATTTTAAGTAGTTACTAAAAAGCAATTTGATACTTGTGTTCTAAAAATTTATTCAGTATTTTCTAATAAGTTGGAAAATTAGGTGTTTGTTAGTGATTTGAGTTTGGTATGATAATGTCGTAGTGAACTCGCTGGCTATGGATACTTTAGGAAGAAATCATTTGTAGTTTAGCTTCGGGCCCGCGCGATAAGCGACTTGCATTGAAATCAGACGACGGTTTTGTTTATTTTTCGGAGTTCACGCAAGGAATTGCTAAAATCACAGTGTGAAGTTATATGTAGCTGGCTCTCAGTTTGCATTTGTTGACGTCCTTACTGTATATAAACTAATATATTTGCGGTTAAATCAATAAATTATCGTTTTAAAATGTCACGCATTTTTATTTCTCAGTATTCATATTAAAACTCATTTCTAAATAAACTATTCTTAAATTGATGTCCATAATAACAATAAATACTTAATAAAATGTTGTAAATGTATACTGTTCTGTGCTGTGATCTTTTATATATTCCTAAAAAACTATTGGTTCAATAAAGCTTATATATTTATTTCATTCCTTTTCATTGTCTTACTTAAATATCCGAATGTAATAAAAAAAGTACCTTTTTGTCTATGATAGTAAACTTCATTTGTTCAAAACTAGTTTGGCACGTTACATTAAATCGTTGACGTCATAAGGCGATGATCTTCCTATCAGGCCCAAATGTTGCGTCAGTCATTTAAAATTATAACCATACCCGGACTAACATACTAAGGTCAAATCTTGTATCTTCCGGTAAAATTATATAAAAACTTGTTTGTTAGGATGATAAAATCGGCTTAATATTCAACTAACCGTTCTGCATGTCGATTGGTACTTAAATGCTTACAAGCAAAAACAATGGATTAGTAATTTGAATACAATATTTTTTCTGATAAATATATTTGTTCAGGCTTATCAATAAGTAAGACTGCTGTATCACTCAGGTGGTACTTAATGTTACAAGATTTTTCTTTAATATTTATATTCGAATAAATTTGAATGAAAATACCGGATAAAGTGACTTATGATGTAACAGCCGAACTTTTCCTGAGTATACAGGAAATAGAATGATTACGGTCCGATGAGCACTTCGAAACAAATAACGTTTAGTAATATTTTTATCTCTTTAAAAACTAATTCAAAATTCGTCAAGTATAATTAATTTGTGAATATATTAACATATAACGTTTGTTTACGTAGTTCTATTTATTTGGTTAACTGTTAATGAACATCAGTAATTTATTTTCTTTTAGACGCATTATTTACAAACGTTTTAAAACAATTTTTCTATAGATTTAACAAATAAGATTATGTCATAAAATTTCCTACTTTAATTTTAGCCACAGCCGCCATATAAGAATCGTTGCCAAGAAGTATACAATAGCAGTGCAAAAGTTTTTTTTGCATAAAAAAATAAATTGAAACAATCGTTTAAAATTCTTATTTATTCGGTACGTTTAAAGCGACCTTTGCTTCGTTAACATAAAGGTTAAAATAATAAAAGTACTTTTAAATATAAAACATTTATTCAAATATTATGTATTACTGTGTTCTTATATATCCCAGTCCGCTTATATAATATAATAATTAGTCACTAACATTTCGAAATTTACACACAACAATAACACGTTTAGATAAAATGACTTCCCAATACAAACATCTCGTTCTTAGAGACTTGTCACTCTTTATCTTTGTGACATATTGGTATATAATTTAGTATTTAGAAGATTTACAAATAACAATGCCCATAGTGTGAGATTAATAACATGAATAGTAAAAGAAAAATGTATTCGTAACATAAAGAAGTACAAAAGTTATGACTGATTTGCTCGAGGTCTTACCACATTACCTTTGTTTTCATCTCACACACAGGTTTATATAATTTATTATCACCATAAATAACTTCAAAGAAAACAATATTTCATTTAATTCATTTTAAATTGTTTTAAAAACAGATTACAATTCTTCTTAACATAAACGATTCGATGCAAGTTTTACGAATTATAATAAAGTAAGGGTCAAATGTAAATTAATTAATACCGATGCTTCACGTAATGGCCCCGATAATGAATATCTAGTCACGATGACGTAGGACTTAAGGAATACATCGACGAATCGGAATATAAATGTTTAACTTGTTTTAATGACCCTCCATTTAATAGAATTGCTATTTAATCCGTCACTTTCATCATACGTGCGCAGGTTGTTTTAACTCCATACATCGGCTGAATATTTCTTCATGGATTCCAGTTTCTTAAGGAACTGCACGGCTTCGGTTTCTGAGCGACCTCCCTTCTCTTGAACGGCCTTGAGCACAATGTTACGGACGTCGACAGCCATGTTCTTAGCGTCGCTGGAAATATTAAATACATAAAATTTACTTAATACTTTGTTATTACAAGGTCATTACTAATAAGTTATATAAAATATGTAACCTACATTTATTATATCAATATTTATTTTTATTGAATGTAAGTAAATGCAAATATATCTGTCTATAAAAAGTTGAAATGTCATTGAAGAAGCGTGTTCAGAATTTTAATTCGTTCCAAAGGGCATTCTTTCTAAGTTTAGTTGTACTTAGAGGAAAATGTTGCTATGGTAATACATAGTTTGTCAAGACTAACATTGTCTATATGTTTCTATTTGTTTTGAAGGTCTCATCTTATTGAAAAATTAGTAGTTTTAACTTTTTTTACAAAAGACAAGAGCTAAGAGTTTTTTATGGACACAACCATAAAGGTTGATGGAATAAGATATTCTGACAATAGATTATCTAATATAACATTAATTTTCCATAAAAATTGTGGTCATGACGGCAGAAAACCATCATATGTCATAAAGCCCATTATTTTGACGTCGTAAATATGACATTTGGCGGTTGGAGCGTTTGTTGTTTACAAAAATCTTATGTTTCTGTATATAAATAGATAACCTAAGTTATTTATTATAAAAACTAACCCGCAAATATAGAAATGTCCGTTCCTTTTGCCGATCACGTCCCATATCTGTTCCAAGTTGTTCTCCAACAAGTGCGTCACGTAGACCTTCTTAGGCTGGTCGCGTGAGAAGGCCACGTGTAACGTGACGTCTCCGTTCCTCTCAAACTCTTCCAGTTCCTGATAATAACACATTTTATTACATACAAAAATTATGTTTTTGATATAAAAGATAATTTATAATAACATTAAACGGCGTCGACATTGATTCTGACCTTGAGTAATAAATTCAACGTCAGAGCATAAATTGGCAAAAAAAATAATAATTGTATAATATGGAAATGTATATAAATATTTATATATAGAAATATAATACCTCTTGGTAGATGTAGTCCTGGTCGCGATGCCTGCATCCGAAGTATAATATTGTATCACCGACTTCCTTGCCATTTATTCTAGCGTGGGATCGCTCTTGAAGGAAACCTCTGAAGGGAGCTAATCCCGTTCCTGGCCCCACCATCAACACTGGCGTCTGAGTCTGAAGGGGCAACCTTTAACAAACGTTTACATTACTACCTCATATTTCCATTACTATAATTATATAACATTTGTACTTCCCATGAAACTAAACCGTCAAGTAAATAACAGGTAATTTTTGTACCGTAAAAAAAAACAACATTAGTAATTTTTTTTCATTACTAGGTGTATGAGTTGTTGTTTTATGTATAATATTATAGTAATGAATTAAATAAATATAGATATAACTTAATGTATTATGTACATAATTAGTTACGTATGTCCCTGGTCCTATATAAATATTAATTAATAATTTGCATGCATATCAATGTGACGAATTTATATTATGGGTTTCGTAAAAAAATTTGCAAAAATAATGTAGCTGAATAATTTTTAAATTACAGATCATAGGAATTTGTATAATTAAATAAAAAAACATTATAAATAAAATAAATGTCCTGTAATCGTAAAAGGATATTAAAGAAATCATTTTTCAAGTCACTACGAAGGTTATAGTTTAAATTTTTTTTATTTCATTCAGTGTTAAACTGGTTTTGTGATAAAAAAATATTTCTATCGTATTTGTCTATGGATGCTCTCATCAATTAAAACAATTCATAATTTTCGTTAAAACTGCTTAAAGTCGTAATACTAGCCATTATATATTAATGTATCATCAATTTGTGTGATAATAAATAATAAGTTGGCGTCGCTGAAATATTATTATTTTACTTAATATAACCTTAGTATGACATTCATAGTTCAGATAAATCATTGTTTAAATGTATTCGTATTCTCGATTTACGAATGTCTAAACTGTAAGTGTGCAAGTATACTATATAAATTCATACTAAGAATACACAAAGATTACCTACGTTACACGTTAACAATGTGTTAGGTGCTTTGACAATACACAATCATAAACTGATTCAGATAAGATATAGCTATCGCAACATTACAATATATTAATTTGTGATTACTAAAAATGAGAACTATAACCCTGAGACGTGGGTTTTTTTCATTCTTAAATATATTATTTAAGTACGGCCTTGTCATTAAAGATTAAATAAATTTTTGAGCAAAAACTGGGTTAAAGTTTTGTAATAACTAACATGTACGATAAACCTGTTGTAGATTATGAGACTCGAAATAATTGGTGTTATCTTAACTTTTAATAATTGAACTCAATTAAGTTGATATTAAACCAACTACTTTTCTTTACCAAAAATTTGACACATGTTTAAAACACGAACTAGTCTGTTATATCAGTTAATCGATGTTTTCTGAATGCGAGTGTAATTTTATATCATATATGATATAAGGTATTAAATTGAAATTTCTACTTTATCGACACTAAATACACGTTGCTATATCAACTTATCTACATCTCTTCATATATATTCTATTCTTAGTATAACTTAAATAAACAAGCAATATTACAAAACTATCATATTCCACGAGTCTAAGTAATAATCAATTTTTGTCCAATTATAATATTACGATGTTATTATTGATGAAACTGCTCGTACATTATGTATGTGTGTTTGTTCGAGTTTTTTACCTGAACTGTGACTTTCTGATGTAGATGGGTACCCTGGGGAATGGTTTCCCTGGTTCAGGTTTGTTTTCCGCCAGCCAAGTCGTGGTGACTCCCTTATTGAGCCTTCCAGTCGGAGTCTCGTACTTAACGACCACAGCCGTCACGTGAACAGTCTCCGGGTACAACTACGATTGTAATTACTTCATTAATACAATTCTATAGTTGTTTATAACGTCATTATAAAATCCACAAAAAAATACCATCATGCAATTATAAATGAGGTTCAAAAAGTTATAAAAATCCGACGCATGGAAAGTTTTTTGAGGAAAATGATAACAGTCACAACCAAATTCTGTGGTTTTTCGTACATATTTTATATGCAATGATTTATAATTTTCAACTTGGTGTTATTCGGTTTGATAATCCTTAGTATTAAGAAGCTACTGACGTTTAAAACGAAAAATTGCTATTGGTTCGCTTATTAAATACCTACGTATATTAAAAAAGTAATACTGAGACTTATAGTTCTGTTATAAAGAGTAAATTTAATAATGACTTGAAAGACTAGTCATATCGTCCAAGAATATCTGGTATCAAATAAGCTTGTAGGCTAAATTTAAACTAATAGCACGCAATATCATTATAAATACAAATAGGAAACAAAATAGTTTTAGTAAGAACATCGCGTGCGAATCAAGTAATCTTTTTTTTATTTACTGAGATAAAAAACGATTTATAATTGATTTAATTTGACTTTTAAGTAGTGCTACGACTAGGACTATTTTGTTTTGACACAATTGGTGTAATGATATCTCAAGAAGATAATTTTTATCACGAAAAGTTGCAAGGTTATTATAAATTAGCGTATTAATTATAATCATTATTATATAATATTAGGAATATAAACGTGACGTTTAATTTGAAAACACAACACACTATTTTGGAATGTTTTTCCTCATTAAAAAATGTTTACAAATGCCATTCATAAATTCCTTTAGGCTCAAATATCTAGGGTAACTATGGAGGGGAACAGAAAAAATATTAACATTTTAGTTTTTCACCCCGCAATGAACCCCTGAGCAAGTCCTATAGACCTTATAATGAAAGTACGCCACGCTAATTTAAGACTAAGTCTCTTTTACCACCCGAATTTACAAGAATGAACTGAACTACCAGATGTATATAATATGTCAAAATAATATTTACATGCCAATGTCACTAAAGGAACCTTCAATACCGATAACACGCCCTAGTGACAACGCTACTATAATTAAATATAAGTATTAATATTGTTTTATTCATCTTAATAAATTAATAAAATATTTGTATCATTTTTTATTACGAATTATAATTTTTATATGTAAATAAAGGAAAGTGTCCATTGTCACGCGATTTTCTTAGTGTTTTATTACAAACACTGAGACGACCTTTATTCCGATTATTATGAGTTCGCATCATCACACTACATACGGAGCCTCAACAATTTTCCATTCATAAATTATAATAAAATGTAGTATTTTGATATATGTAATTGGCTAATGGGTCACAAACGTGAAACGCCTCGTATGTAGTGTGTGAAAACTTGTGGTAAGTGTGCTGAAAAGTTAAAAGTCATTGTACTAGATTCTGTTATCAGAATACATTCAATATCTTAATGTATTGTGTTGTTAAAACGAGGTTATATATATTAAATGTCTATTGAATATTGTATTTTTTTTTAAATATTAACATGAATTAACATACTTCCAATTTACAACTATTAATTTCTATTCAGTGACTTGGTACTTTAATATTTTAAGTTTTTTTATTTACTTTCAAATGTTTTTTGTATAAAATTGTAATACATTTTTTATTAAAAGTCTAAATATAGCAAAAAAAAATCATAAAGTAATCTCATACTATAGATCACTAATTATTCATACATACACAGGTGTTAAAAGACTAAGCATGTATCTTAAAGAAATTACCTTAGGACTTGATGAAATTGAATAATATCTAGGTTGGAGGCGAGGCAGCAGTTCACAGAGGTGATCCAGCGGTGGCTTGCAGGACTTCAGGTCTTCCAGAATATGAACTATATTCCTACAGGAGTCCACTACAAATGACTGATACAAGGCCTTCCCCTCTTGAGAGTTGGTTGACATCAATAGTAACTTATTCTTATCCTATACAAAAAAAATATATATTATATTTATGTGCTTTAAAGATATATATTATTTAAAGAATTAAAATATTACCTCATCTTCAACACAGTATTCAGCAAGCTCCCGCAAAATGTGGGTCCTCGGTAAAGCAGTTATTTCAACGTAATGTGATAGTGCAGTTCGGTACGATGTGGGGCATGGGAATGGATTCTTCTTAGTGCTTTCTTGATCAGTGTTGATTAGAGAGAAGACTTCATCTAGATCAGCACCCGTTAAAACACCAAGACGTTCTACTAAACCTCTATCGTTAATTGGATACACAGCCACATGATCACCTGATAAATAAATTGTTATTAAAATTATGTACTACCAAAAGTTCCAAGATGTAGCATTTAATTAAATTATATTAAATTCTTTATGTATTTATTGTTCCTAGTAGCAAACTGAATGACAGAAACTAATATAATAAAATGATCTACCAACATAGACTTGACATCATAATATTATTTCACAACATCAAGCAAGTATAACTAATACATAACATACATTAATGCTTTTCATATACACAATTAAGTTATTTACTGCAAAATAACTGACATATTTGAAATAATTAAGTAATATTCAATACATAAGAACATATCAAATACAATTTATTACCTGCTTCATATCTCATCTTCGAGTTTGAAATATCCAATTCAATGTGCAGACATGATCTATCACCACCTTTGTGCAATTCTTTATTTACGATAATTTGAGCTAAGAATGGATTTTTAGCATCAAATGGCCTGTTGAATGGAAATGTAATTAATAGTATTATAAATGAAGTTCAAAGTTCAATATTAACATATTTAATTGATTGTTATACACCTATCACATTTATATTAACAAAATAGCTAAATATTTTCTGAAGTGTTATTTAAAACATATGTACTCACACTCTCTGATTCTGGAAGGAATGTAACCGAGCGATTTCTCCAGTAAACACTTCGTTGGGAGTTATTTCATCGGGAGCGTGTGTTACGAGTCGGAATTGACGTGTCAGCTCCTCCTCGCCAGTACTTTCAATATTGTATTTCTCACAAACAGCCGGCCAGAATTTCTCCTTCCATGTGATAAAATCATCTTCAATACTGAAAAATAGTTTAATAATTTGTTACACTTTAAGTAACAAGCAAATATAACTATGTAATTGTGTAATAGTATGACTTACTTAGCATCATCATCTCCGAGACCAAGTTCAAATACTCTTGTAGCTCCAAGTTCTTCTAGACGCTTGTCTACATAGATCGCGACTGAGTTAAAATGTTCATATGTCTTATTACCCAAGCCAAATACCTATGAACATTAATAAAAAAATAAAACAATTATGTCTAATATAAATTAATAGTTATATATAGTTATAAATGAATAGAAAAGTTAAAAATACTAATATTTATATATACTTGCTTTCCTAACTTTTTTAAAATTAAAGCAAGACCTGCAACAGGTTAAAACAGAATATCTCAATTACCAAATAATAGCTTTCGTACCATGTGCTGGAATTTCAAAAGAGGTGATATAATTCTTTTCCTATACATACTCCTGATGACATAACTAGGTATATTTCTTAAAGAAAGACTTATAAACGATGAAAACATTATTACAACATACAACTTTGACGCTTATATTTGAAATCTTAAGATACATATGTCATATTGGTTAAGTATAAACATAGTACTTATGTAAAAAAATATATATTTGAGTTTATTCACAGCGATTCACATTATTAAAACTATCTTTAGCTGTAATATAACAGCTAATCTTTGGTTTCATTTTACTGAAGCAGATGGAACTAAATCGAATTGTTATTGACATTGACAGCTACCGTCAACTTGTCATAGACAGCGACCATTGACACTAGATACTCTTTTATTATCGATGTTGTGGCCTACGCGCATACTTGAATAAAACTTTGAAACTAAATTTATTATATTTCGTCATCATTATTAAAATAAAATTTAATATATCTAGTGGAAAATTTCCACTAATTTTAAATGTTTAATATAATCAGCCATTTACAAACAGTATTCATATACATATTAACATTTTAAAGAAATATAAAATAAATGCGACATTTATTCATTTAAGTAAAAAAAATCCTACATTTACACCGAGTAAATACAATATATATAAAAGTTACTATATTTGAAATTAGTTAGATAATTTAATGGTACTCACCGCGTAATTTAGTCCTGTTAGGTCAGGATCACCACTTTTTAACCATTCATAGAAGTCCATGGCGTTATCTGTAGGATCTCCTTCACCATATGTTGCTAAACAAAATACTGCTAAAGAGTTTTCGATATCTCTCAGCTTTGTTAATTCCTCCTTTAAATAAAAATACATAAAATGAGGATTAAGATTTTCAATAAACAGTAATAATCAATTTTATAAGAAGAAAAACTCATTGTACCATATCACATTCCTCAGGGTCGGCTACCATTCCTTTCATTTTGTAACGTATACCCTCTTTCGCTAATCGCCCTGCAAATTCTTCCCCGGTACCTGTTTGAGACCCATAAAATACCACTAGACTTCTTCCAGATGATTGCAACTTCTTAATAAAAGAATTTTCTGTAATTTGTATAGAACCGGCGGGCCTAAGGACAAAATAAAACGTATAATTTCTTGTTGTTTCAATTTCAGATGAACTTTTTAATAATAATATACTTTTTAATGGTTTTTGCTTCGTTACCATACTAAAATGATAGCTTAATTTAATGTTTTTGTATTTCTAACTCTCAGGAACATATGTAATATAATTTTGAAATTATAGCTTATTATTATTTTGATTTTGTTCATTTGACTTTGACCATTGTAAATGCGTAGCGGGGATGAAGTTATAATACTATTATCTTACAAATAAAGCGATTGCGATACATGACACGTGTTATTTGAAATCATGTTAAGTCATCACAAAACTTATCTTTGCTTTTGTATCGATAATATGGTTTGAAAAACTAATTTAAAATTATATTACACGCGTTTTAGGGCTTAGGAAAATTTTGTGAAGGGAAATGAGGAATAGTTATAATAGGGCGACTTTTTTATATTTAAAACTAATACAATGCAACTGACATAACGGTATTGACCATCATTTATAAAACTCAAAAGCCTGAAGGAGTTATTGGGAACCTTGAACAATATTGGACGGTTTTTGAGATTATCAGAGTCAAAATCGTTACTTATATTATAAAAAGGCACTAGATCATCCTGTTTGCCCATAAGTTACAAAAGCAGTATTATAAAAAGAGCTGTTTTCTTGTGGTGATGAGGATGAATTTCAAAGATTTTTAAAGAGTAAATTCAGTAAAAGTAAAGATTCCAATCAGAGTATACCCGAAATTGGTAATCATTTCAATTTTGTAATTTTCTGAATTAGAGAAGTGTTGTTAGGTTACCTTTGGACCCTATCACATTTGGAAATTCCAACACGACTATTCGCCACATGGACGCTTCTAATTGAGACCATTTTAGTTATATTGAATTTGAATACGACGGTCTTATATTAATACCTAGTTCCATAATTTATTTTAATAACAAATTAATGGTTGCTTCAGACACACCATTTCTTTTCGTAATTTTAACTTTATTTTTGGGGTTTTTACGTTTTTTACTTTTAAGGATTAATAGACAAAAATCTTTTTCCTATTGAGATTGAAAAATCTATATGTACAACGAAAGGTACACTATTTCTGTAATATTGTATTCAAATGCAATAAGTAATCTGAATTATGTTGATTGTAATTTGTGTAAAGGAGAGGGTTGATGAAGGTACCATGACAAGACAATGCTAATCTTACGAGGAAGTTATAAGAATATTATTGATATTTGATATCATTCAAAAGTATTTTTAAATATCATAATCTGACTAATATGTTTTTTATCACAGCTATAGATAAAATACGAATCTAATTTGTAGATTTAAATGAAACTATGCAAGGAACTGTTTTAAGGCAATCATATAAAATCGGAAATCTATTTTTTTCAAGGTTGTCTTACTTCCTTGTCCATGAATCTTGTTTCTTAGGTCACATGAATGCTTCCTTATGGTTGGAAAAATGCAAATAAATTAAGAAAAATAAAAGATATGTATAATTATCTAATAGATCCGTTTATAAAATGTAAAACAAAAGTATTTCATGATTACTTGCATCACGTAATACTATATGAGATGGAAATTTTACTTATCCATTGCAAACAGGTTTTATAAGTTTAGGTTAACAACCATTTAAATACACGTTTATGCCTGACGCAGATATGTTTCACTGGAATCTCCTTGAACATTAGTTTTTTTTATAATTATGTTTCTTTGTATTAAAAAGTATCTAGAACATAATCGAAGATATATTTATTTATAGGATTTTTATATATATTTATTTCAATAATTTATTTGCATACTTCGACGTGTTTAATACTAAAATCTAGAATGATCTTATCATGAGACTCCTTGAGGAAGTAAACTATTTATCTATTCGAATTACATTTACGCAGTTCAAGCAACAGGCAAAAAGTTGTGTATTAAAATTTAAAACAAACAAACAAAAAAAAATACAAATTACCATAGCAGTCTTCTTTTATATGAAATGAATTTAAAATAAAATGGATGACGGAAAAAATTTGATCTAAAATTTAAATTAATACTAAAACCTATAAAAAAAATTTGCAAGACGAGATAATAAAAAAAAGTTTATGATTATCAAGGTTGTCTTTTCAATGTTGAAATGAAAACGGAATATTGTGTTACGCAATTCGTTCAACATTATATGTATTTTTAAATTTTATACTGCAAGTGTTACATCATTTAATTTTAAAATAGCAACAATAATTGGGAAAGAATATTGACAGCCTTGCTTTAATTTGATACATAATGACAAAACATGACATTGGCAAAATATTCCACAAATTAAGTATGAAGAAAGCCAGTTCGAATGAAGCCATAGCATAAATAAAATAAACATAATGAATCAAGCCCTAGTTTAGATTTAAAAAAAATAGCAAAAACAATATAACCAGGTGGAGACCTGTAGGTAGTTTTATAAGGTTAGCCTAAATATATTCTTAAAATAATTTTATTACACTACACACAGACATTTGTGGTTTTCGTTACACTAATTCAGAGGGAGTGTAGTCACTAATAAAATATGAAGAATGTTTATGTTGCTATTTTTCCATCCTGTCTAGCTAGAAATTCTATTGCAGTTAGTCAATTCTTGAATTTTCTAGAAAATACAGTTAACCTTGCAACCTTTGAAGTATTAGCCAATGCATTACTAAATGAAATACGTATGTACATCGAACTTTTTTATTACTTAAGAAATTATTGATCCATTAATAAATCAAATATTTTTAATTAAAAAAAATGTAAATTAAACAATTAAATTTATCCAAAAACAGTATGAAATTGGTATTATTACTAGTACATATGAAAATATTTGTTTCTACCTATGTAAATAAGTAATGCAAATTGTTGTGGTTTTTCTGGTTTTTTAATAAAAAAACATTACAATATAATATGTAGTTGCTGATAAAGATTATGGAAATTAATAAAGAAGTGTAGATTGGATGTGCGGTATAGAGTTTGAAAATTCAAAAGAATTATGACGTTGACAGTCACATATCTTCTTCTTCTATATATATAAAAATGGATTGCTGTTCCTTAGTCTCGCTAAAACTCGAAAACGGCTGAACGGATTTATCTTATCTTAGTCTTGAAATATTTGTGGAGGTTCAGGGAAGGTTTAAAAGGTGAGAAAAATTTATTCATTTCCGGGAAAACCCTAAAAACAGCCCTTTTCTATTTCCCATACAAATGTTTTCTTTGAAATTAGATTTGACAACTAACTAATATGTCAATCATTCTGTTCGATTAAAACAGGAAAAACCTGATTATTTATGGCCTCTAGGACGGAATAGAGTTCGCCCGGTCAGCTATACATATATTACTAATGATGAAATTAACGCGGACGAAGTCGCGGGCAAAAACTAGTCTTATTATAAATAGTAAAAATGTCTAAAATAGACGAAAAACACATGTCTTGAAACAATTATAAAACTCTTGAAAAATATTATCTATTGTCACTGTAGCTACATCCTATACCTAAAATTATATTTTCTTTTATTATTGATGACTTGACGTTTTTGTAAATTTAATATAGGTACATAACTTGTTTGATATTTCTGTATGAGCAGATTTTATATAATATAAAAAAAAACTAATATCTGTTTCATGTCCTAAAAATAAAAATCCATTTTTATATTTATTGAACGATAGAAAAAAGCACAGCTTATCAGAAAAGAAAAATAATAATAAAACGAGGAACATGTTTTTTGTTTATGTTGTTAATTGAAATTGAAATTGAAATTGTTAATTAATGTTATATTTTATAGCTTTAAGTCAGTGGTGGCTCAGTGGTTAAAGGGCCCGCCTCTCGTTGCCGAGGGCGCGGGTTCGATCCTGGCCCGGGCAAGTACCAATTTGATTTTTCCGAATCATATGTACTTTCTAAGAATATTTAGACATCACTGATTAATGTTGATTCCCAAAAAGAGGGTTGATGTCAGGCAGGCGGCCGGTCGTAAAAACAAATAGCCAAAACCATTCACAACATGTTAGGCAGACCCTGGCTATAGCTGGGAAAAATTGCCAGGTAGAAGTTATATTTTATAGCTATTTGAGTAACTTTTAATTTTATCACTGAGAGTACAGGAAATCTTAAGTCAGGCCTCTTATTCTTTTACGACAATCCATTTTTTCTTTAATTTTTCCTTATAGTCACTAGTCCTCATAAAGGCAATACATATGAAGATTTAACTATAAGTAGGTGGTTGAAGCAGAAGCAACGATCAACAAAACTGTTTGTCAAAACTTCATGCAGTCACTGCACAACATTACTGTGGTGAAAAACTCAAGACCCTTCAAATAATATTCAACAGAGTGATTCCCGAAAGAAGAAGACCTCAATCATAGACAAAGGAAAGTGGTGTCTTGTTGTGTAAATGTATGAAAATAATCTATTTAAGTCTTACAGACCTAGTACGACTTTAAGCAATGTTTATAATTTTTTCTCGAGGATTACCACGAACTGTCTCGATTCAATTCGCTGATGATATCGTATTCATAAACCAAATACTGAGCAGAGCTATTGAATGAAAAGGCTTGACAATCGAAAATAATATGGACAATAGTAAGGCCATGTTCCAATCCAGTTGCAGTTTAGAATAGGGAATTCTGTCATCGAAGTTGTTAACGAATAAATGTACCTTGACCAAAACATCCAAATACTTAAATCCAAATTCATTAAGCATCAAAATGACCGATAATCTGGTAAGTAAAAAGTGATCAAGGTGAATTATGAAGAAACAAGAACGGGATCGTGGTAGAAATTGGGGACAGTCTAAATCCAGCAGTGGGCATTCCCAAAGTGGTATGATGTTGGTGATGAAACTGTAACAGCTTTTTCAATTGATATAAATCCTATAAACAAGACCTTCTATAGCCAACTAATTTCATAATATAAAAAAAGATAAATATAAATAATAGAAATACAGTCAATTCTTTAAGACACAACATATTGAAAAAAATTAATGTACACTCGAATAGAATCTATTCAATAGACGATAATTAATGTACCAAGTAGGTAGTCCTCCATAAATTTACAAATAAGGTTGCAGTCAGGTAATAAAAAGCACATTAAAAAACATAAATTATAAAAAATCTATGTTTTTATTTACTAAAGTATTTTTTAACAGTCACAAGTAAATTTTTTTTTGCAAACCAAAGGTCAAAAATTATACCAAAAATGTAGTACAGTAGACGTAATGATGGAATCAAAACTGAACTTTGATATAAATACACAAAGAAGTTTTTGTTTCTGTATTTAACCATCAATGACATTAATACATCTAATTATTATTATCTTACTTATTTACGATGTTTATTACCTACTATTTAAACAACAATGTTATCATTAAGAATATTAGTAATAACAATAATAAAACTATTGAATCGAGTGTAAATGGCTTGAATATCTGAAACGGAACTAAAGAGATAAGAGCTTTTAGACAGAAATCGTATCTAGATCCGGTTACAATAATCTATGCAGAATTGCAATATTTACAACTGAAACCAATATATTTTTTTAGTTACAAAATTTGAGATATAGTAAGCAGAAACCAATGTAATTTTTTAAGAATATTAAGATATATTAAGAGATACTAAATTATCTAATATATTGTAAGTATGTAGGTGAGTAGACAGACAACGTAACGATATTTTAAATAACAGTTTTTTTTTTATTAATTCAACTTGTTGATATTTTTCTTTCTTTTGTTTAATAAAATGTTGCGAAAACCACATTACTATAATTACTTTAATTAATAACAATAAGTATAAAGATTTATTGACAATAAAAGAACAAATAATGCGAAGGAACTTCTAAGTACATATGTGCATATATTTTGTAATATGAATTTGTTTCTCATTATGGTGATTGGTAATGTTTACCAGATTAGCAATAACAAAATGAAGTAAAATTATCTAAATTACTAATGTAAGTTCTCAAATTTATTGTTAAACATTACTGAAATTTTAAGAAAGCTGCTTATATTTTTTTGCATCACAATACCTACATCTAATCTCACTACAAGCCCTCTATTTCCGAACGCAAAATGTAATAACCTGGTATTTCTAATATTTTATTCCTGCCAAATAACAATTTATCATAACTCGAACAATAATTATTATAACAATAATTGAAATCTTCAAACACTAGAAAAATTCGTAAATGAGAATTCCGGGATATCGCGTCACAGCGGCTGCTACAAGATATAAGTGTAATAGGTTTATAGAATTCTTATTTCACTTACTTATGTAAGAAGTAAGAACACAAATGGCAGAGGGAAAGCGGCTGAAATAGAATATTCCAGAAGTGACCAATGAAAACCTTATATGTATAGACTAGATAGTACTACTTTGCATTCTCTTATAAAATTTTATTTAATTAATCTATCAATCATAGATAAAAAATAATGACTAGCCAAAATAATGTTACTAACAACGTATTCGAATCAAAAAACTAAATTCAGCCTAATTTAATGATCCAACAATTGACAGAGGGAAGCTGACTGTGCGAGTAGTCGCGTACATAAATTGCGGTAGTCATAAATAAATTTGGTAGGTACGACGTCTCCTGCTGTATAAAGAATAAGTTACATTTTGCATAGATATATTGAAAACTATGTAATACACCTTACTGGCGAAGTTTCTGTGTAAAAATTCAGTAACTTTACTTCTATAAAATTCATTCCATGTAAAGTGTTATTTATGATTAAAATAATGATTTCATTGTAAATAACAATCTAGGTACTCTAGAATAGTTACATTGTTTTAATCTACTCAAATTTGTCAACTATATATCATTAACAAACATTGATACTTCCATAGAGCAAAATGAACATTAAATTGTGCAATCGTTACCCAAGTTTCTAATTTATTGAGAAAAAAATATAAAAAAATATATTTTTTATAGGGACCTAAAATGAATGGTTATGTAAATATACAATGAACTTGTTCTAGATGGTGTTTCTTAAATTATGATTAATAGCAATATTTTTTCTTATCTTTTTTTAATTTATTAAGGGCAAAATATTAAATTACAAACTATGTATTAAAGTTATATAGTTAACAACCTGATCCTTTTGTTAATAAGTCAGAGATAATATTTAAAATATGACAACACTTTCAATCTGTCAAGGAACGACATGTATAGACTAAACCGTGATTTGCGAATGCAGAAGTCATGCTCGTATATAAAATAAAGGATATTATTACACATTGGAAATTATCTTTAAAATACTTACTGAATTGAATATTTGCTAAGAAGTAAATCATCCTTTTTATTCTCCTTTCTGGATGTGTAAAGCCACCAAAGAGCCGCTCCAAATAGAAATATAAGCATAATTATATCAAATGTACTAAACAAAGATCCACCAACAGCAGCCGCTGCTGCTGCTTCCTTGAGGATATCCTGAGTGTTGTCTGACATTGTTATGGCGTCGGTTTGATTTATTTCTATATAGACACTAGTTACATACAATGTGACTATTAAGTGTATAGAACCGCCACGAGAATAATTAACTTAACCCACACATCGACCACACGGCTTACTGTTAACACAAGCCAAATAAAACTGGTGTTCCTAGCGGCGGTGTCTGCCTGCAACGTATTATCTGATGTCGTGACCGAATAACGTCGAACTGAGTGAGCGAGAACAAGCTATCACATCGACGACGTCATTCTTCGGCGGACATAACGAGCACCGAACGAACAGGCGAACAGAACGTGAGCCCTCCCGCGTAGTTAATACATTTAAAGTTTTACAAATAACGCAAGAAGAACTACACACGTGTCATGGAAGGCTACTCATATAGTTGACCGTCACTTCTAGTAAAGTTGTTGCGCAATTTATTAATGATCATTCTAGTGGATTACTTGTGCTGTTTGTGAAAATTTTAATATCACTTAACTAGGTCTAAAGCATTACTTTGTAATATTTCTTATAACTAAGGCAATTATAGATTATAATAAATAATTACTATAGTCAATCGATACTACTTTATATCAGATATCCGTAAGTCTGGATCAAATAACAGTCGTGCGTTTCGCAACAAACATCTATTGGAAATCTTATAACATTTTTTCACATTATTGTTCTGATCAAGTTTAGTTCTTAAATGCTTTAATTTAAGACACTTTAGAACAATTAGATACTGATTTCTATAGATCAATATCTAAAATTGTTAAAGTTTATTGCTCTCTTCGCTTTCAATTTAATAGTTAATGTTATTTAAAAAATCCTTATGTCAAATAGCTAAACATGTAGCTAGTGTGAGCGTACTTAATATTAATGTTTGTAACTGGATGACGCAATAGGGGTCAGCCACTCAAGGTGAGGGCCGGTGGGGAGTGTCGCGAAACAGCTCTTTTGTCTCCCCAACCTGGTAACACTAAGATAATCGTTTTTATATAAATAAAACATTGTCTTCGTCCGCTCTAGGCTAAACGTTTTTCATAAACAGCTCAAGTAAACAAGTTTAACTATTTATCTAACACATGCTTACTAAAAAATAGAAATGTTTTGATAGACCAAAAGAAAAATATGTATTCTTAATGGTAAGCATCATAAAAAATTTAAAGTGAAAATTTTTATAGCAAGTAATTGAGAAAGAAATAATATCCCATTTTTATTAACCGCGAGTAGTCATGTACTAACTCGCACTTGTACTAAATGGAGGTCATGCCTTGTAAAGCACAAGATAATATTGTCGCAGTATAATTTATTTTAATAGCAGGTATGGTTAGCCGTACTAACTGTTCAAAAGTACTTGTTTTAACCTATTATTTCAAAATTCATTTTGTCATGAACTGAAAGTACACGGGTAGATATTTTCATATTGCATTTAATACTCTTAACATAATATAAATAAATATGTTAAGGAATCTCGTTACAAAATCAAATTATTGGACCACGTGACAAATAGCGGAGCATGAAGACAGTCCGGTTCATGATTTATGGGAGTTAAGATATCCGAAATTCCAATTTATCGGAATATGTATACTTATGACCTTAAAAGCTTTTGGGTTCTAAAAAATTGTTATAACGATAAGACTTAAACCTACCCCAAACAAGATAACAAACTTCAATCTATGGAATTTTTAAAATGAATCCCGAAAGATATCTACTGAATGATGTTTATTGTCATGGCAAGGTACAAACTGTGCTATTTAAGAAATAAATTTTTGGGAGCTCTTTATCTCGAAAGGTATTTTTAGGAGATTTATGGAAAAAAAGTCATTATAATATGTTAAAACACATCGTAAAGCTGGAAAGTGAGAGGATAAGTTCAACAAATCAAGTAAAAATTTTTATAGCAGATTTTGTTGACTTATTATTACATTCAATTTATAATTAGAATCTCTTGGGAGACAGTCTACTAAAAGTTGAGTGTTCTCCTATATGAACAATGAACACATTTTATCTAGTATGCTTAAAAAGTATCATACAAAAAATTACCTGTATCTGTTCTAGCAATAATGAATAAACTAAAAAGGTCTTGCAAATGTTTAGGAGGTTCCTCGTATTAATGAGTTCATCTTTTCTATATCATCTTATATATTTAGTCAATTACTTTTATAATATAACAGCTAAGAAAAAAAAATGTTTATGTTTATCTGGACATATTTTGAGAATCCTTTATGATATGATTTTCTAGTAACTACTTCATTACAACCTGTAAGTTAGTTATTTACTTTATTACTATTTTTCTTCTACCTGGCAATTTCCCGGCTTTAACCAGGGTCTGCCTAGTCTTACTTTATTACTATTACTATTACAAACGAAATTCGCAATCCTTAACTATTAAATACAACTTTTCTTTTTTTTATGTTCCAATCAACCTAAAGTTTCTACGCAATTCAAGAATACGGATAGACACATGAACTTTACACACACACATTAATTTTGTGTCCTTCAATTGGATGTCGAAAAATTATAAAAACGTGATTGTAAAATCGTTAGAAACCGTACAAATGTACGTGTATTTAGAACCTCAGCCAACACTTCAATATGACTGATAAAGGGTAATCTAGGTACTTTTACCTATCCTTCCGGAGCTAAAACTGATGGAAAAGTTTGTTACACGTTTTGTTGGAAATTAAAAGCCTTTATAGGTAATTAGTTTTTCAACCTTAGAAGTTTTGAACATGTGAAATTTTAACTCCTACGTATTCAACTCGACGAACCCTATGTCTGCTGTAAGTCAACTTTTAAGTTATTTATTATGGAGAACGTGCGAGACGTAAATGCAAATGACCGTACAGAGTGCAATTGTGTGATGGAAAGTAATTAGAATTTAAGAGTGACTTTTTATGTGGCTCGTCTGTAATAATTGGTCATCATCTATAAGCTTATGACCCGATTAGTCATTTAAATCCTTCAAGAATATGTTATGTCCTCTGGAAGGTTAATTGGAAATGATTAGAACGGATTGTAAGTCACGAACACACCGCGATCGTATCGTGGAGTAGTTTTAGGGAGATTAGTTTAAAAAAATAGTATCTGCTATCAGGCCCACTCAATGGAGACGATTTGTGATCGATGATGATGATTAGAGCAAGAGGACTCATTAATAAACAGTGCAGGAACAAACTTTAACAACTTGAAATTTCTAATGTCTGTGTGATTCTAGATAATCGAAAAATAATGGTGTTGTTTTACTTAATTTTGTAAAAAAAAACATTAGAAAAGTTAATTGGATTAATTTAAAGTAGAAGTACGTTCTATTTCTATGGTATAGTAATAAAAAACTAAAATAGTGAAAATCTTTATATTTGGCAACAAGCAAGCACAACTAAATAAGACAATTGTTTCTTCTATATTTTATAAAAGTTATTCAATATAATATTTATTTTAACTTTTAGTAGATTACACAATCACATAATGTTGGAGTTTTTCCAAGTTGTATGGGGACCTCCATTGTACATCACAAAACCTAAAAAAGAAAAAAGTATTTTATATTTCCTGAATACATAAGTCCACTGTGTAAAAGTAATGATAATTCAGAAATGTGTATAATTGATTTCATCCTCAGTCAAAGAGATTCCCACAAAAACATGTCATCATAGAATTTTAAAAAACTAAAATTAATTATTTAGTTACATATAAAATTACCTCAAAGAAAACTTAGTAACTTGATAACAATGGAAAATAAATTGATTCTTACCAAATAAGAATTGTTTTGGCGACATCTTCTTTATTATTCTTCATTGCTAATTGTAACTCTCCCTGTGTGTTGTAACTATTCTGAAAAAATAATACAAAGGCTATAATATTTGCAAATACATATATGCATAGCTCCACATGTATTATTATTAAATGCTGAATCTCAGTTCTCCATATAAATTTTGAATGAAGGAGTAAGGTTAAATTCAATCAAAACAATATATGAAAAAACAATAATTTTGCAAGTGTATTGGAACTGAAACAATACACCCAATACAATAAAATGTGAGTGATGGTGAAGTTACTTAATACTACCTTAATATAACTTAGGTTCATTGGAAGTTCATGACATGGTCTTCAATATTCAATACTTCTCGGCAGTCCATGCAGATTCCTTAATTGTGCTACAATAGTTATAGTTTCATAAACTTACTAATTAACAATAAAAACATACCTGAATTATCTCAATACAAACTTCAGACTGAAAAACGTGTTAATAAAACAATATATCTTTTATTATTTTTTTTATTCTTAGAAAATATTGTACATATGCTTATATGATTCCAATCTTATTGGCAACGTCTAACGCGTCGTAGTCTCTTGCGAGTCGTACATACGCCTTCTTTTTGCCGTCAGGTCTAAAAAGGAAAAATGATATTACGATTTAGAATAGTTCTATACACGAGAAACATGTTTTTTTGAATAATAGTAATTCAGAAATTTGTATTTGTTGATTTCATCCTCAATCAAAGAGATTCCCACAATAACATATCATCATAATATTTTTGTTTTATATCAGTTATCATATAATACATTAAAGGCATGCAACAACGAGAGTAAAAATTTTTATATTCTATTCACATATTACATACTTCTCATGTAAAATGTTAATTTAAAATTCAAGCATTTTGGAGGTAATTATATGGCACTGGTCAAATGACTATATGGTGAAATGATAAAACATTTGACTTCAGATTTGACAAAATCAAAACAATTATCATTTCATATTATGTTATGGATATGTAAAGACATGATGATTTTGACATCAAAATATATCACAAAAGTGGTATGATTGCTATTAAATCATACTGGTATAAAAATGCTCAAAACTAGTCATTAATGAATCTTAAATTTAAAAAAAAGCATAAAAGTACTAATAAATACTTTACATGAGTTATATTTAGTACAAAAATTAGTTTGCCTGACAAAATATTTCATATGAACGCTGAAGTTCTAATATCTCCAAAAGATTATTTTTATAAAGTTGCAATATATAAAAGTTTGAGCAGAATATAGTTATTCTTACCGGATAAGAGTGTTCACTTTAGCCACATTGATGTCATAAAGCTTCTTCACAGCAGCTTTAATGTGGTGCTTGTTGGAGCTGGTGTGAACAATGAATACCAAGGTATTGTTGTCCTCAATCTTCTTCATGGCTGCTTCAGATGTCAACGGATATTTAATAATGTTGTATGCATCCATACTGAAAATTAATATATTTGCTATGTTAAAAAGAAAGTTATCTATATATGAAGAAGAATATTCATGGTTAACCTTTCATTTAAATAATAAATTAAATGAATAAGTGACTCACCGGTTCCTCTTCGGCAATGACTTCCTGGGGTATTTAGGATTCCTTGGAGGTTCAAAAGTCTTGGGTCTACGGAAGTGCACAGACGTGCGGATCTTACGTACACGCTTTCCATGTTCACCTTTGACAACCTGAAAAGTTAATTTAGCAATGTTTTATCCAACATACACATTGATGAACAAACTGAGATATGATAGAAGGTAAATTAAGTTTTACTACAATTATTTAAAGTTAATAGTCCCTTACCTTACGTTGGACTTTAAGGGCTTTTACAACTGGTTTAACAACTTTCTTCTGTCCCTTGATGCCGGTCTTCTTAGGCTTGGGTGCAATCTTAAGTTTAGCCGCAGCTGGTTTGGGCTTGACTGCTTTGGATGCAGCCTTCTTCACAGAGGGCTTTGCACTGGACTTAGCCTTAAGAGCTGCTGCCTTAGCAGAGCCTGGCTTGGCGGAGGGTGCAGATGCTGGTTTCTTTTCAGAGGGCTTGGCAGCGGGTGCCGCTTTAGCTGGTGCAGCCTTAGCAGCGGATGCAGCTTTGGGTGCTGCAGCTTTCGGCGCAGGTGCAGGAGTTTTAGCGGATGCTGGTTTAGCAGCGCTGCTACTTGCAGATGCAGCCTTGGGTGCCGCCGCTGGGGTTTTAGCGGAAGCGGGTTTCTTCTCAGCGGGCTTAGCCCCGGACGCCCCTGAAGACACATTCAATAATTAATTATTATGTTAAACAATCAAATGTAGTCATAAGAGCTGCTTTAAAAAATATCAAAACATGAAACCTATGTAGTCGACCTAACCTCAACAAACACAATATAATTTTTTAAATAAATTCATTCTATCGATCTTATTCATAAGAATAAAGTAAAATGTATAGAATTATAAATATCCAACCAAGAATAACTTTTAAGTAAAAACGTACACTTGACACTATTGATATATTATGTCCATACCGCGTGGCTTACAGAATACCACAGTACAAGTAATTTCACTGATAAATATTAACTTACATGATCTAACTGTAATTTATATAATTAGATACTTAGTTATTATTTAAAAACATAAAACTAACGCTCTCTCAGAGAAAATCTTTTAGAAAATATAAAACATACCGGATTTCTCTGGTTGCTTCTTAGGAGGCATCGTGACAAAAAGATGGAGACTAGTCCTAATTGCCAGATGAAAAATTCTGACATATGCTCTAAATATTTTTAATCTTCACGTTTTGCATAGACTATAACAATGAGGTTTAGGTGTATCAATATGATAATAAAAAAAACCCTAATTGCGATGAAAACGTTTGTTATAAGAAGTATAAATTTAAAATTTCAATAAATATTTATTCCTATTACAGTAACATTACGTTACATTTTCACTGAATTCTGTATGTGACACAATTTGTTTTCATAACTATCCTATAAGTGTAATAAAAAAAACTGCATTGTAATTTTCGTGGAATTTATGATGTAAATTTTAAAGTAGGAACACATATTCTATATTGTTGTCATTATTTTTAAATTAATATGTAAAGAGCACAAAGATATGTATATCATTTGATGTTTACTTGTATAGTCTGTAGTCTATACATAAGATGCGTCAGATATGTCAAGTTAATGTCTAACTGCTTGATGCTGAGAATATTATGTAATTTATAAATATAATTATCCGGAATCAGAAAGTTGTAATGATTGGTCGAATAATTAGACAATTCTCCGATTCAAAAGCTGTTATGACATCTCGTCTTTTGTATAAATTCTTGTTAAGAGAGTGTGAAAAGTTGCCGCCGGATGCTTGTAAACATTATAAATTTGCTGTCAAACAGGTAAAATAGATGCTTTTATTAGCAAAATTTTGATAATGGTATTTTGTAAATTGTAAAGATTTCTATAATTACAGAGTTATAAGCAGCATAAAACTGAATCTGATCCCGAAAGAATTAAGGATATAATACAAAAAAGTGTTGAGGATGCTAAGTGGATTGTAGCAAAGGTTAATAAACATAACATAAAAATTATTTCCTACAGATATTACTTGAATTTCTATTTATATAATGTGATTTTGTTTTATTTTCAGTATACAAAGAAATAATGGAAAAACCTGTAAAAATAAATATTATTAAATTACATAAAAAGTATTATATATATTATTATAAACAAATATTATAATTAAGAAATATGTTTGGAGATAGAATAGAAGAATATGAACTGCTTGAGCATCTCGGCAAAGGTGGATTTGCTCATGTGTATAGAGCAAAATGTCGAAAGACAGGAATTTTTGTTGCCATCAAGATGATAGATAAAGCTTTAATGGCCAGTGCTGGTATGATTGGAAGAGTTCGACAAGAGGTTACAATACACTCTCGCTTAAAACATCCAGCTATATTAGAGTTGTACACATTCTTTGAAGATGTACATTATGTTTATTTAGTATTAGAACTAGCACATAATGGTGAATTAGCTAAACATTTCAAATTGGGTACGAGGGGCCTTTCTGAAAAGGCTGCTGCTGATATATTTAGACAAGTTGTGAGTGGAGTTTTATACCTTCACGCTCATAATATTATTCATAGAGACTTATCTCTAAACAATTTGTTGTTGACTAAAGATTTGAATGTGAAAATTGCTGACTTTGGTTTAGCAACCCAGTTGAATGCTCCAGACGAAAAACATGTCACTATGTGTGGAACACCTAATTACATATCTCCTGAAGTAGCATCAAGAGCTATGCACGGTCTCCCCGCTGATGTTTGGGGTCTAGGATGCATGCTATATACACTTTTAGTGGGTAGCCCACCATTTCATACACAACATGTAAAAACTACTTTAAATAAAGTAATTAATGCTGATTACAAAATTCCATCTGAGATATCAATGCCAGCTCAGGATTTGTTACAAAAGCTTCTATGTAAAGATCCTTCAAAAAGGATTACATTGAAAGGCATCATGGAACATCCATTTTTAAATAGCAGTTACACCAGCATCCCAAAACATGAGTTATCAAGGGACTCAGGTTTTCTGACCACATTGCATAGCACTCAACATAGCCAGAAACCAAGAATAGAAGGAAAATCCAATTCAGATTACTTATTTAATGAACCTAACAATTTTAAGAAAGAATATGATAAGGAGAACTTATTATCAAGTAAATGTTTTGAACATAACTCATACAATGTATTTGAACCACAGAGTAACTGTGCTTCCTCTGCTTGTGAACCTCTGAAACTGATGAACCTTCAAAATGTACAGCCACAAATAACTAGTCAAAATTATGCAAATTCATGTGAACCCATAGAGATTCCATGTATGAAAAACTTGGACATTAAAGGTGTCAAACCTGAAGAGAGTAGTTCTAGTGACAAAAGATCTGAGCCAAAGCAATGTAAAATTACTTCAAACGTTTTGAGTGTCCCCCCGCTTTGTGCCGACAGACTTCCCACTATCTCACACAGGACAAGAAATGCAATTTTAAAAATTGATTCTTCTGAGGTAACTGTTGAATTCCTTAAACGAAAAGGCAAAGAAAGAGAGGAAAGAGTAGCTGAAGTTTGTAAAATATCGAAAGACGGTATGAGAATAGTAATTTACTCGGTAGACAAAGAAAGGGATAAAGCTTTTACCACCGAACACAACCCCAATCCTAATGAAGTGTTTTCATATCACAATTTACCCCAGAAACATTGGAAAAAGTATTTATATGCAGCTCGTTTTGTGGAACTAGTAAAAGCAAAGACACCCAAAATAACTCTTTATACACCTCTAGCAAAATGTCAGCTGATGGAAAACGGCACAGATATTGAAATGTTTTTTTATAACAACGAAAAAGTTACATTTACATCTGCAGAAGGTTTAAAAGTCATAGACAAAAATTTAAAAACTTACCAAAATGCAAAATTTGTTCCGGAATTAAAATATTTAACTGATCATTTTGAAGAATGTTCTAATAGGTTGAATAGGATACAAAGTGCTCTATCATGTATTCCAGATGAATGTTTTCCTCTTATAATTGGAAAAAGACCAGTTCAGCCGACAAGCACAACCCACAGTGTTACACCCTCATTGCAAGGGTCTGAACCCCACTTTAATACACCATTGTATAATTTTGGATCATTTCATCGTACAACTTCCTGTTCCAGTCGAGCAAAGAGCGAAAATAATATTCTTTAAAAATAGCAGTGATGAGAATTAACTATAATTTTTATAAAAATAATTTAATTTTATTTATATAGTAATTTTTATATGTTTAGTTTTAGAAGAGTACAAATTAAAGCCCATCGCCAATAAATAAAAACTTTTCTTTTTATGAAAACCTGATTTATTAGTTACCAAGATTTGTCCTATTTCTGAAAAAAAAAAATTATAATATCAAAAATAGAAGAATTTTACTTCTCATGTCTTAGCCATCTTTGGCTAAAAGGAAAAACTAAGGAAATAATGTTTGAAATTATTCCTCAGTTCAATAAATAATTGTTAGACAACATGAACACTGACTAAACAAGCAGAATTTTATAAAAAGTGGGTGCTCTTAAAGGAGAAGTAAATTGACTAGGAAGTTGCGTTTGTCAACTTTTTAGCTATAAAAGAAATAAAACTCCAATTAAAAGTTACCAAAGTAAGTTTTACAGTCATTAAAAACATTACATTTTATGGTATTTTGTTTATTTCTGGCAACATTGAACTAGGACTAAGCATTGAATAAAACAGAACAGCAACAGCGGCGAGAAGTACCTACATTGCAAATTAGAGTTATAGATAACGTAGATTTAAAAATAACGTAGATTGGTAAACAATTGCATTTTTTGGCAGTTAAATAAATTATTCTTCTTAAGAAAGTGATATTTATTTTATATTGTCAATTTTAGTACATATTGGAGTGCCAAACATCTAATTGATGCTATATATCGAAGTGAATGACACAAAATTTTAGTATTTTTTCACCATAATATAATTGCGAAATCTAAATACATACATATTTTTTTCAATTCCCGTTTAGAAATTAGGATTCCTACTTATTTATTTTTTCTCAATTATTCAGACAAAAAGAATCTTGATTTGAGATACTATTCTAAAAATATTTTTTGTAATACTCATAGTCTAAGTGTCATGAAGAAATAAACCTTAAATAATAAACAATATATTTCATTAACAAAAAAAAATAAATATTGATATAAGTTTATGTAAAACAATAAAAAACTGGTTGACTAAATTGCTGTAAAATTCTATATTTCAGGGTCACTCCGAAAAATAAATACAAAGTTGTATTATTTAAAAAAAGAAACATTTTCTTTTTTATTGCATATACATTGGTTTACGGGAGTTCATATTTTTAAGAACATAATATAAACATTTGTTAAAATAGGATTAATTCGTATAATAAAAAAAATATACATATATAAAATTACTATTTTTTAATTTCCTGACAGCTAAAAGCTGCATATTATTTGTTTAAACGTTTTTGGTAGCCATGTCTGCAGGGCCCAATTTGGCATTTAAAGGATAATATTTTGTATCTATATTAAGATAATTTATTTTATCTGAATAATTGTCTGTCCATTGCATTTCAATTTTCATTGCAAATGCAAGTGAGTATTTTCGATGTTCCGCGTTCGTAAAAGTGCTTTAAACGTTAAATAATAACAAAATTGTTAAAGTATATTCAATATGTCGTGAGTGCTACACGAGTGTATAGTAAATTAGATAGCTTTTACATTATATTTATGATTCATCTGAAGATTAGTATTATGATAAGTCGATATTAATTCACTTTATGTTTGTGATTGTGTATTACTTCGATAATGATTGGTTAGGACTAATGTGGTATGGCACTTGTAACAATTCGTCGTACTCCGAGTGTTCAAACACCAAAGAAAGCGGTGAGTAACAATAGCGGATGTGTAAAGTTAGGTCAATAATTTAGCACACATACTAAGCAACAGGATTCAGGAGCAGTCTTTAATTAACGTTGTAGTTTTTGTTATTGTGACATTAAAGTTTATTGGTACCTTTCATTACAAAGTGATTGATTCTTGTTATTCTATATAATGAGTTATTTTTTATTTGACACAATATTTATATATATATGTTGTTTGTGAATGCAATTCTTCATATAATTCGTGTCTCTAAGTTTATTTAAAGTACTTTAACTCCTTTGCACAACATTTGTATTCCTTTAAATAGCACACAGTGTTAATTATGTGAAAGACTTGCCTAACTTGATCCTGTAGTCATAAATGTCCTATTTTTATATTATTAGGAATTTGAAACAGTATCTTTCGTAATATTCCTAACTTTGATCTCTAAGTATCTATATAAGATGTGTAAAGAGAATATTATTATTTTTATATCAACATATAAGGTATTGTGTCTCATATATGGTAATGAATATGTAAGTATATATATCTACAATATGATATTTGAGAATGTTTTAAATATTACCTCTGTATATAGGTCATATTATAAAATATGAATTACAGTTATATAAAATATGCAAATGATACTATTTTAATTACATTGCGACATAAATATTATTGCTATATGTTTAATAATAATAATAAAATTGAAATAAAATTTCCATAATTATCTTCCATTCAGAAATATTTCTCATGGAATTGTTTTAATAATATTTCTTGTAACTCTATAGTTACCATATGGTAGTGTTATACTGCTGTTAACTGCTATCATTCTATTACTGAGAAATTTAAATTTGTACAAATATCTGTTATTTTCAATAATATATGTCATGATTTGTTATTTACAAAAAATATTCATTATTTTTACTTTTGTTGATTGTTTGCTAACAACTAACTACTTGTCCGGTTACATACAAATATGTCAATAAGTAATTATTTTGAGAAATCATGAAATAAATCATGGCATTTTAACCACAAGATATATGGGCTATGTCTAAATTCTCAGTTTAGATAATTTAATATATTAAGTTATGTATTGTTATTGGTAAAACATGTTTTAACTCTGACAAAATAACCGCTTTTTAGTAAATAAATTATACATAATTTACAACAAAATATTATCAACATTCTCTAGTTCATTGTTGTTTTGACTGTAGATATTGACTGAAAATGTTATCTTCCTTGAGACAAATTCAGTTTGTCTATATCTTTTGATAAAAACCTGAAAGAGTTACCAAAAAGATCTCTTTTCATGAAGAGCTCCTTACAACAGGAGCTCTAAATCCCAGTATAACTTAATGAAATACATAAGATTAACACGGAATTAACATTCCCAGTATAGTTTAATGAAATAAATAAGACAGCAACTGTTCAGGTGGCGGCCTAGGTGTATTCTGAATAATTTTTGTATGAAAAACGATCTCTAATTGGTTTCATGATAATAGAAGTTAATTTTTTTAGGTAATGCTATAGTTTTTTCAAATTTTACAATGTTTTATAAGTAAAATTACATTTAGTATTTTATATGACATAAGAAGTGTGGAAAATTGTGTAGGATATCCTTGTAAGATTATTATTTGTGGTGAGAATATCTAAAAGTGTTATATTCGGAAGATGAAATATTTGGATACAGTAAACAGGAAAATTATGTTTATTGTGATCTACATGCCAGAGAAACAGGCCAGATCTGACAATGATGAATTGAGGGCATCATGTTGAATAAATAGGTATAAATTTAATTACATATAAATTTAACTTTAACTAAATAAAGACAGAACTCGGAAAGATTTTTCTAAGAAATGATATGCTTAATGAATTTGACACCATATTATTCTGGCTTTCCCAGTGAAATCAAGGTTTACATTTTCAATGACTTCAGTGAAATCATTAATTATGCCATCATTATTTTCAGTTATCTAAATGTCTTTTTATGCAGTTTCTTAAAGGATAAACTATTTTACTTGTGTATTGTGTATTACTTGTGTAACCAATTTGTTTATTTGAAAGAAGTAATCTCTTTTTTAGTTCCTGTGGTAGTTAGTTATATAAGAAAATTGCTCTTGTCATCAAATTGATCCCTTCTATTTTAAACAATATTGCATTTTATTAATAATTTCACTATAAAGTCAAGAAATTGACTGAAGTATTTTTAAGTTAGTGATTTAAGTGTTTTGGAGCCATTTGTTTAGCTTTTCCTGAATTGTTTCATTGGAGTTTATTCTTTTATTATAATGAGAAACTATACATAAGCAATAACCAACTCCTTATCATTTTGACACTGAAACCGAATAGAAAAGTGAAAATACTTGAGCAATAGGAACCGCATGAATGAATTAATGAAAAGTTTTTCATTACATTAATTCCTTATCAATGAGGGATTTTTTCATAATAAATGGATACTGTTTGAATATTGGAAATGCTCATCATGGTGATTGAACGCTGGTGAACCCCAGGGCAATTGCTATTTCCAAAGAAAGATTATTCTCAAAAATCCATGTTGTGTTTGGTTGAACAATATTTGGTTTTATACTACAGTGCAATGTCTTAAGCTCCCCTACCTTAATTATATTGCAACATTGTATCACTAACAATTGCAAAAAATGTAGGTATGATTTAACAATCAAGACTGGTCAATTGCTCTATCTGAATGCTGGTTTAACAAACGGTCATAGTAATACAGGAGTTGCGATTAGAATATCTCTTAAACTCCCACCTTCGTCCCCAGAACAGTCTAGAAAAAAGTCTATAATAATAAGGAACAAGTCTATACTGCTTGCAAATTGTTATTGTTTCAAATTGCCAAAATTTTTTCAGCAATTGGATCAATGAGCAAGCAATTGAAACCTATATAGATGCTAAATGTTAATGAATGGTATTTGCGATTGATGAAATATAAATTTCCATAATAAATAATTTTTAATTTTAAATTTTTCCTTTATAAACTAAATTCATGTACAAGATCGTAGCCTTCTAGTTATTAGAAAATTTTTGATTGTTGTGAAAAAATTTAAAGGTCACTTTAATATTAATTTTTTTAACTTAAATAAATTTGAAGTATCAGATTTAGTTTTGATAAGGACAGCATTACGAAAGCAGAAATTGCCTGTCAGAATTAATAATTGACACAGGATACCATTACACTGTTTGAAATAAAGATACCTGTCAATTAGAAATATCAAGTTGATAATTACCTACTTCCTTGAAATGTAATAATTTTTCATATAAATAAAAAAATATATTAATCTATCTATTCTGTAGCACGAATGATTTTTATTACGTTTTTATGTTTCGTATTGTGGGTTATTTGTCAACATCTGCCATATTTTAAACTGTTCACTTTTAACTTCTTTTTTATGAATAAAATATTTGTATTTGAGAAACTAAGGCGTAACGAGAAGTAATATTTTGAATATTTCTTTACTTGAAACTTTGAAAAAACTTTGATTCATTATTCATGAACCCAAAATTTATATTGTTTGTTATGAATATCGAATTTTAACTTTATAAATTGTTTTTTTTTTTATTTTAACGCTTGAGATAGAATTAAAGTAACAGTTTTAGGATTCGTATTTTGGGTAACAAATAATAATATTTGATTTGAAAGAAGTTTGTTTTCTAATGTGATAGATGAAGATGCGTAAGTTACTAAAGCGAATTAAGGTACAATATGTTTTGATAAAAGTCTGAAAGCCTTAAGATTTGTAGTGTTTTTTAATTCATTCATTAAAGATATCCAATATAATCCTCATACACAAAAATAAAAATAGTTGTGTATTATGGATACGACAAGTCGCATATAATATTTTATAACAGGTGTCAATCTTCATAGGAGTACCTTTAATAGGGGGACATATATACTATTTTTTATCAACCTTCATTCTACTATTTTGGTTCAGTCATGATAATGCTAATCACCTCATAAGGAATGTAAGCGTCAGGATGGGGGAGGACGCGACTGATATATTTGTGCTTTTACGTACACGAGATGTATGAAAACAAATAAATCTTAGGTGTTAATTAATGTAAGGGTTTAAAGGGTTTAGTTATATTTAAATGTTATTTGTCTAAGAATAAATATACATTTGAAAGTATTGAAAATATAATAACACTCTTACTAACTACACAGAAAAACTAAGATTTCTAATTCTTAAATCTTCACATATTATAGTTTTAACTAGTGTTTGAACGAGAAAACGGAAACACTTCGTGTATTGTGTAACGATGCAAACTAGTGTTAAGGGTACAGATATACTCATGCGATATTTAAAACAGTATTGTACTTTTTCCTTGTATTGGGCATAACGCAATTCCTGAACAGTTCAATTTGATTGAAAATTGTTTGATTATTTATAAATATTTTTTTCCTTTTAAACTCCTGAACTTAAAAGTATTTAAATTTATGTGCAATACTTTTCTATTCATGTCGTTGTGTTCATAATAGTATTGTTTTATTAAACTTCTTCGTCTCGAACAGAAAGACAAAAAAAATCTCTAATAAAGAATATATAAGATCTATTTCACTTCGCTTACTTTTCTTATGTTCTCTGTTATTTATATGAGACGCGAACGAGACAATGTGTCGTCCCTTCACTAAACGATAGTTCCTTGTATTATAACAGGAAAATAAAAAATTATAAATTAAGCGATAAGAGGAATATAATTTATAGATGAACTTTGACATTGGCTTAAAGTGCCCTTATTAAAATTAAATATAGCTGACATTATGAATCTGATAGATAGAAAGAGGGGTGTTAATAATACGGAATTCATTTTTCAGACACATTCTATTTATATGAAATATTTTATAATATAAATAATGTTTATTTATAAGCAATATTATATTAATGTTATAATCAGTTTTATAATTACCGATTTAATATAATTTATGGAATATAAAAATCTCATTTTCATAGTATGTTATGTTAATTAATAATTGGATAATTTCACTAGCATTTTTTTATTCACAGGATGAGGAAGAAAAGTCAACTGAAGTTACAGAAGAGGATGTCGGGAATCGAACCAGTAAGAGGTAAAAAATCATGTTATATGAACATTATTTGACATTATAAAAAGGATGTTATTCAATACTATTATATAAAATCTTCAACATTAGTTTATATCATACATATTTATTTTGCATGTAACGTGTTTGATTAATTGATTGATCCACTTACTCAATATACTTTGATGATTTCTTTTCAACATACAGCATTTATAACATACCACCACATCTCGACTTCAATGTCAATACTTTAGTATACCTCATATTAATCGCCCATTATTAAGCCTGTATATGGACTAAGAAGAACAAGAAATGGCAGTTTTTTTTAAATAATGATAGTGTATTATCGTATTTTGTAAATTCTTATCCGTTTTGTAATGTGGCCGATGAATATATCAATCGAATTGTAAAAAAATCCCGTATATTTAGATTTCTTTTTTACTTTTGATATATTAGTCTTTTGAGTTATTAGTATTATGTAAAAGGTGCTCTTGTAATGTGTATGTTTTTTTTTGTGCTACATTTAATTTTAATTGCCAAATTATAGGTAAAATATCTCATCGCGAAGTTTATGTAGTACTAAGTGTTTATATCTAGATGTACGTCGTGTACTCTGATTAGCGGTTGTTCTTATTTAGGAGTAATAATAAGATTGTCAATGATTTTGAACCTAAAATTTGGGATAAACATTATACACATAGTATAAATATACATATACCTAGTGCATAATCCTGCTGTAGTACACATAGTATACAAGTATAATCGAACGAAGACTTAACTGGTTATAAAATAGGTGGATTTACGTTTGAGAGAAAAACTAAGACATCGTCATAAAAATTATGGTAAATTTAGTTTTAACGCATTAGTGCACAATATGTGTAGTAAAAATAATTAAGAAATTCATGTAAATGGATCAATAAAACAGCATTATTGTATCAATGATCTGTGACCTGTGTGTATTTTTACGTAATTGGGGCAAGAGAAAAACTAAAAGCTATTCAATGTGAAATATATTCTCTCTAGGCTTCCAAGGCTATTTATACAAAGAGCATGGAAGGCAAATCCTGACATATTTAGGTGTTTTCACCCTCAGGATTTAATCACTTAAGCAATATTATTTTTCCATTTAAGCCATAGCCCTAAATTATTATTAGTACTATAATTTACTTTAGAAATCCATATTTTATCCTAATGTAGTAGTAGACAGCATTTCAGCCATTTATCATGAACAAATTGTTCTTATCGATTTGAAAGGCGCATTATTTCTTCAATAACATTAAATTGAAATAGAACGGAATTGTCCTCCCAATCAACACATACTTATTACTTGTACAAATAAATAAGAGTAATTGGGGTTAAATTGTAATGTACCATTTTATTTTTTTTATTATTATTTAGAGAGTCTACTCAATCGATATATTCAACTTAAATCTTTTTATGTTGAACAATAATAGCTTTTTTAAATATTTAATTAGTCTAACTTATAATTTTTCTTGAAAGTCATATGTCGAGTGGAAATAATGTACTGGGCATTTTATTTCATTCCTTCCAACTACCAGAATAGTTTTCAAGAAATCTGACAATGACGCATTTCTTTGACGTAAAAGCAATCATAATGAATCAATAAAAGCTCGACCAGCAGTAAATAATATATTTATAATTTCTCCAGTCCGATACTGAATATTTTTGGAATGTTGATAAAATATTTTGGGTGGTGTTAAATATTGTAACGAACGGCTGTAATTCCGAACACACCAACCTTTATTCCAATAAATTTAGCAGAAAATCGGTTTTCGTAAAATCGCTTATGTTTTTAATCTAATTTCGTAATACTATTTTAGTATTGCAATTCAGTCAAGTCACATTGCCATATAGCACGCATTGAGAACGCAACAGATCTCATGGAGCCGATCGTGGTCTTGATCGGGCTCGATCGTAGTTCCTGTTCAGAGCCGCGTCTATATTTACACTGGTCGGTGCGAGGGAAGCCGGGATATCGAACTGATGCCAGTCTCACTACGTGCCGTGAACAGACCGCGTGTTGTATTGTGTATCAGACAGCGACGGATGGTGCTCGTAGTGCGCGCGTCGGCTTATATGCCGCTAAAAAGCACATCAAAATATAAAGAACTAATTCTAGTTATAACAGTGACATAATTAGTGATAGTTTTGTGTGGTATAAGTTTCCTTTGTCTCGGAAATGGTGGCATTCAGGTAATGTTGTACTGCATTAGCCTGTTGATAAAGTTATCGGCTAATTGTTGACATGCCTTCAACATCGTTGCTAGTGACAGTTAAAAGTGATTTATGTGTTTTCTCTCACCAGATTTATTTGTTGACATTAATTGTTAAATAATATGTTACCTAAACGAATTCACGAATGATTTCGATTTATTTATGTGACATTATGTACGTACGTGTTATTTATTTTTTAATTTATATCATTATGGTACGTAGTTTTTTGATTCTGAATATTTACATAATTATTTTATATTTATATATTCTTTTTGTCGTGAACTTTATAATTAAATAGTTTTGCGTGAATGTACATAAATAATTTTCAAAGTAAATTATAGGTCGTATAGCTGTTAGCTGTATATATTTTACACTGTAAAAGCTGAACATTTTTGCGTTATTTTGAAACAAGCGAGCGGACGCAATGACATTTCTAAGCGTAATGTAAAAACATTCCTCACGATCGATAGTTAGATAGGATAATTTAAAACAGATTTTGTAATAATTACAACTAACAGTTATTGTGTGACTAATACTTACCGTTACGAAATTCCAATATAGAGATAATGAATTTCTTTGTAAATAGTATTGTATTTTTGGTTATCTAAATCGCCTACATTAAGTTGAATAGACTAAATAGAAACAAGTAGCTAATGAGATATAATTATTGCAGAAGCTCTTTGAATCTTCTATAATATAATTTAACGTATGATAAAAAACCGATTTTATGAAATAAATTAACCTGATTACATGTATTAATTACTAGCTTCCGATTTGCTTCGCTCACGCAAAGCAAGTATGTATTGTAGTCCAAATATTATGTATGCAATAAATACTTAATCTAAATTTGCCTCTATTAAGAATTCTTTCGAAGTAAATAACATATGATTAAAGTTGAATTTATATAAAGATAGATTCAAAATTAATATAATATCTATGGAACCTTTGAAAATGCAATATTCAACCTTTTGTTATCTGTTTCTCGTGTCGGAATTTTTGATGAACTTTATACCTGTAGAGACCTTTGCGTATTCAGATAATTTGTTCGCTTCATGCAAAACTACAATCGAATCCTCAGCTACTAATATAACTAACTCAATATGTATATAACTTGTCAATAATAATTTAAAGATACGTTTTTCTTTTTAGTACATACGTTTTACAATATATTTTGTGAAATCATAATTAGTATTACAATGACAAGCTTAATTTAATTGGTTTCGTAATCCTAGCAATGGTTAAAATATTTTGTTCAATCCGTAAGGTAAACTTAGTAATAATTATCGTGTTTATATTTATTGTAATATTACATTGCTAGGGCACAACACCTATGTTCTGTTCCGAGCCATATTTCGGAGACGAGCGTTGCCCTAAATTGGGTAAAGCGGTATGAAGAAGCGATGCAGATGTGGCGATTTAATACACGCGCAACTATAAGCGGTGAACGCGCCTTTGGCAGCGCGCCGCCGCTCTATTTTTAACGAACCTTGAGGCATCCGCCCTTGCCTCTGTAGTGGTAGTGACAATGTAAATTTGATGCTATTCAATGAACAGCTTAAATTGACGCCTTTTTGATCCTAATAAAGTTTAATCAAACGAGCTAATATACAACAGGTTGAAGAAATTTACGTAATTATAAATTTCTATACAAAATTTGAATCTATTCAATCAATAGATGTCGGTTAAAAATAATAAGTGTCAATAAGCGCTGATATTGATGTATAAAATGAAACACGAAATAGAAGTAATAAGGCAGCGAATGTTAGATTGCAAGGTGTATTTTTATCGTAAATCGACAGTGAAGTTGAATGAGTAATCAGTGTTATACATAAGACGGCGAGCCCGCGGCTCAAGGGCCAGCCAGCGCGTCAGACGCGTCTCGGGTTAGTTGCGTTCGGTGAAAGGAAGGTAAAGCGACCAGCCCAGATGGATTGCAGCAACTGACAAAAAAAAATGGCGTCATTCATACACTTGGCGGTTGCATTATTTTAAAAAGTGATTACGCTCGAAAAAACTCATGTACGTATCGCGACTTCCTTCAAGGGCACCGTGTTGCAGCTAGTCAAGACACCGTGGCGATGATACTCGGAACGTACAATTGATCAACTTGTTCTCGCTAGATATATTATTATAATATTTTTTTATACTTTAGAATTTAGGTTGCCATATTTTCAACGAATGTCAATGCCATTATCCGACGCTGCTACTTTTTTCGTTAGGATAAAATGGATTCTTGTTCTACAAGTTTTATTAATAGTGGCATGTAGCTAAAGGAGCCTATAAATAAGAAGGAGGGAAATTGTTCGGACATATAGAACAGTTTATCTTAAATAATATAATTTACTGTTCTGTTATTACAATATAACAAGATTTAGCAAGTAACTTCGTCCGTTCAGAGGGATACAAATATTGTATGTTTAAAATTAATTTAAATGATAATAATTGTTAACCAATCATCACCGTCATTGATCGTATGTGTCATGTTACTTCATCAGATAAGGTTTTTTTTATTGTAAAGTTCTTTTAAAATCATTAACATTATGCTTAATCTAAGTTAGTATCGTCACACTACATACGAAGCGTTAACAGTTTCTCATTCATACGTCTTCGCACATTATACATAGTTTTGACGTAGTTTATTGAATGAGATACGGGAATCGCGTCGTATGTATTGTGACGATGTAAACTTGGACTATGTATACAGTTGTTTTTGCGTGACAAGAGTAATAACATCCCGATATATTCATCTACATTTTCATCCATAAAAAATTTCGCGTTTATAATATTAGTATGATTGCAAGGATCATTGATTATTGATTATTAGACCTCCGGATATTATTTCATATAATTGGTTTGGGTATTATGTAATCATGCAATTGTAATTGATATTTTCTCGTGCTATTAGTTAAATAGTATTAAGATTTATGTAAAGTCTGTTAACATTTTACTTAATGTTATTCCGATAACGCTTCCTTGACGTAGAGAAATTTAATTTCATACATGTTTACAGTCTCAATGAGTGTTACTTCGCCAACAAAGGCGCGGCGTTGGTGCTCGGTAGTACGGAGCAGGGCTGCGCAGACCGGCGCGTGTCTCCCGCCCGTGTGCACCCGCAGCCCGACATACATCACCACCTACAGTCCATGTTTTATCTGGTGCGCCCGGAGGAGACGCTCAAAATGGTACAGTTATAAAGTCACCCCTTTTAGGAATCATACCAATATAATGGAACTTCTATACTGATAAGAACACCTATGATCACCTTAAGGAACTTTTTTTGGGTTTCAGGAAAACTAATTAACTTTGGCTAATTTGTTACAAAAATCGTTCAGGACATATGTTTTAATAAATACTGTTATTAGAAAGTTCCTCTTAAATTTAACCCTTAATTGTCTGTTCGTATATTATTAAAGTCCATTATATTTTTGTATTTGTTTTGTACAATGTCGTTCTCATCAATAAGGAATAAATAAAGCTCAAAAGTACTCCAATGCAGAGCCGTAAACACATTTACAAAAAAAACAAACATATCAATGAATAATACTTATTAATTCCTCAATATGATGTTTTAGGCGGTGAAGCTGGAGAGCGCCCACGCTGGTCGTACTCGTTACCTGGTAGTTGTTTGTCGGTGTGATGAGGCAGCGCTGCTCGGGATAGATTGTAACGAGCGGACCACCGTGGGACTAGTGCTGAGGGTACTGGCTGATACCTCCATCAAGCTCGATGGTGATGGGTTCGTGTTACATTCCAACATGTTTATTTAAAAAAAAAAAAAAGTGTTCTAAATTCAAAATCATCGAACATTTGTTATAATGCTCAAGTTCTGTAGATTTGGTTATAGACTTATAGTATGAAAAAGTGTTCTAAATTCAAAAACATTGTCATTTTTTACAATGCTCAAATTCTGTAGATTTGGTTATAGTTATAGTATGGCCTCGTGAATGTCTTTTGAAAAAATGGAATTTTAAATATTTCATAATTACAGAAAGTTGATGTGATATAAATTTCTGTCTGCCATATTATGTTTTATATAAATGAGCATAATATACGTAAAAATTACGTTGTGATGACTCAAGTAAGCGTGCTCAAGTCGTAAGCGAGTTATAGGAACGCCCTTGATATATACGTTAAGTTGTGTCGCCTTCTCCGCATAAGCTTCTCATTTAAATACCATTCTAGCATAATATCTACTTCAATCAACGGGCACGAATTTTCGAATCGAATCACGTCATTTCACAATCTCTTTATTATTAGTTAAGGTTAATAGTATTGTTGAGTGTTTTGAGGCTCTACCATCAGTAACAGAGTTCCCAGCTGGTCGTGAAACAATATCTAATTAATGTCTCATTGTCCACAGCGGTTTCAGCGTTTGTGTATGCAATCAACAGCACATATTCAAACCCGTGTCCGTTCAGGCCATGTGGTATGTATTTACTGATAGTTTATCACATTTTTATACACGCATGTTATAAGCGTTCGATTATTCGAAATTTGAATTACGCTAAATATAAGTTTATTTTATTACTATTATCATAAAATGTATAAAAAACTATGACGTAAGTTAAAGAAATAGGAATAGTAGAATGTCTATGTATTACTTTACTAGATAATCCTTATGCTTAGTCTAAGTATATATCGTCACAGTTAACAGTTTTTCCATTCACAAATCTTCGCACATATAGTATATATGTAGTTTATTGAATGAGAAACGAAAAACACTTCATATAGTGTGACGATGCAAGTTTAGATTTTTCATACAGAATGTCTAACAATTTCATGATAGGTATAATTATTAAATTAGTATCTGATCTCACTCAGTATCTGATGATATGTATATGTATGTACAGGTCAGCGTTACAAACGCTTCACCGTGCGAGCGCCCGGGCCCGCGAGTTGAATCATTTCGCTGGTGGCTCGTCCCACGGCTGGTGTTCCCACTACGAGAGGGCTGTGGACTCAGACCGCTCCTGCCTCAACGAGTGGCACGCCATGGACAGTATCGAGTCGAGGCGACCACCGTCACCTGACTCTCTCAGGCATAGGTATGACACAGTAAATGAGGTCAAAATAATTGTTCCCGAAAAATTTTCAATTTCGCAAATCTTCTTCTTCAATTTCCCGGCTATAGCCAGGGTATGCCTTACATGTTGTGAATAGTTTTGGCTAACTGTTTTTACGACCGGCCGCCTGCCTGACATCAACCCTCTTTGGGAATTAGCATTAATCAGTGATGTCAAATATTCTTAGAAAGTACATATGACTAGGAAAAATCACATTGGTATTTGCCCGGGCCAGGATGGAACACGCGCCCTCGTGCACGAGAGGCGGGCCTTTTAACCACTAGGCCACCACTGATTCAATTTCGCAAATGTAGAACTCAAAATATCAAAATTATTTGATGTTTAGGCTTTCATGACACGGATAAAGGGTCAGATTACAATCTATGACGCGAATATTTGCTCAGGGTTTAGAAGAGGGTCGAATAACTGCTCAGGATCACACAGGAAAACTAATTATTATTCAGTCATGTTCTTTCAACCAAATATTTCATGTTCAAAAAGTTTGAACTTCATAATTAAATATAGGTATAGGTGAGGCTATTGAGGATTCTTTAGAATAACGAATAATTACTCGGGTGGGGTAAGATACATATCTGTTTTTGTTTGTGATCATGCTTGCTCTCAATTTCGAAACCTCAGGTAAAAAATTTCAAGACGAGAATAAACGTGACTCATATACGAAAATACAGTTTTATTTTAAGATGAAAATCGATTATGAAATTGACAACTCAAAATCTGGGTCATATTTGTCTATACTTCTTTATTTTAGTCATCACTTGACACTAACCGAGTCGCTTTAGTCTAGTTTGTATAATTCGTTTTATTTTTGTATTTTATGAGACGATGGGGTCAATAGAAACGATATTTCTTACACAGCGGTCATTGCGGCCTAGGTCACTATTATCACTTCTTCCAATTCGCGAGCCTCCAAAAATGTAATTGAACTGAAAACCTTAATTGTGATATTGAGCGCATACAGTACCTAGACCTCATTTCTTGACCTAGAATTGTATCGGATGTTGGCAAATGCGTTAATTAAAAGCATTAGATATGTGCAAAATGCAAAACAAAATTAATTAGGCTTATAAATGTTATCTATTCAAAGTAATATTATACTTATTTACTATGCAAATTTTAATAATAATCTTTGTACGATTCTCAACCTCTGTTAGTGTATTTTTAAAGGTTAAAGAATGGACTTGAGACTAGAAATTTAAGTGTTTTGAAATCAAGGAGAGAATAACTCACATTTTTTTTTTTTTTGCATATGTATATTCTATATATTTTCTCCTCCGAAATGATTTTTTATTTATTTAGTATTAATTTATGATTCTTGAACTTGACTGAAAGTATACTGTGGAAATCCGTTTTAGTTATTTCCCAACAAATATTTTAATATTTTTTCTTTCAATCATATGTATAAAATATTTTATTTTGATATAAATCAAATGTAAATATATTACAATACTTTTGCAGGCCCCGAGAGCGTGATGAAACGGAAAGAGTGATCAGATGCACTCTCAAGGAAATAATGATGAGTGTGGATCTTGACGAAGTTACAAGCAAAGCTATCAGAGGACGGCTCGAGGAGGAATTAGACATGGACCTGACGGAGTTCAAGTCGTTCATAGACCAAGAGATGCTTACCATACTGGGGCAAATGGACGCGCCCACGGAAATATTCGACCACGTGTACCTGGGTTCCGAGTGGAATGCCAGCAACTTGGAGGAATTGCAAAGAAACGGGTGAGGTTATACTCAGTTTTGATCATATCTTGGACTTATATCATTTACATCATGTTCAATGTTCAAACTATATATTTCAGAGTTCGCCATATACTCAACGTGACAAGAGAAATAGATAATTTTTTTCCTGGTATGTTTGATTACCTAAATATTAGAGTTTATGACGACGAAAAGACTGATCTACTAAAACATTGGGATAACACATTTAAGTACATAAACAAAGCTAGAAATGAAGGTTCTAAGGTTCTCGTGCATTGCAAGATGGGTATAAGTAGGTCGGCTTCAGTCGTTATCGCTTACGCCATGAAGGCTTTCAATTGGAATTTCGATAAGGCTTTGAAGCACGTGAAGACTAAGAGGAGTTGTATCAAACCGAATATAAACTTCCTCAGTCAGCTGGAGACCTACCAGGGTATACTGGACGCCATGAAGAACAAGGAGAAGTTACAGCGCTCTAAATCTGAAACTAACCTTAAAGCTCCGATCTCATCATCCAAGAGTGAAAACAAAAATATGGAGCCGACGCCGTTGGTGCTGGCACTGACGGGGTCGTACTCGGGCCGGCCGCGCTCCTGGTCTCCCGACACCAAGCTGGCTGCCGAGTTACTGCCGCCTACCTCCGTTTCACTGGAGAATCTCGCCTCCGAGACTAGACACATGCTCATGCCGTGCGCCAGCGGCTCCTACAGCGTCTCACCCAACCAGATAATGCGGCTCAAGGAGGAGGGCGCGCCTTCAGTCAAACACATCGTCAACGAAATCGAGAGCGCCGCCTCGAGCGACAGAAAGGATATCCCAAAAAGAAATCACAGGTTAAACTTCGGAAATTCCGGGGACGTTATTTCTGCTCGATCATCGGAGAGCTCCGGTCCTGTGGAGTCTAGTAGCAAAAATCAATCATCTCCAATACAGAATACAGTAAACCAGCCCGACCTGGACGTGGAGAAAATTCACACGTGGGATCCGGGGGAGACCGCCTGGTCGCGCAGTGAGGAGGTCCGGACAGTCTCGGACAGTGATTACATAGTTAAGAGTGACAGTGGTATCATAGACAAAATTAAATTGAGTGACATTATATACAATTCGTTAGAACGCAATGTAGAGTTGGAGGAGAGGAGGGGCGGCGAGGAAGACGCGCCGCCTCCCAGCAGGCAAAGTTCGTGGAGCTCGTTCGACAGCGCGGTGGTCGCTGACCTGTCCCGACACTCGTCGTGGGGGTCATACGATACGCGCGGAGCGAGACCACCGGTGGGTCCGCGAGAAACCCGAGAGGAACCCGCGCCTCCCGCGGACCTGGCAGTCATACGGGAGCATACCGAGCGCACCCGCCCTATTTCGAACATAGCCGCCAACGAGAGGAAGTTCTACGAGACCTGTGCCATACTGAAGGAGCTGGCGGCCGCGCGCTCTGGCGCCTGCACGTGGGGAGGCCGGCTGTCCGCCTCCGCGCCCGCCGACACGTGGCTGCGCGCCGGGCCGCGTCGCCGCCGCCTGGCTGCGTCCTCGCATGGAGACCTGCCTCGAGCCGCGCCCGCCGGCCCGCCTCCGCCGCCTGCGCTGGGCCTCGTCAGCAACCTCAAAAAGGAATTCGAGGCTCGTTCCGAGTCAGAGGTCCCACGGCGGTCGGGGTCTCGCACGAGACAACCGCAAATTGAGGATTTGTCGGTGCGCGTGCTCGTGGACCGCTACGACCAACCCGGCCGGACGCGTTCCGAATCAGCCGCGGAACCGATCCGAGTGAAAGCGCCTCAAGAGTCTGTATCCAAGAAGTGCAAGTTGGCGTCTGAGGTGGACAGGGGGGCTCGTATGCGCAACTCGTACTGCGCGGGGCTGGCGGGCGGCGCGGGGGGCGAGAGGCCGCCCGTGGTGCCGACGGTGGTCGCGCTCGCTCCCCTCGACTACTCTAATGTAGTGGTATCAACTGTGATGTCGAAAGCTCAAAATAAAAAACAATTACAGCATGGGAAAACCCATCCGTTGACGAGGCTCAACTTGAACCGGTCGAATAATAGGTGTTCGAATCCTGTGTATAATACTATGTAGTAGTTATTACTTTTATTTATTATGAATTCTTGCCAAACTGGATATTTTATCTTTCTAGAGTTTTATATACTATTTACAAAATGAAATCACGGCGTATTTGTCTATCACATAAAATTGTATTAAACGGCTGTTTGTGAGTAGAGATTGTGATTTTAAAAGAGAATAAATTCGATACAACGGATGTACAACTTTTAAAATATCTTTTTATTGTATTTTCTTAACATTCGATTCTATAAACATTAAATAACAAATATGATTACCATTTCAACCAAAGTCTACAGTTTGTAATCTCTTTCCAGTAACGAATGCAACACGTGGACAATTTTGTATTTCGCTTATTTTTTTGTATGTGTCTGGGATTTTGGTTTGTTTTCTCCTTATCGTGCCAAAATCAAATGCGTATATGGCACCTGGATTATTACGTATGGAACATTCTGTCTGCAACAAAAACAAAAGATAGTTTAATCATTAAAAACACCACAAGTACAAAGAACTTCAGTTCTTATATGTTTGTATTAAGTACATATATTAGTTATACTTACAATCTTCATATTAATATCAACAACCCTTAGTATGTTTAGTTCCGTGCCGCCGCAGATAATTAAACTTGTCTGTGGAACCATTTTTCCACAATACAGTTTTGAGTGATGATTATCTGGCACTATCGTTTCTATAAGTTTACAGGATCCATAATCCCAAATTTGAATAGTATCTTTTTCTTGCCATGAACATGTTAGAATCTAAAAGTTTATATATTTAACAATACAATATTCATAGTAAAAAAACCTCATATTTCTGAACGTAATATAAGCCTAGAGAAGTGACGTCATTCTGAAACTAAAATGGCGGACTATTCAAAATTGCGACCAGTATCTTCCTTGTCTTTACGTGATATTGTTCTGTAAGTAATGGATTGACTGAGGATACTTAAAAATTTAAGAATACATTTTACAGCTATATCTAAAAAAGTATTTTTATAAAAAAGTTAAATACACTAAAATGTAGCTTGGTCTTGACACAAGTTAATATTTATTTAAATCTCTATATTACGAAACGTAAGTAAGTATATTGTACCCTATTCTATATATCTAATATAAATCTCTTATTAGTATCTTCGTGTAAACATGTACATTAAATTATATTTACACATACATAACAATTAACAACATGTCGTTAGGTTAACAAGGTACCTTAAAAATTAAAACGTCAATATGAAAGTTAAAGAAGAGATTTGAATATAGGATTTTACAACCCTAAACAATTATGTACTTAAATAGATTAACCTAATACTTAAAACACAAGAAATACATATGTATGATGACACTCGATTTTCTATTACAGAGCTGTCAGTTTTATTGTGTTCTAATTTTTGTTCACTTAAATAGTAGTTCAGTTCCAAAGGTCTGATTTTTATAAACCTAGGTATGTATGTTTGTTACCTTTCTTTATTAGGTAGTGTACGACAATCTATCAGATATTATAGAGCAGAATTAAACAAAATAAGTAATAGCAGGCGTTATTTGAAAAAAATGTTTGTAGTCTAGGATTAAATATGTAAATCTATTTAAAGGGGCATCACCTTCAAAATTGAAAGATTACTTATAAAATATGTGGGCAATATTATGGGTGCTATAACTGTGCCTTAATAAAAAAAACTAAATTGTTATGATGAAATAAACTACAGCTACTTCTTTCCTTTGTGGGTATTTGCAGTAAGAGACTATGTATATTAAGGCCACTACTACTGGTACTTAGTAACAGTGTTTCAAATCTTATATTTACTTGCTTTCCCGGTTTATCAAAGTCCAAACCTTCCCCTCACATGTGTACTCCGGAGAAATACCTCGTTGAATAAGGTTGCCTGTCGTCCCAGCACATGATCGTGTCATCCCAGCCACCAGATATAAGTTCGTGGTGCGATTTAGGATTAAAAACACATGAAAATATCCTTGAAGTATGACCATCTCTTATATTTTTTCGCTGACTGCAACAATTTTTCGACGTTAAAATTCTATTCTATTAATATACATATCCAATTTATATTAGAAACTGATGTTATATTTTTAATTTAACTTAAAATAACATTCATTGATATTTTTGTTTTGATAATTGTTAATTTAAAATATACCTAAAGTTAGGTTGAATAGTTAAGTTGTCTATTAAGAATTTGTACTTACAGGCTATACATTCTATTATAGTTGTTGAAACTAACTTACCTTGAATAGAATGCCCTCTCTTGCGTCTGTGCTTCCTCGTCGTACATATTTAGCTTAGCGTCATCTCCATATGTTACGAATTTGCTGTAACGTGGATGATAACACAATCCTAATGTCTGTCGCTTCTCTCTTATTGTGTATAAACATTGTTCATATTTATATTTCCAACATTTTATACATCCGTTAACATCTGCAATAAATCAAATTTATTTTATTTTTAAACTGTATATCAAAGATGGCGATCGTGTTAGAAATTACTTACAAGATGACAGAAGCATATTTGTGATAGGATGGGCTTTGCTAACTGGCCTGTGTTTTATAGAAGTCACCGGACCGGGGTAAGCTCTACACTCATCATCCACAAGGATATGTTTACAGTCTCCGTTGTTACAATCGAACAGCCTGATAGTGCCGTCGATAAAACCAGCAGCAATGTCTTTAACGTCCTCAGTATATTTACAACACATTATTTCTTTATTTGTATCTCTAAAAACATTTATATTTTGTTTTCAATACAAAAGGTATCTTAATAGGTTCTATTAAACTATACATCTATATTTATATATAGTGTAATAACGAATGGGTAATACTAGATATTTTTATTCTAAAAAGGCCAAACTAATAGACGGGCTACAGATTGAGGTAGTTATCGTCGTCTATGGTCATTGGCAATATAGTTTTGTGGATGCGTTGTTACCCTTGATTGGGTAAAAGGGAGAGGAAAGAGTGGGAAAAGGGAAAAGACGGATCCAGGGAAAGGCAACTGGCGCTCTCATTCATCGGATGAAACACAGCCATAAAAGGCTACTTCACGCCGATCTTTGTGAGAGGGTGGTACTTTTCCGGCCCAGCCAGCCAATGTTCGAGCTGAAGTAACTTGTCCACAGCTAGGATCTACCACTTTCTACTTATAGATGCATATTTCTTAAATATTAAAATTATATAGGAACTTGACGGCTTAGTTTGCCTCAAAAAAATTAGTGGGTTTGTATTGTAATCAGGGAATGACGACAAGATTAATTTAAGTAGTTATTTATAAATAATCATAAGCACGTAGTTACACATGTGAAAATATTAACCAATAACACTTCTCTTCTGCCTTTGATGTCAAGTAACAACAAAAATCTATGGAAACATTATTTGTATTCATAATAGGAAACTGAACTGTAGTTGCGTATTAAGGGTTTTATTATTAATCATAATATTTACATGAAAACATTATTATATCGTCTTAATTTTGATATAACGAATCTTAAAACTATATAATTTGAAAAATAAATTTACATTATAGACAGCACATTCACCTCTCCTTGATAAATTTGATTTTGTTCACTGTGAAACGATCGATGTTCTATGTTAGGTGTGCTTGTGTGAACGGTTATAATTTCCTTTTGAGGGCTCATATCTTTCACATATGTCTTGGTTACAGCAAAGCTTTTACGTGCTGTTTTTAAACTAGACGGTGCCATAGGCCCAGCAGTGACTTTTCTCTGTGGATCCATTTTGTTAATTTCATTATTTTAATTTAAATACATTAAATATATATAATAAGATAAATGTCTCACAAAAATTTATAATTTGACGTAAACACTAAAAACACAGATAAAAGTAAACAAATTTTATATATTACTAAAAACGATATACCAGTACTTCGAAATAAGTAAGTTCTAAAAAATATATTCCCCTCAGACTTTTATAAACAATTTTGACAAAGGTAAAACAGATAGAGATGCATATTATACACACTTGAACTGGCTATATACAACTATTCCTAACAACTATCACAGAAGATGAAAGATTTAATTAAAGGACTTACTTCTTTTCTTATTATTTTAACGAATTATAAATATGAGACAAGATATTCAGTCTCAAAAAAGGGCTATTTTTAAAAACGTTGAAGAGAACTATTGTTCGCTTGAACCCTAAATATATGCTTTATTACATTTATAATACCTCAAGAGGATTTTTTTTTAGATTTTTAACTAGTATATCGGATTACCTGCTTTTTCCAAAGTTGTTGGAAAGATTATTCACAACCGACTTGTTAATTGTTTAACCGCAATATGTCTCGAAAAAACTGAAAAGTGGACTAAGCTAAGTTACTCTTTTCTTATTATATAAGGCTCTCGAATTAAGAATTTAAATTTTTAATTAAATTTTCATGTATAAATAGGTCCAAATTAAATACATTAAAAACTCACCCATCTAAAAAGAAGCGATGTTTTCCAAATAGTAGATGGCCGATTACTCAATTGATTAGTACTATTCCATCTTTTGTACTTAATTGAAATTTCAGAAGCGCTTCAAAGATTCATCTGAAGATCCGTCATACCATCCAAAATATAGTTATGAAACTGTTTTGTGTTACGATTTGTAATGCCTTCCCAAATTTAAGTCGGAACAAAACTAAAGTATATTTAACAGTTATACAATTTTTGCGAGTGTATACTAATTCAAAAAGTCTTAAATAAAAACATTCGAACAGAAAAGACTTTCACTTAAATTCAACAGACGTACAATCGCGCTGGTCATAAAAGAGATTACATAACTTTCCGAGATTTCCGAACGGTTGAAAAACTTATACTTTGTGCGAGTATTAATTGGCAATAAACCCTTTAAAAAATTAATAAACTAACCTCATTCACCTTCCGTAACACCTTCCCTATTTGCAAAAAAAGCCGAAAGTGGATATTCCTTGGCTAAAACACAAATTAATGGCTTAATAGAAGAAGCAAAAGAGAATCCTTTTTGACTATACACGTGATGATCCTTATAGTTTTTAGGGAAGTTTCTATGTTTATTTATCTGTTGTATAATCTTTATTTAAAAAAAAATTGGCTACAACTTAAAATAATGAATAATAATAATATTATTTATCTATACACAAGTCAATGTCAAATATTTTTTGACGTCACTTTCAGACATGCCGTACTTTTAAAATATTGTTTATAAGTTATCTGTGGTTTCTTTTGCAATTTAAACTATATGAAAGTGTTTTCGATTAGAGAAATGATGGCTTGAATACGAACGGAAGAAATAATAACCTACATGGTTAACCACATTTTGTGAAAAAAGATGTTGATGAATAGTATTTACCATCCAATTATTTTTGACAATGACGGTCCTAAATTAAAACCAGTCGAGTGCTCCCTCCAAATATTATAACTGAGGATTTTTAATTTTTGCGATTAAATCGTCGCGAATCGTAGCTACATAGAAACAAAAGGTATCTATAGATACTTAATTGGGCTTGTTCCACTTGAAATAAACAAAATTGATGAGAAAAGTTGTCGCATCCATTTATAGACTTGTATTATATTTATATTTATAACTTATGTAGTACATATTATATTGACTCAAATAAATTTGTTCGCAAGACAAATAGAACACAAATATACCCATGCATAACACCGGGGGTGTACAAACATTACAATAAGGAAGTGTTAGAATTTATCAGCCTGTACTATCATCTAATATCTTTCAATCTGAATATATCTCTTTAAAGTCACAAATTTGCAGTGACATTTGCACAAAATAAATTGGTTTTTAGACTTGATCACCAAGAACTGAAACAGTTTATTAAACCTGGTGAATATTGTTGTTATTAACTCATGATGCCGATTAGCAGGATATTATTATGTGAATACAACTACAAATATGGCTTCAATTTAAACTCTGTGTAAATATATTGAGCATAGAAGAATGAATTGCCTGAACGTATGTATGTAGGTAATTTGTAGAGAGACCTAAAGAAACTGCCTTTATTCAGTTAACTCGATGATTGTTTTAACGCTGGACAGGTTTTTATACAAAACTGACAACTTCTACAAAAGTGTACTTCAAGAATAATTTTCATTGTAGCGAAAATTTATAAGATGGCGGAAAATGGGTATTATCTTCATGGGCAATAAAAAATTAGGTTAAAATTGGGTAGGTAAAAGAAGTAAATTAGGTGCTTGTCTTGACAATAATGTCACAGTGAATAATTAGAAAGACAAACATGGCGATATTATGATACCTACATTACTGACCACCTAATAACTACGCGGAAAGCAGTAATTTCGTAAAATAAAAGAAAGAAGAGCACTTATCTTTTTAATAATTAATCTCAAAAAAGGTGGGAAAGGGAGGGAAAGGAAAGAGTAAGAAAGGGTGAGAAAAGGGAAAGGGAAACCGGCTCTCTCACTCACCGGACGAAATGCACCCATTAAAGACTACTTCACGCCGATTTTCTGTAAAAGGTTGATACTTCCCCGGTCGCGCCAACCCATGTTCGAATTGTAGTAATTTGACCACAGCTAGACTCTACCACCTCACATAACACTGTAAAACGATATAACGTGGCAGACATTTTTAGGAAATTTTTCGAAACTTAAACGAATATTCGCGAATGGCTAGATCTAACTCATTAAATAGTTTAGACCATCAACTAATTCTAAATCAACATTTTCTGCTAAAAACTAAGTGAAAGGAGAAGAATCAATATATACAAAAAAAAAACATGTTACTTAAAAAGTCAAACGCGTAGATACTAATTGTTCAATGCAATAAAACTTGTTTACCATCAAAAACTAACATAATTAGAAACAGTGTTTAAAATAATCACAAAGTAAAAGTAAAGATATTTTTTCGTAAATCTCGCCAAAACTTCTCTTCTTTACTATGTTGGACGAAATAACCTGTTGTAAAAATATGTGAAATTTATAATGAACTAACGCAGATCTCATCGCCATTTTTAAAATTCTATAGATATTTGCAAACAAAAAATATCAGCCAATGTGGGTCTAGAAATTATAAATAGCCTTATAATGTTAAAGACATACATTTATCTAACTTTACAAGAGGAACCATAATAGCAAACTAAATTTACACTATTACAGCACATTTAACAGTATTTAAGATACCCTTAACATCACAATCATCAGTATTACTTTGACATTAATGTCAAAAAAATATTCAATAATTACCTCTATCTTTTATCCATTAATTATATTTGTAAGTGTTAGTTTCATAACTTTATTTTATTTCAAAATTGCTTATTTTTTATTTATTTAATTTAATAAACATTGTTTATCGAATTTTTATTATGATACATTTTGTAACCATCTTGAATTGTCAAATATTTTGAATAGTAACGTATATGTTTTTTAAATAAGTTGTTTAAAATGGGTGTTAGTATAACGATGATGATCCTTAAATAAATATCAAAGTATTACATCTAATCATTTAGTTCACTATTCATTGTACTTATGCGTTTCCCGTTGTACTAGTTGATATAGAAGTCGCATATTGGCTCCCTGATACATATGACTCAAGGACATGTTACAGCTTACATAACACAAATTTACAGAGTGATATGGCGTTCTCTTGATATGAAACTTTTTACATTACTAAATGAAACAAAAGTTATTTAATTGCTGAACTAGATAACTATTTCTTATTGTACCTAATATCAAACTATAGTTTTATTGTTATTTCATTTGAATGCATGTAGTTAGACAATATTAATTTTCATCATTCACCTATTAATTTTATTAATAAAGGTATCGTAATGGTTCATTTTGTTTTTTCTCCTTTTTATTATGCCTTTATGAACTGTTAATTATTTTACATTCAAAATTATTGCATAACTATGAAATTTATAGTGCAATCAAATGTATATTAAAATCGTGCAATCAAAGAATCATTTTGAAATCTAATTGAGCATGACGGTAACGGTATGAAATATTAAAAATTTTAGCAGATATGTATCTGTAATGATATATTAGTACATAGATTGAGTATTTTGATTATTACCAGAAATAACTATTATACATATAACCCAAGTATGCCTGAGGTTATAATGGAAGCATGTAAGATGTGTTTTGTTGTTTCCGTAAACAAAATATGTATTTTTTGGCGGTCATACAGCGGAAAAGTAATTTGAAGGATCTACGGTTGACTTTCTTTCTGGTATTAATCTAACTGTATTAACTCATAAAAATTCACTCGATTACGCAATGAATTGTCTTTTTTTATGAGCCCCACAATCAAGACGTTACAACTTCCTTAAGCCATAGCATTAATAGATAGATACCTATAGTTTTAGATAGATTGATATTTGATAGTAAGTATCAATTCTTTTTTAGACTCAATTATCCTTATTGGTTTCAACTGAAATCTTAAAGCTAAGCTAAGCTATCATTTTCAAGCATCAGCGAGAGCAGTAGAAAAGTTTTACTGAGCCAACAATTTTATATTTTTTATATCTTTTCGATGCTGTAATATAATTCAGTGCTATTGCATTTTTTTTGTCAAAACTTTTATTTAATATAGGGCAAACTACACTATAAAGGAAATATTATTGTCTGCATATATTCAATTTCATCTGAAGTTTAGTTATAAGCGACTTCTATCCTATTTTGTTTAAAATAATTTTAGTTGTGACTCATTTGTTATGACAATAGGGTATTGACGATTTAAACTTATGTCTGTTTTATCTTATGCGTATACTTAAGTTTTGATATAGTTGGGCACATTTTCCAAAGTGTATCCTATAAAATACTGAGAGACTGGACACGGTACTTCTGTTCTAACTGACTGAATATAACGTGTTTCGCTTGGTTTTAACTAAATTGTGAAAAACAATAAACCTTGTTGAGCGTCTCTGCACGAAGTCCAAAACTGTGCGGTGAAATTTGGCAATATCTACGTATATTCTAAAGTCTAAACTGTCTTCTAAGCTGTAATGAACTATATATCTATAAAAATTTAATCTCAATTAATGTTAAAGCTTTAAGGTGAGTGATATTTAGAATAAGTTAGACAAAGTTCTTGAAAATCTACTCACATGAGGGTAACAACTCTTTAAATAATAGGAATAGGTACCAAATAGAAGCATATTTAAAGTAGGTAGTAACTGGCTTCGGTCTACTTGCCAGTTTCTTTTAGAAAGGAACGTGTTCAACAGAAAGCACCTTCATCGTTGGAATACTTTTGCTTAGGCGGGAGACTGCTGATAGGAATGTCTATATCGAGGAGAGGAAGCAAGGTGGTTATTTTCCTTTTCTTCCCACTTAAGCAAGGATCACTCACTACTGTACATACATGATGTTTTCCAGTTATTATTCTTACATTACTTTAAAGACCATCTTTCAAATAGTGAGAACAACCTAAACTGTAGCACAACTTTTGAAACAAAATCATAAGAGATACTCTATAAAAAAATCTTAATGATGATGATTTCAAAATAACTAAAAATATACATCGGGTCGCCGTTTTATTTTTACCTGTGAAATATGTTGCAGAACTAAATCTGTTAATGACCAATTGAATATATTTTGTTGTAAAATGTTATTCCTAACATGGCTGATTATTTCAAGGAAAACCATCTTGGTAATAGTAAGCCTCAATTTCTGAAGAGGTAATAGTCTGTGATTAGCGTAATTTGGGACAAGGACATTAGGGTGTAATGTTTTATAGAAAAGCAAATGTCTCCATAAGTTCACGTGCTACGTCTTGATGTTGTCAAGTTGAAAAGTTATCTAGAATATTTTACGTTTTTACTTACAAATAAAAATGTTGACATTGGCAAATCATTCCACGATTCCAGTGAGGAGGAAGACAGGGCTTAAATAATATATATTATATATATGTATTTTGCAATTTCTTGGTCCAGGAAATTTTAAAGTATAAACTGAATAATAAGTAAACTTAAAAGCAATAAATAAGACCGAGCTATAAATAAATGCGTACTATGAAACTGTATAGTTACTGTTTGTGTTAATACCTAAGTGTACCTATACCAAAATCTCCATACACAAACTGCTCTTTTTGTTTTATTGATATAAGTAATAACAATTTTGTTTCATAAAAACTTGTTTATTTTTATGAAAACAGGGAGATATTTTAAGTTTGGCAATAAATCTATTAATAAGTAATTAAAACATTCGTCTCCTATAGTAGGACCTTTGTTTTACTGTATACATTAATGTATTCGCTTAAAATTAAATTATAAAGATTATAGTGGAGCTGTATGTCAAAATTATAATCGAAGATTTATCTAATTTTCTTTATACTCCATTTAATTACAAATACTTTAATATAAAGCCTATGTTTCAATTGTTCAAGTACTTATCTATTTGTACGAAGTGCTATTATTTATCTATGTTATGAGGCCTCAAAGCTACCGAGGTCCCAAACCTGGGTAAACCAAATTTGTTAGACTTGTAATATATCTTAATCTTGCTTGTTTCGACTTGACCATTCCCCTAGCCCCACTGGCTTGGACTGTGTCAACGTAGCTTAAATAGTCCCATTGGGATCTTACCTTGAATTAAGGGCCTGGAGGAATGAGCGTCCCCTCTCTCGTCTATATTGTGGAACACTTCGTAGTATGGTACTGGACATTTTGTGACATACAACGGATTACTTCGCCCCATTCTTGTTTTAGAAAGTACTTTGTAAGTTGAATAAATGAAAAATACAAAAATTTATCTAATCCCTAGTTCAACAGGTTACCCATTTGAATGATTGTAAACCTTATCATTGTTGGTAAAGTTTTTATACGTTATGTTTGACTATTTATTTAGCATCAATAACTTTTATAATACAACAATGATAACGATGCCCTAGCAATCAAATTCTAACCACTTCTTAGAAGTATTATCGCTCGTTGTAAATATTTTTTGTATTTTGAGCTATGATTGTATTTCAAAGCCTAGTCGGACCCTGAGACTAAGAATTGTTTTGTGATTGAAAAACAAAAATACTATATTTGAAATACTCAGCATCAATAGGAATTGAATTTCATGCATTTTATCTTTCAGTAGGCACTTCATAATAGAAAGGCACTATTGAAAAACATAAAAGTCGGATTTCTTAAAATCTAATCCTCTTGTACTAAAACTTGTTTTGGTTTTATCCACTGCTACTTAGAAGAATAAAATACTTGTATAGAATATTGTTACTTATTAAAATATTGTTTTAATTATCTAAAATTTTCATATTTAAAAAAGTTGGACATGTTCGTGATAGAGAAATTAAAGTAAAATCATGCCATGCACAATTTGTATGTTTTAAGTACTTTATTAAATCAACGCAGACACAAAACAAATTCAATAGAATCAATAAAACCGGTGTTTAGACAAAGTCACATTAAGTAAAAGCTAAAAGGGAAAAAGTAATACCTATATTAACATCTACAGTATGTAGGAAAAAATATAAATACATTATCTATTACATATGCATATGAAAATAATTTATAAGGGTGGAAGACATTTAACTAACAATGAAAAAAAATGTAATTGGAGACAAAGCAATAATAGAAATATATACATGTCAATGATAGCGTACATAAATATCATCAATAAAGACACAAATTTTCAAATGAATAATAACTGTTTTCTTTTTATTATTAAAATATATTTTTTCCAAATAATAATAAGGTAAATACTATGTAGATGCATAAGGTAACTGTTACAATTCAGAAATATTCTAAGGCATAACTAAATGTCAGCATTTTTAGTATCTAAATATTAAAAAATCTTGAAAAGTCTTCAAATGGGTATTTGACTTTCTTTCTTATCGATTATTTTAAAGTGTAACGAAATGATTACATGTAAATGGCTTACAATGAATAGCGTGTTTGTTTATTAAAATAATTACAATAACGTTCTCACAACGAATGTTATCATAGATTGATATTTCAATCATTCAGCCAAATACCCAACGCGATGATGTCATAAAAATTAAATAAAACGTGTTTGTTATCGGCAATTAGCACCTTGTTTGTTTGATCCTATTGAAGTCAGTGGGATTGTACATTTTAATAATTATACAAACCATGACTAAGGACACACATAATGATTGTTGTGTTACAATCAAAATAATTTTAGTTTGTTGCACTGCAGTAAGCAAGTATTGGCTAAAAAGACCTACAAGATCAAAATATTGCACTAACACGTTTTTTGATATATTTTTATTATTATTAAGATTTCGAAAGACAGAAGACGCTGTCCTGTCAATTGTAACATCCAAGCTATATTAAATGAAATTGACATAAAAATAGTTATAAAATGTCATTGTATGCAAGTGATTATTTGGACGATACATATACATACGGGTATAATTAAGAACCAACAAAATTTGGTCCACATTAAATAAGTTAATAAACAAATTAACAAAACCAAAACGAAATAGAAAAAAAAACATATCAATGTTTTTAAAATATTTTAACAAAACAATTACAAATGATATTTGGTGGATACATAAATAGCTGTTAGTTATCTAAACAATGTTGTTCTAGTGATAATATTTCATGTCAACAGAATTGTCTCCCTTTTAAAATAACTTTGTCACATCATTGTTGTTATATATAAAATATTATTGATACTGCATATACATCCCATATCTCCCATTAAAATAAATACATATCCACTGACCAACACAAATCATATGTAAACAAATATAAACCAATTTAAGTAGTCATATATAAAATTTCTTTTAAATATTCCAATTATTACAAAACACTCTACATGATTGATTTTTATATGTGTAGTGAAAAAATATGTTTGATATATTACTATGGCTGATTTTCTAGTTTATATAATTCAATATCTCAGAATAATAATGCATATAAACAGGTTGATTGTGATTTTAAATCTCACCAGTTACAAGATATAACTAGAGGTATTCATGCATTATTAAACTAATATTACACAAAGAAATTCGTTTTTATATACTGCTCCACATATTCTTTGATAAAACTATTGACATATTTCAGATATAGGTAATTATTTTTCCTGTATGTCTGTAAGTGAATGAAAAAACCTTCACTCATTTTAAAGCAAGAAATATTTAAAAATCTTTAAGTATATTGTAAATATTTTAACCATCTATGTTTAGCTATATGACATTAGTTTCATAAACTTTTTGCACCAAATTTGTTTAATTATATAATGAAATTTTAATCTATATTGTTTACAACATTATGTACTGGAAATTATTTACAGTCTTAAAATTTGTACCAACATCATTTAGATTTGCCCTACATTAGTGCATACTTTTTACACAATGCCAGTGGATTCACTAAATCTACAGCTAGGATCCCATTCAATGAACAATTCCACATTGCTTAGTCACAAAAATATCTAGCCATTTATTTAGTTAAAAATAGACATATACCCTCATTTTGCACATTTACTGAGGAAACACACAATAAATTTATAATAAACAACATCATTTGATAAACAATGATAACAATCAATAGACCTCTATCTTTTCTATACAAGTATGAACTTTTAACAGTCTGTTGTAAAAACATATACCTATTAACGTACAAAGCACAGTACACTTATTCTATTATAGGTACAACTCAGTTTTGGGGGAGGGGGGAATAATGTTTAAAGTGTTTATATATCAAAAATACATATCAACTCCAATACAGCAGATACAATATTATAACCACACATTATTTGAATATTTTGTCAATTATTATCAGGCTGTGACTTGTATCCATGTTAGTATTTTATTTATAACAATTGCATATAACAAAAAGCTAAGAGGGACCAAAAAACAGAATATACTCATTATATCTACGGTTAACAGAAGATTTCTAAAATGTATTAAAACACCAAAAATTAAAGGTGAAGTGATTTGTGAATAAAGAAATAATTGGTAGTAAAACAATGATCAGAAATGAATAAAGTGAATTATAATTTACTCTTGATATTACTCTCACTTTGACATCAAAATATTTAATAGAAGTAAGCAAAAGCAATGGTCTTTGATTGTAGTGAACTTCTTGAAAAGCGTTTAATGAATGCAGAATATCAATTCAATTGTTAGTTTGTTAAATATTACTAAAAATATGATATTTATGTTCAACAAAGCACAATAACATAAGGTAATTCACATTTCAAACCCAATATTTGCTACACACTACTATTTCATATGTACCTGATACTTTAACCATGCAATTGTAACAATAGATCCAAAAAAAAAAAACAACAAAACACAAGCAACTCCAAAATAAATTAATAACATCAGCAGCAAACCACTTTCCACCAACAGAACAACCCATTTGTATTGTAGATAATGACAAATAAATTCTCTAAAACTTGCTACAATCACAGAGATTATTGTGAGCTTATCAAATCAGACACTGGATCAAACGGAGTGGCCTTGGGATTGGTGTCTCTGTCCCCACTGACTAGAAGGTCCTTGTCCAGAATTGCCCTGTTGCATCCATGACAGGAAGTTGGGTGGCGCTGGCGGAGCAGAAGAAGCCGGTCCAGCAAAGGCACCTTGCTCTGATCCCCCCGATGGTATATTATTAATCAAACCCCAGCCTGCTGCCTGATTTAGTGCCGCAGCTACTAGGGCTTGATTTACTGGCAAACCACCCATGCCAAGTGGCATACTTCCACCTTGGCCTTGTCCTCCTCCACCGGCCACGGCGGTTTGACCGTGTTGGCCAGACAATCCTAAGGCTTGCATATTCACCATATCCATATTACGGCTACTCCAAGAATTATTGTTTGAGGCACTGTGTGGATGTCCTTCTTCATAGTTTCTACTTGGTAAGTTTCGTTGATTAGAACCACTTTTATTTTGTTTAGGTGATGCATTAGACACATTAACAGATACTCCTTTTATAATATGGTCTTGACCACATAAGCTTTGTGCAACTTCAGGATCCAAAAATGTTATAAAGCTGAATGCCCTAAAAGGCTTTGGAATAAAAACATCTGTTACTTCTCCAAATTGTGAAAAATATTCTCTTAAATCATTGGCTGTTAAATCTTCTGTACAGCGGCCAACAAAAACTTTACAAGGCATTGACGTGACAGAACCTTCCTTTGAGTTTGGTATCCGTACATCACACCAACGTCCATCAATCATATGTCTTTGAGCTAAGACTCTCATTTGAGATGTATAAGATGAAAATCTGATAAAAGCGAAGCCTTTTGACATACCGGTTTTAGGATCACGTTTCAATTGAGCCATTAACACTTCGCCAAACTTTTCGAAATACTCCCGCACGGTTTGCTCTGTCGCTTTCCATGGTAACCCCAACACTATTAAATCTGAGCACAAATTATCATTCCGTTTACTTTTTACTGAAGATGTTTCAGAATTGTCACCAGATTTTCGTTTATTTTCTTTCGGAAAACTGCATATGTACAGTTGATTTCCCCAACCTTCTGGTGGTGGGTAAAGCCTTCCATCTCGTAATCTTATACCTCTAAACGTTTTCGTTTCAGGATGACGATACTTGAGTCCACAACAGCCAGGAAACTGCGCGGATACAGTTGTTAACATCAACGTCCCATCTTCTTCAATTGGAAGTTCTATGGGTTCTTCATTTTCATCTTCGGCCACGGGCAAGTACTCGAAGGACATTATTTCTTAATCATTAACAATTATATATTCTAAATTTTAATCACAAACACAGATAATTCACTTAAACTACAAATCTGTACAATATCTGGTTCTTATAAATATAAAATACGTCAGCTACGGGTTAGGAACCCATTGCAATTTGATGGTTGAAAACATAGATAAAATTAACAGTTTTGATACTTGTGCCAACTTTTTAGTTAAATTGCTATAACACTATAAAGACCAAATACAGTTCGTCGTGCTATAATTATAGATTAGACAACTTTCTAAATATGACATTTCTGTTCACCATGTTATTTCCAGACTATAATAAAAAGGCATTTATTATATTACATTATTATTATATAACTTTATTCAGGTTTAAAATAGACCTAGTTATAATGAAATCTTAGGGTTTATATTTTTTATACTTACGATTAAATTTTTCTTTTATTATATCTTACATATTTTATCATAAAATATTTCCAATATATAAGTATATGTATATATTCTATGCGCTCAATATTATCTGCAGAGCCTCCCAAATGTCTACTTGAAAACTGTTTTGCTTCTGTGCAAATAATACAAACGTATAGTAATTGATGCATTGTTTTCATTATATTTATTTTTGTTAATTATTAAAAATATAATACAGTGAATAATTAAATTCTATAAAAAATCATTTACCGAAAGCTAAGCTCTTTATGCTTATTGTTTTCCTAAATAGGGAAATTTAACCTAACCTTTTCATGTTTAGTTAACTGCTTAAGTAGCGTATATATATATTACAATCAAAATATATTGGAGTGTAGTTTTAAAAATGTTAGTATTATAGACAATTTCATTGTATGCTATTTTGATATGGATGATGATTGTAAGGATTACAAGAAACTTAAACCACAACAACAGCTATACAAACCTGGTAGTGGACCTTTAAGGCGATCTAGGTATGGTCTGGACGCCAAAATGGAATCATTTGACATAGAGAACAGTACCAGAGGAAGGGACAAATCTCATTATGGCTCCCACCAGTCTATAAATGGGGAAGATGTGCCTGCAAGCAATCGTTATAGAAAACCTGAGCAACAACTATATGTACCCAGATCTGGAGACTCAAGTGCTGATATTGATAAAAGAGGTAAATCATCTTTCAAGTGTGATAATTCTAGTCAATATGGGAGTAGACAAAAATCAAACAAACAAGAAAATCATGGTTCAGGTAGTTCAGGATCATATAATAAGGACTCATCAGTAAGAGATTCTCAACATAGGGATGGAAGTAATGACATAAATTATAATAGACATTATAGACAGGGTTCAGAAGCTAGATCTATGTCACCCATGCAAGGTGCACATGACCAGAAATCTTTAGATAGAAATAGAGACAGCAGAAGTATGGAGACATGGGCCGGCAGGCACAAATCAAGTTCAGGTGGTAAACCACCTTCCGGAAGAAGGAATTCAGCAGGGTTTTGTTCTGAGCCTCGCCCAAAGCATATGATAAATTTAGACAATTTACCACCTAGATTTAGAAAAAAATATTTAGAATCAACCGGACATCAAAGTTTTGATAGTGTAGACCAATTGAATAAAAACCAATATGGCAGCAGTGATATGTCTCAGTCCCAATATATCCCTAATCAGTTTTACAGTTCAAACACCACTAATTGGTCTCAAACCCTTCCCTCTAGAGGCCGGGGTCGCTTAAGAGATAATGAAAGCTTTGATAGGGAAAAATTTATAAACACATACATTAAAAATTATGAAGTACAAAATTCAAGAAGGTCAACCCCGAGCAGTTCATACATTAATTTGTACGAATCTACCGTCAATGAAAGCAAAAGCCTTTCAGAAAAATTAGATTCCCTAAACATTGAATATGAAAGTCAAAATAATTTAAATAATGGCGGTAAGTTAATCATTTTGAGTCCGTTAACATTGTAACACAATATGCAATGTTTTGATGTAACTATTCCGCCTTGCTTAGCTGATGTTAACTAAGGATAAATATATATGTTTTATAAATGTTTGTAAATGTAAAATAATTTCACTGAAGGTATTTTTATGATTTAGCTACAATAAGTGGGAGTAACACAAATGAAGTTCAATACAGCGACAAGGAATCTGAGGATAAAGTGGAAAGTACTGAAAACCAAAATGACAGTGAATCATTATCTCATTTATCAACAAATCTTTCTGACATGACAAATTTGGTAAGTTTTAGAGAATATATCATATTATATGTTATATATGATATATTTTTAATCTTATTCTTATATTTGGTCCTCTTCATTGTCTTAAACAATTATGTTCCTTGGAGAGATATAAGTTTATGTTGAAACTCTCTTAAATATTCATGTTATTAATGTTTGGTAAATGAATTGTTGTCAAAGTATTTCATTATACCTACCTACCTACTTCAAAGTAGGACATAGTAACATTATCACAAGTTGTAATGTAGCTTTTTTATGAGACTAGAAGTTTTCGAAAAGAAAGTAAATTTCCTTCAATAAAAATGTTCATTTTCTTTTCATAAAAATTAGTACTAGTCTTCACAAGTACACTTAAAATGTAATCTCAATATAAGAAATTAACTTTACCTGATTTGGAAAAAATTTAGTTAGTGATTTAAAAATAAAATAATATTAAAATATAATATATTACGTCTTTTTATATTTAATATATTTTTCTTTACTTCATCTGATGTTGTGTTTTCACGAAGGTCGTATATTAAACCTTCGGATTTGTATCCGCGTCTGCAAGCAAGGTTCTTTGCAATTTTACAAACATTTTGATGCATGAATATTTTCCTTTTAAGTTTATTTTTATTAGAGACTTAAAATTGTTATGGCTGTGATTACGTGCTTTAGGTTTGAACAGTATTCATCAGTTTCTAATTAAAATAGCAAACAGTACATAAAATTGCGAAAGTTTATCTTTCTTCTCAATTCAGACATTTAAAATCAATGGTTAAGTCATAAAAAAGAGAAGATTTATAAATTCAAACACTAATATAAAAAAAAATCGTAAAAATGTCTTTATTAAACAAATTAGTGAATACATTTTGTGTTCAAGATTCTGACCATTATTTTATATTACTAAATTCTTTTCAGGATTGGACTGAAGAGGTTGAGAAAAATATAAAACTTGATGATGTATGTAATTCATCAGCATCTTTTTCACAAAGTGAAAGCTTCTCCCAGAAGAAACCAAGCAATAAACCAGAGGTAAAAGAGGCCGAACCTCGAGAATCGAAACGGAGTGCCAGGTCGAGACGTAGAGACAGAAGGTTGTTATTTATTTGTATAGCTAACTAAATATGTCATGATTTTTTTATGAAAATATAAAAAAATTGTAAATATAATTTTGTTTGACAGGAGCTCAAGCAGAGGACATAAAAACACCGAAAAGAAAGAACGGAATAGGAAAGACAGCAATGTAAGTGTAGCTTACGAACCTGAGAGGAGTCGAAAGGATAGTAATGTTAGTATACAATACGACGCTACGTACGGACCCAAACAGAGGGAGAGGGAACGAAGAGACAGTCACAGGAGCAATCGATCATCGACCATAGGAAATAGCAGAGATGACCTCGACAGGTGGAGGTCATTGAGGTCTTACAGTCGGGAACACAGCTCTGAAAGGTATATTATAATATTGTTATTATAATATATATAGGTATCTTACATTTGGGTCGTATTGAATCAGCTGTTCTGTGTAAACTGCTTATAAAGATAAATATTGCCGTAATTAGTATTATTACATTGTTTGATCATGCGTTCTATATGAAATTCTTTGTATTAGTATTTTTGGGTAATTATATTTAGAGCAAATCTTGTGAAACTCAAAAGTTGCGTCATTTTTGGATGTACCTAATATTTTTAATACCGTATTTTAATTTTAGGAGAATAGTATCACAGTGTAATAGCAGAGATACGTCTGCAAACAGAGCTACCAGCCCTAAAGATAATGAGGGTTTCAGGGTTCCGACTAACACCGCTAAAACATGGTCCGCTGCAAACCAGGTAATACTAATAGTAACAACTATTAATATTAAGAATACTGCTGAAATAAAAAATTACCGTGTTGCAAACCAAACCTCGTTAATAATGAGAGTTGATTGTAAACAGGTCTTGTATAGTCTACTACTTTATTCTAGTACCTGTAATATACAGACGAAATTTTTACTATAAAATTAGATTCCAAAGAAAGGAAGTCAAATTTAAAATCAGCACACCCAAATCCAGTGACGAATAAAGCCTTAAAGTGTGGTTACTAAAAAAAGTGAGGGACTGTTTTATTTTTTCTTTGTTTGTTCAGAAGAGAAGCAATGGTCCTGTAAACGGTCGTGCTGGAAGCTCCGAGCGTAAGTCACCGGAGCACGAGGGCGGCGGCCGGCGCTCCAAGAAGAGATACGTGAGGAAACGGAGGAACGCAGAGAACACACAGCCAGCGAACAACTCGTCAGCAAACATCAACTGGAGGGACGAGATCATTGAGTCCAAGAAACATGACAGGTTATATAAACATTAATAATATAACACTCAATACGACCTATTGGCTATTGCTTCTTGGTTTTTTGTTCAATCTGTTTGTTTTATTAGAAAATTTTTTATTCGGTACTTTGTTGTACTTCTTATGGATCTTGGGACCATCTATGTTGATTTATTATTTTGAATTAAATTATTTTTTTGCACTGTAAGATATCTTATTATTTAATACTAGCTGCGTCCTGCGGTGTTACCCGTGGATTTCCGGGATTTCTGGGATGTAAAGTAGCCTATGTGTTATTCCTGGAGGTCAGCTTCCTGTATACAAAATTGTATCAAAATCGGTTCAGCAGTTTGAGCGTGACGAAGTAACAAACATGCACACACACTCACAAACTTTTCACAAAATTATAATATTAGTAGGATGAGTTATTAAATCTTTTTCTTATTATTTCCAGATCTGAAGGCACTCATAACAGAAATAGGCTGAACAGCGTTTTGTCTGAAAAATCCGTAACAGAGACCGGTTCTCAGCCCGGGCTAATTATCTTGCCGCAGAGTTCAATGACCCATTTTCAGAAAGACCAAAACATGTAAGTAGAATATTATGTACTATTTCATCTATGACTATGTTCCACTTTTATAATGTATATTTGTATATGTAACAATTAATTTTCTTTTACAGTCGTGGAACACCAAACGAAACCCAGAAAACATTATTTGACCATCACAATCCGTCAAAACCGATTATCATACAGACCACTCCATCAAAACATGACATGAGAATGGAAAGAGGTAACAAATTCAACATTTTAAATATGCCTTAATTATGTCTATATCAGACTTAATGACTGAAATCGTGAAATTTAAAATTTTATTACTACAGTCACCTGTGTCATTAAAATGTATTATAGTGTACTTTTATATGGTTCAACTGACTATAATAATTTATATGAAACTATAAAATATAGATAAATTAAATATACAAAGTTTGTTTGGATATCCTTTGTGATTAGACAATGTTTTCTGGATAAAAATAGCCTGTAATATAGTACTAATAATATTTTGAAAAAATTTTAACTTCAGCCATTGAACGACTGTTATTGTTATACTTTGTAATATTTATTCCAGGTGTAAAGGAGTTTCCGCGGTACGGTTGTTCAGAGGGCGAGCGTGCTGCTCGTCATACAGCGTTACTACAGACCGTAGATCGAGCGGACGCGATACTCAAAACACATACCCTTCAGGGACCACTGGCGTTGGCGGCAAACTGGTCAGACGTGTTGGATACCAGGTAACATCATGATCAACACTTTCAATATAACCAAAGCATATATACGGTCAAATTGAGAAACCTTAACTTTTTTGAAGTCGGTTAAAAGTGGCGGCTTCCATAAAAGAATACTCTATTGTAGTAAAAAATCGTGGTTTGCTTATATCCAATAACTATTAGAATTCAATAGATCAGGTTGTTTTAAAAAATTTCAGTATCAATGACAATAGTAATTTATGATTTTTTTGTACTTTTTATAGGAAGTTTCTACAAGGAGCTCTTCAGAGACTGCTCATGTCTGATCTAAAATTTTGTCAGGCTGACAACATAGAACAGCAGTTCTGGAAGATTCTATACTATCATTTTATAGAGAATCTAAGGAAAAGTATCGCGACAGTAACGCCCGAAGAAAAACCTGAAGTTGTCAAACTGATAAATACCATTATAGACGAAGGGAATACCTTCTTTGAGAATCTTGTACAGATGTTAGAGAAAACTTATAAATTTAATACTGAAGACTATTTGAACGACAATCACGTGTTGCCGCCCAAGGGTCTCGGTTATGTGGGTTTGGCACTGATATCGGTACAGAAATTGTACGTGTTTCTCGGAGACTTGGCCAGATATAAGGAACAAGTTAACGAAACTAACAACTACGCCAAAAGTAAATTATGGTACACGAAAGCACAGCAAATAAATCCCAAAAATGGCAGACCATACAATCAGCTGGCAATATTAGCAATATACGCTGTAAGTATTTTGCTTTATAAAACATAGTTTTATAAAACATAATTTTACTAATGAATATATTATCCTTTTGCAGAGAAGAAAATTAGATGCAGTTTATTATTATATGAGAAGCTTAATGTCCTCGAATCCGTTCCAATCAGCTCGTGAGAGTTTACTATCTCTGTTCGATGAAAATAGAAAAAAGGTGATTCATCACTATTGTATATTGTTCAAATACTGTTTTTATATCGAAACCTAATATATAATAAAAAAATGTATATTGTTTATAATACTATTTCTATGTATATTTCCAAAAAAAATTGTCTTCCTTAATGCTAATGCTATGATTGCAGGTTCGATTCCTGTTCGAATTTTAATATGAGTCTTAGTTCCAGTTTGCTTAATGTAATAAGCTGATTATATTAAACTATATGTACGTAGTACGAGGCGGCGGAGCGTAAGCGGCGTGCTGCAGCGGAGTCAAAGGCTGGTGATAGTGGCGACGGTGCCACGGGAGGCTCCGGTGTGAGGGGAGGACCGCGAGGAGCCGCGGGTGGCGCCGGTGTGAGAGGAGGACTGCGGCGGGAGGTGTGGGTCAGACCGAGCGGACACCGCACCACTACACTCAGCCACGCGAGGCGGGACTCCTTCAATAGCATCACGCCCGTCGAGGTTGGTTAATAGTTTTAGGCTCATCTAAAAACGAAAGATGTATGATTAAGTAACATAACCTTTGGGATAATATAACAATAGATGTACAATTAAAATAATAATATTCTATAATATCCTGCTGAAGCACGTATTCCTTTGTAATTTAATTTAGCTAGACAATGTGACAAAGACATTGTAGTTTCTGGTGCTGAATCTTGAGCTTATAATTACTTATAATCTCTTAAGCTTATAATTACTTAGAAACTAAATCCTTACTCGAAATCTCACTCCTGTATACATTACCAATAGGTACATATAATTTTATTTAGTTAACAGTATAATTATTTACTGTGTGTTTTGTTTAAATTTATAAAATACAATGATCGTGTAATTATTGTTGCAGTTAAACAAAACCTTCATCACCAGCTACTTACACGTTCACGGGAAGCTCATTACTAAGATCGGGTGAGTGATGAGTGATATATATTTAACAATACACTGTCCTTCTTCTATAAAATCTCTTAAAAATTCCTATAAAATTAAAAAAAAACAGTTATATACTGTGGGTGTGTGTGGATCATAGATTATATATCTAATATATAAAATTTCCATGTCACAATATTAGTTACCGTACTCCTCCGAAACGGCTTTACCGTGTTTAACAAATTTTTATTCGGTAGGTCTGAGAATCGGCTTCTATCTATATTTCATTCCCCTGAGTGATAAGGGTTGTTAACCTTTATTTTTTTTTATTTTTGGAATAATTTTTTTGTTTTTATTATTTTAATAAAAAAATAAATACAACCCTATTTTTTTAATGGCAAAACAACGTTAAGCGGTTTAGCTAGTGTACAATAAATCAAGTTAAGATTTTAACCTTTCTGTATATCAGTATGGAGACGTTCCACTCATGCGCGTGTCAGATGCTCCGTCAGTTCCGTTCCCTCCTCAACCGAGTGCCGCTGCCGACGCCAGCGCCTCGCCTGCTGCAGCTAACAGCACTCAACATGTTCGCTGTAGAGACGACCGCACAGGCCAAAGGTAAACTAACTACATATATACATACAGGGTGTATAAACTAAATACATATATACAGGGTGTACACGAATATCATAATAGTGTGTATAATTACACAGCCTTTGGATGATTTCTTTCTTTTTTTATAATCTATATTATGCTACGAGGGTACAGATGTACGTACATAAGTAGGAATTTTAGGATTTTCCTAAAATAAGGCGTTCACAACTTGCAACTTAATATCCACCTACCAACGGGTAGAATGGCAGTCAAACACAATCCAGTCGCAAAAAAAAAAAATAATTTAATTAACACATCTCATTTATAAAACTTTATGATGTACTGATATCCAGTCGCAAAAAAACATTAAACTTCTAATTAACGTATCTCATACATCTCACATTTATTATGTACTGATATGCAGTTGCAAAAAAATTTAATTAATAAACTTCACCTATAACACATATATGTACTGTTACTTAGTACAGAATTTATTTTTGATTTATAGAGTTGGCAATATGAAGGATATGTAACTTCTTATACTTTTCAATTGTGCTCTATAGGTCTACTTAAAGACACTGATTATATTATTTATATTCTTTTACATCTTTTTTATATTTTTTAAGATAAATAATGTTAAAATAAAAATAAATCTAGTGATGGTTTATGTAAAACGTCCTGCAATATGTCTTTTTTGTGAAGATGTATTAGAGGAATATAAGTTGTACATATTTTCACTAGAACCAGTTCTCGATCCTGAACAAAACTAAAGAAAAGGTAATAAGATTATGTACATGAAGGATAAAGTACAAGATTTAAATTAAGACCTTTAATAAAGAAATATTTGAATTCTTTATGACTCATACAATATTGAATAGAAGTTATTGAAGAAATATAATTTAAGAGAAACATGATAGATGTCAATCAGTGGATAAAAATGTCATTTGGAATTTTTTTAATTCCCTCTATCTATTTTAAAATTAATTTAAGACCTATTAAGAAATTAAATAGAAGAATTACCACTACAATTATGACGAATCAAATGTAAATGACTACATAATACCTATATAAAATATTTTTTATTAGTCTTCATTCGTCGAATTTATGCAAAGCACGATAACTCAATTGATAAACCGACTGGTACATAATAACTCACAGGTTTCAATACACTAGTTACAATGACTTGATTATATGTTTAAATTTGGTTTTCTAATTTCGTCAGAAACTGTGAACTTAATAATTAATTCATATTATTACGTCTTATTTTGTAGTATTCATATATAATCCATAGACGGCATTCTTAAAAATAGGATATAAGTAAAAACCATATTATGTTTTTAACGGTAAATATTTTTTTTCTTTTTAATAGTAAAAACATTTTACAAAATTGTCGCTTATCATTTTGTGTGTAATAATTAATTAAGCATGTTAACACGTAAAAGACATTTCCTTAGTTTTACGAGAATCTGTAGTCGTCTGTCTCGTTTATTATCACAGACATCGAATAATAACTGTTAATTAAGATCTACCTCTAGATTACATCTACATATCTAGTGGACTCTCGAGCTAGGTATAGGAACTACAAAAAAACCTGAATGAATTATTAAAACTGACTTAAACAAAAATACTAAGAAAACTGTAAAATGAAATAATTTCAATCGTATGTTTTTATGTACCTAACCAGTATTGAATGTTAAACATTAAAATTTTAAATGAATTTTTTTTTGTAATATTACTTTTAAATTGAGAAGAAAAGAATACGTTAAGTTTTATAGTCTTTCTAGACGATTGTTTGACAATCTTTATAAAATGCTTATGAATTTTTACTCAAATAATCTAAAGTTGTCTCAGGCCGTTGACCTTATAGTTTTTGTTCAAATAACCAAATTGTATTCTATTTGTATCTAGGTTTTTATGAATTTTTTTGTTGTTTAATTATCGGATTATTTGTAATCAAAGCCAGCTCTTTGTCTATACATATTAATATTCGTAACAGAAAAAATGTTTATTTTGCACGAGGTTGATTAAGTTGAAAGTTTGAAAAAATATAAGTAAGGAATTTACGTCTTTATATTAATACATCAAATACTTCATATGACACATGTTGCCAAATTCATTGAATAGATTATGAAAATGTATTGATTATATACTTTTGTATTATAAAGTCATATAACGCAATTCTATTATTTGTGGATATTACTTTATTAATGTATATTGTGGGATAAAAATTGTCCATTAACAACATAAAAGACATCCTTGAAATTAGAATTTTTTGTGAATATGTTTTCTAAATTCCTTTTTGAACAGACAATCGATATTGTCTCGAAGCAGTGATTATGCAGGGTTGGTATTCCATTTAACCGGTTTAAATTGTTGCCAGTTTGAAAAAAAAACTAACATTGACCATGAAAAGCTTTTTGGAGCACATCACTAATTTAGATTACGATAAATATTTAGAACTTCGTATAATTTTATTTTGCCCAATAAGTGTTTTTTATTCTTTAACTTCACACTATTTGAATACAAATAAAATACCATTTGGGTTAATGACTTGTTTTTTTTAAATTGGATTTATTGTTACGGCTACTGTTTTCAAGATGCCATAACAATTATTGGTGTATAAACTCGAATTGCGTTGCGAATAAAATATTAAGTTTTTTTTTTGTCTTATAAAATAATAAAGTTAATGATACTTGGATTTTTAATGAGAGAAATATATTAGTTTGATTTAAAAAAATATAGGTATATATTCATTTTATTTGAAAAAAGTGATTTATTGTAAAGCGAAATTTCTAAGGTATTTTAAATGTAACAAGAATTTAATGATCATAAATAAAACAAAATGTCCGAAGCTTGTGACAGAACAAGAGGGACGTACAAAAAGTTCTGATTAATCGCATTGCATGACCAAAAAATATTTATTTCTGTTTACATTCGATGGTAATATATTTAAATCGAGTTACTGAACTGATTTTTCAAATGTTTAAGGCGCATTCTTTTCTAGATGGCTCTCACCAAAATACATCTTAGTACTAGGCTAAGCTGTATAATTCATCATCATCATATAGTCTAGTTTAAATGAATATATATATAGTTATATACTACGTGTCTTCCATGATATATATAGATATTACTAGAGATCATAAGGCGTGAAAGCTGGTTTTTACTCGCGTTAGTTTTTTTTATGCATGGGTTCCTCGTTTTTGTGACCTTCTCATGCAAGCGAACCGAAACGAATACAATCGCAGCGATAAATTATTATTACTTTTAAAAAACATATATATAACATGCAATAGTTTAAAGAATTTTATGAGGGCGTATAAAAATATGTGAAAATTGCAAAGTAATAAGTACCCTCGGTTTTATGTCTTCAATCTAAACTTTAAATAAGATAACTGACGTAATATAAGCAAGTCAATTATTTCCCGTCCGTTTTGCAATAAAAGTTTTGTAATTGCGTTCTGAGGTTGTTGCACCGCAAGGTTGACGTCTGACTCCGGCCTCGGGGCGTTACGTAGTCTCGTGTTGATATTACCTATGCTTACCCATTTGTAAACTTCATCATAATTTGAGGGAATTAATTAAATGGAATAGTAAAATCACTGAATGTACGAAATCTAAATAAAGAAGGAAATTTATTTAAGAAATGTTGCTTAAAACGTCGTGTTTCGAAAGTACTTGGAATTCATACGATGATGGAATGAATGGGATTTAAAGTCATTGTTAATACATCTTTAAGGTCTTAAAAGATTTTTAGAAAATGCATTTTTTTGTATTACTTATTCTACTTAAATTATAAATGCGATAATTCGTGAAGGTGGACGGATGTATTGTATTTATGTTATTCAAATATTTGTTGTTATTTATTCAAAAACGACTTAAATGATTCTGACGAAACTTAACAGTATATAGCTTAGTTATTAGCAAAAATATGAGTTTTTATTTAACCCTTAATAACGTGTTTCTCTTGGATTACGCCAAAAAAGATGTATTTAACATGAAGTCACGTGACACAAACTATAGTGTCGCTACCGGTTAGATATCATACCGATTGTTTTAAAGCACTATACTTTTCTCTCTAACAACAATTCGAAGTCCACGCAGGATAGGTCTCGAGCAAAAACTAGTATATTATAAAATATGATCATGTAACACCACCGAGTCACCCACCTTTGTTGGCGTTAATATACACGTAGCCTAGTTATGATATTATGTTTCTGGATGAAGAATTAATCAATGTGTATATTTATTTATGCGTAAAGCGAACTTGTGCGGGCTCTGTGCCCCTGTGGAGTGATAGAAACATAAAAATACAATAATAATTAGTTATATGCTTGCGTCTGTATATTCTGCTCGTTTGGGGCTGGACACAAACATTTAGATTTAATACGACATACAGTCACACGTACTATAACTGTATAAATGAATTATATGGACTAAAATTAAACAATTTATAAAGAATCGACTGCAAAGAGCTTAAATATCACAATTGTAACTACTTAACTACGATCAAGAGATTCTCTATAAATGCTTTTAGTTACGGGCCATATAAAGTACCAAACTGATTAAAGACAAAAAGGTCCCTCTACGTGGTCACCTCAAGGTCAGCTGATCCGAGTTTGGAGGATTCGTTAAAACCCCAGTCAAGGTCATTGACATGAGATAGCAATCGCAAAGCCACGCTAGAGGCGGCTGTAATCTTTAACTATGTCTGCGTCCAGTCGGCCGATAAGGATGTGAGCTTAATCTGTTCCCATTTTATTCTGATATCCAAAATATTTATATACGTTATAAAGAAGTGCTAAGATATTTTAATTAAAATACACACATATGAATAGGGTCTACTGAGACTAATTTCATTCTGTAAATGTTAAAAAACTATGGTTTTCCTTTTAATTATTTTCCTTTTCAAATTTTTATGAATGTAGAATAAAATTTGTGTCAAACTATATGATATTATTATGTATTTTAAAACGCTTCAAGACATTAATATCTAAGCGAACTCTGAAAACTTATATTTTTGCTATATTGTTCTGCTACATAGTTAAATTACTATAGAGTTTCAAAATTGTAGTAGTAGAATATAATCTTTCTACTAGACTGACAAAGATTTATACGCTAATATCTATCTTCTTCTTCTACCTGGCAATTTCCCAGCTTTAGTCAGGGTCTGCCTTATATGTTGTGAATAGTTTTGGCTAATTGTTTTTACGACCGGCCGCCTGCCTGGCATCAATCCTCTTTGGGAATGCATTAATCAGTGATGTCTAAATACTCTAATATCGATATACCTATATATATATATATATATATATATATATATATATATATATATATATATATATATATATATATATATATATATATATATATATATATATAATATTTTATAAGATTTTAATTTCTTTTCAATAGATATTTTGTGTGTCTTTCCACCAAGAAAGTTATGTATATTTTAGTAAGATTTGAATTACAGTAAGATTTAAAATAGTTGGCCTTTAGGTAGGTGTCTAACATCAATAATATTAAAACCTATGTTTCATTTCGAACATTTAATTATTGATACCGAACGAGATTTCTTAATTTAATACATAACAGCCCCATAAAGAGTTTTGTAACGGTCGCTTAAATAATTTACGTTAATTTTACGTACATAACTGGATATACAAGATGGTTGCTATTACGTTCGAGTGTATGCAATTTATAATAAATAGCTCGTTTTTAAATAGCTACTTATCTATGTACTACAAACACAGGTGTAATCCCTGCCGTGTATTTTTATCCGTTTCTATTAATAACGAACCGGCTCCATTACTCTGACATGTTGTCAGTCAACTTCGAAGTCCTCATTGTTGTTGTATGGACCACTCTCCTTTTATATAACTTTAATATATATATTTAATCCCTCTCAACCCATCGCGTCTTATCACCACGACAGATTAATTCTGCTCATTCGTCTTATAAATCAACCCAAGAGGGTTTTTATTGTAAAACAAATACTCATAATTCTATCTTTCAATCGATCCTGGAATACAAAAAGGTTTGGGAATGCTATCTCAATGCTGTGTTCTTTTATTTTGATATTCCGCAATGATCTATTTTAAGAATTGTAAGGATAATTGCGGTTTCTCCATCGTCGATATGAGATGATAAAATTTATTAATAGAACTACCACCAGTGGTCCAGTCCCTACCTACATGGAATTCCAGTACCACAGGTTTTAATAGAGGTTTTACTTTTTACCTAGATAGATAGAAAATATTTTAAACATGTTGATGTTACTTGATGACTATGAGCGAAATAAAGAAAACTTTATAGCATGCGATATATTTATACGAGTAGTAATTGTATGTTGTTATCACCATTCAGGTAGTAATGGCGAGGAGCGCTCGGCTTGGTTGGAATGCGCTTTGGGCGTGTCTCTGCTGATGTTCGGTGCGCTGCTCGAGAGATGCTGCGCGCTGCTGCCCGAGCCGCAGCACACCCAGCAGCACGCTGATGCATTGCTACTTCTGCCTGCCATTAAGGTCAGCTTAAAAAAACATCATCTATATGCTATACTAAACGAACATCCTTTACATACATCCAAGTCAATGAAATTGCCAAAATGTTTTATGCATGCATTGCAGTACTACTTATATCATGATATTAACTGAAGATAATATTTCAGATGTGGTCGGACTGGATGTTATGTCATAGCAGTATTTGGAATCCGCCACCGAGTTTTGACAATTTCGAAATAGAGTGAGTATTGTTCCTATCTTTTTACGTTAGAACTAAGTTTGCATATTAATTAATGTTATATTTTACAATACAGAAGCGAAAACGATCCCTGGGATTGGCTTGCGAAGCTCATGAACATATTAGAAGCCCTGGACGACAAAACATTAGAATTTGAGAACGAACCGAAGGAAGGTAATAAAAAAATTAAATTACTTAGATAAGTTGGTACAATTTTTTCTCTAATCTACTCCAAGTTATGGTTCTTGTAAGTCTTCATTCCCGTCTGCCAGCGTTCAATCCTCACGCACTATGCAATTACAGTGAACATTCAATTTATGAATCCATTAACCTTTTACTTCCTTTATGCAATGGAATTAAACAGCGGTTCAGTCAACTATAAAATTTAACATTTCTATGTATATAATAAGACAGTTTACGTAGTTTTGTATTTCATCTACTGTGATTGAAAACTATTTTGTATGTTATAATTTCATGAACGTTCCATTAACAACAATGGTATTGAAAATACATATTATCTAAATTGTTGATCTTCAACATGGTTGAGTTTGTTACATAGATAAAATCATTGTAGCCCAAACAATTATCTGAATATCATAAAAAAAAGATATTGCATTTTTATATCTACAGGCGTGTAAAGATATATGTTATCTTCAGGATATATTCCCGTAAGGCTGCCGGAGGATGCTTCCCTCGCCGGGTTCACGCCTCTCATGTACATGGAGCAGGCGCTGGCGCACGTGGCGCCGCACGCGCACGTCGCGCCTCACGCCGCTGAACACGCGCTGCGCATGCGCAAGCTGCTGTTCTTCGGGACCGAGTGAGTATGTTTGTACGAGAGCAGGAGTTAGACCGAAGATGACTTGTGGTCCAATTTTAGATTATTGGAAATTATATTGCATACAATTTTCATACCAATAATATTGGTAGAACAATCATATTCTATTTAATATGATTTACATATATTCGGGATTTCTCTATTGAGTATTTTTTCAAAAGCAATTTAACAAATAATAAAAAAACAAAGAAAAAAGTGGCTCCTATGTTTTCTTAAATAAATCTTTTGTTTCTTTTTTTTTGTAAAATCTGTCAATTAATTAAAAAGATTAATTATATTAATAAAACTGGAAAGAAAAACAAATCTACATAATCCCTGTACAATAACTATGACTTACCAATTTTATATGTGTTATGTTATATCTATTATATAATTTATTATTATAGACATGCATGCTCGCAAACACTTTAATGTCTGAAACTAATCGTTCAAGTGCTTCCCGAAGTTATTACTTCGGTGTAAATATAAGAGCGTTGAGAATTTTTTATTTGCAAAATAGGATCGAAATACATAAATGTTAGTCACATTGTCTAGTTTCTCACGATATTTATCTTGTGGGGGATATTTTTTTATATAAATCTGTATAGTAGAAGTTAAGTGTGTTAAATATTAATACTGTGCAGATACCTGGTGGGTGTTGAGCCTCCGGTTCTCAAGTTGGAGTACCCGGTCGGTGAACAGCCGCGGTATGTGAGTGCTGTACAACGAGCACAAGCAGACTACCCACCATTACAACATCTCGTAAGCTTTTATCATTAAAACAGTTAGTTCCTTGGCGCTTAAAACCTAGCGCTTCAAATCCATCAAGCTATTAAAGTTGGTTTAAATCAGTAATAGCAATTACAGTACCTGAGTTTAAGATCTAGAAAGGATGTATGGACAATTAATGTAAGCGAGTCTTCGCCTCGCCTGTATATAAGTAATGAACAGCAGACAAAGACTGTGTTACTTAGTTTATCTATGATATGTTATAAGGGACGTGATTAAAAAACAATGATTGTAATTATTCTGCTGTTATGACATTTTGAGTAAATAAATAAAAGATGATTATTAAAACTGCTTAACGTCAGTACAAAAATCAACAGTACAAAAGCCGTTCTCGTTCTATATCATAAACACTATATTATGATGAATAGTCTGAAGACTCGGAAGTCGACGAGAGCGTGAGTACGACCAGCGGTCCGACGAGTCTCAGCGAGGCTGTGGAGGCTGCAGACGACGACACCAGGGACCTGCTGAGACGAAGAGACCTACTTGAGAACAGGCGGGCCACCATAGAGAAACGCCGACAACGGATGCAGGTGAGACATATGAAGGATAATAATTTATATAAAACTAGCTGCGCCCCGCGGTGTTACCCGCGGATTTTCGGGATTTCCGGGATGTAAAGTAGCCTATATGTTATTCCTGGACGTCAACTTCTTGTATACAAAATTTTATCAAAATCGGTTCAGCCGTTTGAGCGTGATGATGTAACAAACATGCACACACACTCACAAACTTTAGCAATTATAATATTAGTAGGATTACAATGTTAAATGAAACTAATATTTTTATATCCTATTATATCCTCCCGACCTTTCGATTACTTTACAGCAACCATGATCACGAGCACACGAGATGTGAATGTTTTATTTCAATGGTTTTCAATGCCTAAACAGGCATATTTCCTATATAACATGTGTAATGAAAAAACAATGATTTAAAAAATATATTAATAAAGTTATTAAAAATTTTCATATATTTTTTTTTATATAGGAGATGCTAAGTACCGGATGGGTGAGCGTAGAGGTGGAAGTTCGTCCGCGTTGGTTGGTACCAGACACGAACTGCTTCATCGACCACCTACCGTTGTTACAAGCGGTGGCCAACGCACCCTCACATCCATACAACCTCGCCGTGCCGCTCGTTGGTATGACATCATTTCTAGTACATCTTTAATTTATTAGGTATCACAAAAATACTTTTTTATTCTTCACGATTTGACTTATCGATTAGAAAAGTCACAAAAGTATAATTATGCTGTTGACGAAAGATTGTTACAAGAATATATATTATAACATTTTTCCACAGTTGTTACGGAGCTCGAGGGTTTGAAGAAGTGTTCCCGTTTGGGGGGTAAGGCGAGGGACGCCCTGGCCTGGGTGTGCGGGGGCGGGGCGGGGGGTGCGGGAGGGGGCACTGTGAGGTTGGCTACAGCCCGGGGCTCCTTGCTGACGTCACGAACCTTCACCGCCGAGCAGGATGAGGGTAGAGCCACAAACGACGACCGCGTACTGGCCACAGCACTTAACCTTCAGGCGAATCTCACAGCTGACGGAGGTGAATATGACTTTATATGTTATTGATATATTCTGATGGCTCATGTAGACTCAAGAATAGATCTATTGTTGACAAAATAACATTCACAAGTAGCGTGACAGGTTGTGTGTTCCCCAGTTTTTAAGGGTCTCCTCTAACATGGTTAGGTACTGAGATCGGTGTGCTTATGAACTTAGGAAATTTCCTTTCTTTGAACTTTTCTTATAAGGATTACTAGGAAGATTAACATATTTTATTTTTGAGTATAGTTCGAGTTGTTGATCACTTTAATATGTAGTAAGGTTAAAGGTGCTCCAAAATATAATAAAACAGCTTTTGAGTTTTATACGATTCTTTTAAAACCTTCTTGAATAACCAAGAACAGAATTATTCCAATCACAGATTATAATAATTTTATTGATGACGTCACCAAGTTTAATGTAATCACATTAGTATATTTTATTGGATGTTTCGCTGATTGCTACTAACGGTTTGTGAACTGTTATCTAAACTGCTGAATAATTTATAAAAGAAATACATTAATCTTGGATTTTCGTTTTGAGTTAATATTTTGACTAAGTTCTCATTAACTGAACTTCCAATGCAAGTAAAAAAAAATATTTTTTGCTATACTCATAAGTTTTATTAAATAAGAGTTTGCAATATTTTATTATATTCCTATATTGTAATGGTTATAACAAAATAATGTAAAATATAACAATACAAGTAAATTATAAGTATAAGCGTTTATCGAAAGATATCAAAACAAGGTACTCAAATTACTGGAATAAATCAAGCTGAAGATATTATATACGTAATATACAATAAAGAAGAACGGGAAATGGTAATAAAAAGTTTGTTGATATAATAAAAATATATGAGATAGAGAAACGTTATGTGAACGAAGTCAATACGTATGCTTAGTACATGTTTGCATCGACACACTACATACACAGCGTTCCGAGTTTTATTTCAAAGAACTAAAGTATGTAATTTATACGAATTTATATAAATGAAGAAGTTTTGACGCTCTCAGTGCCATCTCTGGGTGACTAGAGAATGCAATGTTTTTTCTCAATTAATTAGCTAGTTTTATATCAAATGTAAATAGGTTTATAATTAACAGTGTCTTTAAATTATTTTGGTCAAATAAATTCTTGGACAATATATTAATAGTAACTTTAAAATATTACTTTTGTGTCATTTCGTATTTCTTACTCTGTTAAATAATATAAATCATTCAGGTGCTTATGAGATAAAGATATGAGGTTCATAATTTTATGAATTCTTATAACCATATCACGTATTTTTCATGTGTCTTAAGCGGTCCGTAATCTTCAGACCTCAATATTTATTTAAGAGTAATCGGTATAAAAAAAGGATTCTTGGAATTAATCTACAAACATATATATTAGAAATTATTAATAGAGAATAGTATATGATACAATTGTATACATATATATAAAAATATATGAATGAAACACTTTTTATTGTTCGTCTCTGATGTAGTAGATCAATGTATGTATGTATGTTCATAGCGGAGGTCCGAGCGGACGGCGGCTGTGTTCGCGTGGTGGTGTTGGTGACGGACGACCGCAACCTGCGAGTGAAAGCTTTGTCGGCAGACCTGCCAGCCAAGGACCTGCTGTCGTTCGCACAGTGGGCAGGGCTGCACACTGATACGGTATACATACATACAAGTTCATTAAAATCTCATACATTTGACATTGCTTACACTAATTCCCAGTGTGTACAAGTATTACCTAAACTATTTTATTATTTTCATTATTATATCCACTACTTTACTTTTTGGTATAACGAATTAAGACTGGATTTTGTTTAGTTTTAATGTGTTTGAATCATTATATACTTATAGTACATAAATGGTACACACAGCTTACACAAATCGAATCCACTGTTTAAATGTACATGTATAATAAAATCACGTTTTTAAAGACAAATATAAAATTTATAAAATCGTTGAGGTCCTGTGAAAATTATTTTATTTTGAATTTAATTACTTTTATTTCTTATTTTAATCTGGTAAAGTCTTATGATCGTTACTGCAGTTTTTATGTTAAATTAATGATATTTAATACAATTGTTGCTGTGAAAATGTTATAACATAATAATTTTGTTACAGAAACCGAAGTCGGAGAGCCACAGTGCTGATGTTTAACGTTAGAGGCACTTAAAACATTTTCAGCTCATATTTATAAAGTTAATTGTACTCGATGTGATTTCGTAACGAGACGAGATAGTTGTCGTTCACAGTGCATGCGCTGTCGTGCTTACTGTTTACATTGAAACCAACGGTTTGAAAGTTTTTGACTATAAACTCATATTAAGCGCCTCCTATAGAACCCTCATCGACGAGACGCGCATTTATTGTGAACGCGAGTTTAGTTTTAGCATACAATCAGTTTAGTTGCTATGATTTATCCTCAGAGGCGTTAATCGAATGCGTTTAATTCTAGAATAGGAATTGAATAGAATAAGTAAAAATAAATACACCAATAGAGAGATATAATGTTAATTGAACAGTTTTTTTAAGAGCTTTAGGATTCCACCTCCGTGTTCCTGGGCGCCGTTGTTCATTGTGAATTATATTTTTCGTTTTTTTTTTTATTATTTTCCGAATTTCGATTAGACTATCAGGTAGGTGTCGCTGAGCTATTTTTTATGTACTCTTTTTTTTTGTAATATATGTTAAGTGTATTTTAATATTTTAAAACTAGGTGATATTTTTAAACTATGCATTATTCCTTTTTATCGTAAATTTTTTCTCCGATTAAATAACTTTATAGTATTTTATTGTAATTGACAGAACTAATATTTTTCTCAGGCTTGTTTACGCTAGCTTTTTAACGTTTGATGTTCTCAAACCATGACTTATGACTATATTTTGTCAGTGTATGAAATTCTCTGTCATCAAAGCTCCCAGCATCCGAAGTTTATGAAATTTTAATTTTGTATTAAAATGACTGCATTATAGCATTGTATACATAAGACACTAACCAGATAATTCCATCACGGTTTTATATCTCACTATAAATATATACGAGAAATATACTTTTGTTAAATATTTAAAGAAAAATATACAGACTTTTAATATCAATAATGAAATTATTTTTTTGTAACGTATATCATATTATATGTATATATATATTCTTCTATTTCGTTTTTTTGTTGTATAGAAGGTATTTTGACGGTACATTACATAATAAGAAAATATTTCACCTTAATATTAAAGAGTTATATAAAATGAATTGCAAATAAAATAATTACACTGATAGAGAATATTGTAATGATTTTTTTTTCATTTTTGAAATAAATTTGATGCTGTTACTTTTTATCTTAATAATGATGTTAATAAACATTGATGACGTCTCAGAATTATATTACTTATCTTACCCTACCACCTCTTATATACCATTTCTTTCTCTATACATACTTTACGCATACATATATCCACAATAGGTTTTTTATTTAGCAATACCCAGACAAACTAAACGCCGTACAGTTATTACACAACAAGTACATAATTGACTAATTTTATCGAATTTGCTTCTATGCATCATTATATTAAAGGTCAGAACGGAGACGGGTCATTGAAAGAATTTTAAAAACATATTGATGCTGTTGAATAAATAAAATAAGACGCAGACCACGGAATGAGGTAAAGGTTGAGAGATCGGCGATCACGAAAACATTCTCAAAGGACTAACACTGTGTTATTAAATATGCATTTCTATACTGAAAATGAATAGTAAATCTATTTATGGTCTTACAAGTGAGAAATTCCGATGTTAAGAATTGAGCAATGGGAATTGGCAATGTTCCGAGGCGAGGCGAGCGCACCGGTGCGGAGGTTGTAAATGCACCGTTATTTTTATATGCTGTGCGCATCTCGCTCTGACTTAGCTTATTTACAATATAATATACGACACAACGCCCGGACAGCGACAATACTTCGGAAATACATTTATTTGTCACTTATACATGCAATGAAGTGTCATTTTATATAATCAATTCACAGATTTAATATACTTCATATAATTGATAGAAAAACATGAAACATGCACAAATTTCAGACTAGTAGCATAAAGTACCTTCTCCAAACGATATAATTTAAATATACCTGATTTTTAGAACACTGTTTTAAAAACTGTTTATATCCCCACGTAAGCCTTAATGTAGCCTATAAGATTTTTCAAAGCGTCTTAAAATTTTTTTTTGGGAATTATCTCGTCCCTGTACTTTTCCACATTAATTAATGTTAATAATTGAGCAACGTGTTTAATGCAACCTTTTAAAAGTATACATATGTATATATATTATTTATTTTAATCTAAACCAAGCATCCTATCCAACCCAGATCATAATTCAAAACAGGCTTTAACTATGCCAAATTGTATCTGTTTCTTGTACCGTTTAGAGATAAAAGATACAACATCTGCTTGAATTATTAATATTTTATGCATCGACTTAAAAATATTGAATTATTTTTAATGGGAGAGAAGTGATTCTTATACAATCTATATAATATTCATTTTTTTATTTTTTACATTGAGACCACAAAATTGTTTTTTCTTAAAATTTTACGTGACTTACCTTTTCAAATTTCCAGCATTATTTCTCTAAGTTTTCAACACAAGTTTACTAATACAGTTTTACAGGATATTATCAATTATTAATTGTTGTAAATTATTTTCTATTTCTAAGATTTGGTTGGATAAAATTTAATCTAAAAACATGTTCCATTAAAATATGTAGATGTTAGAGAGAATGCTTTTAAATTATTTATTTGTTCCACCGAGCCAGCCCTCATGAAATGGTTTGTTAAAGTAATGAATAGGAAGAAGGCAGTGCATTTATTAGGTAATTACTCGGAAACTTACGTGTATGCATTTAAAACTTAAAGTCTGTTTAATTGATGCGCCAGCGCATGTCCATGGTTCAACGCACGATTCACGAACTGTATAAATCATACTGCGTTCTTTATTCAATTTACCTATTTGCGGAAACGAATCAACCTTAATGAAACACCAATTATATATTGCCATTTATAAATATTTAGGAAAAACTTTAAGTAATTGGATAATGGTCTAGTGATTATTTATGTTTCGGTTAATTGTTTTATGCCAATGTAGTTTTAGGTATTTCCTTTTTTGTATTTATTCAGATTATGATTTTATTTGAATCTTTGTCATATCGATGATAAAGATACATATCGATTTTCTATGAATAATTCATGTTTTGTAATAATTAATATTTTCTATAATCAATCCTTTCACAGCTGATACAAAATTGCAACAAATTAGTATCCAATCTTATAAATATTCTTAATTGACTATATATTAGAAAAAAATGATTAAAGGATATGCATTCATTATAATACTAATTAATGCGAGAAATGCTAATATTATGTTCTTTATCTTTATTCACGAATATATTTTCCGAACAATTGGGATATATGTAGTTAAAGCGTCAAAACAACTTCGTTATAAGGCTAATTATGTCTTTTTTACTATAACTATGTATATATAATAGTGTTATTAAATTTATTGTGTTCAAAGATTATATGTCTATTTTTTATATGTTTATTTTCTGTATTCTCGCGTAGAAAGAATGTGCAACTTACTGTTGACATTTGACACGTAACTCATGATGCTCTTCTGACCTTTGTTTGGAAAAACAACATAGGAAATATTTAATATAAGTATGTCAGTCTGGCTTCCTTATTATTGAATCACTTTAAATAGTAATTACGTATGAGTGGTATTTTTTACTAAGTAATTAATTGTTTGTGCAACCCTCCGCTCGGAAATAGCACACTTAGTTATGAGCCAAATGGCTTGTCAAGGTTTTGTCCGTTATTTAGTCATTATTCTATAAGCATCTTGCCAGACATCGAGCCAGAATTTCCAATAAGATGTGTGAACTTTAAATTTTCGTTTTCTAGCATAAGTGTGTATTATACACACAACACGATATTCAGAGAGCTAAGATTTAATAAAAAAAAATTGAAGATAATCATGAAATGCCTACTACTGAATAAATAAGAAAAATTAATCACTCCGAACACATGAAGCTGTAAAAGTTGCCGTTCTGTAAATTTAATTAATATCTATCTTGTATAAAATTAATATCATGTTTTCCGATATGTGTCACCCGATATTATTTTTCCAAAAGGCAAAAATACTGTAATAAAAGTGACGTCAGATGTGTTTTATCGAGGCAATATAATAGGATTATCCTTAACACATTGTTTTTTTTATGTTCATCCCAGGGTTGACGCTGTATGGGATCACCGTGTAATTAAAATAGGGAAAAAAGGATAAAAAAATTTATGCAAATTACGTTAAGTTTTTTACCTAAATGATATTTTTTTATATGCAAAGTTACATATAGCTTTTAATATAATTAATATTGTACCCTTGATAGTAAACATGAAATTAATGCGTGTTGTAGTATAGAATGACAACATGCTTTAAAAATTGTTATTCATTTTTATTTTATTTTTTAATATGAAATTAAAGTTTTTATCCTCATTTATTCTCTTTTATTCTTCTCTGAAAATATATATTCATTTCTTCCTAGTTAATATCACGACAACTAAAACTCACATCTACTCGTAATAATAGGCCATATTTTAAGTTAATTTCTGTAATTGTGCGATACCATTTATTCATGACGTTAACATCAAAATAAATAAATTGTATTCGTAGGGGCTAGTTGCTAGTTTTTGTATCATAATATAATATTACTTTCTTGAGTAGGACGGTAGTTTAAGTTTTTAAACGGCAACGGAGTGAAAACAACAAGAATCCTACATATACACCTAAACCGTGAGGAATTGACTTTTATTTTGAATTCAAGAAAGAATTTTAAAATAAAAGGACGTTTATTACACCACATTTATAAAGTATGTAGCATGACAAATAGTAGGTATGCGTATATGGAAAATGTTTTAAAAAGTGTTAGTCACGTAAGCAATTCAAACCCAACAATAAGGAAAAAATATTTACTGTGAGATAAAACGATATTATTTTCACGATTATCTATAAATTATATTGTGTAGGCAATCAATAAATATATATTTATATTTTATGTAAAATAATTTCCTGTTCATGCATTTGTATATTTCATTCATAAAAGTTCAAGTCGACGCAGTAA